GCCAGGAGGAGCGGGTGACAGGGCCTGAGCAGCGGGAGGGGCAGGCGATAGGGCCTGAGCAGCGGGTGGCAGGGGCTGAGCAACGGTGGTAGGGCTGAGCAACGGGTGGTAGGGGCCTGAACAGCAGGAGGGGTGGGTGGCAAGGCCTGAGCAGCGGAGCAATGGTGGGCAGAGTCTGGGCAGCGGGAGATACCAATGTCTGTGCATCTGTGGTGGAGAGGCAGCAGAGGGCCCAGGGCTCTCTAGTCCAGTGCTGTCGACGATGACTTGTATCAAATTGTGAGCGTCGTTTGCGGAAAGCGTCAGTGAGGCTAGAAGTTGCAATACAACATCTGGAAACCCACGAGTAAGCATTGAGGTGATCAATCGACTGAGAAAATATGTACCAAAGATGACATCATTGTTCGAAACACTGTGGGGACACCATCATTGGTAAAGGAGAACTATGAGTGACTCACCTGGCTAGACGACCACCCTTTATACACCTTGGATGATGCATTAGCGAAGTCAGTACATATGTAAAGTAGAAACAGCAAGAATGAGTGGAAGAGGCTCGATTACATAATAACCTGGCGGCGAATAGGCAGTGTGTTACCAATTCGCAATGTCATCCAAGTTAAAGGATTTCTGGCTGTTCGCACATGGACAGAGTATTGCCATTGCCAATTACACTGGCGTTCAGAGAAATAGGTAAGTCGAAGAACACCCTCAGCATTATTACTAAATTATAATTAATATCATATGTAGCTACACTGGGATTGGATTGTTGGGTGTACACCGTGACGACCTAGTCGATTTCGTGACCATGAATGGCACCTCTGCTTCATCATCTGCGCAGCCTTCGTCCTCACCCCCAGTTCAAGTCATACACTGCACACAGGAGGTTCGCAACACCTTACAAGCCTTAACGAAGAAACGGAAGAAGAAACCAGCGCTAAATTCGTACACACGGACCTCCACGCAGTCGGCCCAGCAAAGACAACATACCAACTACTATGTTCACAATGGCTCTATCAGCTACAAACGCTCCTACATCAAACCTCCCGAGAATGCACAATCATCCCGTGCGCGGGAACCTTCACCAAATGTCATGCCGGATCCTTTCGACGATTATGGTACATCAGATATCGATGTTGCACCTTCGTCAGATGACGTCCAACCTTACAAAAACCACGTACTGCAGGGGTAAGTGTAATGGTCAGATTGCCCTTTCAAACCACTCACGCAATCCAGGATCATCCATTACTCATGTGGTTAGATCATCGTTCTCTGTTCCTCGAGGAAATGTTGCGCCTTGAGGGCAGAGGGGGGCTCCGCGAAGCGCCTTGTTCTAGTTGTGGCAATGCTTGCCCTCAGTATCGATGCCAAGATTGCTTCGGAGTAGATCTCTGCTGTTCATCTTGCATCACGGTGGCTCATCAACGTCATCCGTTGCACAGGTTGCAGGTCAGTATGGTATTTCTATTTATATATAAGGTCTGACTGATCTACACAGAAATGGAACAGCAACTATTTCGAACGTGTGACCCTCAAGAGCCTCGGCCTCCGTATTCAATTGGGTCACGCGCTCAACGAGAAGTGCCCAAACCCCCGACGAGCTTTCAACGACGACTTCGTTGTCATCGATTCCTATGGCATCCACGAGGTGTTAGTAGATTTCTGTGCCTGTGCGAAGGGAGATTCTCATATACAGCAATTACTCCGTATGTCGTGGTTTCCTTCAACGACGGCCGACCCCAAAACCGCAGCAACCTTTCGCGTTCTGGATGAATTCCACTTGCTGTCTTTCGAGTCGAAGGTGTCCGCTTACGAATTTTATAGTGCTCTTATGTGGGGCACTGATAACACTGGCTTGACGCGCGTTAAGGTTCGTCATTGATTATTAGTACACGCACAGACTTATTTGGTTCTCAGGACCGATATGAATCTTTTATGAGAATGATCCACGAATGGCGGCATCTGCTGATGCTTAAACGTTTTGGGAGAGGGCATGACCCGAAAGGGGTGAAAGCCACGGGAGAGGGTGAGTGTGCGGTCTTGTGCCCAGCATGCCCGCACCCGGGTAAAAATTTGCCCGAGGACTGGGAGAATGTTCCCCTTGCAAAACGGTGAGCTAGAAGTACTGTCATTGGTCATTCACTAAACATTTGATTAGTTGGATATACGCGTTATTCATCGCTATCGATGCAAACTTTCGTCTCAAACGCAAAGTGGTGTCAACTAATACCGTGGACCCGGGATTAAGTCGCGGATGGGCGTACTTTGTAGAGGAGGATACATACAAGCAATTTCTCGAAGATAAAATGGACGTCCCCCAAGAGGTGAGGCCTTTCCTTTGCTATGCTGTTCCCTCGTTGATTCGTTTTAGAAATCTACGTGCTCCAGCCACAACGCGGTAAATATGGCTGATGCGAAGACTAATAGGGGGCTAGCTGCTACCGGGCTTGGCACGATCGACTGTGCCCGTCACAACATGAAGCGTCCGAATGCCGTTGGAGATTTGCAAAAGGGAGAGAAGTGAGTCTGCTCAATTGCTGACATTTGTATGCGCTGATAGGTGCTCGCCAATAGATACGTCAATATGGACTACCTCTTTTTTTCAACGCTCCGTCACAGCTCCTTACAAAATCTCAACATTTCGTACGACATTGCCTGTCAATGGCACAAGAAGCTCTGGCAACGTATGAAGGGGTTTCCGCTTTCAATGCACTTCAATTTCGTATCGAGGGCCGTCTCCTTCTTCGTCCCGAAATTCCATCTCCCTGCCCACATTGAGAAATGTCAAACGACATTCTCATTCAATTTCAAGCGTGGCGTTGGTCGAACCGATGGCGAAGCTCCGGAGCGCGGGTGGGCTAACATTAATCCCGTCGCATCCAGTACGAAGGAGATGGGGCCCGGCGCAAGGCGTGATACATTGGACGATTTCTTTGGCGATTCGAACTGGAAGAAAATTGTGGGCCTTGGTGCGTATCTCTGTTGTATCGTGATGCTAGTCTCATCTGCCTCACTAGGTACTACAATGCTACATAAAATGAAGGAGGCCTTACCTGAGCGCGCGAATCAGCAAGCTGCACTAAACAACTTGGAAGAAGGATTAAAGGATGAGTACGGGGATATTCTGAATCAATGGAGGTTGCAAGTAGAGGCATGGGAGGATGACCAGTCTCAGCCAAACCCTTTTGAGCGAAATGCAGATGGTTCGTTCACTTATTGGTCGAAGTGACGCCAAGTGCCTGATTTGTTATAATCACAGTCGTTACGCTGGCTTCGGTCCGGCTAGCACTCGCAAAGGAAGAAGAATCAGATCTTCAGAGTGGAGCGTCCCTCGCATTGCACGAGGACTGTTCTCTGAGTGTGTTGATTAGCTCAGGGCTGGAGCTTGAAGAACAACAGTGCGTTTTCTCTCATCCTTGCGTATGATGCCACTAAGCCTCTCCCAGGCGACGTTTGAGAGTCGACAAGAGCGGGTGTGGTATACACGTCACTGATAATCAACAAGGGAAGTTGCTTGAGCGGAGTAACACTTTGCAACGACGGATTGATGCCTGGTCAAAAATTCAAGAATTGTATATGCCCAACGTCGTTGCTATGCGTCTAGTGTTGCCGTGGGTCCGGCTTCTGTCCGGCTTTAGCTGTGGGCGGAGCTGTAATTAGCCAAGCTGTGTGATTAGTTATGGCTTACATAATTCATGGCCTGGCCCAGTTAATAAAGTGTGCTTACTGTCTCCGAGCCGGCTTCAAGCCAGCTGATTTAAAATTAGAATTTTATATTTTTATATTTTTAATTTTATGATTACACATTGATCAAAAATAGATTACATTTACAATTATCGAAGATCTAACTACTACCAACGCACGATCGATAATCACACGGGCGCTAATGGCCCCCCAAGACCAAGTATGTCATTATTTCGTTAATGTTTGATGAAAAACTCAACTAAAGCAGGAACTGTGCTGCGTTTCTCCCCCACGGCAGCTACACAAGCCATCCGTGACGAAGAAACGCTGCAAATTAAAGCAGCGAGGAGGTGAAAGAGGACGAGAGGGTTGGAGAACGAGGTGGCGGGGTTGGATGGTGAGGGTGTTTGGTCGCGAACGGCGGGAGTCGGCGGCGTTGGGTGGAGGCGTTTGAGAGATCGCGAAGGGCGTCGAAGGGTATGGGGGATAGGGGGATAGTTGCGGGTGGTAATGAAAGAAGCGGGTTCATCAGTTACATGTTCTACCTCGATCGTCGGTTGCACGCACCTTTAGCCGCTATGATACTCGTGCACACGAACACACACACATGCCGCCCGTCCTCCGGTCCTATAAGCCAATACCGCACCTGGGTTGTATATCACGTCAGCGCTAGAACACGAGTACGAATAAGCAAGTACGTACCCGCCCTAGAGTAGGTTAGCATATGCACCTCCGCTATACAAGTCCTCTGGGTATACATTCCACGACGGCGATGAGCTCGGAAGGTGCGCTAGGGATGTGTGGATGATGGGTACAGTAGGTGGTCGCGGGGAAGATGCTGCATATCCCTCCTTGTGGAACTGATTGGGAGGAGCCCATGAGCCAATACTGTGGTTCGACTCCTTGTCCCAGAGCTCGTTCTCCTGTAAACCAGATCAGTAATATATTTACAAAGGGACCTAAAACCACGCACGTAATCATTCCATGACTTGAGAGGAATCGCGCGAGGATCGAACTTGCCTTCGTCCTAAAGAAACTTCATCAGTATCAATCAAAATAACGGGGACCACAAAACACCTACATGAACGATCATCTTCTTGCCAGATTCACCCAACACGACACGGGTGGCACCCCAGGAGAAGTCATCCATACGCCAGAACGAATAGAGCGGGAGCATGAGAGAGAAGATCAGGATGGCCAGTAGTAAGGTATCGATCTTCTCCGAGGTGCAGCAAGTTCTTCATGTGCAGGGTATCGACGCGGTTCTGCAAATAGTCCTGGATCATCTGGTTGGATATCAAAAGGGGCTTGTGGGTATTGGCAGTCCGCAAACGATATAGGGTGAAACAACCAGGTAAACAGGTAACAGATCCGAACAGACTCTCGAAAGCCTTGGCCATGTGATGCGAGATGAAATATTCGTAGACCTAGACATCCATTAGAATTTCCGACAACTTTATAGGTCTAAAGACTTGCCTGCATCATTGTGATAATCGACTGCTTCGCGTTCGCTAGTTCAGTCTCACCGCAAACCCCAAGCACCTTCTTGTCATGAATGCACCTACAGAAAAACAAACATCAACCTGGAATTCCCGGAATAACGAACATTGACTTACGCAGAGATCAACCGGTGGACAGAATAAGGCTCCACTGTTGTATCAGCATCGACCGTAAACAAATACTCGAAGAACGTCAGGGTTGACACCAATCACATTCTTGATCTGGTGGTACATCTCCAGTTCGAGCGGGTTCATGGGCGTACTGAAGTGAACCTGCACATCAAGGTTAAACGACAACCCCACAATTCCACGAAAAAGATGCTTACCTTGTTCAAGAAATGCATGATCACCATCTGATAATCACGCTTGCCACGGTTACCCGGCCGTGAACGTTCAGAAATAGCCAGAGTTGGCCATGGTACTGATCTCTGCAGGCGTGTAACCCATGTATCCGACGCGGTTGCTCCATCGCATAATGGTCATACTCTCAAAGTACCAATCTGGACGGGAATCATTGGTGAAAGCGCGGAAGTCGTGATACGAAGCATTGGGATCGGTGTCGTTGGCAGAGCTGAGAGTCACATAAGGGCTGACGGAGCCACTCACGCCATTACACAACGCAGAGACCTAAAAGCAGGTAAGAAAGAACCAAACTGTCCATATGAATCCCACTAACCTGAACGGGGAAGATCTTGTCTGATGAAGTACCGCCATACGTCTGAAGGATTGTCTTGACAGGCACGATGCTAACAACGCGCTGATGAGTCGCCGCAACGGTCGTAAGATCAAACACCTCTCCCCGAACCGACGTATACACATTGTTCGGCGAAGCGGTATACGAATGTGACGCCAATTCCGAGGTGCTGAAAACATGCTCCGTGGGACAGATCACCAAGCCCAGGAAGACGATGACGAAGAAGGAACGACGTGCCGGCAGAGACAGGAAGGTGGTAAGAGAAGGCGACAATGTTAGTCAACGGTCCAGGGGGGGCAGAGGTTTGTATGGCGGCAGAGGCAGGAAGGTGGTAGGAGAAGGCGGCAATGTTAGTCAACGGTCCAGGGGGGGCAGCCTGATAGAAACGAGCTCTGAGAGGACCAAAACCACCTAAATACACGGTCAGTGGCATCTGAGTTCGTGTCTTTGGGTCTTCATAGAAGAAGTGCGACACGGTCATTTCGAGTATATTGTTCATCGGTCAGTAAACTGGCGCCGAGAAAGGGCGATCCTCGAGCTCAACATATGTCAAGGATCTTACCCAGTAGTGGACTGAAGAATATCCGGATTGCCTAGACGAGGAGACTGTCAGATAACAACTGAAATTCAATATGCAAACACAATGCAAGAAGAATCATAAGGTGCGTGAGGGTAAACAAAACGTGAAAAACAAAAATGAAAGATCAAGGACATGTCAGATATCATAAATGACAACCTCGTCGTCGATGTCATCGCACTCTTGCTCTGCGATGGCTTTGAGGACAGCGTCATATGCGCTGCTGTCATCTGTAGGTCCACTTGAAACAGGCCCCAAAAGCTCATCGAAGCTATTGTCAGATACCACCCCAGTTTCCATGGCCCATTGCGATGCCGCCCAACCTTTGGTGAAGTTAAGTCGCTCCTTTTTTAAGGAGAACTTGACCATCTGTAGAGCTTCCATGAGGATCGGGCTGATACAGTTACGCCTCTTTGTGTACGTTTCGCTGCTCGACGAGAACACTCGCTCACAGGGAACAGCAGATGCCTGGACTGGGAGGTAGTCCATAGCAACGGCATAAACCGTTGGGAACATCCCCTCAGACATCTGGTCAAAATCTCGTGGTCAACAACAAAATACGTCACTTGATGGAGACGACTCTCACCTGCCAGAAGGAGAGTATATTTGTTCCCCTGGGGCTGATGTTAGCTGTGGTATAAGCCGCAAACTCCTGATCGATTGTCTGGACGATATCGTCGCCAACTGGCGGTGCATCCCCCTCACGAAGTCCGTAGACACGGGAGCCTAGCGTGCGTGATTGTAGTTTTGGGGGTGGTTGGATTGGAGCCGGTGTATTGGAGGTCCGCTGTGCTCTTTTGATATGCATCTAAAGGACATATGAGCGCATGCTGTTGCTAGCTAGATAGAGATAGACGTACTAGTTTGAAAATGAATTCCTTTGCTGACTTTACCCGGTCCTCATCCCAATGATCCGTAGCCCATGACATTCGGCAGGTTGGATCGACAACTATAAACCGATCATAAGACATCAAATTTTATAAAAATGTGAGGGACTCACACATCGCAACGGCATATGCATTTGTGCAGGACATCCTGTCGTCATACTTCTCCGCCCAAGTCAAACCAATGTTGATGAGCGGTGCACAGTGCGGGGCGCTATTGGCCACCTGCTTCCAATCCTCAAGTAACCTTTCAAACGCTGGAACCGCACGACCCAACATGGGAGTGCTCTCGCTCGACATGGATTGCTGAGCTCTGTGGGGGGGCTGAAATTACAAGGTTAAATACAACATAGGTTACGAAGATGTCGATACTGACCTCCAGAATGACTTCGAAGTCCTGTAGGAAATGCCATTCTATTGGGCTCAACTTTTTGTCGTATATAGAACGTTGGTTGGGAGACTCGAAGAACATATCAACCGCCTGAGCAATGGTTAGCCCACGACAAATATTCAGTGAGATGAGACCTCACCTGACGTAGATTGCGTAGACGATTGAGCATGACATAAACTGAATCCCAGCGGGTTGGCTCATCGAGCAAAAGCTCGACTGTAGGGAGCTTTATAGGCTCGCCTGTATCTCCCCGGAACCAATCCTTTTCATTACCTATCACGATGGTATCCCTAAAATTCGAACGTCGTTGGTTTGATGCACGGATGGAGCGAACAAGATTTCTGGCCCGTTCGAGAGCTTTACCGGTGATGGCGCCGACATACTCATTCTTGACGACGATTTGACCACACACATTCCAGGTATTCTCCACGGATGAGAAATCCGCTGTCGCATAGTCGTCAACAATATGTTTTACACATATGTTGATCACGTGCGGAAAGCAAGGAATTCGGTTTTCGATTGGATCATATGTGATCTCGCGTTCTTCGAGTAGGTTTGAAAGTTCCTTCATGCATGTTTGATTATTCGCCGCGTTGTCCAAAGTAAAGTGTCCAGGCTAAACGAAGTCAGAGCACATCATACGGTACAGCTGAACACTCACATCCTTTGCAACGTCAGCGCGATCGAGGAGATTCAGTATTACTGAACCGAGAGATTTGCCGGTATGACTTCCTGGAACGTGATGAAATGCGATTAATGCTGCCTTCAGGACGAGCACCGACGTCTGCTCTTCCTTGGCAATCCAATGAGCCGTGAGAGCCAAGAAGGGGCGGAGCTTCTGATCAGACCAGAGGTCAGATGTAAAGGATATTTTTCCTTGCGCCCTCTGTAAGAATACATAAGACGTATGGCGGGATTCTCGATAACTAGACACTCACGGCAAGATCACCTTTCAACACCTGGAAATATTCTTGCCACGCTACAATTATGAGCTCACGAAGTTTTGTGCGGTGGAGAATGTCTGAATCGGTCAAATCCTCCCGCAAAAAACGTATCAGGCGTCGAAATTCTAGACATTCTATAACGTTCATCGCCTGCAGAAATTGAATTAGCAAGGGCACGTAGAAAGTAAATATCAACTTGCTTGATCATCCGCAACGATGAATTTCACCAATTGACGGTGCATCTCGTCAATGCTGAAATCGGGGATAAAATCGTCTGGAGATAAGGTGGTTCCAGGTGGAAAATTGCCGTGTCCCTGATTAGGGATGGTACCGAGCGACTCAATGTGATACGCAGGGTCCCGGAGCCTCTCACGGATAGCTGCCAAAGTCCATCCTTCAGCGAGTCGGTCATTGAGTGGTTGTATGAAGATAGGCCAGCGTAGGCGCTCCGCCTCTTGCAGGAAAACGTCAGAGTGGTGGTAGAAAGCGTGAGTACGACGGGCAGAAGTGCTGGTTGAGTGCTTATACGACATAACCAGGTGTGAAGGGTCCTCCACCCGCAAACCCCTGGACAAGGCCGTTAGAAAGAACGAAATAATTGCAGACGCAAAACTCACTCGCAGATTCGGCAGATCCTGCGTTTAGTAGCTGGATCTTCCCTAAAGAAGAAATTGACATCAGCACTGGTTTTTGGCTGCGCTCCTCGGACACCCGTAGCCAAGGGATCAACTTGGGTGGAGTAGATAGTACTGGTAAGTGTCTGCAGAGGGCTGGGAACTGGAGGAGCCCTAACGTTGGGTGCAGGCAAGTCATCTTCTTCATCCCCAGAGACATTGGGGATGTCAATGTATTCTCCATCATCTGGCGTGCGACCAGTGCCAGCACGAACTGGGCTATTATTGCGGAACCTCAAAGGCAGTTGACGTTGCCTTTGGGGGTGTTGAAGCATAGTTACGTTCAACGCAACAGCGGCAGCGATGGGCGCAACATTGGCAGCGATGGGGGGCGTAACATTGGCAGCGATGGGGGGCGCAACATTGGCAGCGATGGGCACGATAGTGGCAGCGATGGGGGTAACGATGGGGGTAGCGTCAATGGGAGCAGCGGCAGTATGAGTAGGCACATTGGTAACTCGAGACTTCTGCCCTCGTCGACGAGGAGGCATGTTTGAGTGAGAGTAAAGATTCAAAGACACAGTCTTTATGTATCTTCGTCAAGGGAAACAGCGGGGAAATGCCAGTGCCGAGTCAACCAATGACAAGTCCAACGTGTACGCACAAGGGAAGGTCTGGACAACATTATTAATTGTGATGACACCAGGGGACAACTGAACGTATGGCCAGCGTACGTACTGGAAGATCTTGTTCATTCAAGTGGTCCTGGGCAGCACAATATATGTGTGGGGTTTCCCCAATGCCCACTACCTTGCCCAATGAGAGGGATACTGATACCATAAGATGTGCGTTCAGATGTACCCTAGATCTTGCAATCAGTTGGTTATATCGAGCACAGTAAGGCTTACCTACATCCTCAGAGTCAATCGGCTGTCCAGAAGCCAGATTGCAATATAGATATAGAAAGGGCATCCAGCGAAAGGGACATCTCATGTTTGCAAATGGTTTGCGATGGTTGTCAGGGACCCAGGGTGCATGGTTTGACGATCACTGAACACGTGTTTCAAATATCAACCACTGGGTCAAGGTCGAGCAAGTTAATGCTTACCTTCATTCCAGGAGTCGATGGCTGATTGATTGTGCATTTAATTGCGATGTGGAAAGGCATTGGGGTGTTAGTGGAAAATCCCCCCTGCGTCATCCAGAAGGTTGGTCATGATGGTGATATGATTCAATAAGGCGAGGCTGGTGGATGTTGGGACTCAGGCTTCAGGAGTAAGGTACAGGTATCCAGGACAAGTTTGTTTCTGTAGCAGGCCGACCGATTTGCAGAAAAACAGCACTTGCAAGTTGCAAGGACGATGGGCAAGGAGATGGTAGGGTGAGAAAAAGATAAGAAGCTGCGTGACTCAGCGTGGAGTCGGCCCTCGGGGGTCAGGAATCAGGCCTAGCCGCAGTAGGATTCAAGAATCAAGATTTGAAACCTATGAGAAACACATTGTAGACTTGTACACTGTACAGTTATGTAGAAATAGAAAGACATATTCAACAGCGTGATCTAGCAACTAATGGTTTTTTCCGCAGTGCAGTTGGGTGCATGGGAGAGGCATTACGTTGGTGTAAACTTCGAAATTACATTAGCTTCAGATTGTGAATGGGAAAATGAGACAGAATACTCACACACGAGTAGATCTGCGAAGTGGTGTTGCATCCGGCAGACATGGGGCCGCCTCGACCATCCAGCGTTCATTGGAGATTGGAGGGTGATGTGTGGTGTGATTATCAGGCATGCTGAAATCCAGCGAGCATGTAGATGGCGCAGCCAAGGTGTCTTGAAGACCACAAAGCAATGAACGGAGATGCTCATAGTCGGGGTCTTCCGAGAACGCAAGAGAGCGCGTGTAGATGAGAACACTTGCAAATTCGACGGGAATTCCACTGCATAAGACTTCAATGGTGGTGTTGACCTTGCGCTCGAGTATGGAAGAGCTGGAGAGTTTCTCGTGGTCACTGATTAACCATGGAAGGGAGCCGCGTAACAGATAGATCAACATGTATGTAAGCGATTCAAGGTCGTCACGACGACCCAGGTCAACTCCTAAGTGGTTGTTGATTGAAGCGAAGGCAGGAGTGCCGGTGAGACGTTGATTCTGACGAAAGGGAATATGGACTCTGGTTGCAGTGTCCCAGTATTCCTTCGCGATACCGAAATCGATTATAAATGCAGTGTGCTTCAAATGTCCAAGGCCCATCAAGACATTCTGCGGTTTGATATCGCAGTGAACATAATTGTTTGAGTGGATGTACTCAAGATGTGAGAGCTGGAAAACGGGTTAGCCTATCTGCAACAACCCAGCACGAACCGACTGACCAGTTGGATTCCTAGATTGACAACAGTATGAAGGCTAAATTTTCGATCATGTGCGAGGAAAAGATCATGCAGTGATGGCCCAAGGAGGCCGAGAACCAAAGCATGATATGTTGATTCTCGACCGAACCAGAGAGCGCGGGGTATCCCAACTCCACCTTCAAGTCGTTTCAGAATGGCGTATTCGCGTTGTACAGAAGATGGCTGGGCTGTGATGGATTCGAGTTTTACGGCAACTGCATCATCTTTGATGATATTCCGAGCGTGGTACACAACAGCTAAGTAGGGTCCATAGTATGTTAATTTTTATAATTATAGTCAGCTTGTGAACAACACACCGTATGAACCAGATCCCAAAACATCTCCGAGTCTGAATCTACCGTCAACTCGTATCGGGACCTTATGGTTCATGGTGGGTATACTATGAGATAATTTGAGCCTTGAGGCCTCGAGGAGCAACAGTCGAACTAACTGGGTATGAGACTTCGACAAAGACGTGATTTCGTATTTATAAATCAGCTTGAGCTGGCCTCAAGCCAGCTCGAGCCGCTGTTGATTATTTTTGGCTCACAGTTGGTTCGTGGGACTCCAAACGGCTAATGAACCAGACCAAACTATATATAAGTAGCTTGGCTCACTAGGATAGCCAAAATACTTGCAAACCGATGAACGCCAAGCCGGAGCGGGCCGTAGCCGAGCTGCGGTTGTACTAGTCACAAGCACGAGCACCGTGTATCTCATAGTAAGTCTGTTCATATGTTTCAATGGCAATACTAACTTCAACCTGGTACTATAGACTGTCCAGCGTGTTGCTGACTCCTATCGAAGCTTCATCGGCTCAGCAGCCATTGCAATTGTCATTGCATACCTCGAGTCCCAGGACACACTCAAGCACTCCGATGATAATCGTGTCCAATTCGCTACTTACGCGCTGGACAAGCTTCGCTTCTTGTACAAGAAGGCAAACGGTGATGATAAATCTGTACGTGCTTCTCACTATCTCTATTCATTGCCTCTGTTATTGTCGCTGTGCCACTAGTACTAACATGCAATACAGAAGTTCCGCGGCCTTTATCAAGGTGCCTTCGTGGTGCAAACATTTGGCGCCCACTTCACTGCTATCAACGGCGCTCGCAAGATACATGGACTACTAGACAAGCCGGAAGAAGACTTGAATCCTGCTGGGGGTCTAGCACTGTCATGTGCTGTGGTAATATATTTTTATTTTATTTTCTAATCACACCTCGCTGATCACTCATTGCTACTACTAGGTTGAACGAGCATTGACGCTTATCGCTACTCGTACCATAACCATCGAAATGGTTCTCGCTGCCAAGGGCAAATCTATACCCTTGCCGAAGACACTCAATCACTCAACCGGCAAAGTCTCCAATCGCCAAACGGGCTTCAATGACGTCACCTGGGGTTCTTCCACGCGCTCATATGTGAAGTCGATCGTGAAAAGCCTCCGAGAGGAGAAGTTCCAAGCCATCATCACTTCTGCGAAGGAATTTTCCAAGAAGAGCCATCGTTCTGGCAATGATAGAGCCGTCGATGACGCTGTGGATGATGAAGACTTTGACGAACGCGCCCAGCTCGTGGACATCTCGGAGTCCGAGTCTGGGTCCGAAGACTCGGATGGCTCTGACGTGGAGTAGTAACATTTGTTCTTGTCATTCTGCCGGTGGTTTGCTTGCCAGCGCTGTATTCACTTACTGACCTGATTCAACTCTGGCAGTTCTTATGATCACACTTATTTCCTTCGCTTGGCCGTCTTCATTCGCATTTTGTCTTAGTCACCACTTGAATTGATGCTTTTCCTGACCGCTTTGTCTTGATCATGATCTTAATGGTATACATCCGACTTGAACAGTTTTGTGAGTGCTTGAATTGTTCACTTACCTATCAACTGTGTAGAACTTGGGAGTCTTAACTTGAAAGATATGCTTGGATGTTTTTTGCATGGTATGAATACACATGATTCTCACCGCTTTATTGTCTGAATTCTACACTTACCGTTGATTTTGTAACCTTGGGAGCCTTAAAGACAAAATATAAATATATACTTGGACCTATGTGGCTGCTTAGAGCTGAATCCCTCTACTTCTGGTCTGCTTATTTTGATTTAGCTTACAATGTGTCTTTGAGAGAATCTGACATGATGAGTCACACTTGATGTCATTGCTTAACTGTGTACTTATGTCAAGCGCTGATAAGTGTAACAATAAGTCATATTCATCGGAAGACCCTACTTGTTTTAAGCAATGACGTACTTAGCAGAATTCTACTGAATCTTACTTAGAATCACCTTCAAGTCACCATAAGTGTTGTTAAGAAAAATTCCCTTTTTCCTGATGCCCTGGTCTGCGTAGGTCAAGTTAAGGAATACATGCGATAGATAGAGGGTTTAAATAGGGTAAGCGATGAATGTTCAAGTGGAGCTTGTAAATGAAGAGCCAATCAGAAAAGAGAAAGAGAATCGTACGATAGAATATGATAGAAGGTGATGGAAATGAATAGAATATAGGAGAAAAGAGTAGAACCGTAACAGTGGATATCTGTGAAGCATTAGGTGTCAGTGATAGTGCTGCCGAAGTCCGGTTCGGTCAGGTTCATCACCCTATATCTGCGAACCCCGAACTCGACCAGTGGTCAGGTTCAGGCAAGATGGCCGAACCCTGGACCGGACGCCTTCGAACGCGTTCACAAGGGTTCAGTTCAGGTTCAGAACGTGTTCAAACCCTCGAACCATTGATTTAATTAGCAAAAAAAATCAAAATGAAAATGACATGTACAATACGAATAGCTACTAGAACTCTTCATTGACGTCGACGCGGTTATCATAAGGAGTGGCGAATTCAGCCTGGGCTGTTGCGGAGATATGACCTTGGTGGTATGCGCTCTTGAGCAATTGAAGAGCCTCGAATGTTGTCGGCTTCAAACAGCTGCGACGCACGGTCCCAGTAATGCCGCCGCTCGAAAATGCTCTCTCAGATGCAACAGCTGATCCCTGAATGGCGAGGTAGTCCTTTGTGATGCGGGAAATAGTCGGGTATTGTATAGAATGGTGCTTTAAAGTTTTTTTGAATCATGTTAGTACGAAAGCAATACAAATAAAATAACAAGATGTACACCCCACCAGGCCACCACATTGTTGACGTCCTCGAGCGGTGCATCTAGATAGTCCTCGAGTTCTTGACGAGGCCTTCGTGTGGTTGCGTCATTCATGACACGCGATTTGACAGAGCTTCGCATCCAATTATGGCCATACGAGCCTTGGCGAGCAAGCGAGGGAGGCGCAGTAACAGACGGCTCTGCAGGAGCCTGCGAGGGAGTACTACTGTGATGATACATATCAAACTATGTAAGATTAGTATACAATTGACAGAAATGAGTGATGAGTGACGTACCGTGCTCTCGAGGCATTGCATGCCTTTTTTGAAAGAATGAGTGGTCCATTTGTCTTTCGCGTACGCGACCTTGTAGTTGGGGTCCAGCGCTACACCAACAAGGTCAATGACATTCAAAGGCATTAGAATAGATACGAGAGACATACCAAGACAAATGAAATATACATCTGTGTCGTCAGTCTTACTATACCACTTGCAGAGATTAGTGACACCAGCTTCGATGGCCATTGAGAAACGGGCAAATTTTGATGTGTTCGCCATGTTTTGCAAAGTGTCTTGAAGACATTCGAGCACTGGAATGGTTCTCCATACGGTTGGTTCACGTGTGGCAGAGAAGCTCTGTTGAGCATCTGCTGGCTCCTTGGTGTGCGGTGTGCAGCACATAAGCATAATTGCGGAAGGTAGAGAGAAATGACTTACCTGGAGGACTTCACGGATCAACTCCAACTCTGCCCACTCGTGCGCTGAAAGCCTGAAATCCGCATATGATTTTCCCTTCAGATTTGGGACCTCGTCGCTGTCATCAGCGAGCTGGATGAATCTGTTTACTCCCTAATAATCAAGTCAGTAATGTGTTCATGTAGTCGGTAGTAGACAACTTACTTTGCGCAATTTAAAAAAAACGCTCCAACATATTAAAAAGAGACGTCCAATGTGTGCGGACCCATTTCAAAAGCTCCAATGGGGGCTCATTCACCTCCTTGCAGCACTTTTGAAGGAAGACGCGAGCTTGAGGAGACTTCCGGACCTAAACAAAGGTCTCATGTCAGTACTATACAATAGCAGATAGATCATTAAAGAACTTGCCTGCGCTACAAATGCAAGCGCCTTGCCAATAGTGTCACCAACGTCAAATTCAACACTTTCCTCGCCGTCCTCGTCCTCGTCTTCAGCTTGAGCTGCCTTCTTGTGCAAGACGCTTGCCGGTGTAGGAGCCACTTCTTCAACGAAGTGTTTTGCAGCTAAGTGGAGTGCGTGCTCCATACAACTGAATATTCATCAGTAATCTCAAATTCAGTACTTAATGAACGAACTTACCGTACTCGATGCTCAATTGGTTTCCACTCCACTCCGTAAGGGTCAATAGAGGTCGCAACCATCTCAACGGCAGTATCGTTGTTTGATGCGTTATCAGCCGTGAACCACCCAAGCTTCGTGCGGATGTCGTATTTGTTGATGTTCTCGATCAAAATCTTCCCGATGTTCGCACCGCTGTGATTGCCGTGAATGGGTGCGAACGCGAGCTGCTCCACCCTAAGTTCCCACTCATGAGGGTTTTCAGCTGGGGAATCTATGTAATGCGCTGTAATTGACAGAAAAGGGTGACCAGGAAAAGACGTCCAAGAGTCGAACGTCATGGAAATTTTGCTATCGACACGGCTGAGCTTCTCTTTCACGCGCTCGACTGCCAGCTTTGCACGTTCGAGTATTTCGTCCCGAGTTTTGGTACGGTGGGGAATGTCTCGGTCTGAAAGTGATGGCCGGAGATATTGAAGTAGGCGGCGGAAGGGTCCTTTATCTACAAGTTGAAAGGCCTATAATGTTGTATAAGTGTTTTAAAATATATCAAAAATGAGAGTCGCTCACCTCATCTTCGGCAACAATGAGTTCGACAATGTAATCCATGAGTCCAGCCTTTGTGAATGCAGGAATCTTGGGAGTAAGTGAGGCGTCCAAGGTAGGCTGTGGCACGTCCGCTTTGCAGTTACGAGGGATTGCACGATCGTGCATCGTGAGACCCCGTTGTTCACAGCGGTCCTTGTAGATAGGGTAATGGCACTTGGGATTCCGTGCAATGTGCGTGCGTCGAGTCGAAATACCCCCCTTAAAAAAGCACTGGTGAAGCGGAACATTGTTAGCCTTGCATCCCTCACACCACCACCCATTTTCGCGCTCCTGGGTGTGGGGGTTAACACGATCTTTCTCGAAAGTAAAGATCGTGGTCAAATCAGCGCTGCGTTCGACCTTCTTGAGGGATTTACGGTCTTCACGATCCTGGTCACCAAGCTTCTTCGTCTTTTGGTAAGCTTCCTCGTTCTCGTTCTCATCGTCTTCCTCATCATCTGTAAAATCCTCAAGTGGAGGGGCTTCTTCTTCGGTGTCATATTCGTCACTGTCGTTGTCGTCACGCTCTTCGTTTCTGGTGCGCATGAGTGCTCTCTTGGGTGCGGGGGCAGGAGGTCCTACAGCTGACCGTTTGGCCGGGATACTGCTGGCAGTCTCCCGGATCTTCTCTGTAGGCTTGACAGCGCGGCCTGAACGACGGATAAATGAATTGAGTGTGCCTTTGGATGGAGGAGGGGGAGGGAGGATGGTAGTGTCATCATCCGGGTCATGTATCCACTCCATCTCTTCAGCGCTTTTCAACGAACCGTCAGGACAACGGGCTGGTGCAGACGACTCGAACATAGTTGCAGCAGGGAGTGTGAATGTCGAACCTATACCACAAGTGAATATATATATCTCAAACTAAATAAAAAAATGTTGCGCACCTTCAAGTTCCAAAATGACAATCCATTGCGCAAACTTGGTGGAAAACCCAGGAATCACCACAGTAGTAGGTATATTCTGAATGAAAAAACATTAGAAGTCAGCAACTTATCAAACATGAGAGACGGTGAACATAGTACCGGTGCTTCGAGTCGTTGCATAGCTGAAAAAAGCACCCTTGTTGCTTGCGCAATGTGGGGAACGCTACTGTCAAAAGAAGAGAAGGAACAGAAGTTGGTGAGCGCACTACTTAAACTGACAGGAAGCCTCACGAAAAACACGCAGCTGGAATTGTGCGCGTGGTGCAGGTTCGGACCGGTCCGGACGCGTCCGAACCGGTCCGCATTTTTCAGTGACGACATCGAACCCCGAACCTGTTAGGGGGTTCGGTCCAGGAGAGAGACCAAACCTGTGACCAAACCACTGGTCCAGTCTGGATGGGTTCGGGTTCGAACCACGGTTTGGGACCGGACTGCGGCAGCACTAGTCAGTGAGAGGAGTGGTCTTGGTGGTATTCTAATTGTGGGCTTCTTCGGGGCAGACTTCTTTCCTTTCGCCATAGCAAATTGTATATATAACACGTATAGCGAAAGTATACGTAGTAGGGATGGCTAACAGTGTCTGAAAAACCTGGACAAGTCACAAAGCTTTCCCCAGCATCCAGGACTAAAGTTGCCGGGGTGCGGTTCAAGACCGGTTCGAGGTATGACAGCCCGAACCCGAACACGAACCTGTTCATGATATCTCAAGGCCATCGAACACGAACATTAGCCAACGGTTCGGTCAAGAACCGGTCCTATATGGTGCTGTTCAGGTGCGAACCGGTTCGAACTTTTTCTACTACCAAAATTGAAAAAAATAGGTATTAGAGCTATTTCGCACCCAACTGCACTTCGTCGACAGCGTCGTCGAGCCAACGTTGTCTCCGCGCAGTGTCCTTGGCTTCCATAGCTGCCCTCGATAGTTGTCCAGGTACTACTACCTTTGCAATGAAACCTCGAACCTTCAGTAGAAGTCCTGAAACTACTTTTACCTGCTCTGAACCAGCAGGTAGGTTTGCACATGCAGTGTCAGCCTCTCGGATAAGAGCCTCAATTCCATCTTCCGTGTCTTCATCGTCAGCACTGGCATCAATCTCACCCATGGATATGTCATCTGAAGGAGGTGGGATCACAGGGACGTCTTCATCCATTCCTGCTGAATTCTTTTTCTTGATGCTGGGAGATAGCTTGGTCAAAAATGCGCCCTCAGCAAGGGCCACAGCATGCGAGAAGCAGCTATCACCAACATTTAGTCTTGTAAAAACAATTATAAGATTTCGATGGTACAAACTGCGAACGCTGCGCTGTTGCATTAAAGTCATGTGACTCATCCCTTAATTTCTTGCCCAAGACACGCAAACTTTTGTCGTTGACAGAAACATTGTCAGCTGTGATGTTCTGTACCTAATATACACCATGACACAGATTAGCAACACACAGCACAGTATAAAAATTGAATCAACCTTATCAGAGATGCCGAACTTATCCAAAACATCGTATAATTCCTCGCCGAGATTCTCGCCAGTATGACTACCTGAAACCTCTGAAAAAGATAGTAATTCGGAACGCAGCTGCCATTCTCTTGTCATCCAATGCCCTGTTACAGCGAGATATGATGTCATTATCTTTGACGTCCACCCATCGAAAGTAAGTGAAACACAGCCAGGAGATTCCTGGAGTTCCTTAGCAAGATCCTTTTGAATTTCATCGGCACGTTCGAGAACACAGGTGGTGATTTTTGTCCGATGTGGGATATCCGTGTCTTTGGTTTTGTTCCGGCTGTTGTAAGCGAGAAGTTCACGAAACGACTTATGGTCAACAATTGATAGTGCCTAGGCAGATATTTTCAATGCTGATAGGTGGATTATGTATTTATTCACGCACCTGATCAGTCTCTAGAACGAATCGAATAATATGCTCTTGTAGACCATCATTAGTATACTGAGGCGCCATCATAGGTTTCATAGTCTCCGTGAAGTTCAGAATGCTGTGTTGCCTATCAAACAAAGTTACATCAGACCCGACAATTCAAAATGAATTGTGTGTGATTTACGTATCGGTTGCCCTGCCTTCCAAGCGGTCCAATTCTTCTTGTGGAATACATCGTTCATCCATGTCAATGTTTTGCTGCACGCACTTCTCCCGGTATCGACGATAGTGAGACATGCCCATACGTTGAATGTGAGTACGCATAGCAGTGTTGTTGCCTTTGAAGATAGTTTGCAGTTTGCTGTGCTTTTTCGGATTGGCTTCACGAAGCTCGCTAGTCCAAGTCAAGTGAGTTTCCCACAAGTATGAAACATGGGTTCGGTACTCACACACAAGGCTCACAAAGATAACCTTGCGAAGGATCATCATCGTCGATGAGCTTGAAGATGGTCAGGATATCGGCAGCACCATCACCTCTTTTTCGTTTTTTCTTGACTGGCTCGTTCCGCTCGGATGCTGTGTCATCAGCGGTCTCATTTTCAACCGATGTGGATGACCCCGTGCGATGAATCCCGTTTTGCTTCACCCGTGCAATCGCCGGTGGCTTTGCGACAGTCGCAGCCTTCTTCGACTTTGTATTGGCACCAACCTGCCCTTTTGGGCGAGTTGACGTTGGATCGGAAATTACTGCAGGTGTGGAATTGTCAGCTTTTCGTTTTCGGGGATTTGTGAAGTCAGCAGGGGTTGAGGATATGATTTTGAATGGGGTTGGTGAGGGTGGTTTATTCCTCGCTGGTATTTTGAGAGTCAATGATGCAGGTTCACTAGTAGGAGAGTGAACCCATTCCATCTCTTCGGCATTTTTTAGGGATCCATCAGGATTGAGTGCTGGAGCTTCGAGTTGCAGAGGCATTTTGAAGTGTATCACACTGGCTGCATGCAGTTGAATAGTACTTTGTATTTTTGTTTGATTTTTGTTGAATTTTTGCCGGCTGCACGACCAAAACAGACATCAAGATTCCTCTTTCTCAAGGTGATTATTTACTAGTACATATGGTGCGGTTACGGTTCGAACAGGTTCCCTATGGTTCACATAAAATGCTCAGTGCCCGAACCACGAACCTCTCCCAGCGTGCATCAGTCGAACCTAACCGTAACCGCACTGCACCGATGGTGCGGTTCACGGTTTGGAACCGGTTCGGGCAGTTCAGAACCGCACCCCGGCAACTTTATCCAGGACGCGTCGTTCTATGTATTTCCTTTTTCGTCACCGCGGATGCCAAAATTTAAATTTTGTCACTGCCATTAGTTTCGCACACAGCTGTAATGCAGGCTAACTTTCATCGTGACATAGTCCATCAGCATTCAACCCACCTTGATGGGCTATATCTCCAAAGGCCTCGCCCTCTACGGAAAACAGCGGGTGTACGAGGCGATGGCAGCATTTGACCTTGCGTTCACGTTCACAGACGCAGACCCAAAAACGACTCATTTCCTTTTCTTGATTTAGGTAGGTAAATTTTCATTCATACCTTAAGCTTCATTACGGTTTTCTAGGCTATCGCGTTATTCAATGCAAATATCAATGAAGAGGCAGTGCTACCTGTCAAAGAGCTAGCTGCCCGTCACAGTGCTGATCCTCTCGCTTGTCGAGTCGTGGAAGTGAGTATTGTGCATTCCATCAAGCCCACGTTCGTGTGCTCACTAATTTCTCTCCGCTTCGCATGTCAGGCGTATCTGCAACTCCAGCTCGGAATTATTGCCATGAATGCCACCCATCACAGAGAAGCTGTTGGCCACTTCAGTGCCGCCGTCAACGCTGCCGCTTTCTTTTCTAAATTGGACATCCATTCTATGTACGAGGACTTTGTCGTGGTACGTTTATGTGATACGATCGAACATCTGTTCCATGCTCAACTACGTCTTTGTACAGCTTTTCGGCTGGGACCCCAAGTCCCTGTGGCAAACTGCAAACCAACAACGTTGTCATGCAATCGTTCGGGAAGGTAAAATTGGAGCAGCTCTCGAAGCGTGCCTTCACATGATGACCATGAGTGATGAACCCACGAAGGCTGTCTTCCGTGACTGGATCCCTGGCAAGTCTGTCTTCTTCAGTGCCGCCCGTGCTGCGATCCTCACTTGTGTTTCCCTCAGCTCTCGATGCAGAATGAAATAAGCGCCCGCAGAGATGTTGCCCTCGCAGCGAGCGTTCTGATTTGTGGTCCGAAATTACCTATATATACATTACTATTGGTGCTTGTATCGTGTTAGCTCATAACACGGGGGCAGACTAAAGATCCTATGATCCTAAACCATCTCCTCCAAACTTGATGATATACTGGCAGATAGATATGGATCGCTAGTGGCTGAGGATAGGAGAAGAAAAGTGCCTGTAAGGATACATACCGCGACCTGGTCATCCCTGCCGTCAAAGGAGCTTGGGCCCGTGACAACGGTGAGTATTAATGGCTATTAATGGGACGGATAGTTAACCAAGTCACTTGTCTACACGGTCGTTCAAGGTCTAGTCACTGAATCCCCCGAATCAGAGGCTCCTTCCACCCACTCCGCTCAAATCAGTCCGTAAACTAAACACTTTCCCCCAACATACACTGCCACTTCAATAGCTCTTCAAGCTTCAGGTTTAACATGCGTAAAATAAGGAAGCAAAAGCACAGCCACCCATTACACTCATCATGAGCCCGCTGGCAGTAACCGCGCCTTCGCCGACGATGTCGATCTACAGGAACTCAAATTGACATAGTAGAAGCAACAACTTGAAGTCGTTGGTGGAAGTGACCTGTGGAATAGCGTCAGTCGGCTTCCGGTTATCATTACATGACATTAGCGTGTTTGAGATAGATTCTAAAAGGATTCTAACTCCGAGAACGAACCAACGAAGTGAGTACTAGTGTGAGAATCAAAGCTTCAAAACTACTATCATGCTGCCCCACTCTTTGCTTCAGCTACTTTTTCGGTCAAAGGATGGTCCATTCGCCCCAAATGTGGTAGCGTTCTTCAACCCTTTCAACACCTGCAGTGATCGTCGCTTATGCCATTAGGGGAACTCATCGACTCGTTTGGAAGGTTGCGGCGACGAAAGTTGGACGCATGCAAATGGCTTTTGATAGCAGCCTCATGTCTGGGGGTCAGGGCATCCAATGAGACATGAGGAAGGAAAATTTTGTGATGGAAATCGGCATAAGAACATTCCGCCTAGTTCACGAACTTCTGCAGCCTAGTGCAAGACGCCCACATTCCCTCAGCCAAGTCTACCTCGATTCCCCCCCCCCCCCCAGGATCAACCTCCGAGTAATCAAATGGCGCAGCTCATCCCAAGCACCACCCCAGTTCGAGTTTTTAAAGACCACAAAGCACGTGTAACTGCAGTCGCAGTCTTACCTGATAGACGGCGCATGGTGACAGGCTCGGAAGATAATATACTTCGTCTGTGGGATTTGAAGAAAGGTGTTGTGTTGAAGGAAATGGTGGGGCATTGTGCCAGCGTGGAAGCATTGGCAGTATCACGAGATGGACGATTGATAGCAAGCGGTGATCAGAATGGAGGGCTCATTGCTTGGCATGGAGACACCGGAGATTCTCTCACCCCAACTATCGAGGCTCATGTCGGGGGGGTCCATTCCCTAGATTTTTCTCCAGATGGCTCAATTCTGGCAAGTGGTTCATGGGACCACATGACGAAGCTATGGAAGACAACGACGGCTACATGGCAGCTGTCAGGAATACCGATCAGTTGTGGTGCAGCTGTCAACTGCGTTCGGTATTCACCATCTGGCGAATTTCTTGCGATTGCAACAGACCACAATATCCAAGTTTATAATTTAGGCACAGTGCGGGACTGCGTCACGGTGTTCAAGGGTCACTGGCATGAAACGACCAGTACAACACACAACTTATCACTCGCATGGACGCCCGATGGTACACGCCTTATCTCAGCGGGTAGTCGTAGAGATTGTTCCATACGGGTATGGGATACATCGACCTGGGAACAGGTTGGCGATCCATGGACAGGCCATAGCGACAACATCAACTCCATTGCCATTGATGCTTCTGGCACGCTCCTTGCCTCTGCATCTAGTGATAAACTTGTTCGCCTCTGGCGGCTCTCGGATCGACCTATGAAGCACTCCAGCGAGGTGCAGTGTGTCGCCTTCTCCGTGGACGGTGGTCACATCCTCAGCGGAGGTGACGATATGAAGCTCTCAGAGTGGGAACTACCCAAGGGACTGTCGCTGGTAAGTGCCTGGTAATTTCTCATCCTTGGTCATTTCATCTCATACATTTGATGACAAGGCTCGAAGCTCTGCTTCCATGGCATGTACCCACCTTTTACTCTTATCGTACAACCATGAACATGCTTCATGCAGATCCTGGTCATAAACGCGACAGCTCGTAATGCATGTATAACTGGGGACCTCCCTACTGCCATCCAGCTGCTCACGCAACAAATCAATGCTGATCCCAACGACCACCATTCGTACGCCAATCGTTCATTTGTTATGGCGAGACAGTTTGACTGGGACGACGCGCTTCGGGACGCAATTGAGGTAGCATGCTCTGACACATCACGCCCCGATTGATAAACTTAGATCGTGACATAGTCCATCAGCATTCAGCCCTCCTTGATGGGCTATATCTCCAAGGGCCTTGCCCTCTGCGGAAAACAGCAGGTGCACGAGGCGATGGCAGCATTTGACATCGCGTTCACTTTCACGAACGTAGACCTAAACACGACTCATTTCCTTTTCTTGATTAAGGTAGGTAATTTTCCATTCATACTCTATACGTCATTCATCTTTTTTCAGGCCATCGCGTTGTTCAATGCCAATGCCCATGAACAAACAGTACTGCCCGTCCAAGAGCTGGCTGCCCGTCCCAGTGTTGATTCTCTCGCCTGTCATGTCGTGGAAGTGAGCATCATGCATTCCATCAAGCCCACATTCGTGTGCTCATTGATTTCTCTTTGCTTCGCATATCAGGCGTATCTACAACTCCAGCTCGGAACCATCGCCATGGATGGCACCCTTCACAGAGAAGCCGCTGGCCACTTCAGTGCCGCCGTCAATGCCGCCGCTTTCTTTTCTACATTGGACGTCCATTCTATGTACGAGGACTTTGTCGTGGTACGTTTAAAAGATACGACTGAACGTCTGTTCCACGCTCAAATACGTGCTTGTGCAGCTTTTCGGATGGGACCTCAAATCCTTGTGGCAAACTGCAAACCAACAACGTTGTCGTGCACTCTATCGGGCAGGTCAAATTGGAGCAGCGTTCGAAGCGTACCATAACATGATGACCATGAGCGATGAACCCACGAAGGCCGTCTTCCGTGATTGGATCCCTGGCAAGTCTGTCTTGTTTAGTGCCGCCCGTGCTGCGATCCTCACTCGTGTTTTCCCTCAGCTCTCGATGCAGAATAAAAAAAGCGCCCACAGAGATGTTGCCCTCGTAGCGAGCGCTCTAGTCTGCCGTTCTGATTTGTACTCCGAAACTACCTGTACATGCATCATTATTTGTGCTTGTATCATGTTCTAGCTCATAACACGAAGGCAGACCGAAAATCCTAAACTATCTTCTCCATACTTCATAATATGCTGGCAGAGAGATATGGATAAGTAGAGGGAAAGAAACGTGCCTGTAGTGTACATATCGTGACCTGGTTATCCTTCCGTCGAAGGAGCTTGGGCCCGTGACAATGGTGAGTATTGATGGGACGGATAGTTAACCAAGTCAGTCACTGAGAAACGAATCAGAGGCTCCTTCCATCCACCCCGCTCAAATCAGACAGTTAATTGAACACTTCCCCCAAGTTAACACACGCTGCCACTTCAATAGCTCCTCAGGTTTAATATGCTTAATTATTCATCGTTGTCGAATCCCTTTGAACACGGTTGGCATATAGACAACTGCAAACGGTGCTGTCAATGCAACGAGTATGGAGTCGGCACGATCACTTTGCTTAATGACGACTTCGTTTGAACGATGCTAAGAACTGTGTAGACACGATGTGATGGCTTGCCGCTGCGATACAAGTTCTGACCACAAGTAACCACTCTGGAACTGCAACGGCGACTAAACAATCCCGTAAAGAAACTTCAGTCATTCGTGATGTTGCAGATAAGATAACTTATGATAGCTACCCGCTATGACATCCAGGTGAACATGCCTGCATGCAGGCCGTCACGCATTTTATGGAATTGGCATTTGGCTGAGCCTCATACTCACAATGCTCTTGCGCGAATGTAGTCCAGAAGGTCAATGCTCTGTCTTATGTGCTCAAGCAGAAGACGCCTCGGGCTGCAAACGATTCGAATACACAAGAACTTTGGCGAAGATTCAAGTCAATAACACGAGGACAATACGAGATTACTGGAACACGACTATCACGGTCGTTTCTACAAATAACAGGATGAAGGAGAATCGCACATGGACACCTAGTGAAAATGTACCAGAAGACAGTATAATACGATGTAGAATTACACACCAATATAAATAAAAACCATCCTCTGCTCCAACGGCACCTCCTCCTTCACAGTGTTTGTAGCATGATTGAGTGCCTGGGCCGCCTTCGTACACTCCATTCCACCACCATCGTTCAAATCCTCGAACATCTTCTGGTAGAAAGCTTCCACAACGTATTTTGCGAGAGCGTCATTGACCACCCACAGCGTGCCAATGACACTCTTAAAACCAGCAAACTGGAGTCCAGCTGCGAGGTGGATGGCTTCGTCGGGTGTCTGCTCATCACCGACGGCGGTATGACACACCGATAAGAATGTGAATTCAGCTTGCGGAGAATTGTTTTCCATGATGTCAAGCAGCGTGAGGGGTTTATCTCTCATGGCAAAACGTGAGTTATAAGGCTGCTCGTGGTCTTGCTTGCCGTGACAAGCGAGGTGCACCCAGGTGTTGCATCGCAACGCGTTGAGTGCGCTTGCCTGTGTGGCATTGTCTCCCGAAATATGAGTGAAATTGACGTATGAGGAAACAATGTTATGCACAACCTCGAGCTCGCTGTCGACAAAGGGGAGTATATCACCTTGCCCTGCACCTGGTTCACTTTGTCCAATCGCCGCGAAGGACGGAGGCGCACGCGTCTTCATCGCCTGCCGAGCTCTAATAAGAGCTGAAAGTGTGGGCGTATAAGAGCAGATATAGAGATCCTCCAGGCATGGGTCCTTCCCAGTGCGTTCTGCGTTCATTCGGAAGGGGTTAGCTGCATGAAGAGGGATGGACGTGAAGGCTGCCGTCGGACACAGCCATATTCGAGACCGACACCGCAAGTTCAGGTCATGCTGGAGGATGTTAACGATGGGTAGCATGACCTCATCCCATACTTTCCGCAAAAGCCCTTTCAATTTCTTCCTCTTATCCCCTGGGTGCATATGAGCCGCGCGGCGGATTTCCGTAGCAAAATCGTGTTTGAGCTTCTCCAGATGTGCGAGAGTGATGCGCGGGAAGCGAACGTGGTGGGGTTCTCCTGACATCGGGACAACAATGGCGCTGCATGAATATTGACTCGCAATGAGGATGATAACTGGACCATGGCGTGCTGCCTCTTGAAACTCTTTGTAGGACGGCGGGAGCAGGAACCGCGAGAAACCTTGAAGTTGGCGGATTTCATCCACTGCAGCTTCCCACTGCTTTGTAAGTGTCCTGTACTCTGTTGCTGCCAGATCAGCAGCAGCTCGGTCAACACTGCCCACAGAATCTTGAGCGCTAGACAGGCGCATGCTGAGCTCTGAGAGCTTGTCAGCCAGTGGTGGACTGGCAGACTTGATGTCGTCCAGCGGAGTCCTGAGTCGAGAGGACATCGACCATTGCTGGCCACGGCCCTGCTCCACAAGCTCGACTGCCCGTTGCAGATCATGAGAACGAATAGCACATGATGCTGCATCCACTGGCAGTGACTGCGCACCACCAAAAGCGGTTGCAGCATCACGCCGTGAGATAATCGATGATCGCGTGATCATATGGTTGTCAAAAAGCTCTAGGCACAACTGGTATGCTTCGAGGGCAGATTCATGTTGATAGACCTCTGCTTGATGAGCCCAGTCGATAGCCTCCTTTATGCGTTCAGGAAATCCTTGCGTAGGGTGTCGTGATGCTAGTCTGAAGTTTTCTACCGCGAGTGGCAAATCAGCCGGATTGTGTTGTACCCGGTAACGGGACAGATAGGCCTCCTGCAGCCACATGTAGCTGAAATATCTATCTGGGTGTAGCAGTGAGGGCAGAATAGCCAATGACTCTTGGCAAAGCCGAATGGCCTCCTCGATATCTTCATTCTCCTGAGTGTGCGTGAAACGAGCGCAGAGTGCTGAGCTCAAACTATAAAGACTGATATGGTGATTTGGATGGTCATGCCGCTTTAACCGAAGTGATTCGCGATACAGATTGATGGCCTCGTTAAGATCCTCGCTGACACGCGATTTTTCATATCTGGTTTTGAGCGCAAGGGCAAGGTTGTTAAGCGCAGTGTCACGACGTGGATGCCCATGTGGGCGCAACATCAGCGCTTCGCGACGGAGGTTGACAGCTCCGTTGATGTCGCGAACGAAACCATGATAATTGAAACGGGCGATGAGTGCGCCTCCTAGGTTTCCCAATGAGAAATCACGAAATTTGTGCCCAACAGGGCGCAGGTGCAGCGCTTCTTCGTGCAAAGAGATGGCCTTGTCAAGGTCATGAAATTGCCCTTGATGATCGAAGCGGGACTGGAGTGAGAAGGCCAAGTTATTCAGATAGTCATCACGGCCAGAATGTCCCTCGGGGCATAGAGAGATTGCTACACGACCAAGTTGTATGCACTCGTCTAAATGATCAATGCTACCCCATTGTTGAAAGTGTGTCCAGAGTGACTGTAGAAGCTTGTTAGTTGCTCTTGGACGGTGTTTCTGGCCCAGAGGACAGAGCTTGAGCACGACTCGTCGAAGGTGGATGCCTTCATTGGACGCATCAATCGGAAGATTGTTGAATTCATGGATCACATAACCGATCGCACGGTCTACGCCAATGTTACGAAGGTAGGTGCCCTCTGGACAGAGCGACAGTAGCTCACAGCACAGTAGTGCGGATTCATGAATGTAGACGGCGGTAGGCTCCTCGCTGAAGCGCCAGATCAATGCTCTAATGAGAAGATAAAGAGATAATGCACGATCGGGGTGGCCCTGCAGACGTAATGCAAGGGCGTCGCGGAAGAGGGAGGTAGTAGTATCAATGTCTTGAAGATCTTTTTTAATATACCCTTCAAGGCGGGCATACGCGAGGTTGGTGAGAACCGCTGCGTGGTCAGGATGGCCGACCGGGCACTGGCCCAGAGCCAACTGAAAATGCTGCACAGCGTCGTTCAGGTGAGAAACCGTCTTGCTGGACATATATTCAGCAAGTCGTGCGTGACCCGCATCTGTGTTTCGAGCAATCTCGTAGTCCACGATGTACTACAGTTGTTGTTTCGTCAGCATAAGCCAACAGCACAGAATGGTATCACTCACATCCATCAGTACATCGTCTTGATTGTCGCAAGCATGTACAACAGCGGCCTTCAACGTAAGGGAAGGGCAGACACCACGAACGGGTGGAAAGAACAGTTCTACAAGATGTTAGTATATGTACATGAATCATTAAAGAGCAAACCACTCACTAAAAGGCCCATTTCCATGATTGAGCAACTGATTCCACGATGTTTCAAGTTTTCCAATAATTTCCCCATTCCCTAGCACTCGATCGAGTTCAAAAGACGCCCTGATCTCCACAGATAATTCAAGTGAGTCGTGTAATGATCTGTAAACTGAAGATCAGCTCTCGAACCGCGTCCGAAGGTCTCCATAGACTTACAGGGTCACAGTATCACCCCACTTTCCATTTTTTTTGGATGATAAGACACTAATGGCTGATTTCCAGCACGTCCTCGAGACGGTATTGATGGATATGTAAATTCCTGCGGGAATGCGCGAGGAGGGGACTTTAATATTTTTTCCACTGATGACTGTTGGTAGAGCGTGAGGACTACGAAGCGGATACGAAGGTATGTAACATGGAGTAACCCACCTTCAAGTTTGATATATTCGCCTTCAAAGTTGCCAGGCATGATGGCGCGGTGAAGCAAAATGACGAAGATCGAGGATGGGCTTAGTACTGGGTGGAATGAGTGGTAGGAGCAGATGGGGGTAGGGATATAGGGACTGTGGATGGAGTTCAGCTGAGAGGGAGTATTGGAGGCTCAAGTCATGCCGCGCGTGTATTTCCATGACGATAGACGCTCGTATGGTTATGCCAAGCGCGGCCGAGAAAGATGGCCGGCTGCAGTGTTAGCGGGAGAGCTTGTGCCAATTAAGAAGTGGGCATGTCAAGCTCAGTGATCAGCGGAAGTGGCACACCAAAGTTGAACGGGAATGCGAGTCTCAGAGCGTCCTATGATGCTTGCTACTCGTGAGCTTTTATCACCTAGCCGACTCATCTAGCGCCCTAAGGCAAAATGAAGAATCGAGTGTATTTCGTAATGCATACGTGAAAACGACGCGCACAGAAAAGCCGAACAATTCTATGAGTCCGATTGAGCTGACAATGCCATTGGGGGGGAGGAAGATCGAAAGTGTTATACACGGAAACCCCAACGACAATTTGCGAGAGCATGACAGGGTCTGATTCGGATGTAATGAGATAGATGAATGCAGTGGACGATACAACAAGCGACGAAGAGCGTGGCTGCGACAGCAAAGAGAACCCGAGAAGTAAGTCTTTATGATACCCTGGGCAGCAATATTAATATTTGCAGTCGAATGAACTGGTGTCCTTTCCTGGGCACTGGTAGCGGGAGACTCTAAACAACCAGCAAAAGTGTCGCCCAGTCCATTTACTTGTTCGTCCACCTAGGCACGGATGGCAGCGAGACATGCTGGCAGAGTTGAACGTTAACGTTGAAGGCTAACATTAACAGCCTGTGACACGTAAGGAAACAAAAGCACAGCCACCCATTGCACTCATCATGAGTCCAGTAACCACGCCTTCGCCGACGCATGTCGATCTACAGGAACTCAAATTGATATAGTAAAAGCAACAAGCGGAGAAAAGAAAGCGAAAGCAGGCTCGTGTACAACGAGGATTTTCCCTTGCACGTCACATCGCGAAGACTTATATAATCGGTAGTTGCCGGACTGGCCCTGCGGCAGTGCGGCAGGCCTATTGAACGCGAAAAGATTATAGAACTACTATCCTGACTCCTGAATCTGACTCTCTGACTCTCTCAAAGCCTTGAAGCAGCTCACAGCCGCCAGCGCTTGAGCCCCACATCTCCACTGAGAACATTCCAGGGAACATTAGAAGCTCATGATAACAGCCTCATTTCAAGGAAGGTATTAAGATAAGTCTGGATCAGCATAAGAATTTATAATTTACGGCATCTCTGCCGCAACCTACTCCAAAACGTCCACATTCCCTCTTCCAGGTCTACTTTGAGTCCCCACACCACCATCCTCCAGTCAAATGGCGCAGCTCATCCTAGGCATCACACCCATTCGAGCGTCCGAACATCAATCAGGCGTGTGCGCAGTCGCAGTTTTCCCTGATAGACGACGTATGGTGACGAGCTCGATTGACAATATGCTTCGTCTGTGGGACTTAAAGACAGGTGTTATGTTGAAGAAAATGGCAGGGCATTACAATGAGGTGTGGGGATTGGCGGTATCACGAGATGGGCAATTGATGGCAAGCAGTGATGAGAGCGGAGGGGTCATCTCCTGGCATGGCGAAACTGGAGAAATTCTCATCAAAGCCATGGAAGCTCATTCTGCAGCGACCAATACCCTGGACTTTTCTCCGGATGGCTCCATTCTGGCAACTGGTTCATGGGACAACACAACGAAGCTGTGGAATACAACTACGTGGGAGCTGCAAGGAAATCCAGTTGATTGTGATGCGGAAATCTACTGTGTTCGGTATTCGCCATCTGGCAAATTCCTTGCCATCGCGACAGGGCAGGATATCCGAATTTATAATCCAACTACAAGGGACTGCGTCGAGAAGTTTAAGGGTCACGAAGGAGCCAATAATTCACTAGCGTGGACGCCCGATGGCGCACGCATTCTCTCAGCGGGTGATGAAGATGATCCGACCATACGGGAGTGGGATGCATCGACTTGGAAGCAGATCGGTGACCCCCGGACGGGCCATACTGACACTATCAATTCCATTGCCATTGATGCTTCTGGCACGCTCCTTGCCTCCGCATCTGATGATAACCATGTCCGCCTCTGGCGGCTCTCGGACCAACCCATGAAGCACTCCAGCGAAATACATTGTGTCACCTTCTCCATGGACGGTGGGCACATCTTCAGTGGAGGTGATGATATGAAGATCTCAGAATGGGAACTACCCAAGGGAGTGTCGCTGGTAAGTGCCCGGTAATTACTAGTTTCTCATCCTTGGTCATCTCATCTCACATATTTGATGACAAGGCTCAAAGCTCTGCTTTCAACGTATGTGCCCACCTTTTTGACTCTTACAACGCGAACATGCTTTATGCAGATCCTGGTCATCAACGCGGCAGCTCGTAATGCATGTATAAATGGGGACCTCCCTACTGCCATACAGCTGCTCACACAACAAATCAATGCTAATCCCAACGAATACCATTCGTACGCCAATCGTTCATTCGTTATGGCGAGACAGCTTGACTGGGACGACGCGCTTCGGGACGCAACTAAGGTCAGATATGCTCCCCATCACCCCACTTAAGCAGGCTAACTTGAATGGTGACATAGTCCATCAGCATTCAGCCCACCTTGATGGGCTATATTTCCAAGGGCCTCGCCCTCTGCGGAAACCAGCAGGTGCACGAAAGCGATGGCAGCATTTGACCTTGCGTTCACGTTCGCAGACGCAGACCCAACAACGACTCATTTCCTTTTCTTGATTAAGGTAGGTAATTTTCCACTCATACTCTAAACTTCATTACGGGTTTTTAGGCTGTCGCGCTGTTCAATGCCAATACCCATGAACAGACAATGCTGCCTGTCCAAGAGATAGCTGCCCGTCACAGTGCTGATACTCTTGCTTGTCATGTTGTGGAAGTGAGTATCGTGCATCACATCAAGCCTGCGTTCATGTGCTCACTGATTTCCCTGCGCTTTACACATCAGGCATATATGCGAGTTCGGCTTGGAACCATTGCCATGGATGGCACCCTTTACAAAGAAGCCGCTGGCCACTTCAGTGCCGCCGTCAAGGCTGCCGCTTTCTTTTCTAAATCGGACATTCATTCTATGTACGAGGACTTTGTTGTGGTACGTTGGCACGATACGACCGATCATCCATTCTATGCTCAACCGCGTGCTTGTGCAGCTTTTCGGCTGGGACCTCAAGTCATTGTGGCAAAACGCAAATCAACAACGCTGCCGTGCACTCGTTCGGGCAGGTAAAGTTGGAGCAGCGCTTGAAGCGTACCGATACATGATGGATATGAGTGATGAGCCCACGAAGGCCATATTCCTGGCTTGGACTCCTGGCAAGTCTGTCTTCTTCAGTGCCACCCGTGCTACGGTCCTCACTCGTGTTTCCCGCAGTTCTCGATGACGAATGAAATAAACGCCACGGAGATGTTGCCCTCGTAGCGAGCGCTTCAATCCGACCCCAGAACTACCTATATATACATCACTCTTTGTACTTGTACTATGTGCTAGCTCATAACACGAAGACCGAAACGCAACTGCTGTCACGGTGCTCTATGATATTCGAACTTTTGATCGGGTGGGATATCTTTCTGGAGGTTGATAGTCTGTTGTTCAATGGTACACGGTCGCGGAATAGTCTAAGTGAAGACATCAATGAACAAAGTACATGCCCATGACGTAACCGACAGATCTTTATCGCAAACATGACACTGCCTCCTATGTCCGACACTTGTGCCAAGACGTGCCATGTGCGAGAGGACTTAGGTCCAGATGCAGGGGATTGCTGGCAATCACCAACACATTGCCGTGGGCAAACGTCGCCGGGTGGAGAGTAGGTGGGATCCAGAGAAGAAGTCGTCCTTCGGGACCTACAACCCATCCCTCCTCGTCAGGGCCGGAAGGGGCTGGGGTTTCAGAATCTTGGAGAAAAAAGGAGGCGGAGCGAAGAGCATGGGTTGGGTTTGGTGAGAAACATATCACAGGTGCTTCGATGGATTGGTCCGAAATAAGAAAATCTAGATCCCACACCCGGATGGTCTTGTCTTCTGAACCAGATACTATCTGTTTGCCATCAGGCGAGATTGCGACAGAGTGAACGGATCCAGTATGCCCTCGGAAAGGGGCACCAATTGCCTCGCCAGTGTGCATGCCCCATACCCGAACAGTTTGGTCATGCGAGCCAGACACGATGTGATTTCCATCTGATGAGATCGCAACAGTGTTGACGGAGGCAGTATGGCCTTGGAGAGCGGCGCCCAATAGTTCACCATTCGCCATATCCCATACCTGGATGGTCATATCCCCTGAGCCAGACACAATGCGACGTCCATCTGGCGAGATTGTGATAGAGTAGACACAGTCAGTGTGACCTCGGAGACGGGCAGTCAAAGCCTTGCCAGTCCCCATATCCCACACCTGAATTGTGTTGTCATCTGAACCAGACACTATGTGATCTCCGTCCGGTGAAATTGCAACGGACCGAACCCAATCAGAGTGTCCTTCGAGAGGGTTACCCGACGCCTCGCCAGAACCCAAAACCCACACCCGAACCGCCTTATCATTTCCACCGGACACGATGTGATGTCCATCTGGCGAGATTGCGACAGACCGAACATAGTCAGTGTCACTTTTGACAATACCCGATGGATCCCCAGTCTCCACATCCCACACTCGGATCGTCTGGTCCAATGAACCAGACACGATGCATTTGCCGTGGGGCGAGATTGCAACTGACTGGACGGAGTCAGTGTGCCCTTGGAGAGTATATGATGCACGGCCAGTCTCCATATCCCACACCCGAACTGTCTTGTCGGCTGAACCCGACACAATGCAATTTCCATCTGGTGAGATTGCAACAGAGTTGATGGTGTCGGTGTGGCTTTGGAAGGTGGCAGCCGATGGCTTGATCGTGATAGTGTCGGCATCCCACACCCGAATCGTCTTATCGTGCGAACCAGACACTATTCGGCTTCCATCTGGCGAGATCGCGACAGACATCACATAGTCAGTGTGACCTTGGAGAGGGGATCCTAATGCCTCGCCAGTCTTCAAATCCCACACTCGGATCGTGTTGTCAGATGAACCAGACACGATGCAATTTCCATCCGACGAGATTGCGACTGACCGAACAGAGTCAGCATGACCTTGGAGAGGTGCACCAAATGCCTCGCCAGTCTCCATATCCCACACCCGGATCGTCTTGTCATCTGAACCGGACACAATGTATTTCCCATCCGACGAGATTGCAACAGACCGAACATGGCCAGCGTGTCCTCGGAGAGGAAGCCCCATTGCCTTGCCAGTCTCCATATCCCACACCCGGATGGTCTTGTCGCCTGAACCAGACACAATATGATTTCCGTTCGGAGAGATTGTGATTGATGTAATATAGCTGGTGTGCCCTTGGAGGGGGGGATACAATGCCTCGCCAGTCCCTATGTCCCACACCTGGATAGTGTTGTCCAAAGAACAAGATACGATGCGATTTCCATTCGACGAGATTGCGTCAGACCTAAAGTGGCCGGTGTGCCCTCGGAGAAAGGAACCCAATGCCTTGCCTGTCACTGCGTCCCACACCCGGACAGTTTGGTCCCATGAGCCTGACACGATGTGATGTCCATCCCGGGAGAATGCAACAGACACAACACGTTCAGTGTGGCCTTGGAGAGGGGCATACAATGCCTCGCCAGTCTCCGTATCCCACACCTGGATCGTTCCTTCGTATAAACCGCATGCGATGCGCTTTCCGTCTGGCGACATTGCAACCGACCAAACATGGTCGTTCGCGTGGAGTATCTTTTCCATCTGAGGCCAATTTACAACAGGGCCAGCAACAATGTGGGGGGTGCGAGGAAACTTGGCGGAAAATTTGCGATATATTTCCGACTGCGTTGGAGTGAATGGCAGGGCGGACAAGTATAAATGAGGAGTGCTGCGTAAAATGGCGGCCCCGAAAGTTCGAACGAAGCGCTGGGCGTCCCTGGCAGCTTCACTGATATGTGTGTACCCGGCATGACCCTATGATTATCCCACTACTAGTAAGAATTCATTGGCCTTAAGAATGAGCTTGAGCTACGTACCGTGATCCAGTCTGCGATCGACGAGAGGGTCCCTACTGAACCGCTGAGGCCTTTCATGAGAGCCAGTGCTTCCAACCACCAAAGAAGGCGCTCTCCGTCGAAGAAGGCTTCAATCTCTTTAGCGAGCGATGATTTGAAGGACGTCGCGCACACATGAGTCCCTAAGAATCGACACGAGTAAGATAGTTCAGTCGAAATAGACTCCTTCACGCGTTTCTCCAAGTCAGTGATGGCTGAATTGGGGAAGTAAGAACTCTCTAAGGAACAGATGTTGAAGCGAAGTCCGCCCTCCATGACCCGAAGCGATGCAAATGCAAGGTCGCTCTGTACCAATGCCGCATCGACAAAGAAGGCGTGACTGCGCAGCTTGTCTGTGAGAAAGTCGTAGAAGGACGCATGGAGGGGTCGGATGGTTACACGAGAATCTATGGTTCCAGTGAGAAGCGAGCCCAGTGGCTGAACAACCCGCTCCAATTTGTAATGGCCGCGCCCATCAGGAAAATGCAGTCGCATAGCCGTTAATGCAGGCATGGAAAGTGGTTCCAACGAGGCAAGGATTTGCCCCATCACTGAGCGAAACACGGGGATAGATTCCTCATGTTCGTCCTCCGGCATAATGTCTGCCAAGATGCGCGCATACATGACATCTAATAGGCGTGATCCTTTTTCAGATGTTCCAGCGACTATAGCGTCGAAGAGATCTGTTGGATCTAGGCCAACTCTATTCGTACCCTTAATATACTCGCAGGTAAGACGAGCCCATTCAAAGAGGCCGTCAGATTTCTGAGCGAGTGTCTTGAAGTGGGCGTCATCGAACACGCTGCGCAGATCTTCCAGCCTGGTAGAGATGTACAACTGGATGTCATGTTCTGTGGATGCCGACGAGATGTCATCCAAGGAGATGCAGCGAATGTGTGACAGGGTGTGAAGGGCGTTGCCAATGTCTTCAAGCGGACGGGAAGTGACGAGAATGCGGAAGTTTGCTGGGAGCTCGGCTAGTTGTGAGGTAGAAGTGTGGAGCTTGCCAGCCAGCAGACCAAGAATCTGTTCCCGGGAATTTGCTTCGCCACTCTCGTCCAACGCCTCGATTACAATCAGGACGGGTGCAGCAATGACTTTTGAGGCTACGTGTGTCGGTCTGACGAGTAACTCCTGCCATTGTTGTGTGATATTTGGAGTGTGCTTGAGTTCGTTGTTATCACGAACTGCTTGCGCCAAGGCTCGCCGCACGATCGGATTGCGGTCCGCCAATTCGCTGGCGATGGTCGTAAATATTCTATCCTGACGGCGATCCGCTTGCCGAGTGCGATCAAAACAGAAGCATGAGCCAAGGCCACCATGTTCGATATACCAGTTGGCTATTGTATGGGCAATGGCCGATTTCCCCTTGCCTGCTGTTCCAGATAACCATAAGACGCGTGGAGCATCCTCCTTGGTGCTCCTGATCCAATCTTGAATATCCTTCAGAAGGTCTTGTCGAGTATTTGGCAAACAACATCTAGACGTATTCAATCCAGCACCAGTTGCGTACTCCATGCCGATGAGGTCTAGACTCTCAGCTATTCCAGGGGTCGCGGAATGTGAGAAAAGGCGCAGAGACCTGAAAGCCGACTCTTACCCATATTGTGGGTGATCACAACGGTGTCACGGGCAGCTCGATCTCGGAATTGCTGCATGAGACTGTCGAGAACATTGTTGTACCTCTGAATTGTAGCGTCCGTTTCGTCGAAAACGTGCTTGCCAAGTCTTATCCCTATGCAAAGAGACAACATTGAGTCTCAGAGAACAAAACAGTGGTATCGACTCACAGGCGCTCTTCGTCTCAGAATAGTGGCAGATAAAATCAGCACACTCCAGGGTCTGCTGGGCTATCTTCACATATACCGCTAGCATGGATTGCATCTTGGGCAATTCCTCCTCTTCGGTGATGAAAGTATAGACATCCGAGATCATCGTGAGGAGACCATGAACAGCATCATCGCGGTTTGCTTGATCGAGAATCATCTTCCACCATTCATTCTTAATAACCTGAGAAGGCAAGTATTGGGAAACCAGCTCACATTTGACGCGCAGGTAAATATACTCAATGCCACTTTTGCATACGGATGGACCTATGACGAAGATCAGTCACGTACGAAAATGAACTAGACGCCCGTACATCGGCAAGCTTGTCAGCAACGGAATTGAATGCCTTCAACGGTCCGAGTATTTTGGAAAATGTGTCGATCGTATCGGGAACAGATTGTAGGTTGTCGGACACTGAAGCAAAATTTTGAATGATTCCTTGGATAGGGCTGATGCCTGTAACACTTGTTTGGGTATGCGCGAGCGTTTCCGTCACAAGCTTTATGTCAGGCGGCGATTCGGACTGATGATGGGCCTTAGTACATTATCAAAAGAGAGAGACAAAGCTGCTCGAACTCACCTTCGAAATGTCAGCATTAAAAGACTGGTCAAAATTCGGTTCGGGAGTGGAAGCGATGAGCGATGAAGGATCCTGCGGTAGTTAGATCATACACGGAACGTACCGAGAGCTACACATACCTGGCTTGTCTGAGGGCGTAGGGGATCCTGTGAACTGGAAGTTGCAGCTGTAGGTTCAAGGTTCGGAGACTGTCGAGCGCTTCGAACAGAATGGCTCTTGGCCTCGCCGAATAACTTGGGAATCAACCCCGAGAATTGTCCACGAGGTGCATTACTCGAAGGCAGGAGAGCGGATGGCTGTAATCGTTAAAAAACAATACATGGTTGTAAAGTTAAAAGTCCATACATCGCTGGCTGCCCTCCTGCCCCTCTCTTCTAGTGAAGGGTCTGAACGACTTGGCTTCAGCCACCCCCAGCGCTTTTTCCGAGGGGGATTGTCGTCAGTCATCGAGGAAGTTGAGAGGACGGCTGAGTATGAGCTTCAAGAGGTTTCTTTTTGAAAGGAACGAGCCTGAGAAAGGCGGGACGCAGGGTGGACAGGCGACTGACGGATGTCCGCACAGAGTATATTTATATAAAGTTTTCCATATGCGTTTGGAAGCGCTCATCATCAATTGGCTGAATTATGTCGATGCATGATACTAGAACGTTATCGAAGACTGATCCACTGGGTGAAAATGCTGGTGCTGCGGCGCTCACGAGTCGCGGTATCGGAAAGACATCATTCACCAGGACTAGCATCATGGTATAGTACTAGACTACTAGTATACTGAGGTCACAATAATATCGTACTTTGACCGTCTAAATTATTTGCGCATGTTTGGTTCATTGCGACCGTCTGCGTTGCACACCATGACCGTCTTCTGTTGACTGGACCAACTCGCGCTACCATACAACATCGATATCACTTAATTATCTCTCGAGGACCTCGGATATCATAAATCTCTGCAGATCATCATCACATGCCCACTGGCAAGAGACGCTCCTCCGAGTCCCTCCGAAGAATAATCATCATGCGCTTCAGCTACAACGTTTACAAGCAATTTCACGCCGATGTGGATGTAACCGATGCGTTATTGACCATGGGTCAGAATAGACGGAATACACCATGCTCTGAAGCCTCGTAGTCGTCTGTATCGGTCAATGAGCTCTCTGTTCCGCCAATAATATCAACTTGTTGTTATCTCCTTACCTGGGCGTAGATGGCACTGGAATGCATCTGCCTTATGATGTGCGTGTTCAAATGAACTGCATGATGTAGCGCTTCATTCCATCATCCTTACAGTCTTTATTATGTCTGCACCAACCTAAAACGCGATGAGCGCCCAGATCGGAGCGGTAGCTACTCGCAAGAACAGCTTCAGTCGCAAGAGAGCAGCATTATAGCTACAATGCGAGTCCCCCATTGAATGGTCCACTGTGCACATAGTGAAACTCCGCGTCGTTCGCGCAGTTCGCGGAAATGGATATGATCAAAATTTACTTGCCTATACGAATACGCAGCCTCAGATCGTTAGGGTCAGAGAAGAAGTGCTCACAAACACCGGTCTGCGAATGGAATGGAAACACCTTCAGGATCCCTCGCATGCATAAGCCTTTACGACTACTGACCAAAAAGCATAGATGATCCATATTGTCAAATTTGTTCTCCCACAAGTGATACGCCCTGGTGACGCTCCGAGTATTTGAATGAATTTCATCTCTCTTGGACTCCGCGGTATGACTGGGAAAATTCATTCAAGCCATTGACACATGTATCAAGCCAACACGGAAACTTACATAGCAGAAGCTAAGATATACGACATCCCGAGATTTTGGTGGGCATTAAGCGACTGGCCAGACTGAGGCCCAGTGGCAGCTGATGTTACCACAATCAACCAATATATCTGCTTTATATTTTCAAGCTGTAGTTATGATACACCAAGAGGGTATAGGAAGAATAGTCGTGCGATTACATTGTTGTATCATAAAAACTATGCTGTCGTGAATAAAATAACAAAGAAGACAAAATATATACCTATCTATAAAGCCCAGATGAACAAGAACACACAGACCTACACACGTCCATTGTATGGCGCCCATACAGAACGCCAGCAATGTTCTACCCAGGCCCTATCGAGAATGTAGTCCGTATGGTCGGTGCTCTTTCTCGACGACGGCTGGATCCGGGCACCGGCGCTGGGCCCAGAATGGGCGAAGACGCATACTGATCTGAAACTGTTGTCATACCAGCATCGGTGCGCCGCTCGAGATAAGATGCGTCATCAGATGAGCGGTCCCCCGCTGGCGTCGCCCATATGCGTACCGTACCGTCGTGGCTGCCCGTGGCGAACATGAAGGGTTCGTCCGTGGAATGATTCCATGCAACACATGTCAAGTCCCCGCCAAATGTTTGAGGTCGAATGTAATGGAGCAAAGCTGCACTATCACGATCCCAGATATGTATATCCCCCGCTGTGTCAGAATGTTCATAAGTAGAGTTCCCGGTAAAGAAAACAGGTCGGGAAAAACGTACCTTTTCCAGCACATAACACTAGCTGGTCATCTTTGCCGCCAAAGTAGCTCGAGCCCGCGAAATCCACCTGAGCTTTGGGCAGATACGTGTGGCGGAGAAGAAGCCTCGCGACTTGTGCATAGGGGCGTTCGTGATCTCTAGCATCTCGCACTAGCTCCATCTTCCATAACTGCGGAGGTGTCTGCAAATATGAAACGGGTGAACAGATGATGTGATGCTATCATGGCTCTCGGTACCTTGCGCTCGAAGGAAACAAGCACGTTTCCACCTCTTTTGGACATCGTTATGTCACGCACGTCGTTAACGACGGGCGTCTGGCTTTTGAATTCCATTAGTGAAAGAGTCGAAACGATGAAGAAGGCGACTTACTTTTCAAATGCTCTAGTCTCGATGTTGAAAACTGTTGTATGTGAAGTCAACCAGATGGCTGTGGACGTGCATAACGCTTACCTATTATACGTTTCTCAACCCTAGTGGTGCGGCTTGGATGCAATCCATTAGGTGCCGCAAGTAGTGGACCCACACCCAGTAACCGCTGGCCATCTGGACTCACAGCTACATTGTGCAACTGGATGCGACCAAAGTGATACGAATCAAGAACCTTGAAAGACGTTCAGTCGGGACTCCGCTGGCACTGAGTAATTTAATCACCTTCCCTTGAACGTCCTGAAAATAGAGTTCAACAATGGGTACACAAATGATTACAGTTGCGCTTACTAACCAGTTTAAACACATCGCTACCTTCGACAGAGAAGAATTGCGCTGTCGTAAAGCATTAGCAACGTACAATCAGACAGGAAGAATGAAACTAATTACTCTCGCTACCAGGAAGCCATGCAATAGATGATACGGAGTGCGGCCGATCGATTGTTCTCTTACAGAGTCCTTCCTCCGTCCAGACCTTGATTCCACGAGTTAATCTCGTCAAGAGAATCGTACCAGACGCAGACCTGTCCAATCGCATTTGAGGATTTTAAGATAAAACACACACTGCATTACATACCAGGCCACCTGGCCGATAAAGCCTCGCACGTGTACAAGAACAGCTTGATTTTGAAAAGAATCCTACACAGCATTAGTATAAATATCGTTTGTAGAAGCGCGACACCTCGTTTGCTTACTCCGACACGAAAGATGACAGAAGACCGATCCCAACTTAACGCAACATATCAGCCCGAGAATCTACAATGAAACAACTCACAACGCACCTTGATGTAGCGAGATATTTACCATTTGGGGAGAATTGCAGATGACGAACAAGAGCAGTGTGTACGGAGAGGTCCTGTGTGGGTTCCAGGGTTTTAAGCTTTGGGATCAATGTCGAAACTCTCTGTCCTCGAATGGTATTCAAACCAATGGACGAGAATCGGGTGGGAGACATTCCCGCTGTAGAATTTCGATCAAAAGAGGGTGTTCGTGGCGGCATGAAGGGCCGTAGATATAACGGGGTCTGCCCTGCTTGCTGCTGTTGCATCATGATGACAGAACGCACAGCTCCCTTGAAGCGCTGACGGGCAATGGATCGACGAGAAGTCTCGCTCTCTTCACTTGCAGGCGCTTCCATAGAATTGGGGCGCTCAGTATATTCCGAACACACGGATATAGCTACTTCGTGGCGGTGACCAAGTTCAAGCATCTGCGGGCCCTCCTGCGTGGTAGGGAGAGTATGGTGCTTATGTCTGTACCGGGTTATCGCGTCGGTTACCTTCTTGAAAGACACTCGTCTAATCAGGCCGCGGACGGCCAGGATGCGTTGATTGCAGTAGTGTATGATCTTCCGCAACTCCACGACCGCAGAAAGGAGGAGCATGCGGTGGGTTGCTTCGTTTATTACATCCTCCAGCCACACATGACCGCGGTGCTGAACAAATATCCATCGCTCTGAGGCGAACCAAGCAGAGACGGCAGCAAGGCCGAAAGAAGTGACAGCCTGGGATCTTGGGGTAAGAATACGTTTCAAACGCGCTGAATGATTAATAGACGTACTGTGAAAACAGTTGTGATTGTGGATGTGACAAATCCCTGATCATAGCCATGAGGTCTTAGATACACGTCCGGCAGTAGAATAAGAACCCATACCTGATTTGTAGCGTATGTGAACAGCATCAAGCCCGCGGAAAAGCATGCCACAGACATGACGAGAAAGACTAAAGGCGACCGCTTAATCCATATCAATACCCACCAAGGTACCCTATGGCCTGGAGAACGACTGACGACTGTTATTTGAGATGAGTATAAGCAGGACGCGTAATAGACTTACTACATGGCTTGCTTCCACGTGAGACCAAGAAGACTGTTCACTGCGGCTGCTATACTGAAAACCAACGAGGAGAACCAGAATGCGTTAACAGACTTCTCCAGCACCCCATCTGTCAACTGATATGAAAATTGCAAGGTCGTTGCCGTCACAGCTGAGAAGAACGTCGCGACTGTCGACAAGTTTAGCAGGTTTGCTGCTGCATGCTGCTGGGCGAACCTAATCGTCGGTACGCCTGTAAAAGAACGTAAGTTTGAAAGCACTTCGGATAGATTAAATGTATACCGATTTCGATAAACATCGACAGATTGACTGTGATGTTGTCAATGTGCTCCCCAATTTCCGACGTCAAATCGTGAATATAGCGTTGCACTGCTGGATATCGAAATTGACCTGAAGGTAATTGGGAAGATTGTTCAACATGAGCCTATAGACACGCTACCTTTGTACTCCTGAAGACACGAAGCCCAATACTAAAATTATGTGGTTAACGGAGAGACCAACAACATTAGAGCCGTCTCACCTTCAGATCCACTTCGAACGCACGCATTGACGTATTGACCGCTTCGTCTGTAAACTCTGGAAATTCGTTCAGGCAGTTTAGGAACGTTACAACGTCTTCTGCGAAACTAGCGAATTGACCCGGGAAACTTTCGGGGTCGAGGCCGTCATCATGAATAGGTCTGAGCGGGGGTTGTTGACCTCTCCATGTGCGTCGTCGGTCCATCAGGTTAGGGTTAACGAGCGTTTCTCGAGGTTGACGTGAAATTTTCCGAGGGAACAACGTAGCTGCGTTCTCCCGAAATAGAAACAACAATTTTGTAAGGCGTTCCCGTAGTCGAAATGCGGAGGACAATATCCCAACGGAACTGCCAAGTTGACGGGCAGCATTAGCAAAGTTACGCAGCTAAATGGGAGATGAACGTCAGATCATGGGAGCTGCATCCGTTCGCACCTCTTTGTCAAGATTGTCAATTCGTCTGTAAAGACCGGTCAGTACAAAGAGACAATGCAACAACGCTGATCATACCTCTCAAATTTGTTAAACGATTCTGATCCTGCGACTTGCAGTTTTTCATCCACGGTAGCTGAAAGACAACTAAGGCCACTATTGAGTGATGCACTACGAACACTCACGAACGTCTCTGTCATCTTCGAAGTTGGAAGGAAGGTTGGCATCTAAAAATATGCAATTAGCAGTGCATGATGACGAGCGGGGGACGACTGACCGCCGTCTGAAGACGCCTCGTTGCTAAGCTCGCTCAGGACATCCAAGAGACTGATGATGGTTTGTTTCCGTCTCGGGTCTGCAAATGCTTCACTTCGAGCGTAGGGGCTGGTTACACTTGGAATGCTTGATGTCGCGTCATGGAAAGAACGAGCAGCATGCGCTGCGCCATTGCCTTGAAAATAAGTGAGAATGATCTTAACTGCTCTGCTGGAGGGCGTACCACGAAACATAGCGAGCAAACACTACTGGGGTTGCTCCAGCGATCGTCCCTGGGTATTATAAGTACAAGGATCGGATCCTGGTTTTGATGCTGGGGATGGGGAGCTAAAGTAAGGCTTTGAAATACGCTGCAAACGGCAGAGCGGCCTAGGCGAGCACCGCACGTAGAAGTCGTGATTTGAAGGTGAAATGCGAAATTCATTCGTTCAATATCTCAGTGAGGAATTATTTAAGATGACGGCATGTTATCGCTAGACTCACTGAACTCAGCGATTCGGAGCGTGATGGCCTCGAGGAAGAATACGAAGCAACGGTGACCCTGACGTGGAGCTGCGCTAATCTCTGCCAGAGCGCTGTCAAAGCTGATAGGGAGATAATAAGTGAATCTACGGTGAATCATTCTCAAAATACATAAGCACGGGACAGAAGAAAGGGCAAAAATTTTAGCGAGACAATATGGACGGGTTTGAAGGCCAACTTGGGGACGTAAAAATGGTGTGAACGGGTACTGATGGATCAGACGTGCGGAAACAACGTGTTTGCAAGTAAGTGAATTATCAAAGGATGACCATAGGTGGACGGCTAGTGAAAGCCTGTTGCCGCGGAGGCGAAAGTTTTGTTAAACGGACTAACACATTTGGAATACTAGGGAACTGAAGAGGAATTTCTGTGGGTGGCCTGCTGGAATCGGATGGTGGCTGTTGGAGACGCAGTGGTGAATGCCCAGTCAGAAGCTATATGGCCACGTACAGGACGTACACTTTCAGGTCCTTATCGTAGCTTCCAGTACAGCTCCGTCTCCTGCGCGGAGAACTCCGTAAAAGGAGGTCATGATCTCAGGCTTCTCAGGCTGCTACGGAGTGAGGTATCAGAAGGGCTCCATGACTTGGTCCACATCTGGTGAAAGATGTGCCTGAGCCAAGCAAACCGGTTGATTCAATGGAAAGTAAGCTGAGATCGTTCAACATCGCTGTCCTGCAGCCGTCGGTATTATCTTCAATGAAAGATGTGGCAGGAGCTGGCAGAGCCCGTTGCATCGTGCAAGGTCACGGTGCACGTGTGACAGCATGTGACATTATTGTGACTGGCCCGTTATTTGTCGAATAAGGAAGTCGTTCTTCGCTCCACCGTTCTTGGTGATTTTGCTTCAGTACTAGATCCAGTCGAACTCATCCGTAGTACAGGACCTAATCGCACTCATGAACTATGCGGATCCTTTCATGGAACATTGTACGAAATGAGCTGGCTTCCTCCACGAACTCCAGCATTCACTCTGACATCCTGCTTTGCATGACAGAATGGCGTCAGGACTCTTCCTCGATATCACCCGTGAGTTGGCCATGATATCCACCTAGTTGTCAAGGGCTTACAAACAATAGATGGAACACTTTCACTTCATTTCAAGGAATTCTGGAGCATCTCAAGGCAGATATAATCTGCTTTCAAGGTGCGGGTCGTTCATTCATTTCAGCTTCCCCTGTCAAATGCCCAAACCTTATCTATCCCAGAAATGAAATCCTCGCGTTCCAGCCTGTCGCATCGTATTGCTTTACCAGACTATTTTGAAGCTTTCTTCTCCTTCCCACAAAATAAAGGAGGGTATAGTGGTGTTGCGGTCTACACTGACTCCCGCACTATCACTCCACTCCGAGCAGAAGAGGGTCTCTCCGGCATCTTGCAGCCTAAGCCACCTCTGACGTCGGATGAACGCATATCTCGTTCATATCCCTGCGCACATGAAATCGAACTAATGCCGGACGAGCATGGATCAACCCCAAGTGATTTCGCTGCCCTAGAAGCTGAAGGCCGTGCCCTGATCGTAGACTTTGGCCTGTTCGTATTGATCAACGTCTATTGTCCAAACGAAACTTCCGATGCACGTCTTCCTTTCAAAATAAATTTCCACGTCATGTTGCAAGATCGAGTCCGACAGCTCATGAATGAAGGCCGGGAAGTTGTGGTCGTCGGTGACATCAATATCTGTGCAACACCATTGGACCATTGTGACGGTCATCTTGCTAGTAACGCTGCGACTTTCCACGACCATCCTGCTCGTGCGTGGTTTCATAGGTGGCTGAGCCCTATTGGTTGCATGACTGATGCCGTGCGGACATTCTGGCCTGACAGAAAGGGAATGTACACATGTAAGACGCAAGTCTAGTCGATCTCTTCCCATCATTCATCCGATCTTTATGTTAGGCTGGAACATGAGAATTTCAGCTCGGGATACCAACTATGGTACCCGGGTTGACTACATTCTAGTTACATCCGGTATGCTTCCCTGGATCAAGCACGGAGACATCCAGCCGTCGCTCAAAGGTTCTGATCACTGTCCAATATATATTGATCTCCACGACGAAATAATAACCGACGCTGGCGAACGATTATTCCTCCGCGACATCTTGCCTGTAGACGGGAGTAGGGCAGAACCGCCTCGGCTTGCAGCACGACGATGGGAAGAATATTCTGGAAAGCAGACACTACTGTCCACGTTTTTCGGCAGAGGGAACAAGCTGCATTCACCCAACAATGCCCCATTTTCCTCGCTTTCGCCCACTCCGGTCACACAGACATCCCGGGAACATTCTGATGCTGCACAGCCCGATCACACGCAACCTGTCATTCTACCCCCAACGCGTCCCTCGCTGAGCTTTCAGAAGTCCGCGTGCACGTCCACGAGTCAGCTCCTTGCGCCATCACCCAAGCTACAATCCAATCCCATTTCGCCACGCCAAACTGCGCCCCCAGCTAGTTCTTCCAAACGCAAGTCATCAGACAACTTAGCCAAGAACGCGCCCAAAAGAATGAAAGGCGGTCAAAGCAAGCTTTCCTCGTTCTTTGCGCAGCCATCAGTCGCGCCGCCTTGCAACCAGGGAAAATCTTCAAGCGACGTTGCCGATTACCCGAACTACATAGATTCCGACTATCAACTGGCACTCGATCTTTCCGCTTCACTTGAAAATCCACTTTTGCAGGCCTCTGCGACGCCTTCGGCTTCGCAAAGTAAAGCGGCATGGTCGCAGCTGATGACTCCGGTCCGACCACCTAACTGCCTCGTACACGATGAGCCTGCGAAGGAGTACACCGTCAACAAGCCAGGTCCAAACAAGGGCAAATTTTTTTTCCTCTGTTCGAGGTTTGTCCTCATCAGTACCCTTCATTTCGCATCTATTTAATTCCTTTCATTTAGACCAGTCGGCCCGGGTTATGACAAAGGCAAAAGCGAACGCCTCCGCGAAGAGGTGGATCACCGATACCGGTGTAATTTTTTCAAATGGACGAGCGACGTCAGACGGGAAGCCAAGGAGAAGTCATCCACGTCATGAGATCAAAATCAGCCTCGAAGCAAATTACACTAGTCGCATATACTTACCCCGGGCCGCGGTTGCTCTTGTCTTCATAAGGCATTTATTTTTGGGGTTCAGAAGGTGTCATTGTATGAGCATTAGACACGTGTTTGGTGCGTGGTACTTTACACGATAAAACCACGATGAAGACATCCAACCGAGAAGACAATTATACCTTTTATACCCCTGAACACTAGCTTGATCCGCTTGGCGCGCGGATGATAGACTATAATAATGTGCTCATCATGCATGCTGTTACTCCAAGAGCGTCTTGCTCTCAGCGGACCACAAACGCGCTTCATGGCAACCACCACTTTCTTGACGTCAAGCGAAATGCATAAAAATTCGGCGTACGACACGACTGCTATATTATAAAATAACAAAAAACGAAGCGCAATCCGCCTGCACGAATGCAGCGACGATGGCATGGGGCGTCAGACATTGTACCGACGGCTAACTTACCCTCGGACTTGTTTCTTGGCGGTTCCAATCATGGTATTATTGACCTGTAAAAGGCTTAGAAGTCACCGAATTTCAGAACAACGATGTGGTTCACCTTCGTCGCGAATCGCAAGGAGCACAGAGACTCGTTCAGATGTGCCGCCAGCGGCGAGAGGTTCAAGATCATCTGCCACAGAACCATGTTACACCAGGATCTCCATAATTAAGATCCCGCACTCACCAGGGTCTTTGAATTTCCGCTCAGCGATGTTTGCAACAAGTACGTCAGCTAGAAACCGAGTCAGCGTCGATCATAACGCTTGGGGCCAGGAAGCCCGCAAATCACCTTCGAATTCCTATATGGAATGTGCTTTTCTCCTTTTTCTCCTTTCTCGCCCAGTGCTGCGATGACGTCCCCAAGCGCACTCAAGCTCTTGTTGATGTTTTGTGTCTCTTTCAGTCGTTCTTTGTCCCCCGCAGCCCCACTCGAGTTGAGGCGCTCACTACCAGCCAGGTCCACGAGATTGAGACTGCCCTCACAGCTCTCACCGGTGTGCGTGTTCGTACCAGATATTCGGAGTGTGAAGACAGAGTGCGAACGCGACGAACGCTCGTTCATAAGCGTAGCTGCCACGGTGCGCCGGGAGTTGGCGACGCGGAGGAGGGAGGTGACAGACGCTGGAGACGGAAGAGGCATCACGTTCACGTCAGTGACACGAGTCCCGGACTTGTCGTGCTTGATTTCATGCTTCTTCTTGTCGAACTCACCCTTGCCAAGGAGGTCATTAATTGTTTCGTTATACTGCAAGTCGTCGTCTCAACCAAGTCCCTGCGGTGCAACGACAATATACGTACAATCTCGAGGAACTGGCCGTCCATCTTATACTCCCAGCCTTTGGACTTGAGATCATCGGCGGCGTTGAACACCTGGTTCACTGCACGGGGTATCATACCTGTCGTGGCCTCGGTCTGAGAAATAAATTAGATGCAAGCCTCCTGCATGAAGAAATATGTACCGATCCGCCTTCCATGGTAAAAGACTTGCCAGAGCCTGTTTGGCCATAAGCAAATATACAAACATTATATCCGTCTACACAGCTCTGAGCGAGGAGTGAAATCTCCTCGAAAACTTCAGCCTGAGTTGACTCAGGTTCGAATACCTGAGGAAGAACTACCTCAAGATCGTGCAAGCAATTCTTAAGAGAGAACGAACCCGATCAAAACCAAAGTTATAGACTTCTTTGCGCTCCGAGCCCATGGCGCTGGAGCTTGAAGAGGACACGATAATCTCCTTATGGTCCCTTTTGTCGGGAAATGAGATATCGGCTTCCCGTCCCTTCTCTTCATCATCAGGAGTTGGGCTGCCGGTGAACGAAGATGAGGGTAACAAGTCTGATGTGAGGACAGGGCGGACTCGACAGAACACACGAATGTTGCCCTTGAGCTCCTGAACCATATTGTGCAACTTGCGGCGTACCATCTCGCTTTCCCTGGCGTCTTGCTCGAGGTCCAATATTCGTCGATGTGCGAATTCAAGCTCGAGCGTCTTGTCCGAGGTGGTGGTCATTATAGCATCGAGCTGCATCTGTATGGCGGCCTTCTGTGCCTGGAGAGCATTGATCTGCGCATTGAGAGTGATATGTGAGGTAGACTGATGTGACAGTGTTGCCTTGAGGTTCGACACGCTATCCCTCTCCCTCTCCAAGTCACCCTTCGCTAGCCTCAACTCATCTGCGAGCTCTCTTGCCTCCCGTGTTTTACTTTTCACTTCCATCTCGAGCTCCATGATCTCTCTGCCATGCTTCATACGCAATTTCTCGATTTCATCGCCTGCGCTGACCAACTCTCTCCGCTTGTCAAGCTCAAGTGACTTGGCATTGGCGAGCTCGAGGGATAGGGCACGATGATTCGCTTCGAGCTCGGCTACTTTGGCGCGCTCCGCGTCCATGGTTTGGGCTAGCTTTTCGGCATTAGCAAGCTGCGTGGATTCGATGGAAGCGACCTGATTTTGTAGGTCACGGAACTCTTTGGTCTGCAGTCCACTTCCGCTAGCAACTCGCGATCCTGAAACGACACGTCCCGAAGGACGTACAGGTCCCGTTGACGAGCCTGGCTGCTTTGGTGGTGCACTGGTTGCGCGAGTTGTCCGCCGTGTTGTTGATAATTTCGGTGGATCAGGTCTCGTGAGGCGTTGTGGACCTGGTAGTTGTTTCGCCACAGTGCCCGTGGTCGTAGTCGGTCTATTGAGCGCGCTTCGGCTGGCAGCTAGAGGACGAGCTGTGGCGCCATTGCCGATTGCTGGGAGTTTGCGGGGTTGATCAAGAGCCTCCGCATCGAGATCATCCTCTGCTTTGCGTTTGTGGCCCAAAGTCGATGTTGACATGGAGAAGCCTAGTGTAGTAGTGATAGAAGGGACTGGCAGGTCTGACGGGTCTGGAGACGACCTGAAGCGCGGTAACCGCGACATTACGAAACGTTGAATTTGTACTTTAGAAGCAAACTCGGAATCAGTGACAAAGAACAACTTTTCGCGACGCGTCGGAACACGTGATCATACATAACCCCCTTCAAGGGGGGTGACGCTTTGATCTCACAAAATTTGTGCCTGCATTGAAGTTTATACTTACTCGTCCTGCAATGTCAACGCTCTCGGTGCGCTGCCGGCGCGTCTCCTGCCAATTGTTTGCCTCGTCGTCCACGAGTCCGCTCGTTCAGACGCGTAACTATGCAACACAGCCAAAGAAAGGACAAATCATGAAGCAGGCTTGTAAGTCCGCGTTCAAGTTAAATTTGTATTGAACGTTTGAAACGCATGTGGGCTACAGCGCAGGGATTCAAGGGGAAGAAGAACACTCCTTCCGGTCACACGGAACCTGCGAAGAAGGACAAGAAAATGATGGTCTGTTCTCGTCGTTCTTGGAATATTCATCATGGCCTGATGTCAGTCCATTAGGCCTTCCAACCACTGCCCGTCTCGCAACTTCCGCACCCACTATTTGAGAGTGACCGTCCCGACACCCTTGCCTTACAGTCATTTCATCCCGTATGCTTCAAGTATCTTTTTCCTTGTATATTGGATTGATGCTTCCGAGTAGGAAATGCTTACAAGGGTCGTCGAGTCTCAAGCACTCAAATTCCCCCACAATGACAACGACCCATTCCGTATATTTGGGTTACCAAGGAATATTCTTGTTGAAGTTCGTGCTCCGTCACATCAGCGCACTGGTAAATTGATTGATTTGCTCTTTAGTTCCGTCTACTTTCCAAGCCATGCTCCGTAATACGCTCTGTGACGATCGACGCAATTAACAAGTTGGACGCAGCAAGTGAGAAGAGCAGCAAGGAGTCCAGGGTTGTTTTTAGTATGCTTCTTTGTACACTTGTCACACTGGTTTTTATTGACATCTTTTCAGCCGGACCCCAGGGCTGTGGAAAGAGTTTCCTTCTCCTTCAAGCCTTACAGTATTGCAGTGCGCGCGATTGGCTAGTCCTCTACATACCTCGAGGTCTGTACTTTCCAGAACTTCTATCACAAGGCTGATCCTGAACATCGCCCGCAGCAACAAATCTTGTAAATTCTACAACTGCCCACGCCTACGATATGCGAACTCGAACGTACCTTCAGCCAATCTTCGCTTATCAAACTCTTCAGCGCTTTCTCAAGGTCAATGCCTCCCGGCTTGAACCGCTCCGCACCCAGACCGAGATAGAAATAGAACGTCGCCCTCCGGTGCCCCCTGGCACACCCCTCGTGGAGCTCATTAATATTGGCCTCAAGGATCAGGGTCTTGCTCCGACAGTGCTTGATGCTGTGCTAGAAGAAATTGGGAAGCAGACAATGTGAGCCATTCTGTATTCTCCGTGTCTCAGATGAGCATGGTCTCAACGGATGGATCATAGTTTTCCAGTGCTTCTGGCGGTTGATGACTTCCAGGCATTGTACTGCAAGTCGCACTATCGTGACCAACATTTTTCGGCTATCAAATCGTACCATCTTTCAATGCCACGCCTTCTGCTCGAGTATGCATCTGGGCGGAAGTCATTTGTAAGTACCTATGAAAGCCTGGGCATCTCGTCATCTGAATAGAAACGAAATTAGGCCCGCGGTGCAGTCTTTGGCGCGCTCTCGATGAGTCATACGACATTCCCGCTACCTCTGGAGCTCCGCGAGGCTCTTTCTATCGAGTACGACCGCCCCTATGGGCCGTACGTCAAGCGCCAGCCAGAGCTCGTAGAATACGCCCACGGTCTCGAGAGGCTGGCAGTACCCAGCAGCCTGAGCGTGCCCGAAGCAGCATCGGTTTTCGAGGTGTGGATGAAAGACCGGGCGGTGCCTTCGAGTGAGTAGTATACTTGGTTCATCTGTTTTAGTGAGGGTTTGACCATGTGAAACAGAACCCAGTGATGAGTTATTCCTGACAAAATATAGCGAAGCTAGCGGGAATGCAAGAGCATTTGTTTGGAAGGGACTTTTGTCGTCCATGTCCACATAGTAGAACATACCTTCTATATCATCTGGGTGCGCGCCCTATATGGTCTGATGTCGCCTATCATGAGGATATTCTTATTCGATCAAGGCAAAGTCGGGGAGCACTTTTTGCAAAGCCGTACTACTTGAAGCTGTAATTGGATCTCACTTGAAGAACCTCGCACGATTTTAATGCGGCTTTCCTGGTCCGTTGATGTGTGAACCTGATCACAATTTGAAACACTGCTGTTGCGCTAGCTATCTAATGACAGGAAATATGCAGTTATGCGGTGGATCTTCAAGATTCAAGTTTGTTCCCTTGTGGCAAAGGGTTTCCGGTGAGTTACTAATTCGGGAAACCCTGATTGTTACTTGTTGCCCCTGAGTTATTTCCTGACTGATGCTCATTATTCAATTTCAGCTTGCACACATGTGCTCATCATGGAGCATGGCTGCGACCATGCTTAGAACTATTATTATCTTGAAGAACGGATAGTCGATGGTCAATGCCCATGAAATCATCCATGACCTTTTCTGTTTTTCTTCATCCTCACCAACGCCACGTCGTCATATCATTCTGTCCTCGACTTGACGCACGAAAGAAGAGTACACCCCGAGCTCTCACTCATTTTGCCCTATATACTGTTTAGTCACCAACGACATCTACAATCCCTTATAGGTGTTCCCAGTGCCTGTCCGTGACCAAAATACAACTATATTAAAATATCTGGGAGAGGTGTGTCTGCGTCTTCTTCGACAAAACAAATTGACTGACGATATTTCATCGTCAACGAATCAATAGCTCGCTCGCCACTGATGGTGTTGTGGGTAAATCTACCTTATAATGCACTCAGCGAAAAGTAGCGGATCATATCTCGGCTACAATCATCTTCGCTTGTGCAAACCGCCCAGAAATATTCGACTGATAACAACCAGCCCCAACGTTCACGACTTAGAATCAGAACCAGAATCACAAGCGCTAAATCGTAATATTTTCCATCACGGCTGTGGGTAAATATACCCAGCGCCCATAAAAGCACGAATGCGACGGACGGTTTGCGCTCCCCATGTGCCCACCATGCAATAGTGAATTTGATATGTTCAAATCACCAGCAGTGCACAATATTCTATTCGAGTCAAGCGGGTGCAGTGCGTATTTTGACTTGTTATTTTGTATGTATACCTAGCTATAGTGACTGTCACTCATCACAGCCATTTGCACGACATCCTCAAAAGAAAGCATAAGTCAGCAATACATTGGACGGTACCAACTTTCAACTTCTGACGCAGTGATCATCGATCATGCACATGAGCGATCGATGCGATACATTCCGGATATTGAAATTCAAACAACGGCGCCATGTTTTTTTTTACAAACGGCTGTACGCTTTTTTACCTGATCCACTTCAGTCGGTCTTTCTATAGGTCCACAACCCCGTACCTCCCGGGGTTTCTACCACTATCAAGGGCTATGGATTTAATCGGGAAGCATAGCACTGACTTCTGGCCGAACTCCGATGCTCCTGAGTATTCATGTCACTTTTAATCTTTGAATCCTTATTTCGCCGCTGAGCTGCTCGTTTAAAGATCATCCGTTGTCCGTTTGGACCGTTTCGCATCTTGAACGAATTGGGAGTTGTGATGGGTCGCTTGTGCTGCCTGTTTTGCTCGTTCTTTTGTGCGCTCGTTCCCCGGAGTTGCCCGGAGTCGAATGTATGGCAAGTTGCCGTCCGTCGTTTCGTGGGATGAGCAGTCCATAGGTGGCGTGAATCTGACACTTTGATTGTGGCGCGTGATTGTCCCAAGACCATACATTTCCCCTATCTCCACCCCGTACACCGTGCTTTCGCTCGCCGATCCCAGGTGGACTTACTACCAACTCAATTACTGTTTCATATCCCCTGGTTATAATGGCCCGCCCTGTCACCACTTCCTAGGTAGTAGGGTGGCAAGGACTTGACGCTCCTAGAAAGTTGTTTGCAGCTCAACTAATTGGAAAGTTACAACTTGCCTCGGGGTTCCTGGTTTGGCGTCAAACAGGCTCCTAGCATGACGTACTGCGCTATCGCAATTAGATTGAACTTTGTGGAGGCATGGCGATGTAGCTGATACCGGCTAATGCCATCTCCTATTTATAATGTACGTTCCAGTCTAAAGTATGGTTCACATTGCCTCATCCTGACTTGACTTTTCATACCAATGTCCGCAGATACGCTTTCACTCCCCCCTCCGTCTGATGAGCAGGCGTACATGGATGTATCCGCCCTTGAAGCCGGACACCTGAGCGTCCCTCTGGATCTTATTTTGGCTGGGGATCAACCGGACGAACCGATGAATTGCCCCTCACTTGCATTCTTCCTGCGTCACTCGAAGAGCAATAAACGAGTCGTTTTCGACCTAGGAATTCACCGAGACATAAAAGAGTTTGCGCCTGCTGCAACAGAAAGGTTCTTGCCTGTCGTGAAGCAGACGGTAGCAGAGTCTTTGGAGGCGGGTGGAGTTCCCCCTTCCTCCGTTGACATCGTAGTCTTAAGCCACCTCCATTGGGATCAGTGAGCCGTTCAGCGTCTGAGGTAGTATGAGTTGCTTAACGCATCTTCCCTCAGCGTCGGAGATCCCTCTCCATTTACGACTGCTGTGTTCGTCCTCGGAGAGGGATCGAAGCAAGTTTTAATAGACCCTAGTTCCTGCCTCAATCCTGTAGCCTTTACATCCATTCGTCTGCCGGAAGATCGTCTGCGCTTCATCACAGATTTCGACCTAAATGTGGCGATTGGTCCCTACCCGCGCGCAATGGATATTTTCGGCGATGGCAGCATGTATATCATTGATGCATCAGGTTTTTATCTACTGCATGCTTGAGACTGAAAGGAACATTACTCAGGCTTATTTATTTCAGGGCATGTTGACGGGCATATAAATATCCTTGCGCGCACTTCCCCAGACGGTGCTTGGATCCTACTAGGTGCAGATTCAGCTCATCACCCTGATCTGATCACTGGGAAGATGCAAATTGCGTACCGTGTCGACGTGAAAACGTGCGCAGTGATGTGTGTCCATGAAGATAAGGAAGCCGCGGAGGAGAACATTCGCAGAATGAGGTTGCTGTTAGAGGTCCCGAGGGTGCAGGTTCTGACTGCACATGATATTTACTGGTATGAAGAAAACAAGAATAAGGAGGTCTTCTTACCGCACATATTACTTCCGCTTGTGTAATGATGGATTGTCACGTGTTATGTATTCATTATATCATTTAAATTATATAAAACACTTTCAAAATGCCTCGTGAGTCGTGAGTACTTGAGTCATGGGCCCGGGGACAGTGCGGCGTCGCCGGCGTGGTCTTCAAACCTATCTCACAAACTCTCTCGCTCTAGATCCCAATGACCGCAATCTGTTTTTTTTCCACTGTCCTGGATGAATATCACGATACTAAACGTCCTTCTGAAACATGGGAAACCATACGCTGAGGAGGACGACAAGGAGAAGTAGTACTATTTATTTGATGGTTGTTAATACACTCTTCTTGGTAATCGGTGTTCAGAGACACCGCGGTGTTTTCCATAAACCGCGACATTGACGGGTCGGTGTGTACCCGTACCCGTTGAGGGTGTTGGCGGGTGCGGGTGCGGTGTCAACTTTCCGACCCTCGGTATTACCCGTGCGGTACCCTAGAACTTGTACGCATTCACTCAGAGCTCTACAAGGCAGGTAAGGTATATCTATGTCGCCCACTGATATCTCCAGCACCACTGGCCGCGAACCTTCTGTCCGATACGACCTCAACGCAAGGCAAGGATGTTGTGAGCAGCACCAGACAGATTACGGCGGTTCGAATTCAAACTTCCAAAACAAACCGGCCACTTGGTACGCACTTCTAGTTTTCACTGCATCCTAACACATATCTGTTGGACCTTTTCTAGTGTACAACATGATGCGCCAGACAATGCCTAGCCATTCACCAGATTATATGCTAGAACCCAGAACTCGTCCAACATCGGCGGCGGTCCATTTAGAATAACTCTCAAAGTCGAAACGCCTGCCCAGCGTCAAGTTTCAACCCGTTGATATGCCGTATCTGTATAATTGTCAACGTTAGTCACGTCCGTATGTCTGGCTATTCACCTGCAAATTTGTTGACGAGAACAAGTTCCAGCACCACCCTGCACCACCTGACCAAGCTACCACCGCGATCGCGATGTTAGGCGAGAGTAGTTGGCATATCCGTAAGTCTGTGAGATTCGAAGCTGCATTGAGGTATATATTTGCATGATCTGCGTACTCTGGGGTCTACTAAAGAATATCAGGAATACACCTACATCACGAATATACCGTAACCGATAGTATGTGTCGTTGTTTTTGTTTTTAATGACTTGCTCCACACTCGGCTGGCTCTTGATTTTAGCCTCCACCCTTAGCAATGACCAAAAGATTCATGATGTGGAGTGATTTGTATTGAACCGTCTTCCTTCTATTTGGTCCACTCATGGGAGACTAGGCATGGTTGCTGTTTTCGAACTTGCGGATGAATATTCTGACTAGCAGCAGCTATAAAGCGCGCGAGCACAGAACTGACGAACAACCAACAAAGAAACAAACCCGCACTTAGCTTCAAAATCTCGCAATTTTTGACAGTAAGGTTCATCTAACCTATAGGTCCAACTTATGACACTGATGGTCTAGATGAATCTCTTGACGATCATTCTCCTGGCGTTTACGGCCATCGGTCCTCTTACTGCACGAGCCATGCCCGGCTCCGAGACGACTGACGCCAAAAAATGCACTTGGGAGGTGTGCGGGGGGATCCCGTGCTTGAGAACGACTGTTGTAGCCACCAGAGCTTGCACATTGTTAGGTGCCCCGGCGACTCAGTACTGTTGCGCTATCTAGCGACGCAAATGAAGGTCCGGGTACGTCGGCGATGAAACCCTTTATCAGAACATGTACTGAGTGAAAGATAGGAAATCAGTGCTGCTCGCGCGCCGAAAGCATCCCCAAAGATTCTCGCATGTTGTCTACGGTAGCATCCTTAGTCACCCCTGTAAAAATTGTTCCATCTTGCACTTGTTGACTATCGCCAAGAAATCAGACTCGTTCTTGATCGCTGACTGTACGAACATAAGGGTCAATTTAGGAAAGCGCTATTTGCGCAATAGAAAGATGTTCCAAGGATCCCTTTCACCGGGTCGATAGGAATCAGATCTTTGTAGGGCTCCCCGTGGTATCAGAAGGGGCGTGCTTGGCATTTGGATCGTTCTGTGTCAGAGTCAAATATATCACTGGGATATGTGCCTTCTTGTCTTCGACTGTTTGGAGTCTCCGTCCTTCAGAGTCCACGATCGAACGTAAATGGGTTCACAAAATTGTGCACAAGAAGGTTGCAAGAAGGCCCAAAGTTATTTAAAATACATACAATGGTATTTGAAAAATTTAACTCAAAAAAAAACTCAAGTGGTAGCTGTAATTAATCGCACCATCTCCGGCACGGAATTTTTTCGAGGACTATATGATTCGCAGTGAATCTACACCTTGACTGCTGCGGAGGGCAATCTTATGGCGGTCGAGCATCGCCACAACGTCTTGATCGTCACTATGATACACCCAGCGCGAATGAGGACTTTTTTGCTCGGCCGTTCGTGCCTCCAATGATTGTGCCTTCATCTGTGAAAACGCCTTGGGAATGTCCGAGTTGTGCAATGCAGCTCCGACATTTACGAGTGTGAAATCGTTGTATTTTCCATCGCGGAAATGCGCAAATATGGTCAGTGCCCATAAAAGCGCGAATGAAATGGTAGCCACGATGACGTTTGGCAACGACGATGTGAAGATGAGCTGCATGCCAGACACTCGCCCCGGGACGTAAGCTGTGCCTTCGCTACCCGTGATATATGCTGAAGACAAAGGCATCTCAACAAGTGGCCATCAGACCGTGCACACGACATATAACAAACTCACCCTTCGCCGCAGCTTGCACTATTTGAGTGTACCCTTGCGTGAGATTCTCAAGTGGGATTGGTTGAAGTATTACTCCTCCTATACTGTTGAGATCGATGGCATTCATCTGGGCAGGCGAAAAGAGGAAATTGACTTGCGTCTCCGACCCGAGGCCAAACCACACTGATGTCAGCGGGCCCGAGTCTATCGACAGGTAGGACGTCGCTATGCCTAGCATGGATGATGTTTGCATGAAATCTAAGTTCCCTTGCCTTTGATATGCTTTGCCTTCAGGGAGTGGCTGGACTTCCAATATGAAAGACCCTTGTGTGCGAACCTCGCGAGTTTCGATTGTAATGTTGGGCTTGCACACGAGGAACGCGAGCTCGTAGCTGTTATTTGGCGCGGTGAACTGTAGAGTCGGTATGCCAGTTAGGTCTGGGTAGATGGGAATGTTTAATTGGGCGCAGCCTTCGGTGCATGCAACGATGGCAAAAGTTGTCGAGCCGTCTGATGGCAGTGTTTGAGTAGTATGGTTGAAGACATATGTAGTTGGGTCCAACACGGAAATTTGTGTTACAAAGTTGGATTTGTACACCGCTGGTATTGGTTTAGCTATGACGTAGGTTTCAATGTTGGCGCGGACTTACGGAAGATGCTGCTCGGAACATGAATATCAAGATCGAGGCCCTCGAGGTATGTAACAACGGCCGTTGAGGCTACGCTGGTATTATCCATCGCTATTGATGACGAAGACTTGGTAAGATTTAGAGGATTTGCCCATGTGCAAAAGGGATTGAATCCAACTACGTCAGTTAGCCATCTTGCAGTTGTCGAAGCTTGGATGCTGGTTGGCATGGGCGCGACATAGGCCGCATATTCACCAAGTGACTTGTTCGACATGGTGTACGCATATGACATGCCCAGAGCCATTTCTACCCATGCTATCGAAGCGGGATACCCAGGGGAGATAGCCAGTTGCATAGGTGGAATGGTTTGTCCGGACGCAACAGGACTGTCGTGAAGTACAATTATTACGCAATAAAATTTTTAAGAATCAATTCCTTACTTGTAAAAGCTTAAGGGCGGGATGGCTCCAACAGAAAATGCCTGGATATCGCCGTCGGCCAGAACGGTTTGGATGCTTACTTCGGGAGGTCGTCAACTACCAGCCACCAAGGCAAGACAATTCTACCCACAGGCGGCAGGTGCGAGCGCCGATGCAACCCATGCAATACCTGCTGCAACAAAGGCAGTCACAAAAAATGGAGAACAATTTTTGTATATGATGAGCAGGATAGTCTCAACGACTCCACAGGAAGGGTTGGAAATGGCATTGATTGCAGACAGAGGAACTTGGCGACGTTTGCGAAGAACCCTGAAAAATTCTTCGCTCTTGTTGCAAAGGTTTGTTAAAAACTGAAACGAAACGAGGAAGTGGTTGACTCACCTTCAAACTGGCAAGCAAATCATGCACAGGATAAAGAGAAATACTGATAATGATGATGCTAATCGTCGTTAATCCAGATTTTACAATGGCTTCAAAAGAGATGAGTGTTGGGCCAATACGTTATCATCGTTTCATACCGAGCCAGGTGTCATTGAGTTCATTGTACAGTCCTTTGCCATCGAAGGGAACCACTTTATAATGGACCGCATAGCAAAAAGACAAATATGCAATGGTGATAAAAGGAACAAGGAAGGTCTTCGTAAACTGCCAGGTGCCTTTGAGCAGAATTTCCCTGCGGCTCATGGCGGGGAGCTGACGAAATAGCTGCGGGCGAATCGGGGTCTGGAAACTGCTTGAGCTCGGTGCATCCTGGTAGTAATCAAACTGCTCTTCGTCAAGTGAGGGACACAGTGTGGAGTTTTGAGGTTCTGATATATCTGGATGGCTAGGGGGTAGAGAGCGAGAGGGTGAAGAACGCGAGTGGAGGGGCATCAATGGCACGTTATCCATGGAGCTGGAGTTTGGGTATAGGACTTGCCGATCGCTGGGCATGCTGACATTCCATACAAAAGGAACCAATTTGCTGTGGATTCCTGAGAAAGTGAGGCAGGAACCACTGACCTGTTTTTATCCCTGATTTGGCGTCAATAATCATCTCCCGAGCAAAATATAAGAGTGTAGAGGCTATGTCAGATGACGGACGAAAGGTGCCTGGGTATTAGGGACTTAATGAGTGCCATTCGCCGTACTGCCAACTCTCAGAACATATCCAATGAAAGTACATTTTCAAATCACGGGGTTTGTGATCAAACAAACGAGAAACTTACATTTTCCTGTGTCCGTCCGGGGGATCAGCAGATCAACAGGGTGGAGCCGAACGTCCGCCACAGGCACACACAAGCCTTCGCAGTTCGCACAGAGTGTTCCATCATCCTGGTGAGTAATGCTCTTGGCAATGTTGGCATCCATGAGTTGAACAAGGTTGACTGGGAAAACAAACAGAAATATGCTGTAAACGTTCCTCATTTGTACATGGACTCCGTGTAGTAGTGACCAGGCAATGGTTATGGTTTAGAGAAATTCATATCATGCGAAAAATATTGACTTCAAGGATATCATCAAATTGCTGTGGGCGCTGGGCATCGAAGCCCGCACATATGAAGGCTTTGAACAATCTTCGTGATCACGTGCATAGGATCGGTGACATCGGATGTTCATTGTTTTGACTCGAATCTTTTCGAAATTCGCAGCACTAATCGCTCAGCTGCACTTAAGTGGTCTCTAATCGCTCATTAATCACTGCTGAAACATGTTTTAAGTCAATCGAAGTATCAATCACCAAATTCCAATCATCTTGGCGATCTTTGTATTCCCATGGTTCGCCGTGTTGCTAGGCTGTCGTGGTGTTCAATTCTTCCTCATATGCATAACTTCATATGACCATGTGAGTGATTGACATCGGCGGGTCCGTGGAACTAGTGACTTTTCTATCGGTTGCAGTGTCGCACAGTGTCGTACTACCATACTTACCCTTATGCTTACCTTCTACCCGGAAAGGGTATCGAACAGTTACGAGTTACCTGTAGCTCACCTGATAGGGTTAAACACAGCCTGGACTTTTCATTGCCAAGATATCCTTTGAGTCCTCATTACACCGACTGATCCTGTGGTCGTCCTCGTTGTCCTTTTTGTTGTTACTGTGCTATGATGGTTCGTTTAGCGTGCGCGAGGGTTTTCACAGTGCTCGTTATTATTGTCCATGCTGCTGAAAGTCAGAGTAAGTACTCAGCAGACGTTTGTTCCGCAAGCATGACGAAGTTGACTTTCTTTGATTCTAGCATGGGTCAGTCTGCCGATGAACGTTCCGCAAAATCTATCGGACCTGGTCTTCGATGGTCCCACAGTCCCAACACTTTTCGGAACTCCCCCACAAGTGATTAATTCCACCCTTGATTTGAATACAGCCAAGCTAGCCGTGTACTCATCGGACTGCGTTTTATGTGCCGGCAACACGTCCTTCGATGTTTCCATGTCATCGACTGCGAAGGTCCGTTTCTTACTTTCATGCACTATTATGATCCACGTTCCAATTTCTTCAGCCCCTCAATTATTCGTGGCCCTATTCAACGCAGGCTTACAGCGGTAATATGTATAGCGACACTTTTGGATTTGGCGGCCTTCTTCAAGTGGCTGACACTCCGTTCGGTGGGTAATGCTGTCTCTCAGCGCACACTTTGCACGAGTGACGCCTATTGCAGGCTTGATTGAGACTGGTGGTGATCCCGCTCTTGCATACATGTTGTACAATGGCCGCCTGGGCCTTTTCCCGGACCCTCTCGACGCCACCGCAGCGTCGCGACATTTTCTCTTACAAATGTACCAGTCGGGCCAACTGTTAAATCCGGTCGTGGGGATGCGCTTTGACCCAATAAATCCCAAAATCACTATCGGTGCTTTGGATCCCAACGATTATCAAGGCCACATCAATTGGGTGCCGTTGACAACTCCCAATGCTACATGGACGTTCCAGAACACATTCATGATTGATGGCTTGAAGGGGTACAATGGATCTTTCCTCCCTGAGAGCGAAAACTTGCTTGCGGTCCTTGATTCGCGTAAGCTCTCTCCATAGCCTTGGGTAGTTAATCAATTCAATTTTTCGCAGTGTGGACTGGAATCTCGATGCCAAACGTTGATACATACGTGAAAAATCAAGGCTTTGCTGGAAATGTGCATTATAACCTCAATTACAAGACCGGTGTTGCATCGTACGTGTGCAACTCGACTGTCAAGCCCTACGTGGCTCTCACGGCCACTATCAACGGAGTCGATTACCCAATGGACTCTCTTAACAACTTGTTACGACCTCTAGCATCGAATATAGCTCCTGCAGGGTGTTGCCCAATAGCCCCGACGAACAGATCTGCTACCTTGCCAAACCTAAATTTCGGATTGCCATTCCTTCGCAGCATCTACCTGTAAGTGCGAAGCTTCCTAATATATTTCCTCTCCTTATAAAGTGATGAAGCGCGTATAGATTCCCAACTAACGGCTGCCCTGGCTTCTACGGCTTTGCCTTTCCTTCCGGTGATGTGAACCGCACCGCTGCACAAATATCACAAACACCAACAACTACGCCTACGAACAGCGCACAGTGCCTCGCACTCATCTCACCAACCTCAACGCCGACACCGTCATTTGTGACTGCTCAACAAATGCTTTTCTCTACCAAGAAGTACAGCGTGTATGGCAGTCCACAGAACATGTCAGTGCCTCTGATGGGGGTTGAGAACTTCCCGGCAATGGTGTGGAACTCGAGCTTGGGTAACTCGGGTTGACACTGCTCGTTTGGACCAAAAACATTTCCCTCTCCATCCTGTGATGCACCTATCGGGCTCGAATAATATTTTCATGTTTGTAAGTAATTCCGAGGAAAAACCTGAATACACATGCGAATCGTTACAAAGTTCTCACTTATGGGAGCTCACAGGAGCTAACAAGTCGACAAGATATCATTGCCTTGATACTTATACTTACTGACAAAACATCGATGTATCATCAATAATACTCGTTCAACATAGCTCCACCACCATGGGTGCTATCGCTACCGGCTCAGGTACAATCAATGTAAAAATGGTATACAGTGTGATTCTAGAGAATTTTTCGGAAGTGGAAACCGCGATAGAAAGGAATGATAACTGCGATAACATACTCTTCGATTTCTTCGTCAATCATTCAAATTCTCAATGCCCCGGCAAGGTCCGAAGCAGAGCAACTCTAACACACTCAGCGAGACTTTTTGTCACGCATTGGCCAACACAACCAAACGACTCCTCAAAACATTGGCAATTTACCAACATGTCTCACCATTGACGAAATGGTAACACTTTTTACACTCACAGGAGATATGTGAACTGCCCACCGCTTACGCTTATCCGTTCGTCCAACTTTCCTGGGCCAAAGTCAGGCACAGTTCATCCAAAGCCAGCTGCTAGGTGGTTTAATTACCGGCATGCCACTATGTGGGCTGGACTGCTGAACTACTTCGGGTGGTGGAGAATGTCCGTACTGCACCTCATTTGTTGTTATGCTGCCTTTCTCGAGACCACAGCATCTGGGTCCTACTTGTCCATGCCGAATACGGCTCATGCCATCATAACAATGAACCAAGGCATTAGACATAGTAGCCATATCAAATCTTCAGCGAGGCGCTCCACGTCCGAGGTCCGTGTCAAAATTCAAGAACGCCGCCCATCTTGATTAGGGGGATGATTATGTTCTCTTGACCTCCCAACGGAGTTCTGCATCCTTCCTCAAATGCCCTATTGGCATATCTGCAGCATTTATTCTCGGCGAACAGCGTTGGATGACATTGATAACACAGCAATTCTCCGTGGAATACGGGTCATATTACTTCGGTGACAATGATCTCATATATGAAGGTCCCGGGCTGGTCTGCAAGGTTGTGGAATCGATCTGATGGAACTCTGATACTCATCAGGGACCAAACTTCACACGAGTATCATTGAGCACTGCCCTTGTGTAGTCCCAAGTGGGTTGTCCTCAGCAGCGCACCACAATCCAAACCATGAGAATCGGATAACTGGTGAATGCTGCTTTAGATAAGCTCCAAGTTACCCCTTTTCAAACTAATGTTAGTCCAGGTGAGTGCCTGACAGATCTAGTTTTGGTTCGAACTAACTGTATCCCAGCGTGTATCTCGCCGCTGACTTAAACGTCCCTGCGGGTCTACCAGACCCGGTATTCATCGGCTCTACCGCGCCAACATTCTTGGGGTTGTCCCTCAATTATTCATTGCCTTACCCAACACCTGTTTTTTGTCATTGGCGGTCTTCGTCAATACTCCGTTCGGTGGATATGCCGTTTCTCCGTGTGCCCTCTCTGAGCTTTTTTTGTCATCAATGCCCTTTAACACCGTGTAGGTTTAATCAGAACCGGAGGTGATGGATTTGCTAAACAACAGTCGCCTGGGTGTTTTCCCGGACCCCCCTCAACCCCGCTGCAGCCTCAGGGCATTGTCTCACTGAGTAACAGATGCACCAGCCGGGTCAATTACTCAGCCTTGTTGTGGGGATGCCCTTCATTAACAAATCCCAAAATCACTACTGGTGCCCTGGGCCACACCCGCTCGCCAGGCCATTTTAATTAAATTAGGTATAATTAATACCCCCATTGCGATATGGCAATACATACCAGAATACCTTCATCATTGTTGGCTTGAAGGGCTAAAATGAATGGTTTATTTCTGACGGTGGATGTGACTTATTCCGATAGGTGCTGTTTCCAAGGGTCATCACTGTCTCCGCATTCATTCATATGCGCTCAGAGTGGTTTGGCGTCTCATTTGCCAAACTCAATACACATCTGACAAATGAAGGGTTCGCGAGCCATCTCGAATTGTCATGCCTGCAGTTGCGACTAGCCCTTTGTTGAACTGACCGCCGTTGTTAGCGGCGTGGACGATCGCATGGAGTCTACAGGCGGCTTGCTTCGACTTCGTTGGCCTATTGCGCCTGGCTGGTATCTCAAAACATCAATACATCAGCGTTGACCCGTTTCTCCGAGCGCCCTGTATTTATTTCGTGGGGTCAGGCATGCCCTGATTTCGTGCGCGGCGTAACGATTGCTAACAGATGACTACGCTGGGATTATGGCTTCACACTCCCTTCTGGTTGGTCGCACGAGTACACAGCGTGGCCCACTGTGCAGATCTCAAACACTAGCCCCCAACGCCGATAAAACGTGCGCAATGTCTCGCGATCACTGTGCCGAGGTCGACGCCAACAATTGTTGCTGTTCAGCAGATGAAGCTGTCGTTTCAGATGTATGTGTTCCGCAGCTCACCAGACCTGCAAATGCAGCTATCGTGGGCATGGATGACTGCCCAGCTGAAATATGGACATGAAACGTGTGCAGAGAAGCTTCTTTCGGAAAAAGGCGTTTGAAAAACGAGCTGGATTGCCGCAGGTTGCAACTAGGACGATTGGGGCTATTCAATGCAACAAAGTAAACTCACAGACGTTCGTGTGTTTGATTGCCTTTCATACTGTAGAACAATAACAGAACTGGTTAGGAGCAGTTCATGACTTATCACGCCAATCAGATGTCTTTGGATGCGTTTTATAAGGTGCATGCGGCTCATATGACATGTCATACGCAATATGAATACGTAGGATGTGAAGCAGGTAAGAGGGTGGTACAATCAGACCGTCGAGGGGTACAGCATCTGCATTGGGGTCAATATAACAGTCAGGGAAGGAGGAAACGACCAGACGCACAATGCGGACGCTTTCACCGAATGCGCGTGGAGGAAGGTTGGATCTGAATTTTGATTTCACAACGCCGGAGTTGCCGTGTGGACGGGTGACACGGCTGGGAGTACAAACACAGTTATGAGACTGACTGTATTACTGTTGCAATAACGGTCGGACGTACCCCCAAATCACGCGGACCTTCGAGCCCTGGACCTCCCTCTTGGCTTTGTAGACGTATGCTACACGCTGTACGCACAATACTGGGTCTATTTTTGAATGCAGAAAATGAGGATGAATGCGTACCTTGCCGAGGTAGAACTGGGCATCCTCCTTCGTTGCGACACCCTCGATCTGGATGAGGGAGGTGTTGGGGCGAGTGTTGCGCTTGGCGCGCTTGTGGCCGAGGACGCGTCCCTTTGAGTAGAGTCTGTGCATCAGGAGGAAGCATGAGTACGGTCTTGACCTTGCACCGAGAAGCACTTCATCCAGATCACATCCAAGCCATCCACCCCATTCTAAGCCATCCAGAGATATCTCCACCAGCGGAATATGCAAATGCGACACAGCGAAGCAATGCGAGTAGATACTGACCTTGTTGAGCCCATTTTGCCGTCTAAAAATCTTCCGCCGTGTCGAGGTCGCTGAACTTGAGGATAGATGGAAGCGAAGCGTGACAACGTCACAGTGTAGTAACATGTAACACGTGACTTTTCGCAGACTATAAATGTGGGTCAAATGTTAATATTTTATTTAGTCATCGTTGCAGACGACTAGTGCTGCACTTGATGATGTCGTTACCAGACGTTGTCGAGTAACGGAGCGATGGGATATCGAAGTTTTCGTTTTGTACACCTTAGCAGCTGACTGTGGAACTTTGTTCTGCGATGGCGTTGCGGTACTACCACTGAATGAAACTACATCCATTTTTTACCACTCCTCCATCATGTGTCTATGCGGGATCTTCGTCATTTGTGTTTGTGGGCTAGGGAGCTCAATAATATTAAGTTGATTACTTCTCAGCCTCACGATGTTCATGCTGGAGCTTTCCTGTCCGGCCCTTAACGCTACACGCGATTACTTAGACTGGCTTGGGCAGTGGTCATCACCCAAACACTACAGCTACCAAACCTTCACTCTACGTACTCTCCCAAGCAGTGAGCGCAAGTTAACAAATGAATCGGTTTGGCTCTTCAGTTTGGCGGCGCTTTTCTTCTACTTCTTCGTCCCCAACTTTTGTAGTCAAACCTGCACCTGCCAAAGAACGTCACCACGTCCAAATTCCGGATACTTCCTTCCCGCATGGCTACAGCCTTACTGGTGTACATTGCGGTGTGAAAAAAAAATCCGTCTGTCCTTGACCTTACAGTTATACTTTCAACCCATCCAAAACCTGCTTCCGCAGCAGCGTGCTTCACTCGTAACGCATTCAAGGCTGCCCCAGTACTCGTCTGCCAGGAGGTGCTTGAAAAAAGTGCTGGCCGTGCCCGTGCCATCGTAACTAACAGCGGATGCGCCAACGCAGTGACCGGCAAGCAGGGCTTGGAAGATGCTTGGGCCATGGTCAAGGCCACCGATGCTCTTCTCCCCAAGTCGGAGGCTAGCGGAGATATCAACGATACATTCGTAATGTCGACAGGTGTGATCGGTCAAAACCTTCCCATTTCCAAGATTCTCTCCGGCATCTCGTCTCTTGTACCTTCAAGTCTTGGCTCAGATTTCGCAGCTTGGGAGCGTGCGGCAAAGGCCTTCATGACCACTGACACTTTCCCCAAACTCCGTGCTCGGACTTTCAGCCTTGGTGGACAGACGTTCCGTATGGCTGGGATGGACAAGGGCGCAGGCATGATTCATCCTGACATGGGTCCCCCCACTAACCCTGGCCAACTTCATGCTACGCTACTGGGTTGTATCCTGACGGACGCCGCTGTTTCTCCGCAAGCCCTGCAGTCTGCACTCACGTACGCAGTCGACCGTTCCTTCAACTCTATCAGCGTGGATGGAGACATGTCCACGAATGATACGATCATTGTTCTCGCTAACGGTGCTGCTGCTGGAGAGACAAAGGAGATTGAGGAGCACGATCCTCTGTTCCCGGCCTTCCGTGATGAACTTACATCCTTCGCCGCTGAGTTGGCTCAGCTTGTAGTTCGCGATGGTGAAGGCGCCACCAAATTTGTCACGGTGTCCGTAGAGGTAGGTCGCCGCTTTGGTTATCTATATGTTCCATTAGCCTAATCCGTACAGGGAGCACCGACATTTACTGATGCTCATCGTGTCGCATCAAAAATAAGTACATCAGCACTGGTGAAGACCGCATTGTATGGCGAAGATGCCAAGTACGCCAATTCACCCTTGATCGTGATTTGCCACTGATTTAGACGAAACGTTGCTTCAGCTGGGGCCGTATCCTTGCAGCAACCGGCTCTGTTCCTCTCTCCACGCCCATTGACCCCTACCGCGTGAACGTCACCTTCGTTCCCGCAGACGGGAGCACTCCGCTTCCCGTCTTGGTGCGCGGCGAGCCCGAACTTGTGGATGAGGTGCGCGCGAAGGAGATCTTGAGCGAAGAAGATTTCGAAATCAAGGTGGATCTTGGCCTAGGCAGTGAGAGCGCCCAATATTGGACGTGCGACTTCAGCTACGTAGGTTCTGTGTGTTTTCCCTTCAGAAGGAGGTGCTGATCCATAATCATAGGAGTACGTGCGGATCAATGGAGATTACAGGAGTTGAACGTCGAACGCAGTCTGCTGTGTTTGTTGGATTTGTTTGATATCATTGTTTTTTGGGGGTGTGGGATCTACAGCCGTCTATTTGATCTCGGATATACTATCAACATTGTCATCAGCCTGCGGCCGTGCTTTGATTGTCGCCGCGCGATGAGACCATGGATCTAAAATGAACATTTCCGGTGTGAAGATCGTGCTGCCCCCCGCCAGAGCTTGATCCGTCATATTTGGTTCGGCGCATGCTGTGTCGCGTCCGGGAGAACTTCGGCCCAGCGGGACATCTCCGTGTTTCTCAAGTCATTCGGTGGAAATTTTATGTCCACCTTCGTGGCGCCATGCGCAAGAGCTTCAGACAAGCACGGCGTTCCTGCTTTTAGGCGTGGCATGTGCGTGTCTTCAAAAACCACGGAACCCAATGTGAACACGGTGCTGCCAGTCTTGACTGCATCTAATGCAGCTGATAGTAATACACGATTTACATCATCACCTGATATCATTGATACCGAACACATAGATCTCAACTTACTTCATATGTGCCATCACTATCTTGCCCAGGTCATTGATGGGATCAGCGCGCTGCAATTTGCATCATATCCAATCTGTTGAACACTATAGGCTGTCCAGCCTGCCGCTCCGCATCTACAGAAGTAGGATGGACAAAGGTTTCTATGCGCACAGGACCCGGGATCTTCAAGAATGCTGTGAGTCCTATATCTGAGTAGAAGCAATAACAACACCCATTGGCTCAATCAGGGACCACACCACGATAATTCGCCCCCGATCTGCTCCAGACATCCTGTGTATCATCCTGGGAGCATTCCAAAATGCACTGTTGAGTCAGAACGCAGGCGGCCAGATTTAAATTGGGGCGGCGGGGTCCATGAGATTTGGACTCCATTAACTATCGGCGGTTGACATCCTCCATAGCCTGCTTCATACACGTACCATCGATGCAGTTCACACGCTGATGGCTTGTCTTGTTCGTTTCCCTCAAGAATCGCTGCAGATGCCAAACGAGGATGATATACAAATTATCGTATTGCCTCAGCTGCATGATTTAACCCTGCTTCGATACTTTTGGAAGGAGCGCTGAAGACAATTATTCGAAGCACGGCAGTTGTAAGAAGCCGGCTTAGTTACATATGTCATCTCCAGTGCATACACAAGAGGCAAACTGATGAACACTTGTGGGGTTGGCTAAGGATTGATCGCAGCTGAACGGAATGTAATATCCCATGCATCTAAGTTCCGTAATGCTAAAGACCGATCAACTCGGCCTGCATTGCTGGCTTTGCGAGGCATTTGTAACACCCCGCACAGCGATTTCATAGACCTTCGACTTCTCACATCGATAGGATGTAGCCGAACAAAACCCGCTGCAGCGGGGTATCCGATGTTTGGCGGCGACAGATCAGAAACAGAATTTCAAAAAATATAATGGTGATTGCTGTATGCATGTACTTCTACGCGATGCGCTAGATTAGATCTAGCACGAGGCTAAGATGTCTGCGATTGATTCTGAACATGTTGATTGTGAAGAACGATGTGATGTGTCCATTCGGTCCGAGTATCCCAACAAGACTCATCAGTAAGTGTCCCCTACATCGCATCTGCGGGCGCATTCACATCACACGAAATATTATTTTGAGAATCTTCAGGAGTTGTCTTTCTATTGCGTTAATACAATAGCAAATTCTAAAGGATGTCACATTGCCAGAACATCACCCATGGATATTTACATTACATCGACGAGCTGAATGTTGGGGATAATGTAGGGGTTCCGCAATTGGCGGTACTAACAAGAAACTACTGGTTAATTCCAAGTAGCAAGAACACAGTAAAGGACATACGTTGGTAGCAGCTTCGAAAGCACAAGCGTACTTGACCAGTGTGGCCTCGCTGAACCGCCTGCCAAAGAACGACAGACCAAAGCTAAATAAAATTAAAATTAAATAAGCACTGATATGTACACAGCGAACATCACGCCTTACGGGAAGTTCGGCCCCAGAGACACCAATGTGCCGCGTGCGTTGTAGGTTACGTTCGTGGTGGCGGGGTAGTAGCCAAGCGGGACTGTGACGATGGGATACCCGGCAATAGCTGCATAACCCGGTGACATTGAGCTCGGAATGATCAGAGCATCAAGGTCATATTTTTCCAAAGCGCCGAGGATCGCTGGGTATGTTGTCATGCAATGTAGACGACATCAACCGCTGGAACTCACTGGCGTTGGATCCATAATAATATTGTTGAAGTAACGCAGTATAATAACTGGCATCCCCCATAGTGATATTGAGGCTTGCAGCACCAATCCACCTGATGCGATTTGAAGATAAAGAAAATCGGATCCTATCACAATGAATCAACTCACCTTGCAACGTCACGGTCAGGCTGTCCAAGATATACTGAATTAATAATAATCTATCCGTCAGCCAAGCAACGTACATAGTCCTCTGGAACATAAGTCTCTGTGTAGTTGATGAGCTGGTGGAGGTTTCTGAAAGACAGTAAATAAATGAGCGAAAAAATGTGATCAACGGTATAGAAACACACGTAATGCCGTTGGGGTTGGTCGTCATTTCGTTGAAGTAGTTTGCAATATCAGCGACAAAATCAGCACCGACGACTGGGGCCGAAGTGTACTGAGTGAGGAACACCATCAGTCATCAAATGCTACAAGTACGTCAAGGCCTCACACTTGCCCCAGTAAAGTTCTGGTATCCAGCGAGGTCCGGGAAATTAGCATTATCCACTATCGTAGCACCAAGTTCTTCGAAAATTTTGATAGACGCGTTAAACGCTGTAATTTCTGGGCCATTGGTTGCAGACACCGTCATAGCATTGCGTGGGATGCCAATCTTGGCGCTTTTCAGACCTTTGCTATTGCACTCAGCTGCATAATCGGGAACAGTTTCGAATGGGATAGCAGATGTATAGTTGTCGTGAGAATCCTGGCCTATCAAAATAATCAGATTAATGGGATACGGGCGCGTATCAGAAATAAACGCGCCTGCGATCGCGGAGAGGATGTATGCTGCATCCATCATCGTGCGCGTCAAGGGACCAATAGTATCCTGGGTCTGCGAGATCGGAACAACGAGATATCTGCTGGTCAATCCGACAGACTAAAATAATCCAGCATGTATGTGTAAATCCATAGATCAAGGCAGACATGGGCACATACAGGCTTAATCCCAGCTAAACTATTTCTGCTCGCAGGAGAGATGATAGAGCCGGATGTCTCCGTTCCCACAGCAGCAGCAGCCAAGCCAATGGATGAGACGACCCCAGGACCACTGCTAGAACCAGACGGGTCCTGCATCGGATAGTAGGCGCCCATGGTCTGGCCGCCACGAGACGTCCATCCATTCGTCGAGTTTGACGAACGATAATTAGCCCACTGAGAGAGATTGCATTTTCCGATGATGACAGCGCCCGCAGCTTTGAGCTTTGCCGCAACCGTAGAATCGCTCGGTGGGATCGCACCGAGAAGGGCAAACGAACCGGCTAATATGTTTTGAGTTGGATGACACGACAGATTCGGTAATTGTCACGGACCTGTGTTATTCATCTTATCCAATGTCGCGATGTTGTCTTTGATGCATATTGGGATGCCATGCAACATTCTATAGCACAAGACAATCAGAGCGAGAAACATGGAGATCGAAGTAAACAACAATACCCTCTGGTGGAACCGCCCGCTCTTTCAGCGTCTAGGGATGCTGCAGTCGAAAGAGCATCGGGATTGGTCTCTATAACCGCATGCAAAACGGGGTTGACCTCATGTATACGCGCCACGTATGCCTTTGATAAAAGTAGGTGAAAATGGACCGAAAGAAACGAACAAACTCCCATACCTTCACAAGATCTACACTGGTGAATGTTCCAGCCGCAAGACCGGATTGGAGATCGTCAATTGTCGCGTATAATAAGTCCGGCAGAGGTTGTCCTAATCCGACTACTCAGTTATTGCGATAGAAGCTACGAGTTCTGGCTTACCGTTCCTGGGGCTGATTCCGTACGTGATGCAGGCTGATACCCCGGAACCCACCGACAGCAGCGTCAAGACCACCAAGCTGAACCTGATCGCAAACATAACCATAACGATGCTGGAGACTTATTTCCACGCGCAGAATGTGCTTATGCAGCACCATCATATATACTATCATCGAGCTTCAGGACATGACGAAGAAAAACGTCGTTGTCAGCATACGGCATAAGTGATAAGGTGAGTATTATTCTGCGCGTACATGAGGCTTGCCAGACACTTGATCACTTGGCAGAATTGTCATCTGGAGGTGTCGCGTGGTATTCACGCCTAAATAAGAGTTGTGTGATCTTATCTCCAGCACAATGAGCACGTTTACTTGTTCTCGTGACCAGGGACCTACGTTCAAGGCTTGACGGTACGCCGAAGCGCTGGCTTGAAATTCTGGAAACAGATATTCTGGAAATGAAGGATCTCCCGGAACTCCTTACAATACCAAACGAATTTGTGAAGGCACCCTTTCCGCGGGACTACGGATAGTGCCAGGTCATATGGGAGAAGGAGTCGAGTCACGGTAGTTCAAGTTGCAGAAGTGCTCAATTGAAGGAAGTTGTAAATCTCTCACCTTCAAGTTTCTGCACTTCCAGAAAACCCACAACGTGCCACTACACCACATTTACAAAGCTCGGCGGCTAATAAGGTTGTGCCACAAGAAAACTGATCAAGGTTTTTCGCTGCCACTAGTGCACTGTTCGAACTTTGCAGCTTGAACGGGTATGAACTCTGAAGGTTCCGAGAGACGGCAACGTTATCGCACAGCATGTGCGACGCTGGAACTGCCGAAATTTGTGTTTCATACGACTTACGTCGGCTGCATGGAGTTTTTGCGTAGGTTTACAAGAGTGCTGGTGCGCGGCTAAAGAACATTGAGCTGAACTAGCTTAGGCTGGCGGGCGGCCCGTCGGCAGGCCCCTCACCCACGAGGCAGTGAGCCTATCAGTACCAGTATCAGGATCGAAACCCCGGGTGCTATACAGATCCCTCTGATGGAGATGGGGGCCAACTCCCGATTCTCCAGAGTGCTTTGCTCACGGCGTCTCAACGGTACAGGATGAAACGTTATCATTTCCAAGGCGTTTACGTATCGCTCACCTTCATTTTCTCGAAGCATGATACAGGATGTCGGACTCAGTTGCAAGAGCATGTCATTTCAGGTGATGGGTATACTTTGCGTCTACTGTTTGCAGATTAGCTCAGGAATGATCCAAGTATCACTAGTACTGATCCGTATACAGGACTCGAATCAGACTCACGTCACATGGACATCTTAAGGGGCTCATCAATGATGCCGCCTCATCGGCATCAGATTTCGAGAGTATTTCTGTGCAAGATGTGATAACCGGTACATACGGTGCAACAATTCCGTATACGAATCTGATGATATCAATGTCATGGATTCATAACAACTACAAGGAACCCAGCGACAATCTGATCGATGGGCCTCCCCCGTCCGAGTCGTTCTCATGTCATATCCCCTCCGCAAGCACGGAAACGTTCAAGTTCCCAGCACACTTCTTTTCAGCACACGTCTTGACATTAATCGCATTATATTCCACGTTCTGCATTGACGTCGTGTGACGTCCCACGAAATGTGCCGATGTCGGCGTAACGCTCAGGCTCAGATCAGCCCCGCAGCACGCGATCCGAACCTTGGGCATTATTTCCGTTCCAGCAGGCGTTTGCGGAATGTGGGGAATAATGCAGGAACCGGGTCTGTTATCGCGTTCCATATACAGCTGGTGACAGCGCAGGCAGTGCCTGAACACATTGTCCCTCACAGCAGCATGAGCGCTAGAAGTTACGACACCGATACCCTCTAGCCCGGAGAGAAAATTCTCAATATCCGTTGAGAGAAGCATTCGATTGGACAAGGCAGTTGTAATCCGCGCATGTAATTCCTGTGGCGTGATATTCTGCAAGTAGTATTTAAGGACTGCCATCGCCTCTGAGCGGTTGCCACCAGTGAAGGATATAGCTTTTGCCATGCCTCTTTGGGGAATCGGGCGACCGACCGCAGTTTGCATCGTGATCAAGAGTAAGAATTGGATATGGAGAGGCGCGGAATCAGATGGGCGGATGATCTTGATGTTCAAGTTGATGGTGTCAGAAGGGGGGAGACGATATTTATACGCTCGATAAACAATTGTGACGGTGGCATCCCGAACGCAAGGACAAAGAATGTGAAAAATGACGTGCTAACTTGAAACGGCTTTGCAAACCCATGGATCGATTGATTTGCTACAAAGTCGAAGTCAGTGCAACAATGAGCTTAGGCCATTGTATGTCCGCAATTGAAGCCGCTCCAAGTAGCTGCAATTGAGTGCTGGAATCGATCAACCTGCATCATAAAGGCGGTATCGGACAACAAAGTAATTCGAGGCATGTGAAGAGATGGCTCCAAGAAAACAAAGGCATTGCTGTGCCGCCTACAGATAATAGAAGTCATTTTAATGTCAAACTCGCGGAGTTATCCGTGGGTGGTCTGAGGCACAGACCTCCACACACGCAAACAGTTAGCCCTGGCCGCCCGACTTGCGACAGATGTCAGCGGGGAGAATGAATGCACCCACAAATAGTACAACACCGTCCATACTCGCAATTGGTGTATATATACCAGATAGGTATACTGTCAGACTCAAACGTCGTCACGATCTGCAGTTCAAACGTGCCAAGTCGAAATGCGAACCTGAGCAGATACCTATGACTATGAAACGGTAAGCTGACACCTGTTACAGTTCTTTAGACAGAATAAATTGAACTCAACTTATCAACAGTTTGTTCCTGGAAATACATTTAGGACCTATTGCCGCAGTTCGTCCAGGGACGTGCCTTATGAACTCGCATGCTCTCGTCCGTGGGGGCGCAATGCTATGCCAAGTGTGGTTTCTATAGCATTAACGACAAGGGGTAAGTAATTGGCATACTAGCATTGCTGCGATCAAAAAAGGCCAACAGCCAGTGCGGGAAAGAGAGATGATAGCGTGGTATGAATATTTTTTTTTCCATGTGAAAGTGAAATGATACCTAACTGAGCATGACGACGAGGCGGGAGAAAGTGCCCGCAAGTCCACGAGTGAATCGAGGCCTATTATTAAAATACATTGTAGAGTGAGTGAAAACATGGGAGCTTCTTGTGAACGTGCAGAGCGTCATACAAAGTCTTGGATGAAAGACCGGATGATTGGCCATCATGATGGGGACGTTCTGAAAATGATGCAAACGAACGTGGAGGACTTACCAAAGGTGTGACGAGCGCTAGTTGAGTTGACCAAAGGTATAACGACATGTACAGCCTGTCTATGATGGGATTGGTATGACGGAGAGGAGAAATCCATTTAAAGTGTTGAAATCAAAGAATGAAAGCTTCGGAATCTGATTGATGTGCAGGGTCGTTGTGATAGGGTAGGCGATCAAGATGATAACCCGACAAGCAAATATAGAACAAAGCGAATGATCGCAGTGTAGTGGTAGACAATTAGTTATTTCCGAGGTAGCTAAAAGCTGTTGAGGCCCCGTGAGGCCTGAGGAGGTTGATGAATGAGTGGAGGAGGTCGTAGGACGTCGAGGTTGATCCGAGGGGAGTCGCGGGGATTCGCGTTAATCGGCGACTCGAAAGATTACAGGAGCGCGGTGAGAGCGAGCCGCGTGCGCCGTTATAATTGAAAGTCCGATTACTAAAAGTAATTATAGGTAAAACAGTAATAAAATTAAAATGAAAGTGTTTTACTGAGCTAGCAATTACTTGCAGCATTCCTAGGATCTCCGCTTACCCTTTCACCTGAACCCATGTTCTCTCATTCGGATCACGTTCCCGTTTTACCGCAAATCGAAAAACACAACAATGAATGGCAAGTAATTGTATTCTAACTAACAATTATATTATATTATATTTCTATTCTATCAGGGAATCTCATCACAACGACGACTCACGCCATCACCAGTGCTCAACGCCTCCATCTGATCATCGCCTTCCTGATATCCGTCTTCCCGCTCCTACACCGGACTCGAACAATCCTAAGAAAGATACAAGATCTCAGGAAACAGCTTTACCTCCAAATTTAACACTCAAAGACCCCAGCTTAGATCAGCGCCGTGTTAGTTCTTTATTTACTTCGATGGCCGTGCCTTTGATGTTGATTTGATATCAGGTTTCGACATCTTCGCCACTCCATAAATCAGACCGCTCTCTCGTCTTTCAAAATCACCCATCATCTCCCTCTTATCCTCCACTTCCTCCACTTCAAATGCCTCACCGTGTAGACTCAATCCCAATGACGTCCTCGTACGTACTCTCAATCAATTCAAGCCTTTTATCTTAAACTAACCTTTTCCTAGTCACCGTCGCGAGTATGACTATGACTATGATCACTCTTACAGGAGACCAACTCCACCACCAATTGCAACTCTCTCACATTCCCCTTCACTATCCGTTTCATCCCTAGACCGTTCATCCGTATCTTCCCCAGCGCCACGCCGATCACCCACTGATCGTTCAGTTGATTCACATTCAACCTACTCTGATGCATATTATTCCCAAGATCAGATGGCTCGGCAGTCTAGACCGTACCCCCACGACTCAGTCCGGGACTCGGGAAGGGTCTCCCACAGCTATTCTTATACCCCCCGTCCTCATCCTGAGCACAGGTACTCGCACGACTCTCACCCATATCATGTGTCCTCTTCCTATACTAGCCCCGCATTAGCTCACAGTGCTGCGAGCAGCGGACGCGACAATCAACAGCTCCCGTATCCAATTCCGGGCCAAAGTTACCATGCCATTGGTTATACAGACGATGCTGCTACAAAATTAAGCGACCGTGTCCGCAGAAGGTGCTTCAATTGCTGTACCACGGACACTTCGACGTGGCGCCGTTCTAACTTGAGTCCTGGAAAAGTCGTAAGTTCGCCTATGTCCCGCTAATCGGTACAAACAATTGAATTCATTTCGTCCGCAGCTGTGCAACAAGTGTGGGTTGTTCGAGCGTACTCATGGGCGGTCAAGACCGGATCAGTTTCCTCACCGCAGAGGCGCTCTAGCAACGACTTCAATGCGGCCAAGGACACCCCCGCAATCAACGCATCTACCTCCAATCTCCACTCACGTTCCCCCTTTGGCGCCTTACCATTTTTCACACCCTTCCATTGCCCCTCTTCAGTCTGTGCCTGACTCAAGGAGATCACAACACCCGAACACGTTGCCGGAGATCCAATCTTGGATAGATGCTCCAGCCGCACGGACCTCCTACTCCGCTCCGTCAGCAGACCGTAATCATGAAAGTGCGCGTCAGCGGTCTCCTCCCCGCTTACACCACGTAGATATGCGTCCTTCAAGCGTTCATGAAGCCGTGGCATAATGGAGGAACGTTCTCCCGTGGTAGCCCGGAGCTCCGTGGAGGAAAACGAATAACCTAAAAGTTCATGCTTCCATGCCTGCTTATTCGCTACTCGACTAGTCCGTTTTCTTGCATTAATGGCTAGAACGTGCCATCAGCTCACCGCATTCGTCGTAATTATTTGAGTTTCAGATACCATTCGCAGTATTCGTATTGTTTTCGTATATAAAATCGCAAAACGACCTATAGTACATTGTACCCCTACGATTTTCTTGGAGTTTCATTTTCGTTGTATTCCTATGCACGCCCTTTGATCGCTGGACATTTGCAGCACGATTTGCGTAGTTATTTAATGCAGCTTTGAAACCTACTGGCGCCTATGTACCCCCGTGTGAGCGTCGATCAAGTTATCATTTGCTTCCGCACCATGCAGTTTCCATTTTAGGTCGAGTGGAACGCGATCAGTTGATCGCATTGATCGATCAGGACAGGATGACAAAGCCTGTCAGATATTCCGCAGTAATGAAAGAGTAATCCAAATACGACTGACGTAGCGCCTGGCAGAGGGATAAGACCATATGTGCACAAGCATGCGTTGATAGTGAACAAGTCATGCGAATACTCGGAAGCCTCCGTTCCAGGAACCCCCAACTTGTGGTACCCATCAACGGTCCGGAACGCGCAATCACCGATTTCAGATATGATACCATTTATTGATCGTACGTGATACAAACCTCGGGTTGCCGTCGGCCCAACGTTGACCAGAACTCAGGAAGCTTGCCACAAAAGTACAGAGGGGGACACGTAGGTCCTTATCCCAAGGACAAGCATTGTCTTAATAGAGCCGATGAAACCATCTTAACCGGAAATCTCCCTCGGATGGCCCACTAGTAACACGGAACTGGCCAGTCAGAAAGCTTAAAACATACAGCATGATGCTGTCAAACCGTACAGGTGACACGGCGCGCGTTAACAGATAACGTTTCTATTTCCACGGAGGTTTATCACTGACATATGTTTGGCCCCGTTCTCTGGAAAAGACGCCGCGGCACAGCCTAGTACATGGCTTGATTATCCCGAATATCGCAAGGGGCGCGTCTACGGCCACCTATTAACTACATCGGCTGTACCTCTTCGGGATGTCGCAGATCCCGGCTCACGGCACTGGACCGCTGTCATCTGACCTGCAAAGTCTACTGCACGCCCAATGCTGCAATACTCCGAGGATATACTTAGAACTCTACATGGAGACGCATGGTACATCGGGCATCCGCTTGTACTTGCTTGGTATTCAAGCTGCTCTAGTGCGGTAATCATCTGCTGAACGAGCAGGTACGTCACATAAATCGCGCACTTCCAGTGCTTCGAGGTCCTTGTACGGGCCCGCAAGAACATACCACCGGAACTTCGCTGAACCTTGCAAAGAAGTGGGACTCACACCTCGCGACACGACATCCGGAACGATTGGCAGCCCAATCGCCAGAACAAGTGATTTGCTATAGGCTACCTCCTTGATCCGTGGAGGTCTTCACGTGATAGAAGTATCCATCATGCTTCATGTTCTTTCTCATTCTTATTAATTTTCCATTGAGGCAGAGCAGTCCCTTTAAATTCGCCTATCAATCCACAAGTTAAACCAGGCACTTTTACATTAAAAAGGGGTAATCCAATGCTGTCGTGGAGAAACGACGGCTTTCGTTCTTCGCCTCTGTGCAAACACCCACTCCTTACCGCACTACGTCCAGTCAAACCGGCGCCACTAGCGATCCGCTGAAGAGGCCTTGGGGGAATGTCATTCGATCAGAAGAAATTGATTTTCGAGAACGGATATTCAACAAACCCAAGAACCCGTGAATAAGCTTCTTCTTCGCAGATTCTATTCTGTCCCGGCAGTCCAGTACCTATGTGGTTTCTTGGATCAATTCCTCCAAGAGATCTTGAACTATACTCTGCACTGTTCCGTCGTAAGCGGAAGCCATCTGACAAAAAAAATTAGTCGCCAGCTTTCGCACCATGCCATTTATCGCTGTGCATCACACACCCGTTGGTACCTGTACAATGTGATGCAGAAGTTATGTTGCGCATCTTTTGGAAGTCAGAATATTTCACATACCGGATGGATTCCCATGTTCTCGTGCTCAATAGAACGTTGTCTTTGCCAGCAAGGTTCAGGGTAAATGCTAGAGTTACGCCATCCTCAATGGCTTGAGATGCGCCTTGCGCGCTTGATCTGCCAACCGCATGGTCAGCGAACGGGTTCGCCATCAATCATCCAAACTTCCTTGCGGTAAGAATGGATGAGCAGCATCGCCAATCAATGCCACGGGACCAGATTTCCTGACCCACGTAGGAAGAGGGTCGTGTACAAGAAGCTTCCAGTCGATGCACGAGGGAGCTTTCAATATGACTGCAGCGCACCGCGGGCCCCAGTCTACGTCTTCTATTTCACCCGGGGATGAAACTAACAGCTGCATTATCCCTGAAACTTTATTTAGCTCTGAACATCATGAGAAGGACGATTTGCACACTTGTGAGTGAACCATGCAATACCTTTACCTCCGAGGGAGGAAGACGCTAGGCAGTGCATGTCTTTACCTACGAGTGGTGAACAATAAGAAAAAAACGTGCAGATAAATTCACCTACCAATCCACGCGTACACATCTCCATTAACGGTCGGAAGTCAGTCAATGGATTAGTCGTGATACCATGCTCTCATCGTTGTTCACCGGCGGGGTCAGATTCAAACTTACTATGACCAACTTTCTCGCCAAATTCATCGCTCCATCTGCAGCAACGATGATATCGGCATCAAAACTTTCACCTGTTTGAGATTTGACACTAGCTTTTCCACTCGCTTCATCCTCCCAATATTCTACGGCCTGATGTCCCATGCGAATCTCGATGCCCAAGTCCTTCGCATGCTCAAAACGGACTTCGTGGAGAAGCGCTCGATGACCATTGATAGGCGAACGCTCCGAATCGCAGCCAGGACAACTTTGCATCTGGGACGAGACCTCCGAGGTAATTATGGACGTTAAGTTCCGGTGCATGAATAGAGATGTCCCACAATCTGTCGCACTGTCAATTACTTTGATTAGAAAGAAGGCCTGTTTTGTACCTGTCATGGAGGCCCCATCTGGCGAGGATGCGGCCAGCATTTACGCCAAGGCTCAGCGTCTGGCATTTGTGTCAGCTGGAGCTGCGCATTATCACCCCAGAGAAACTCGTGTCACCCTTGATTCCGTCATCAGCCAAGAGGAATAGGTAAGGGTAGTTTACTGACCTATCTCCCTCAATTAATGTGGTACTTTCATTCACTCGGTGAACCATTCTTTGCATTCAATCGCACAGGCAATAACTCCAAAGCCAGTGCCGATAACAATGGCATCGATCCCTGTATTACGAACACCATTACTGGTTGGTCCTGATGTCGCACCATCATGGAGATGATTAGCATAGTAGTGAGAATACATTATAAGTACTCCAGGTCGCCACGTATGCCACGACGTACCCAAGATTACAGAAGAACAAAGCAACGCGATGGTCGGGCATAAAAGAACGAGCTGTGAGCCTGTGCGACAGCCCGACCTATGGACCACAATATCTTGTTGGAGCATCTTATCCATTTGGGTTGGACACCGCTGGCTTCTTGCACGTCATTATTGAGAGGAATGGCATGAACGTGATGGATTAACTCACCCGACGTCGTCATCATCATACGGCAATACACTGGTTGCGTCAAATTCGAGTTTGATTGACTGCAGCAACATAGATTAGTCTTGGATCGCACATCAACATCCTCGAACGACATGTTATCGTTATCTTCTGCGCCATATAGGCATTGCCAAGTTGGCTCTTTTCGAGCTCACCGGTAGTGTTTTACATGATCGAGTCATGGATGGATACACATCTTGAACATTGGGGACGATCGGAACGACGAGTTAGTGTCAATGTATTGGCTGTGGTGAGCTAGCAGACACCCGTGGCTATACCACTCAATATTCGAAAGCGAGTCTCACCATGTTGCGAGTCAGCGATTCGGAATGAAAACTGCGAGCTGTTTGACCGAATCATCCTGAACGTTGAAAACCCTCAAATTTGAAACTCTCTGTCTCTCTGCGAAAACCAATGATGCAAGGATGCGCACGAGAAAATATTGATATTGCTCCTAGTCATGCGAGCTTGAGTAGAAAGAAGACTAAGGACCTTATAGTAAGAAAAGGGAAACGTTCCGTTCAGCTGGACGCCCATGGTACCGGAAACTTCCGGCAAGTAATTCAACCTGGTATGCAATGTGCATTGTGCATGTCCCACCTATCCTCGGTAGGCAACTAACTTGGTCATCACCATGCAGGAAACAGGTTTCACTGGCACACTCGCTCTCATATTAGAGACGCCACTGGCTACTAGTAATACTCCCACCAGCCCCTGATGGCATGACCACAACTGTTCGACCGCGTACCAAATCCAAGTTCACCACTCTGCCCAGTGCCTCCGATCAAACCCGGCTACAGCTTTCTCCGGCATCCGTACTGACTCGGCACCGACATATGTATGTTCATTCGGCAGCCTGCGTTATTCACTAGGGTACAACACGAAACGCGAAACACAAAGCCCTCGGTCTTGCGTCCAGCATGGCCACGTGGCAGGTGTTATAGCGCTAAGCGTTCACGGCAACTGCAGAGTACTTGGATGGAGGACGTAGCTTGGAAAGTTGTCACCCCGTGGTAGGGGTTACACTGGATAAACAAGTGAGTACACAGGTCGGGTTATACCATCTATTGATGGCTGCAATGTAAAAGTTGATCAGCGGTCAGGTCTTCAGAGCTGTTGTCAAGAGTTCACTCCACCATCAATAAATGTGCAATAAACAACTCTTTTTCGCAACCAGACACGATATTGACCGAAGAGGGCGATAACAATATCTCTGCGTGCACCACCTGGGTTGGCTAATCCAGCAACATGCATAGCAATCGCTCTCATATTGGGCTGTATCGTTCCTAGACCCTCCCTCTGTGGATCCATCAGTGGGGGAACGGCTAGAATGAAACAGCTACAGCCTCACCTGTCATGGCGTCAGATGGCTGCGGGAATCCTGTCCACAACACGAATAGCTAATTCGTCAGCCAACGCAAGTCCAGCACGGATGCATCAGCGGATAGCACTGTCGACACATCGAATGTCATCATGGTTGTGTACTAGGCTAGGCCCTTGGTAACATCAAAATTATATCTGAACTGCCAGCGCGGATAAACTGACGAGGCAGGGTGCTGCAGAGCTCTCGAACAAGTTTGACATTATCAAAACAACTATCAACGTGAGTACATGACGAGACCTCACCGCCGCTCTTCCGAAGACATCTAAACAATCCATTGCTCGTACTTGGCTACTTCACAACTTTGCCGGTGAAGGCAATAGCCAACATCGAGACTACCTGCTGCTGCAACATCAAAGCTAATATTGACACCTTGGGGGGCCATGAAGAGCGAATTCGATCCATGTTCAACTTCCCGGACGGCGAGAGAGTGATCATCAGATCACATAAAGACAAGCTGGCACTCGACGATGTTTGTAAGGAGGGTGTGCTCCCGGCGGCGGTTGTCATTGACCTCAGTATAATAGGTTGACCATCCCGATACGAGCGTTGCACAAGCCTGGAAAATCAGATTCAATGACTGTCACTTGTCGATGCGTTAACACTACAAACCTAATCACGAGAAGTTGAAGAATATCCCACATGGTCCGGTTCTTCGATTGTCTGCAGACGACGGCATATATACTGACAGCTTCAGACGGAGTGTTGATTTTTTTATGTCGCTGATTTGCACCATAACCTGGTCTCTCGATGCCGGAAAGAAACTGGTAGCCCTCCAACAACTGGGATCGTCGGGTGATGCAGCGCAGTTTGTATGTCAAACCTAGTTTACCTAGTATATTTTCACGGTGCAAAATAATGCAGATGCATGCAGGAATACAAATACTAGTTCGATTTCGTCCCAACATCGTCCACTTCCAGACCTGACGTGACGCCTTCAGCAGATGGTCTTATGGGTTTAGTGGGGAGGAATACTTGCCTATCAGTTGCCCATGTTCAATACGTCGCGAAAGAGCCACGACCTCCTCCCTAACACCCAGGTAAAGTCTTTGTGAGACTGTTTCAACACCCAAGCTCGTCCAATAGTCGATATTGACCTGTTGCAAACAGTAGTAGGCCGTTCTGGCAACGTTTTTTCTTGCACGCTGATGTTGAGAAAAAGAACGCAAGGGAACAAGCTAATTTAAAGTAAGCATCTGTATCTGAACAAACAAGGATGGTTTGCTGCGAATACATATTTAAACCTGGAAGACTACTCGACCCCGATACCTGAGAAGCTAGGCAATCGGTTGTGCAGTGTCTTGGTCCTGACCCCTTGGAAATGCAAATCGTTTACTCGACATCCAATGAACCGATCCAGCTGAATATCAGCTTACAGTGATTCCGGCCGTTGGTATCAATTCAAACATCTAGCTTGAGAACACCCGTAGAACCGCTGATGACACTGCCCTTGAACTCATTCCTTTGGGCATCGGGCTTGTTGATGTCAAAGCAACGGATGGCGGTGGGATCGGAGGTCAGGGCACGGTCTAAGATAAATTGAAAGCTGATTGTAAGCCTTGCCTCATGCGCAATCGATTCCGAAGAGCCTAGACATCAAGTTTACGTTGTTCTGCAAGATTGATGATATTTGATTTCGACCGCAGCAAAATGTTCCGGCATCTGCGGCTGTCTGGATGTCAACATTCAACTTGTCAATACAACTAAATGAAATGCAGCGTCCATGACTGCAAGACCGTCAAGTATGGTAGCCATCAGATTGCCACCACCAAGGCAGTTTCATGAAGTGACCGAATACTGGTCCCAAAGTGAGTCATCTTCGTTGTGTGAGCGTCACAACCGTATCATAGCCTGGTCGGGGAGGCGCGTCTTGTTTTCGCTGTGCGGCCCTGCTTTGGGTGAGGTGGGTGAATCGGGCGAAAACTTAAGCGGACTGAGACATACAACATTGGCAAACTGGCGTGAACATATTTTTTGAGTGTGCTCGTTCTTGAACCACACATTCATAGATACAGAAACCACCACCCGTGCTACATACCGATCGTTGCTACGCAGAGAAACCAGATGACATTAGACCGACATCTTCACAAATCCACGCAAATTTAAGTACACAGGGCGTGCTCAGATAGTCATAGATAATGACTGCTCCGTGGCCAGTATATCCACGCGGACAACACGCTGCTGGCAAGTGTTTCACACAGTGATGCGAGGATGTGGTGTCCGTCTGCTACGTTGACTTGCAAAGTCGTGGCTGGTAATGATTGGATCTGGAAAATCAATCAAAGGTATACGTCGCGGATAAGTGGAACCTAGGCCGACAGCATACTACTGAGCAGGAGCCTCGTCGTTTCGTTATCATGGCAAGCAGGTGATTACGGGATTGAAACATGATGCATGATGCATGATGTTTTGAAGGACAAGAAACCGTTCAAAAGAAACACATGCAAGGCCTGACACGAATTCGGATGACTAAGCAGCTTGTCAATGGCTATCTGCCGGATCTGGTTCAGTATTAAAACACATGCTTGCGCGCCAACGGTATTACAACTCCCCAGGCTTCCTCCACATCTAGCATCACCCACGACCCACAATGGCATCTTCAAGCGCTCGCGCGAAGCTTCTCGCTAAGAATGATAATGACGTTGTCATTGTAGCCGCTGTGCGGTCTGCTCTCACCAAGGTACCATTAGTACCGTTACAGTAGAAGCCCGACGTGACTTACTGAATTAATTACAGGGCAAGAAAGGTGGTTTCAAAGATACTCGCGCAGAGGAGATCCTGTCCGGTGTACTGAAAGGCGCCTACACCAGAGCCAAGGTCAACCCCGCCCTTATTGAGGACATTGCAGTGGGAAACGTCCTACCTCCCGGTGGTGGTGCCAATGTTGCTCGCATGGCTGCCCTTCATGCAGGAATTCCAAACACAACTCCAATCAGCACTTTGAACCGTCAATGCTCATCCGGTCTTGCCGCTGTTAATCAGATTGCAACCCAAATCATCGCTGGTCAAATTGATATCGGTATTGGTAAGCAACAGTTCTGAATCTCATCATTCATGACCAACGAGTCCTCTAGGTTCTGGAGTTGAATCCATGTCGTTTGGATATGGCGCTGGATCCTTACCAGATGGCGTGTCAGAAGAGATCCTCACCAGCAAGGAAGCGGAGGACTGTTTGATTCCTATGGGTATCACCTCTGAGAATGTTGCCTCTGAATTCGGCATTTCTCGCGAGGTACAAGACAATTTTTCAGCTAAGTCTTACCAGAAGGCCGCTGCCGCTCAAAAAGCCGGAAAGTTCAAGGACGAGATTGTCCCACTGAAGGTCAAGATAATTGATCCAAAGACTGAAAAGGTTTCTGAGATCGTCGTTGACTCGGATGACGGAATCCGTGATGGTGTCACCGCAGAGAGTTTGTCAAAACTCAAGCCCGCATTTATGAAAAACGGCACGACACACGCTGGTGGGTTCTTTGTGATACTCTTTCAGATGTTGTCATCTGAATGTGATACAGGAAGTGCCTCGCAGGTATCTGACGGTGCGGCAGCCGTGGTCCTTGCTCGCCGCTCTGTCGCCAAGCGGTTGGGTCTTCCCATTGTCGGCAAATACATTACCTCCGCAGTCGTGGGCGTGCCACCACGTATTATGGGTGTTGGTCCAGCGTACGCCATCCCTAAAGTTCTGGAGAAAACAGGACTCTCCAGGGACGATGTTGACTTCTACGAAATAAATGAAGCTTTCGCGTCTCAGGCCGTGTACAGCATCCAGAAAGTTGGCCTGTCATTTGACAAGGTGAATGTCAATGGAGGAGCGATCGCGATCGGACACCCACTCGGATGTAGTACGTGTCTCATAAATTTTGCGTATCAATTATGTGTTGATGCATCTTCGTTACAGCTGGAGCACGTCAAATTGCTACTGGTCTCAACATTGCGAAACAACGTAATGAGCGAGTGTTCGTCACCAGCATGTGTATTGGCTCAGGAATGGGCATGGCAGCTGTGATCGTCAGTGAACATTGAGACTCCTAGTGATATGACATGTAGTACGTATGTCTTGTGCATCATATACATACTTATTACTCTTCGAATTCATTTCCACTATCTCCCTTGATCTCAATCACACCAACGAGCCAATAGTACTGACCGAAGTCGCGGTGTCGAGTGTCTTCCAGACCGCTCTAGATGGTTAGACCTTGCGCTGACATAGATATGTATGGCAACTATATTTGCAGTAGTATTAGCTACTGATCAGCGTACTTTAAAAGATTTCCCTCCCATACGGGTCGCCACTGACCTCAATATCAGGACGTACTTGGTGAAAGGATTCCTTCTCCCTGAGCTAAATGGGTTCAAGATTCTCCAGTCTGAAACCATGGAGAAACCCAAATATCAACCCGCCAGGTGAACTTTCGATAAAGAATGTGTCCAGGGTGTGAAGCACATTAAATACTTTTCGGGTTCCCGCGCACGGACCATCCTGCTCAGGTGACTATATATTGCAAATTTGCGCGGTTGATTTTTCCTCACAGTCACCTCGATGGTTGAAGTTGGCGTCTTACAATTTGGATGATGGACGTATCACTTCTTTACTTTTTACTGTCGAGAAGAAGGACGCAGGAGCTGGGCATGCCATCTATCATTTGTTTATTGTTACTGATTGGACGGCTAATCAGCACCTGGCATATCATTGCTTCACAAATCTACTTTGCATGCATGTCTTAGTACATACGTGTATCTTGAAGAATTAAAGCCGATCATTGATCATTGGACAATGGACATGTTTCACACCTGTGGTATACCTTCATGGGCGTCGTTCTAGTGCAACACACAAGAACCACAACCTGACTTCACTTGATCATGTCACAAGTGACAGCACCCTGTCCGCCGGGCTCCGCATGGTCGACTCTCTACATCCGTGGGGCTTCGTCTGTGGGCCCACCAGCGGACAACGCATCACTCGGATATTTGAGTTCATACTTCTTCTTCACAGTCTTGACTCTTGCTATCCCACCCAACTCGATTTGATGCCAGCAAGGACCTCCAGCTTCTATTACGAGCTTAGTTCCATTGCTTATTATGGACGCAATTCACGTTGATCCTTCAGCCTGCCAGCCTGGCGTTTATTCGGATCCCACTCACAAGAAGACAAACGTTGTGTTTCAGAGCACATTTCAGTCGTGTCCAAGAAGTGTGCAAAGTGAATAACCATTACGGAACTATAACGTTGTGATGGGACCAAGGAAGGCTCAACTTGATCGCTGATTGTGCCACGGCGGCGTTTGGTAAGTTGTACATTTACTATGTGTCACAAGTCACAGGGATCTGAGAGAAACGGTTTCTTGTCTTGCCGGAGTAGTGACACGGCGGATTGGCAGCGTTGGCTTTACCGTGGCACGTTGATCGCGTTTCGAGCACAAGACTTGCTGGACGGTATTACAACATCAAGTTTGTCTCCATCATCCTAGGTTTCTAGTTCCTGCTATATGGCGATAAAAATGTCCTGTTGAGTACCTCAAGTTATTTTCTACAGTATTAGAGCGCATCATTCCCGCATATTACTTCTGACTACTGGGCACATTCTAGTTCGGCCAACTCGGCTGATGGCAGTGCTGGTCTCCCCTATGGTCAGACCATACACAGTGAGGGAAGACAATTGTCGTTCCTTAATTATGCGGGAATGTTAAGGTACTGTAGGTGCTATTTTGGCCATGATCAAGTGACGTCCCTGTCATTTGGTCAGTTTGGTGTCTCCCCCCCTTTTCCAGAACGGCCTGGACATGACTGAATGGGTTGCGTATGCGTTCAAGCATCCCTGCCGCTCAAACGCCTCTGATTCCTTTGCGAAAGACTCGTAATCACCTCAACGAGTACGCGGTGGAGCACGAACTGCGTATTCAGGCCTGGATCCGGCTTTATCTGACTGATCAGCTGGCCAGGACAATAACCAGTTACCCGGTATGGTTTCACATACATCTGCCAAAATCTTGGCAGTCAAGGGTGCATCTTGGGCCTTCGAGAGATCGTTATAGGTTAGATTAATTCGCCTTCTCTTGCATTCATGATAGGTGAGTTCCGGTTTTTTTATATGCATTATGGGTGATGATGTGTCTTTTTCTTAGAGGGCGCATTCATGAAATTCTATGCAGCATTGGACCGGCGTATCCACTCACATGACTAGTAATGTAGGACAATTCAGGGGTACAAGCGCTCTGCGCAGGCTCCTGCCAAGGCGGGACAGGTGGTGTCGAGCCAATTCGCACACCAAGCTATTGGATTGATCGAGAGGGCCTAAACACGCCCGTGGGTGCGCCCTCCGAGTCGGAGAAATGGTCCATTATCGCCTACACGGCGACACACCCTATTCTGTCTTCAGTAATATCGAAAGCTCTTATGGAATTCTACGCCAACGCACCCCTTCATGCGCACTTTTCGCATCAAGTATTGCCCACTGAACCCCCTTACGCGGCAGGTAATTCCCGCAACTCTTTTCGACATGCTTGCGAGTGCGATTGATTTAATCGATGTCATTAGTTTCAAACTGACCGACATAATCGTCGGACTCTGCTGGACCAAACCTCGCGGTTACACTTGTGCCTTAGGTCGTGCAATTACAGAGCGGAAATGGAGACATATTGATTTCCCCGCCTGCGGTGATAATTTTGTTGTCGCCGTTGATTTGGGCGTCGCATGAGACTGGCAGGTGGTTTATTGCTTAGAATCGGATACTCTCCGGGCAGGGCTTCACGGCAAGCTCCTACCTCAAAAAGGCTTATCTAGGTCGTGGTGTTATCGGCAGAGACGAACCGGGCACGAACTTTGCCAGCTTCCCGACTTGGAGAGTGTTCATTAACGTGGGTTGGGCCAAAATTATTTTTTTTCAAAATAACGAAAGCGAAGGGTGGCTGACTCCGAGTCGGTTGAGGCGGCCGTAACATGCCAAATAGCTTGAAGCGGCAGAGGGGTTCACGCCTACCCTGGCTGTGACTTTCATCACGATGAGCAAGAACGCCGCGAAGCCTACGTGGCCGCCGCGGAATGGTCAGCCTCGGATTGAGATTATTCCTCAGGCCGAGGGTCGGGCAATAACGATGTTTTCTATCCTTTCAATAACCGATCAGTGACTTGAATGACATTCCAGCACATCCTTCGATTAACGGGGGCACTATCCACTGGCAGGGTCGGTGATACAAATCTTAACTCTATTTTTCGGAAGGGAGTCCGGTTATTTGAATGCCGCATAGACGCTGCATGTTCTGTTCATGATATAGAGCCTTTCTGCAGGGACGATTGTTCTCAAGTTGAAAGAAATGGACTCGTGTTGCGGACATGGAGTGGTTGGAGGATGAACTGTGATGAAGGCAGTTCCGCAGCGCGTGATCGCCGGGGACATGAAGCATGAACTGGACAACTCTTTACGCATGCTTGGAGGCATCATATGTCTTAATGACATGTACTTTATCCAAATGACAACGCGAGGAGTGGCGCCGATAGCTTGCTTGCTGCGATTAGGTGATAATGTGTTTTCATTTTGATGCTGTTACATATGAATGATGCTGAGAACTTGAACTTTGTCTTTCATAGGCTGATCCTCGCTTGGGTCAAGCGAAAAGGCTCTAGACGGCTCAGGAAAGTGGTCAGATTGACGATACGGTATGATGAACGTGCGTACTCGGTTTATCACCGGATAGCAACATACTAGGTAGCTTACTGGATGGATTGACTACATCCGGGCCGATCGGAGAGTTAACGCAAATCAGCTGCGCTGGTCGTGAAGGAGATAAAGTAGCGAGGCAACCCTCCGAGTTCTGTTTGATGGCATGCTGCTTCGGCGCGCTTTACACGAGGCTTGATTGCGAAATCAACACAGACATCGAATTGGCACAGACTCAACCACAGTTGCATCGATTTAATACCAGACTAGTGGGCCCAGCTGGGCTGTGGAAAACGTGGATTACGACAAGACAGTTGATTGCTATATTCGCGGCGTTAAGGCACATGCACCAGTTTGAATAATTGATTCAGGGTAAGGAGCGAATAGAAAAGGTGGATGGAGTATCTCCTTTAGCGAAGTCGTACACATGCTGTCAAGAATATGATGTCAATAGGGATGAGCGATCTGCAGTGACTTCGCTCAGGCGAAAGCGGCGTTAGGTGTTTCCTACTTTGTATTTACGTCGCTAACGTCAAACAACGTACGATTGTGGGGAAACGGTCTTGCCCCACGACACCGCAGCAAATTTGCTCCGTTGAGAATAGAATATCCTGATGGAATTCTACTAGCTTGATGACGGAGATTACGGAAGGACCGCTCTGGAGTTAGCGGCGGGTTGGCTTCCTGTGGACTTCGTGATAGGCTTTCGCGGATAATAATACCAGAATCTCACCGGGACTTTCGGTTCAAAGAGGAGGGATAGTTACCATGAGAATGGCCGCACGTCAGCCTACGAAGACATGGATTATTTGAAACCCGAGGGAAAGGCTTGGTAGGAACTAAAGCTCGCGGTATCGATGGTCCCATACTTACGATACACACGATGGCGCTGTGTATGGTAAAGACCAATGTGGGCGTCATTCGGATATTATGGAACACTCCAAGAGGAACCAGTGTTACCAAATATACATGGTATGCTATGGGGCGCAAAATGGTTGTTGATGATGATCAGTGACCAAAGTGCTCTCTAGCCTCATGTTGTACGCACCTGGTATTGATGTCAGGAGGTCAGCCGCGAGGCAATCACCCGACGATTGTGGCATTGATTATTCGATAAGAGAGCTAGTGTGGATAGACGCGCAGGGGTAACCAACTATGTAAAAGTAATAAAAGACCTTCCATAGGTAGATGTACGTATGATCCGGTGGAAGAGGGCGGCTGACCGTGCTTTCCGGGCAACGCGGGTGTACGGACATGAAAGAGCGGTAAATGCCCGGTGAGTCGCTGCGAGGAGGGACCTATCAGGTATCGCACAGCTGTGGTTAGCTGTGGTATAGGAAGAAGAGATATAGGTTTTCGGATGTTGACAGCCGGAGATAGACGGACATGTTCCGGGAAGAACCGAAATCAAAATGTACTAAAGCTTAATTCCACACTGTCATTAGCAAATCACCGGAACTGAATTCTTGGGGTGTTGGTGCCTGTAGCAACAACTGCTTGCTTGCTATCTTCAAAGGTCCCGACACTAAGCCAAAGGAATACCCTTAGCTTGAGCTTGGTTCAAATACTCAGCCGGTTAACAGCCGAGCACAGCGGAGACTAGCGGACAACCAAGGTTTGTTCCAGTTTGTTTACTCGAACCTGAGCTCAGCGATCACAGGCTTACAAGGTCTTGATCGTAAGGGGCACAGTCAACCTCACTGAACCCATTCTAAATACCACACCGATCGACTGGCGCAAGGCCCGCACTGGCTGGCTTCTGTCACTATCCGGAATTCTCTTAGTGACCTTCGCTGAAACACTAATCCAAATTTCCCTTATATAACCGAACAGCCACCCTACTTTCCTTGCTTCAATTTAGTCACAGGTGACTCTTTAAAATCTCCTCTTCTTTCCGGTTCGTATTAAATGCCCTGTCGATCTTGATTTCTCCGCCCCACCCTTTACTGATTCTGTCCTTTCCCTATGGACAACAACAGGCAGCTGCCCGACCCAGGGCGAAATCATCCACCCCCTCCTCGTTTAATGGCTTCCTCAAATTCACCCCAGACCCGCCCTATCGCCCCATACCAGCAACCATCTTTGCCTTCTATTCGTCAACTCCACCCCTATCTACCACCCTCAGGAATGGCCCAGCATTTGCCAACCACAGACCCATCCTCTTACCCGTATCCACTCCCAACATCTTATTCAGCGCCCTCTGGCTCCAACGAAATTCAGCAACCTCCCTCACAACACGCCCTTTACAGCCGTTCAGAAATGATGGATTCTGAGCCAGAAGGTGAGATAGAGCAGCAAGGTCCAGCGAAAAAGAAACGCCGGCGACAAGCTTTGAGCTGTAATGGTAAGTTTTATTTTATTTTATTTTTATTAATACGTCGCTCATCGTTATCGATACCAATCTTTGCCCCCTTGTTTATGTTGCTGTTTTTATCCACGTCACGCGATCTCTACAGAATGCAAAAGGCGTAAGATTAAATGTGACAGGTCGGCGGTTGTAATGTCACCATGTCGCCGTCCTGTTTTGACTCCGCATTTTCAGAGCGCAGCCCTGCGGGCCATGTACAAGGCGCGGTGAACAGTCTAAATGCCAATGGCGAACTTTAGAGCCTGTGTAAGCACTGTCTATCCTGCCGGAACGCCCCGCTCATATAATTGATCAGTGACAAATATGTCAGTCGGGCTGAATATGACGAACTCAAGGCCAGAAGTAAGGCTGAATACGACGAACTCAAGTCAAGACTAGATCACCTTGAATCCGTGGTCTCGCGCCTTTTCCCCCCACCAGGCGGCCCTGCCAACGTGTCCATGTACTCAATCCCTCCTGATATTTCAGGGGCGCCGTCATCAGAGAACGTAACCTCTTACCACTCCACCCATTCCTCCGCGGGTCAAGCATTGTATGTTCCCCCATCATCTTCTTTCACTCAAGACCCGGCAAAATCACAATCTTATGCTGGTTCTTCCTCACCTCATATCGCGGGGTCCGGAATGAGCCACGGGCCTTCCATTTCATCGTCCTCTAACACGCAATCAGTATCACAGGGTGCTGGCCCATCTCATCTCCGCCATTCCTCAGATGCCAAATCTCCTACTATTGTTAGGCAGTCCCCGCTTTCGCTTGCTTCCATAACGTCCCCTTACAATGCTGATTCCCAGTCAAAAAACTTCCACGCGCAGACGCTCAGAATACTGGGCGAGCGTCTGCGCCCGGCTCCAAAAAGTTGGAAAGGCCCAGTGGAACTTCTATGCGACATCCACAAGCGATGGAACATGCGGCGATGTCCAGCTCAGCTGGTGTGACAATGGAAGGCTCGTCAATGTCACCAGGGACACACCATATATCTTCATCCAGACGTTATGGTGATCCTTCCGTAGGGCGGGAAGGGGGGGATAACAGAGACCGAAGGCAAGGTCCTGTAGAGCGATAGACTCTTCCGGCATCGGTCCATTTCATCGGCTCATAGGTTAATTTTGATCATCATTGGTGGCATTCAGTTCTATTCATTCACCTCACACTCCACACCACGCGTCATCCTTGTATGAGAAATACCTTCCGCAGATTCCATTCCCGGTGCGCCGGACATGACTTTTTCGCTTTAATTTGGCGATCACATACCCCACTCCAGCCTCGTTTTTTCTGAGCATCTTTCACGACACAATTACGAGATTTGTATTCTAGTAATACCACGAGTCTACTAGGCCTATCCTAAACATGTCAGTAAATGTCTCTAGCGCAGATCACGGTGGTCTCATATTGTATTTCAAACTGGTGCAGGGTGCAATTTTCCTAGTCCCATACTAACTTCCCCCGGTTATCCACGGTAGCTTGCATGCCACCGCTAGTTTTCTTACCTCCTCCACGGCGTGATTGATCGATGATCTGCTCACGCTCCATAGCACGCCTACGTTCGGCGAGTTTTACCAGCCGCTCTGCCTCAGCGTCTGCTTTGGCATCTTTCAACATCTGATTTCTTTTCGCATTTTGCCGTTGTTTCTTGGTTAGGTCTGGAGCCTGCTGTATATTAACCTGCGAAGGCGTTGTCGAGGGTCGTGATTCTTCTGTAGTCAGTTAGCCTCATCTTCAAGTCAAATAAAATAGGGATAAATTACTTGAGCGACCCTTTCCCTTGACAATGCCCCATTCGCCATCGCCCTCCCCATCTGCATCGTTTACAGTACCGCTGCCGTCATCAACATCCTCGTAATCCTTCCACGAAAATCCAGGTGCCGGCGCCTCATCGGCCCGAGGATGTACACGCATCACACGCGCTAAACCTGGATAATCCGGGCGCTCAAGCATGCTTCAGGAATTACATCAACAGGTGGTCCAATCAGCACCACGTAACTTGAAATGAACTGAAATTCGAAACTTACTCATCGACGGCCGTCTTCCTTGGTTTGGGCAAAAGCCTTTCAGCCAGCGTTCGACGGTTATCTCTATCTGATACGGATGAATGGGCGTGGACATGGATATCTTCGTCCTCATCCGTATGCTCGGCTAACACAGAGTCGCCGGTTGACGGACCCACGTCACTGCTCGTCATATCCGTTGTTATCGCAAGTATTTGATCGTCTGATCCTGTTCCAGTGCCAGTTCCAGGAGCGGTCTTAGCGCCTCGTGCTGGTGTTTGACGGGTGTCTATCCGCGTCCACGAGGAATCAGTGTCAAATGACGGAGAAGAAGACCGTATGCGAGGCGTGTGCCGTTCCTCGTCCGCTTTGGGAGAAAACATCTCGCCGCTTGGCATGTCAACGGATGGTGATGGTGATATTGATGTTCCGGGCACATGAACGTCGCCGCTTGACTGCGGTTCGACATCGAGAGCTGCCCCAGTTGCCGTCACTGTTACTTTCTGCTTCTCCGTCTGCTTCTGTTTCTGCTTCTTCTTCTTCTTTGTCCCCTTGTTCTTCTTCACCTGTGAACTCTCGTCCTCCGAGCTAGCTACGGCGTCAAATTCACCGGGAATAACATGCGGAAATGGGACGACGGTAGGTTCAGGCACGGGATTACCATGCGCAGACGCTGCGGTGGCGGTGGTGGCGATGATGGTGGCACGAGTGGTGGTAGTGCTCACGGGCTTCTCAGACGGCTCTGAGACGCCGGCATGTGTCTGTGTCTGTTTTTTCTTCTTGCCCTTGGCACTTTTGCCACTAGCGGTGGCCGTGGCGTGTCCAGAGGTACTAGTACCAGGTGCGCCAGAGTTGGAGTTGGAATTGGAGTACGTGAGGTAGCTATACGCTACAGCCCCTGCAATACCAGCCGCGACGGCCCATTCGAGCGACGGTTGACTGAGCGTCGAGCCCATTAGGACAGAGAGCAAGCCCTAGTCAGAGATATCGGTTAATGTCTAAAGAGCGGTAGACGTCAAGAGGAACGATGCAAACTTGAATTTGGGTGCCCGCTGCCAGCCTTGAGAGTTTCGGGTGTGCCATAATGCGACTTACGTGTCATCCACATCGCGTCAACAGCCATCAACAACGCGTTAACTTATCAATTGATCAATGCACACACGAGATCAGGGCTATCGGCATGAGCGCTGAAATTTAAAGCCTGGAACGGCTGAGACGATTCGATTCGAAGGAACGCTGCAGCTGGCGGCCGACACCATACAACACTAATTGAACAAATACACGGACAAGGGCGTAACGACGTGACATACTTGAAACAAAGCACGTCTTGTCTCGTCGAACAACAACCTCAAGACCGATTACGATTAGCTCATTTAAATTACAACCAAATGTGTATATCCATGTGCATGCTGTTGTCGGGTATATATATCGATGGAGCTCGGGGTAAAATGCATGCATACATCACAGATGCTCAGAACAGCTCGAAAACCGTAAGTTATCCGACTCAAGCTCACCGCTCCCACCAAGATGCAGCGTTCCTCCTGCTAGCGCGCTGCGCTCGAGGAGGTCGTCCCAGATCTCAGCCTTCTCGCGCTCAGTGAGGGGCGGTCGGCGGGGAGCGTTGAGTTCGCGGTAGTTGATGGCTGAACGGAGTTGCGAGGGCGAGGCTGAGGCTGATGGGGCTTTGGATGTGGACGTCGATGATCTCGACCACGACTCCATCTTTGCAGTAGACGCCTCGCTGATAGCGCTGGACGCACGGAGAGATGGAGATACTCCATCTCGTGAGGTTGATTCTTCATCAAATGTGGATCGGGAAGGTGAATGTTCATATTCGTGTTCACCAGAAAAACTGCTTGAGCGCATCGCACTCCGAGCAGGCCGTGGTGGTGGAGAAAGCGAGGTATTTCCATCAGGAAGTAAATGTAAATGAGTGTATGCGGCTGTAGACGGCTTCTCGCCAAGCCTGTGGGTTCTGAGGGACGTTAATGAATGAATGGGGTGCGTGATCGGGAATGTATGTGTATGTGTACGTGGCGAGGTGTCCTGGTGCTGATCGTCAGCCTCTGGCGTAGCTCGCCCAGAATAGATTTGGCCATGACTGCCAGAACGCGACATCAAGCCCTGATCTTTCGTGTGATCACCCAGAATATGGTTGAACTCCCGTGGGGGGACGATATGCCGATCCCCCATACTGAGAAAAGGCGGCGCAGTCTCCTCTCCATATGAGGACACTGACGATCCCCTCGAGTGTGATGTATGAAAGAAACTTGCCGAAGCCATTTCGGATGAATTAGGAGAAGACGAAGACGTTGCCATGCTCGGTCGTGGGCCCGAGCCAGCGATACTTCTTGGCATGGATGCGTTGTAAGGCTTATGTGACGTAGCCTGCGCGTCTCTGTGTACTGTCTGGGAGCGGGGAGGGGGACTGTTGAGCAATTCTTTTGGAATGGCAGGGACAGGCGGCGGAGCTGTATCAGCGTGGAAGCGGTCGCGTAGCCCGCCCGTGCTAATCCGCTTCATGAGCTTCCAAATCTTAGAACCCTCCGATTTGCTCTGCGGGTCGGTCGCTGAGCGGGTATGGCCCTTACCAAATTGCCCTGCGTTCATCGACTGCCCGCGGTCTTTGATACGGCTGGAAGAGTGGCTCTCTTGCAAGCTTGATCGGCCAATGGAGTGGCCATGCGAGGGAGACTCCTCAGCCTTAACACCTCCCGTCGCCTTCTTCCATTTACTCGATACTCTTCTTGACAGGCTTCCCTTCCTCGACAGGCTTCTGCTCGGCTCGGTCTGGGCGCGCTGTTCGGCCAGGACGTGCGCGTGCAACGACCAGTTGCTGTTGTCATCCGGCCCTCCTGCAGCAACTCTGTGCTCCGACTGTGTTCCGTAGACAGTATAGTATGGGATCGGCGAAGGGGAGGGAGGGTCACCTTCCATGGGCTGTGTGTCCTCTCGCTGCTTGTATGCCCGAACAACAGTACTCGCAGGTGTCAATGGGGGATCTCGCAAGGGGCGTTCTGAACCCTGCGCAGACGCTGCCCTCTGTCTCATCTCCATTTCTCGCTTGACCTTTGCAGACGGCTTCCTACGTAGAACATTCCGCTGCCTTTGCTCCTTCCCCTGTGCAGGCACGGAATTGGTAGACAAGGAAAGGCTGTCTTGGCTTATGAGCGGTACGCTGGTGGGTGGGGAGCTGTTCCCCCTCGTGGCATGATCTGGATGCGAATATCCGGGTGTGAAGGGGAATGCCGAGACGTCAAGTTCAGGTGGATGGGGTCTCGACTTGCGAGGGGTTGTGAGGCGTGAACGTGACGAGGCCCCCGAGTCTGAATGTAGTGATAGACGGCTTGGGGACGGCAGTGCAGGTTTGCTGAGGAAGAACTTGATGCCCATAGCAACAGGGGACTCAGGGGTCTCCAGGGTAGGATGACTTGGCGAATTGGGAGCGGTGCGCGGGCGTGCAGAAGACGAAGGATATTTAGAGACACGCTTGCGAGTGGCACCGTGCATAGGGAGAAGATCAGATTCAGTAATGGATCTGGAGCGTCCGCTTATTGCCGGGGATGGGGGGGTACTGAAATGTGGTTGGCGTGACGTTGCAAGCATCCTATTCTGTTCGAGTACTGAGGGCGAGTGCCAGGGATCAGCGCTGGCTGACTCGGATGTGAAGGATGATTGGGAATCAGCGAAGCGGCTGCTGCCGCCATGTGCGGAGGACGGGGACGTGACGGGGCTGGACTGAGGACTGGGATTGTGAGGGGAGGGGAGGGAGGGATGTATGCGATCTTGGGTATTTTCTTGCACGTAAGGGTGTCGTGATGCCGACCTGCGCAAGGAATTGGAAGAGGTACTTGGTTCGTGAGGCTGGGCGTAAAAAGGATTCGCGGGGGATGACGGGAGGCGTTCATGAACATAGGGATGATGATGATGGTGCAGGGTTTGATCGGTAGAGTGGGAAGCTGCACGCTTGCGCGGGGTCGGATGGTTAGAAGAGTTGAACATTGTACCGGGTCTGATCAATATGTGGATTGTATCAGATCAAACGGCAAGTCAACAATGGAGCGATCGAGATTTGTAGAAATCGTTAGGTGATGACCAGCCTAGACAAAAGATATGAAGATCAACTGGGGAAAGTGAAACGGATACGCACATAATACGGGCGGGGAATTGATGTGGGTGGTTGAGAGGAGAAGGAATTGAGTATAGGCGCCTCTGAGTTTGAGATGAAGCAAATAGATGTACAACAGAGTACGTAGAATTGATGGGCGCGAAGCTAGAATTAGGATTACGGGAGGGCGATCCGCTATGAGCGATATGAGCAAGATTCTGGAAGAATTGGTCTAATACTTTCTTCGGTGAGCTGTAAATTGATCGGAAGCAAAAAGAGGGTTGCACGGTGGGTCGCTGGCTGTTGCACGCCGTTGAAAGGAGTGTGATGAAAATAAAAGAATGTGGGAAGGATAATCGAACAAACCAATTGAACAGTTATGGCTATAAATGGTGGGGCCGGTCAACGGAAAGTGAGACTCTCGGACATACGGCACGCATTCACAACTTGGTGTCAGACAACAAACGATCATCATCATCCCTTCATCCTTGATTATGTCAGCTTCTTCACTGTAACGTTGTAACAGTCTCGCTGGCATCTTTTAGACTACTTATTCTTTTGCTTGAGATATCCTGCATGCATGAGTACCCACATCGAATGTTAGTTAGCCTCAACGTCCAGACCAATCGAGCATCATGTGGAGCTCGTTGTCATCAATGTCGGGCTCACGCTCTCCCACGCTCATGTCTAGCGCATATCTCCATAACTGACTAGTCTGCCGTAGTCCGCGACAGCCCCGGTTTCAAAACTTCTGGCTAGTCCTGGCATCCAGTACAGTTGCTAGCGCTCTTGCGCACTAGCCTGCACCTTAGCTCCCATAGCCACTGGTATCCAGGTAGCTCAATTTCCATCCCTAGTCCTCTTCGCCCCCTCTTAATCCTCGATATACCTCTATCCACTCAGCTACACTCTCCCTCCACACTAATCATGGTCCGCTCCAATATCTCACCAAATGACCCCGTAGAAGAACAACCCACAATCGGTTTGATCGGAATGGGTGCAATGGGCGCTATGTACGCGAAACACCTCTCCAACGCAGGATGGAAAAAGTCCTTTCATTTGCTTATCAACATATCTTCATCTCATTTATATTTGGCCCTAGAATCAGCGTCTGTGACATTCCCGACAAATTCGACTCCTTGAAACAACAATATGCAGACGTTCCTGGCATAACCGTCCATCCAGATGGACACGCAGTTTCCAGAATTTCAGACTTCATAATGTACTCCGTGGAAGCCGAGTATATCGACCGTGTAGTCGCACAGTATGGCCCTTGTACGCCTTCCCATACATTCTCCTTCTCCTCCTAACCTGACCTTCGTGGGAACAAATACGTAGCAACCAAAGTCGGCGCAATCGTCTCGGGTCAAACATCTGTCAAAGCACCCGAGAAACTCGCATTCGAGAAATATCTCCCTCCGGACGTCCATATTGTATCCCTCCACTCTCTCCACGGTCCATCTGTTTCCCCTGAGGGTCAACCCCTGGTGTGTTCCTTCCCACAACCTTATCAACAAACCTCATGCCGTTATTTATAACAGGTTCTCATACAACACCGCGCACCAGACTCCTCTCTTCACATAGTCGAAAGCATCTTCCGCTGCTTCGGCTCACGCTTCGTATATCTGACATACGAAGACCACGACCTCGTTACCGCCAATGTCCAAGCGGTCACCCACGCCGCATTCCTCACGTACGAGTCAAGACTCCCCTAACTCCACTTCTGACTCATCCTTCGTCACACAGCATGGGCACAGCCTGGGCTAGCCAGCGCTCATACCCCTGGGAACAAGGCCAATACGTCGGCGGCATTGAAACCGTCAAAGTAAACATCATGCTCCGCATCTACGCAAACAAATGGCACGTCTACGCAGGCCTCGCCATTCTCAACCCCTCCGCGCGCATCCAGATCGACCAATACGCATCCTCCGCATCCGCCCTCTTCAAACTCATGCTCGAAGGCGACGAACAAGGCCTCCGCACGCGCATCTACCACGCACGGGAACAAGTCTTTGGCACAGCCGAAGCGGATCGCGTTCCCATATTCCTTACTGAGGATGTCCTTGATCAGTTCACTATTGGCGGTAATCCGAAGCTGAATGGCAGTCCGACAGGGACGACAGCGCCCCCGTCGAATTCGCACCTCGCGCTCCTCGCGATGGTAGACTGCTGGGCCCACCTCCAGATCCAGCCTTTCGACCACCTCGACCTCGCAGCGACCCCTATTTTCAGGATGTGGATCGGTGTGGCAGAGTACCTCTTTCGGTCGCCGAAACGGCTGGACGCCGCTATTCGTTCAGCGGTGTACGACGTCACGCACCGGTCGGACGATTTGGAATTCGTTGTCGCCGCGCGCGGGTGGAGCCAGTGTGTGTCGTTTGGGAGCTTGGAGTTGTATAAACGGCGGTTCTTGGAGACGGCGTCGTTTTTTGAGAGTAGGTTTGAGGAGGCGAGCGCTATTGGGTCGGAGATGATCAAGGCGATTTCGCAGAGCTAGGCGCGTGTCGGGAAGTTGTTTTTATGCAATTTTTATGTTGTGTTACTGTGACTTGCTGTTTTTTTGGATTGTTTGTTGTGGATGTCGTTCATCTCAGTCCGTTTTCATACTTGGCTGGAACATTGTTGGGCACAAGTACTGTGAAGTATTGAACGTTCCACCTCACTTGAGTGCTGTTGCTGCCGTGACAACGCTCGTAGCACCCGACATCGCTTCCCGTTATCTAGGTGTTCATTCTGTAAAACAGTACTATGTAACAGCGTGTACGCCGCCTCGACTACAAGTATCCTTAAACTACGATATATCGAGCAACGACCGGAATGCCTTTTGCATCGGCCAACAGAATTTAAAATAAGTAGTTCCCCAAGAAGCGATTTCAAACTTCCTAGGACACTTTGTACGATCCCTATGAACGCATGGGGAGAGCCATACACCAGAGTGAGTGAGAAACCGTCCCAAGAACTAGAGCAGACAAATGATTGAACCATAACCAGGGCCTTGAAATGACATTAGAATGAGAGAATCGTACTAATGAGCGGCACTCGCATACGTGAAGAATTCATCAAATCACCAATGAATCGAAGTTCATACCTCACTGCCAGCCGTGCCAAAGTGGAAGAACCACCAAAGTCTCCTGCTGCTCAGGAAAAGAAGCGAGTTAATATTGATTCTGTAAAGCAGCAAGCCTACCACGACCGTGCTTGACGCTACAAAACACCACCAGAATGGCGGAAGAAGTAGCGTACTTCGCCCTGAGGCACCAAACCCGTTCGGGTGTTGGAACGTCATGAAGGATGCATACGGGCAGTTGCGGTCCTCTCCAATAAGTGACGTATAGTGACGGTGGAAGGCAGGACGCTTCTGCCATGGTACTTGGACAGCGCTATTGTGCGGAGGGGCGTTTCGGTAAGGAGCATGCAGCGGAGGAATCACGAAATGGGATGTGGCAGGCTTTATTGCGGGGGAGAGCTGGCTTCCATCTCTTAGAATTTGAAAGCTTCGTAAACTCGGGCAAAGCCTCAAACTCAGTTAAAGAAATATGTTACTTCGACGCTTGGAAATTTGAGAGGCTTGGAGACCGTTTTGAAAAATAGCGAGAACAGTGTCCGTCTGGATTTCCACTGTGATGAGATTCCGAGTCAGCCGACAGGAAAATGGCCCATTGTGCGCGTTCCTGGAAGCTAGCTTCACCTGCTGCCTTATAGCGAGTACCAGTGCATGGAGCGTTTTTCTCCAGCTCACGTAGATGCATGGTTGTGTGTTGTCACGAGACAGAGTCGAGAATGGGAGATGCCCGGGAATTCCTAGTACAGAGCTCGTCGTAAAGCGTTAGACATTGATCCTCTCGAGCCTGCTTTAACGCTTTCTGCCGTGGCGAGTTTGCTCCGCTTGTACATGTGAATGTGTTCCATGTCAGGGCAGATTGTCGCGGGTGAGTATGAACTCCAATGGAACACTCATCCATCGGAAGTTATCTTTGGGGGCGGCTTGCACGTTGTTTCGGTGTGAGCCTGAGACTTTTGCTTTGCGTGCTTTCGTACCCAGAGCGGTTTGGTGAGTGACGAAGACAACAACGATTTAAACTCTTTAAGTTTTGGCCAGGAATTTATATAACCTGCGGAGGGAGAATGATACAACGTAGCACAATAAACAAAAGGAAACCGGGGACGTGCGTGCGCGCGCTGCGATTATATTAAACTAGGACCAAGTAGGTGCAATTATAGAGTTAAGTACAAACATCTGTTTAGTACGTGTTGTGCGTTATACAATCTAGAGTATAATCACGTATGATAAGGTATAGAGCCTACCCGACGGAGGCCAAGATGCGACTACTGTCATGAGGTAGAGGCCCAATTTCTACTTGCTTAATAGGTGTCATAGATGAGGCGGCGGACAACATGCTCTGATCGCTGTCGACGTGCGCGCATGGCGAGTGATTCATGTGGATCGTCAGGAGCGAAGTGATACAAGCGTGCGCGGAGAACCTCATCCCGAGGTGTTCCAGAATCCCTTCGTTTTTTGTCCACCAGCTATCCATGACCTTGGGATAACCTTCGAAGCGGGTGACCACAGCAACGACCGGTACGCCGCCTGGACCGGTGGTGGAGCCGACAATGTTGGCGAAAAATTTATAATCCTTGAGCAACGCTCTCTGGGCCCTCGATCCCCTCATACAATACATGAGAAGGTGAACTCCATCATCTTTGTATAATCTCTTGTACGACTTTTTCAGGCGCCATTTGTAAAAAAAGTTCCGGAAGAAACCCATCGATTCGATGGATGAAACTTCCCAAAATTTGAAGTTGCGGCCCCCAAGATGGACTTCATAGGAGGTATGCTCGAGCATGCAGGTTGCTCCATCTAGTGACATCTGTGCGGCATTTTGTCCCATAATCAAGTTGATGACGGAGCTTTTACCAACTCCAGCCTCCCCGAAAATCAACACATTCAAAGGCCCTGAAGGTGACTTGCCAGCATGGAAGGATGAGGGCAAAAGTAACGGTGCATTGATAGGTGCTCACCAACGTTGAGATCCTAGAGAAGCGACGCATACTCTCAGCCTAGTTGATAAGGATGAGCCAAATACTCCGACCACGGGCTAGTGAATTACCTGAGATTGTACCCTGTGGCTGAGGGGAATGAGCTCAGTTATCTGCTCCGCTTTTACAATGTCCAAGGATGCAACTTTATGATTTTCCTGTGCTCCGCCAACAAGAACATTGTTGAGCAAGGACCTCAGTTTCTGTGTGACAACGCCAGTCAAAACTTACATCGTTTACCAAAGTCCCCATTTCGCTCTTTAAATACTCCATGGCCACGAAGGCAGGTGGACGACCAGATGGATCAATTGACCAACGCTGCTCGATCAGACTCCAGCGGGCGTCCGTGATGTCAGACGTTGCATTGGATATCTCAGGACGCGAGATATCCTCTCCACTAAGGATCTTTTGAGCGACTTTCCAGTCGTCAGTATCATTCTAAGGAATGATCAGTGTCAACACCTGGTCATGAGCAATTGTTTTTTTAAAAAAAAAATAGGTTGTGTTGAACTTGAGATAATTACATGAAACATGACGCGACCAAAGGAATAGATGTCGTTCTGCGTGGTTGGTTTGATGTCGGTTTGATGTTGCTCGAGCAACTCAGGTGCAGTCCACCTGATTGCACCAGGCCGAACAGAGTGTTGCGCATCGCTGCGAGAAACCTTGCCGAGAATATTCGACAGCCCGAAGTCCGTAAGACATGGCTTGTATTCTCCTTCCTTGATGTCTATCAAAACGTTGGACTGGATTCTTTAGTGAACGCAATCAAATGTACGAGGGTTGAACTCACGCTCGAAATGTCGCCGTGAACAATGGGAAAAGAGTGAACTAATGGAAAAATTATTAGTGGAAGTACGATAGCAATTAAACCAAGACAGACGATAGTAGAGGCCAGATGCTATGTCGTGGAGCTAGTGGATATAGAATTCAGTTGAGACCCACTGCGGCTGAACAACGTCCGAGTCACCAATTTCATTTTGGACATGATGTTCAATCTAGCACCTTGTTCCGTGACCAGATGTAACAGTGTGCCGAGCGGAAACCACGGGGAGACGAGGGCAGGGCTCGGCCCAAACCCTTCTGTCGTTCCATAAAGTGTGACAATATTGTCGTGGATGAGGTGTGCCCAGATTGCAGTTTCTCGCCGAAATCTCTGGTGAATCAACATGGAATTGTGTTCGAAACAGAAAATATAGACCCTTACTCTTAAGTCCTGCTCCGAAGTATGAAACCTGAAGGCTTTCACTGCAACCTGTGGTAATCAACGGGCTTATCAGCGAGTTGCGCTGGCACTTGGCCACTTGCCGGACCTTGACAGGACCCGACGGTCGATTCAATTCACATCTGTAAACGTTCCCATATGCACCACTTGCGACGTAGTCATTCACTGTGCCAAAGATCTGACCTGTGAGGTCCTCTGCCAGTGCCAGTCTAATGAGAGAAAATGAGATAAATCAATGGCGAATTGTTTCAATATCGGGATTCATACACAGGGTAGGGGGTCTCTGGCGGGAGTAGCGACATGGGTCGCCGAACCTGCGAGAATCCTGAGTGCAGTTGCTGTCCGCAGGTGGCATTATGCCACCTTACGACGTTAAAGTAAGTTCTCTAACAGAAACCAAATACATACAAATATGATTCGGATGGACTGCTTACTGTAATTAAATTTCAAAGAACTTCAATTTCTTAGACAAAAATTGGTCATTCGATCTCGTTCACTATTTCGAATTCGTAGGCATCCAGAGTATGGTATAAGCACATACAAACTTCTACAACCTGAACATATCGATAGCGTTACCGTCATGTGCGTGAGTCCTAATTATTACGTCCTTGCCTCGCGGCGAGCACCGCTTCTCGGACCAAATATTGTGCAGCATGGCTGCTCTTATAAGCGTCTGGTAGGTGCTTGTATCACCTCAAATACTGACCCAGTACCTCGTTGCATACCTGCCACCTATAACTGACCAGCCATACCTACTTACTCAGAGTCATGGGGATTTTTGCGCTTGAACGGTACGTCTGCTCCCAAATCTGTCAGGGTCTGCCTTCATCATTGTTCGCAGCAATGCCATTATGGATCTCACTTCTCAAATTACCAAGCTTGGATCTCCAATTACCTCTGGTTCCTTTGGCGAAGTCTATCGGTGTACCATCAATAAAGGCAAAACAGAGGTCTGTATGAGAGACCATAGTTAATCAACCTTCTATCTAATATCTACCAGGTTGCAGTGAAGGTATTCGTGATTGATCCTAACAAAGCTATGGCGAAAGTTGAGAAAGTAAGTCTTCCACTAAGTTGTGCTAACTCAAATCATACCTGTTGGTCTGTGTAGGCTATGCTTCGGGAACTCAGGGTATGGCTCAGGCTGAGTGACTCGACTAATATCGTTCCGCTCCTTGGTTTCGCACGAGTTGGTAGTATATCACCATTACCGGCTCTTGTTTCTAAATGGATGCCCTCTGGGACACTCTATGTCTACCTGGATAAAGAAACTCTTCCTGCTTCTGCGAAAGTCAAATTGGTAAGTCCCTTATTCACAAAACGCGTACATTGGTCCTCATACTACTACTAGGTCAAGGGTGTTGCTGAGGGCCTCAATGATCGTTCGTCGGCTTATATCGTGTTGTTAATTTTGTTCTTGATGCCTCCCCAGTTCACTCGCAGAATGTTGTTCACGGAGACCTTCACCCTGTATGTGCAGTCGTCTTTTGTGGATGATACACTCATTCATATATATTAGGGAAACGTGCTGATCGACGGTTCAGGGAATCCATGTCTCACAGATTTTGGTCTTGCAACAGTCGTAGGGGATTCAGAGCTGCAGTTGACCACGACAACCGCGGCAGGCAATTTCAATTCCAGATGGCGTGCACCTGAAGTTATCGGAATCGACTGTGACCCTGGCAGACCAAATTTCAAGAGTGATATCTATTCTTTTGGTGGTGTGATGTTCTTTGTGTGATCCCTTCGTCTTTCTTTAGCTCCATATTGAGATTTCTTGCACAGATCTTCTCTGGAGATATACCATGGTCAGAGAAGAAGTATTCGCATCAGATCACCGTTGAGCTGTCGAGAAGAACCATTCCCACGCGTCCTGAGAATGTCCTTAACGACACATGGAGCTTGATTCAACGATGTTGGTCTTGGGAACCGGGGCATCGCCCGGAGACTCCAGAAGTCCTTCAAGACATCAATCAATTTAAGATTGACGCCTCGCAGGTTTGGCAGCCCAAGTGTCTCGATCGTTGGCAAAATCTGATACATCTAATTCAGACGCCAATTTCGAAACTACCAGCGGATCTGACTGGTCAGATCTTTAGTACAAATAACGACTATCGAGCAGGAGGTGCATTTGCAAATGTTTATAAATGTGAATGGAGACGTCAGGCTGGCCCTATCAAGGTTTGACCGATGCCGGCATGATATTGGTGCTGTAGTTGATGATTCTTGTATCGAAGGTGGCAGTGAAATCCATCAGGATTCCAATCTCAGAGCTAGATCTAAATGTGAGTCTTTCCAACTCTTCTCTGTACATTGCTTAATGCCGATCTGCTAGCGGTATCGAGACAAGGTTGAGACCTGGGCGATCCTCGCGCATGAAAACATAGTTCTTCTTCTCGGAACGACAGACGGGTTTGGGCCATACACAGCCCTTGTCTTTCCATGGTTTCCAGACGGCACACTCCTCCGCCTTATCGCAGACCAGGGTGCTAGATTGAACATTAGGTCGAGGTTGAATCTGGTGAGCCACTTTTTAGATGCATGATAGCACGCTAAAATTTCCATGTCAATATCCACTAGCTTCACGGCATAGCGTCTGGACTTGAGTATCGTTCGTTTTCCTTTCCTTCATATTTTCGTGGATTAATACGGTTGCCATTAGTTCACCGGTCGGGCATTATTCATGGAGACATTACAAGTGTTCGTTCACTTTTTTTCGCATAAAGACTGGCTGACGAAAAGTTGCAGTCCAATATTTTGGTGGACTTCAAGGAAGGGGAATACCAAGCATGTCTCACAGACATTGGGTTGGCGACTGTTCTTGGCGGCCGTTTGGGGAACCGCATGATTGAAGGATCAAACGTTCGATCTGGCGCGATCAGGTGGATTGCGCCTGACTTGCTTACCGCAGGCGGCAGCCCGACCATGCAGAACGATATGTATTCCTTTGGTCGTGTCATGTTTCATGTGAGTCTGAAGTTTGCCAGCCCTTATCCGCTTTGTGACGTGATCACCTATGTTCAGGCTTTCGCCTTGGTCATCCCTTGGCACGATGTCCACTATGACTTTTCAGTCCTTCAAAGAATTCTCAATGGGGACGTCATATCACGCCCTGTGACACCGGATGCGACAGATATAACCGACGCACGCTGGAATGAGATTGAGAAGTGTTGGTCAGCTGCAGGGTCTCGTCCATCCGCCTCAATGACCATGGACTTTTTGAAGACCGAATTAGAGATTTTAACAGATGACGTATGTCCATGATTGGTCTATTCACTTGGACTGAATTCTTATTCTCACAGGACACGACTGTGGAGTTGCGGAAGATCATACACTACTGCAATCAACGCATCCTGGCCGTTCGCGGTTTGATAAGACGAGTGTCTTTCAAGAAGGTAACCGACGCGATAACCCGGTACAGACATAAGCACCATACTCTTCCTACCACGCAGGAGGGCCCGAGGATGCTTGAACTTGGTCACCGCCACGAAGTAGCTATATCCGTGTGTTCGGAATATACTGAGCGCCCCAATTCTATGGAAGCGCTTGCAAGTGAAGAGAGCGAGACTTCTCGTCGATCCATTGCCCGTCAGCGCTTCAAGGGAGCTGTGCGTTCTGTCATCATGATGCAACAGCAGCAAGCAGGGCAGACCCCGCTATATCTACGGCCCTTCATGCCGCCACGAACACCCTCTTTTGATCGAGTTTCGATCTTGATCCCAAAGCTTAAAACCCTGGAACCCACACATGACCTCTCCGTACACACTGCTCTTGTTTGTCATCTGCAATTCTCCCCAAATGGTAAATATCTCGCTACATCAAGGTGCGTTGTGAGTTGATTCATTGTAGATTCTCGGGCTGATATGTTGCGTTAAGTTGGGATCGGTCTTCTGTCATCTTTCGTGTCGGAGTAAGCAAACGAGGTGTCGCGCTTCTACAAACGATATTTATACTAATGCTGTGTAGGATTCTTTTCAAAATCAAGCTGTTCTTGTACACGTGCGAGGCTTTATCGGCCAGGTGGCCTGGTATGTAATGCAGTGTGTTTTATCTTAAAATCCTCAAATGCGATTGGACAGGTCTGCGTCTGGTACGATTCTCTTGACGAGATTAACTCGTGGAATCAAGGTCTGGACGGAGGAAGGACTCTGTAAGAGAACAATCGATCGGCCGCACTCCGTATCATCTATTGCATGGCTTCCTGGTAGCGAGAGTAATTAGTTTCATTCTTCCTGTCTGATTGTACGTTGCTAATGCTTTACGACAGCGCAATTCTTCTCTGTCGAAGGTAGCGATGTGTTTAAACTGGTTAGTAAGCGCAACTGTAATCATTTGTGTACCCATTGTTGAACTCTATTTTCAGGACGTTCAAGGGAAGGTGATTAAATTACTCAGTGCCAGCGGAGTCCCGACTGAACGTCTTTCAAGGTTCTTGATTCGTATCACTTTGGTCGCATCCAGTTGCACAATGTAGCTGTGAGTCCAGATGGCCAGCGGTTACTGGGTGTGGGTCCACTACTTGCGGCACCTAATGGATTGCATCCAAGCCGCACCACTAGGGTTGAGAAACGTATAATAGGTAAGCGTTATGCACGTCCACAGCCATCTGGTTGACTTCACATACAACAGTTTTCAACATCGAGACTAGAGCATTTGAAAAGTAAGTCGCCTTCTTCATCGTTTCGACTCTTTCACTAATGGAATTCAAAAGCCAGACGCCCGTCGTTAACGACGTGCGTGACATAACGATGTCCAAAAGAGGTGGAAACGTGCTTGTTTCCTTCGAGCGCAAGGTACCGAGAGCCATGATAGCATCACATCATCTGTTCACCCGTTTCATATTTGCAGACACCTCCGCAGTTATGGAAGATGGAGCTAGTGCGAGATGCTAGAGATCACGAACGCCCCTATGCACAAGTCGCGAGGCTTCTTCTCCGCCACACGTATCTGCCCAAAGCTCAGGTGGATTTCGCGGGCTCGAGCTACTTTGGCGGCAAAGATGACCAGCTAGTGTTATGTGCTGGAAAAGGTACGTTTTTCCTGACCTGTTTTCTTTACCGGGAACTCTACTTATGAACATTCCGACACAGCGGGGGATATACATATCTGGGATCGTGATAGTGCAGCTTTGCTCCATTACATTCGACCTCAAACATTTGGCGGGGTCTTGACATGTGTTGCATGGAATCATTCCACTGACGAACCTTTCATGTTCGCCACGGGCAGCCACGACGGTACGGTACGCATATGGGCGACGCCAGCGGGGGACCGCTCATCTGATGACGCATCTTATTTCGAGCGGCGCACTGATGCTGGTATGACAACAGTCTCAGATCAGTATGCGTCTTCGCCCATTCTGGGCCCAGCGCCGGTGCCCGGATCCAGCTGTCGTCGAGAAAGAGCACCGACCGTACGGACTACATTCTCGATAGGGTCCACCTGTTCATGGCATAATCATGCATAATTATGGCCAACTGTAGATGTATGGTTATGTATGGTTGATGCTCATCCCACCACATTATGCATAATGCCCTCCACGTCATACCCAGGGCAGTAGCCACCATATGCTTACTCATGTATATCTAGGATATTTTTAAATCTCAGCTATGCATGTCATTCCCAGCACATTTTCGCATTTTTGGCCACCTACTGTGGGAATTTCTCCACACCACCTATTTTGGTCACTCCCCACCATATTTTCACACCCCATATTTTCGCATTTTTGTCCACCTACTGGAGGGCACTTGATTTCTCGAAAGTCCGGTCTGTCCGTCTGTCTGTCCGTCTGCCTATTCCGGCCAACCACAAATAGCACCAAACATAGTATTTTTTTTGTCACTAGTAGTGCGGCTCGTAGTATTAATCGGTTGCTACAATGGTCGAGCTCGTATGTTTAGGCCAAGCACTCTCAAATATTCATGGACTCTCACTCGAGACTATTCTGACCTTTGTTACCTTGGCCTCTGCTGTCAAGGAAGACATGATATTAGCCCAGCCTGCAACATATGATGTATCTACACCTCTGGACTTCATGCCTCCTAGCGTGTCTTTGTTTTTGGGCTCCGCATGCTCCCTGACACAAGACTCAGTGCGAATCTGCTGGTCCACCTTAAAACACAATATCTGGAAAGACAGATTCACGCTGCAGCACAACACCCACTCACTGTTTGAACAATTCGGTTATCCTCATGGCCTGAGTCAGTGCCGGTGTGAATTTGACCCAAGTCGTTACTGACGGAGGACTGTATAGCCTACAAGACATTCTACCCTCCGTTCAAGATGTGCACAGAAGCAACTTGTGAACGACGAGCAAACGGGTTGCTTTTGAACAAGGTTGAACAAGTCCGAGTTGTGTATGTGAGTCTCGAACATGGGACGATGCCTGCATATGATGTTGCAATGCGATGTGAACGTGCGTGTTATGTCCAACTCATTGTAGCTAGCCGAAGTCAATGTTGAATGGGTGCCAGGCTGCAAAATCACTTATCACCACAATTTATAGGGTCAAAACAGAAATAGGTTTCAAACTTGTAAAAAAATATCTTTTGGTGGGCTGGTACATATCATGGAGGGTACTTCTGGGATGGATATGAGCCAACAATTAAGAAAATCGGCGGTTCGGTTGTGGAGATATGTCCAAAATACTGATATTTGAGCCCACCTCCCATATCACATGAATGCCGACCTCCGGAGGGTCTGGGACCATTCCCAATCGATTCAGAGGCCTCAAATACCCTAGGAGAGATGTTTTCAGTATCGGTATTGAGGCGGAACACCGGGATAGTGACATACAGGAGGTCAGGAGGAGGGGGAGGACCTTGTATATCTCAGGAACACGATTTTTCCAGGCAATTCTGGCATGACCATCGTGTTCAGAGGGCTCAATAACCCCCAGGAAAAATGCTTCTGAAGGACAGGCTAGTCATATGAAGTCTAAAAAAATCGATCTTTGGGTGGGGGAGCATGGCCTTGGTGGCCAACTTTGGAAGATGATTTTTAGAGCAAAATCCGGCTCGACCAACGTCTTCAGATGGTCAAATAACCTCAAGAACAAGTCCTAGCTAAAGCCAAGCAAGCCATATGAAGGCTGAAAAAATCGATCTTTGGGTGGGGGAAGGATGACAGGGGCAGCCAACTTTGGAACATGATTTTTAGAGGGAAATCTGGCTCGACCAACGTGTTTGTATGGTCCAATAACCTCTAGAACGAGTCCTACCTAAAGAAAAGCAAGCCATATGGAGGCTGAAAAAATCGATCTTTGGGTGGGGGAGCATGGCCTTGGTGGTCAACTTCGGAATTTGATTTTCTCATACAAATCTGGCTCGACCATCCTTTTCAGAGTGTTCAATAACCTCGGAAACAAGTCCTACATCAACCCTTGCGAGTCATATGAAGGCTGTAAAAATCGATATGTGGGGGAGGCCTGCATGCCCTAGGGGGTCAACTCCAGCATTTGATTTCTTCGTGCAATTCTGGCTCGACCATCCTTTTCGGAGTGTTCAGTAACCTCGGAATCAAGTCCTACATGATGCCAGGCAAGTCACATGAAGGCTGTAAAAATCGATGTGTGGGGGGGCCAGCATGGCCTAGGGGGTCAACTTCAGCATTTGATTTCTTTGTGCAATTCTGGCTCGACAATCCTTTTCGTAGTGTTCAATAACCTCGAAATCAAGTCCTACATGATGCCAGGCAAGTCACATGAAGGCTGTAAAAATCGATGTGTGGGGGGGGCCAGCATGGCCTAGGGGGTCAACTTTGGAATTTGATTTTATTGTGCAATTATGGCTCGACAAATGTGTTCAGATGCTCCAATAACCTCTAGAAAGAGTCCTAGATACAGCCAAGCAAGCCGTATGAAGGCTGAAAAAATCAATCTTTGGGTGGGGGGGAGGGGCATGACAGGGGTTGTAGTCAAATTTGGAATATGATTTTAAGAGGGAAATCTGGCATGACCAACATGTTTGTATGGTCCAATAACCTCTAAAATGAGTCATGCCTGAAGTCAAGCAGGTCATATCAAGGCTGTTAAAATCGATGTGTGGGGGGCCAGCATGACCTGGGTGGTCAACTTTGAGAATTGATTTCTTCGTGCAAATCTGGCATGACCATGGTCTTTGTATTGCTCAATAACCTCAAAATCAAGTCCTACCTTATCCTCCCCAAGTCATATGAAGGCTGTAAAAATCGATCTTAGGAGAGTGTGGTGCTGCTGCTGCTTACATAAGCAAGAATGCGGTCCTCTCAGAGGGGGCCTGCTCACCGCTCAATGCCACTGTGATGCACCAGCAAATAAATCTTGCTGATTTGTTTCCAAGGTTCAGAGTGTTAGATCCTGCCTGTATCTGCCTTATGAAACGCCAAAATTGTGAATTGCAGAGGTGTTATGCAGAAATGCACAGCAGGGACCAAGCTGTTCACCTCTGATAGAGGTGGCCATCTTGTAGATGTATATTTTCGCTTTTTTACGATCTTCTTGGCTTTGGTGGATTTCACACAAACAAGACTTGTCCAAGTCCTGATATTTGACTGACTTTTGCTTCTTGTCTGGTATTGACTTGCATGACAGGGGCAGCCAACTTTTGAACTTTATTTTAGAGCGAAATCTGGCAGAGTCCTTAGATTTGACCGATGTTCGCTTCTTGGCTGGCTTTGGCTTCATAAATGTCTCTCTTCATAACTCCATGAAAGCGAAAATATAAGTAGAAGTTGGCCACCTCTATCAGAGATGAATCCCCCATGAAGGGGAGGAGTCCTCAGATTTGACTGACTTTCTTGGCTGGCAAAACCTGGACCTTGCCACTCAAATAGCCCTCAGAGCGAAAATTCTGGTCACCTCTATCAGAGATGAATCCCGCATGAAGGAGGAAAACCAGAGCCTCGCCACTCAAATTGTCCCCAGAGCCAACAAGAAAGTGAAAAGTTAAAAGAAGCGAAAATATAAAGTGTTGGCCACCTCTATCAAAGGTGAATCCTGCATGAAGGGAAGGAGCCCTTAGATTTGACCAACTTTCACTTCTTGGCTGGCAAAACCATGTGGGCCAACATGTGGCCGACTGTCATATGAATAAGTTGTTCTTGGGCAATGGATGATACAGTGGAATTTGACTGCATCTCTGATGGAACCGCAGGAAGAAAGTTAATGTTCAAGGAAATTGAATTCACTGGTTAGTTTGTAAAGCGGTGTCCGGAGCTTCTTCTAACACTCTAGCTACAATCAGTGCCCATGAAGGGGAAAAACCCTTAGATTTGACCGACTTTCACTTCTTGGCTTGCAAATCCTGGACATGGCCACCCAAATAGCCCTCAGAGCGAAAATCATGGTCACCTCTATCAGAGATGAATCCCACATGAAGGGGGAAAACCAGGACCTTGCTACCCAAATTGCCCCAAGAGCCAACAAGAAAGTGAAAAGGTGAAAAAAGCAAAATTCCTGGCCACCTCTATCAGAGCTGTTTCCCCCATGAAAGGAGGGACCAAGATCTTGCTACCCAAATACCCCTCAGAGCGAAAATCTTGGCCACCTCTATCAGAGCCCATGAATGGGAAAAGCCCTTAGATTTGACTGACTTTCGCTTCTTGGCTGGCAAAACCTGGACCTTGCCACCCAAATAGCCCTCAGAGCGAACTTGGGGCGAGGAAATAGGAATGTGAACTCTGGGGGGTCACAAGGATATATGCCTCGAGAGGCGTGCTAGTAGTATCATCCTATCTACTGGACTATCTCCTGGATCTCACATCCGCGTACGTTTGAAACTCTCTATGTTTACACATGATTCCCGGCCATGTTTTCAAAATCTGAGTCACGGGTCATGATCTATGCCCTCTTCCCCCGATATATCATCCTTCACTTTGTTGATTACTAAGCAGACCTTATCCTAATGAGCCAGTCAAAATGCTAAGTATTCTCAGAATCAAAATCCTGAATGCTCAATGATATATCAAAAAATTTCGACCATAGGTATCTCAAAAAATCTGATTTGTAAGTAGCTTACATAATCCAAAAATGCCGAATTGCCCTTTTTGGATATAAGGCCCCGTGCGGATAGTTTGCCATGACCATTAAATCCTAGATAATTCCTCAAATAATGGTGTGCCCCTATTTTTGTATTACATAAGCATAGGAAGTTGTCTGTTGGACATGTCTTAATACCATATCCAACTCCCCATGACTCTCCATGACATTTAACATATGTTCTCCCATGTAAAACTCCCGATTTCTCAAAAAAATGAACTATGTGGTAGTTATCTCAATGATATATCTCCAGATCCCCTCGACCAAAGATGAAAAGTGTCCGTTCAGGATACCCAAAAAACATACCAAAAGCACGGAATGCCCAAATGAGATACTACTGGTGTTCCCCCATGTAAAACTGTCATTTTTGCTTCAAATCAGTAGATTTGTTGACTATGTGGCAATTATCTCAATGATATATCTCTGGATCCTTTCAACCAAAGATGAAAAATGACCATTCAGGATACCCATAAAACATACCAAAAGCACGGGATGCCCAAATGAGATATAACTGGTGTTCCCCCATGTAAAACTGTCATTTTTGCTTCAAATCAGTAGATTTGTTGACTATGTGGCAATTATCTCAATGATATATCTCTGGATCCCCTCGACCAAAGATGAAAAATGTCCATTCAGGATACCCAAAAAACATACCAAAAGCACGGAATGCCCAAATGAGATCTAACTGGTGTTCCCCCATGTAAAACCCTCATTTTTGCATTAAACGGGCTAGGATATAGGATACATGGCAATTATCTCAATGATATATCTCCGTATCCCCTCGACCAAAGATGAAAAATGACCATTCAGGATACCCATAAAACATACCAAAAGCACGGAATGCCCAAATGAGATCTAACTGGTGTTCCCCCATGTAAAACCCTCATTTTTGCATTAAACGGGCTAGGATATAGGATACATGGCAATTATCTCAATGATATATCTCCGGATCCCCTCGACCAAAGATGAAAAATGTCCATTCAGGATACCCAAAAAACATACCAAAAGCACGGAATGCCCAAATGAGATCTAACTGGTGTTCCCCCATGTAAAACCCTCATTTTTGCCTTAAACGGGCTAGGATATAGGATACATGGCAATTATCTCAATGATATATCTCTCGATCCCCTCGACCAAAGATGAAAAATGTCCGTTCAGGATACCCGTAAAGCATACCAAAAGCACGGAATGCCCAAATGAGATCTAACTGGTGTTCCCCCATGTAAAACTGTCATTTTTGCTTTACACGGGGTAGAATATAGGATACATGGCAATTATCTCAATGATATATCTCCGGATCCCCTCGACCAAAGATGAAAAATGTCCATTCAGGATACCCAAAAAACATACCAAAAGCACGGGATGCCCAAATGAGATCCTACTGGTGTTCCCCTATGTAAAGCTCTCATTTTTGCATTAAACGGGCTAGGATATAGGATACATGGCAATTATCTCAATGATATATCTCCGGATCCCCTCGACCAAAGATGAAAAATGTCCATTCAGGATACCCAAACAACATACCAAAAGCACGGGATGCCCAAATGAGATCCTACTGGTGTTCCCCCATGTAAAACTGTCATTTTTGCTTTACACGGGGTAGAATATAGGATACATGGCAATTATCTCAATGATATATCTCTGGATCCCCTCGACCAAAGATGAAAAATGTCCGTTCAGGATACCCGTAAAGCATACCAAAAGCACGGAATGCCCAAATGAGATCCTACTGGTGTTCCCCCATGTAAAACTGTCATTTTTGCTTTACACGGGGTAGAATATAGGATACATGGCAATTATCTCAATGATATATCTCCGGATCCCCTCGACCAAAGATGAAAAATGTCCATTCAGGATACCCGTAAAGCATACCAAAAGCACGGGATGCCCAAATGAGATCCTACTGGTGTTCCCCTATGTAAAGCTCTCATTTTTGTATCAAACAAAGCGGAAAATGAATGATATAGCTTATTTGCTTGTTGGCTTGTTGTCTCGGGTTAGTGCCCCTGGTTAGGATGTCTCGGTGGCTCGTTGTCTCGGGTTAGTGCTCCTGCTTAGGATGAAAACATATTCTCTCGGTGGCTCGTTGTCTCAGGTTAGCTGCTCCTGCTTAGGCTGAAAACGTATTCTCTTGGTGGCTCGCGGTTTCGGTTAGCTGCCTCGGTTAGGTTCGAACTACCACCAAAATCACTTACATTTCCACTGGTTATATTATTTTCTCATTCCATTGCTTTGTTGTTAGATAACACTCACAGTTTGTATTTCTATAATGTTACTATACCAATCACATTATTGTAATATTCATTGGTGCACCATATTGAAAGGGCAATTGTTCTTCAAATTAACGACACTACAGTAAATAACAATCAGAAACCATTTATTAGATAAATGTAGTGACGCCAGTATATCATAATTGTCCAGTTTATTCATATTGCAGCGCCTGTGTATCATAATTATTGATGTTATGTAATGTTTGTGTATCAACACTAGAGCCTTTGAATCGAGTTGTATTGTTCTGCTTATGTAATATTCAATGTTGTTCCCTACAAACAAACATTGCTGCACGTTACGTAATTTTTCTTTCTCTTTCCCTAACCACGATGTTCCCCTATTCGCGCTATAGGGGTTAGCTCATCGTTGACGAGCGCAAACGCTTGTTGACGTCGCTACTTGGCCCGAGCGCAAACGCTCGTGCCGATCTCCCCTTTTTTGTCGACGAGCGCAAACGCTCGTCGATGATCTTCTTTTTCTTGTCGACGAGCGCAAACGCTTGTCGATGATGAGCGCAAACGCTCATCGATCTTTCTAGTTGGCCCGAGCGCAAACGCTCGTGCTGATTTTCTCTTTTTTGTCGACGAGCGCAAACGCTCGTCGATATTTCTACTTGGCCCGAGCGCAAACGCTTGGGTCGATCTCTCCTCTTTCTCGTTGATCTCCACTTCCGTGTTGTCCTCTTTTCTCCACCATAAACTCTGGCTACGATTTTCAACTGGTCTGATCGTCGACTGCAGGTACGATTAATTTTCATTTTCATTCTCTCACCAGCGATCCGCAAATTTACTAGTCTTCACAGCGCTGCACGGACCTGCTGTCAGCCAGTCATATGGCTGCACTTCTCTCACTCCAGTCGTCATTTGGTACACGCATTTTACCAGTAGGTATTCTTACATCTATACACGTATTTTTCACCCGGGACTAATCGATTAACACGATTCACAGTTGTAGATCAGTTCATTCTCCTTCATCCCACTCCGCTCCAGCAAGCGTGCCTTCCCCACCTATCAGCAGCTTCTACAACCAGTATCTGCACGCAGCCCTCCTTCCTGCCTTCCCCACCATCCGTGGGTGACCGCTTCTCCTCCAAATTTCACGCGAAAGACATACGTGAACGTCAGCACAGCAGACTCCAGTTTCGTTATATTCAGGCGTCCCTCGACACCAGCATTGGAGTCATGGGCAACAACTCTACGATTATCTGCTTGGGAAAAGTTTCGTCTCCAGTAAATGTATACTGTTCAAGGTCAGTGACCTTACTGGAGTTCACGTTCGTCCCTGATGCCCTTTTCTCAGGCAAACTTCCCTGCGGTGTTCGAGTATGATCAGTATGATCTCACCCACTCACGCAACATCTCCCCTACACCTCGCCATCTACCCCTGGCACTATCCCATTCAACGTCATATTTTCCACGCGAGCAAGACCCTTGGCTGATTTGGGGACGATGCCAGATTTCCGTTAGAATTGCACTCTCTGTCTGCATTAACCCCTTACTTACATTCTGGCCTAGGCTGCTCTTGCTTTCAGTTACGCCCTCGGTCTACTTCCTTATACCGTCTTCAATCCCACCCACCATCCACCGTGCCACATTCAACTGCCTCTTGCAGAGGGCCACACCCCCATCTGCTGTACTCTCCTTCAAAAGCTCCTCGAACCGAGTATCCGTGCACGATTGTTGGCCAAGTCAAAATGCATCCTCAGCCCGTTGGGCCGGACCAGCCAGCTTCCTCTCTCACCGCGGTCGCACCACCGTGCACCACGAACGTTCCAGCGTCAGGTAGGGAATTGTACCTTTTTTTATCACATTTGCAACTTCTCTTATACTCTTCTTGTCTAACCACGGTGCATATATGCTGTTTCGGTGTTTCAATGCTACTTGTTTTCCTTAAACATCTTCAAGCGATCATTTCTGTACATTGTACGACTTTTTGTCTCCTTCCGCCTCAGTACTATTGGCGTCTTGTTTCTGTCATAGCCCGTTTTGCTGACGTGAGCTTATCTTCAGTTTCACGTCCATTGGTACCAACATACCGTTTACGCGCATGTCTTGGATTCCTTTCTTCGCATTCTCACTCCGCGCTGCGACCACGACTCACTTCCTTCAAGGCGCCCTCGATCATGCAGAAGTTCCCCCATTGCTTTATTTGCGGAACTGTGATAGAACACTGCTGAAGAGGAAACGCTGGTATCGGGTCGGCCGAGGAGAAGCACGACGGGAACAGGTTCGTACGATAATTTTGCTAGTATACTGGCGCTGAATAGCATCAGGTACCGGGCTTCTCAGACGATACTGAGAAACATCCAGCAAGCGTTTCAGGAATATCCCAGTCTCTGCACGCTTTTGGGCTACCTGGACTTTGGCAATTTCTGCTGCTGTAAGTATTTGTTTTGGTCTCCACCGGGTCGCAGCTGACAGCCAGACAGATCGTCTTCGTTGCAATTGTCACTCGAAGTCCGCAATCTCCACCGGCGTCTAACACTATGGGAACTGCATAATGCCTGCCGTGTTTTCTCTTGCTGGACTTCAACCACGAGCGCACCACCACACTCCCATCTCATTGTTCTTGCTGGATCACGGACTCAGCACGAGCACGCGGGATTTTTGCATGTAATATCGGGTATGTGGGTACAACGGAGCATAGTCCTCGGGAAACTTCACTTGTGAGTGTACTTTGCCTTTAAGGCTAGTATGAAGGCGAATGATGATCATTTTCACAGAGCAGTACTATTCGCCTCATCCAACTATGATTTTTTAGGCATCGTTGAGTGTGCCATCGATGTGAGTAAATAGTCATTCCTCGTGTCGTATGATATGAATTTCGTACGCAAGCTCTCCCCAACCGACCTCGAAATTCTCCCAGCAGGGATCACCTCGTTAGGAGCACAATGACAAACGGGCCTTACTCGCGATGTAACACATCTCTTCGCATTGCATGAACATCCAGAGTCTCTGGTTGCTGTAGCTTCAGCGAGCATAGGCGAGGCTTTTTGGAAATTGAAGGAGGCACATGAAGGGCTAGAGAAACTGAGAGAGGCGAAGCAGAAGTGGAAGAAGTAGCTCGTGCTGTGAACGAGGGACGAAGTCGGGTCCAAGTTGTTAGATAGATCCTTGGCTCTGGACATGCGAAAGACGGCCCTGGAGCATGCAGCGTAGGATGCATTAGCATTTCCATGGTGGGCGTTGTAAACGCCTTTGTCTCGCGTATGCGTTCTCTCCGCACTCCAAAGCCTCTTGCTTCGTCCTCCAAGTTACCCTCGAAACGGAGACTTTATCCACGCTGGAGAAATACAGCCCGACCCCGAAAACGCTGAGGCAGCCCTCCTCCCAGCCCTCAAAAGCAGGTTCAAAAGTCGCATACCACTACTATTCCTTCACCAGAAGCCGGAGGCTCAGGCCAGAGCGAAGCTTTCGAACTGTTTCTATCGCTCTGTACGGTCTAGTCGAACTCACACAAGAACTCGAGCACGAAATCCACGTACACGTCCTCCCCTCTCTCCAATCATTGAAAAGCTCATCGGTTGCCCCACTCAAGCTCAGCGCGCTGCATACTGCATCCACTACACATGCACCTTCTGCACCTCCCGATCACACGCAAGCACCGTGACATTGATAGGGTGATGCTAGACCTATCCAGGGGGATGGAAGCATTTTGGGCAGTTGTGAGAGAGCGGTGGGGAGAGTTATGGGATGCACTGCTCAGATTGTGCGTACTCTTTATGTCTCCAACTTTGCTGTACTCACGAGTAAATTCTTTTCACAGCCGACTCAAGTAAATGTCAAGCTGTTTGACTCATTCGTTGGGTTCACTATTTTGCCTACCGTCAAGCCCATGAGTTCCAAAAAACCCGCAAGGTTGGCAAGACTGGGTATGTCATCTATCAGTTTCGAAATGTACTACCATCTGACATGCATGCGCGACAGACTTTTAGGATGATTGGTTTAGGTGGCTGGTTCCACTCTCTGCGCGACCGTCATCGTAAACAGGCACCAGATGCTCTGGCACACCAAGGAGGGAACTAGTAGCCCAGCTAGATTGGTTCTGTCCTCCGTGCGTCCACTGTTCGCATTGGCACTGAGCCGGGCACGGGTTACGAAGTCCACATCTCATCTCTGACGTGCTTCCCACGGTACACCCCAATGACCTTGTTCTTGGTGGCTGGGACATTTCTAGTCTGCCCATGGACAAGGCGATGGAACGTGCCAAGGTGCTCGACTACGATCTTCAGCGCCAGGTCAAGCCGCATATGGCCCTACTTAGTCGTCCTCTTCCTTCCATTTACTATCCCGATTTCATTGCTGCCAACCATGAAGCACGTGCGGACAGTGTCGTCCCTGGCACCGACAAGCAGGCTCATCTCGAGCACACATTCGGGCTGACATTCGCCGTTTTTAGGCCGAGAACCAGCTTGATCGTGCCGTCGTATTCTGGACTGCGAACGCGGAACGCTACAGTGACAGCATCCCTAGTGTGAACGACACGCGACAATGTCCTTGCTGCGATCAAGAACTCGCATTCGGAGGTGTCTCCCTCGACTATCTTCGCTGTTGCTGCCATTCTCGAGGGCAAGTCATTCGTTAACGGTGCCCCTCAGAACACGTTTGCGTCTGGTGTCATTGCCTTGGCTGAGCGTGAGAAGTCTTTCATTGGCGCTGATGACCAATTTTCGACTAGACGATCCTTACTGAGCTGCTTCCTCGAGTCAAATACCGCGGGAGGGCCAGTCTGATTTTGTGCCTCTCCACGCCGTCTTGTCACTCATTTCACACATGCGCAAGGCGCCTCTCGTCAAACGTGGTCAGTACTGTTTTGGCGTATAGCCCGTCATCATGCTAATGTACGCTCCCAGGTACCGACGTTGCCAACAGCCTCTGCAGGCCGCGTAACGTGCTTTAGAGCTTCCTGGAAGCCTGCTTTGGTCTCGAGGGCAACAGCGAACCTCTCTTCGTGAGATGTACAACAATGAGATGCGATCTGTGTGGACAAAACTCCCGTGAGTCTCTTTTATTATCTCTAATGCCCTGGCGCTCATATCAAACACTCCATTTCGCAGAAGAAAGGCAATCATGCAGAAACGAAGCCCTTCACCAATTTCAGCGTCTTCCACCACAACCTCATCACGCGACTCAAAGCTCTCTCCCAGATCCAACTCGACTTTGGCAAACGCGAAAGTAGAAGGGAAATTCACTGAGAAGGTTGTTGATATGCGGTGAAAACAGATGGACAAGTTTGAGTGGAGCCTGAAGGCGTATGGGGAGGCAAAGGCTACGTGGAGATGGAAGTTTACTGCGCAGGAGGGAGAGATTGAAGGGTTGAAGGTAGGTTTTTGATCTGCGGTTTTAATTTGCGTTGACTTTGACTCACTGATCTGTGAAGGCTACCAACGCAAAACTTACCCCTCAATTGGTAACATCCCGACGACCGACCCAAGGCGACTCCAAAACCCTCCTTTCCCGCACAGTTAACGCTGAGAAACGCCCGGTAGTAGTTCACAACCAGCTTCTCCTAAGCGAAGAGAAGATTTCGAACATGAATCAGAAGACGACTACCACTGATCTGAAATGGGAGGCAAGGGTGAAGGAGTACGAGGCGAGGTCGAAGGCAGGGGAGGAGAAGTACAAGAGGGAGAGGCAGGGTGCGAAGCAGAAGGTGTTGGAGTTGGAGAATCGGATGAGGTTTGTTTCCCCCTTTTCCCTCTCTTCAGGTCTTGTGCTGATGACGTTTGACAGTAGGAGTCCGGACAGTGATAACGACAACGTTCCCGCTCACCCACAAGCCATCGTTGACCCTCCCATTGAGGAGCCCAGTCTTCCTTTGCCTTCCCCGCCTCCGATAGTCCCGGGTGATTGCCCAGGGTTACTCTGCTCAGGACCCAGCACCTCACATGCCCTCCGATTCCACCCCTTCATCCTCAGAGCAAGCAACCGAGACTTCCCCGAGCACTTCAGGTCTCATCCTTTTAGTGAATATATCCACCTCACTGACAACGTATCATCTTCGAGCTGTGGTAGTCAAGCGCCCAATGCATCTACGTCGAATCTGCGCAATCCCCACATTTGACATCCAGCAATGCGTCTTCACCACCTGCCCCACTTTCTACCAGCCAGCCAGTGCCCACTGTTCAGACTCGCATAGATCGCAGATTTCATGTATGCCCGGCAAACGTCAACGTCCATCCAGCAGTAAACTCAGCATCTCTTCAGCAGCCAGCAACCCAAGCACATCATCTGCCGCATCTGCCAGCAGCACCGTCCCAACACTTCTCCCCTCGTTCCATCACATCTAGTTCAGCATCGTCCAGCAACCAAAGCGACTCGAAATCGTGTCTGTGCAGGAAGAACCGCTCGATGGGCATTGCGAGCATTGAGGCGTTCATTTCGCCCATCCCAGCTTACACCGACGAAGAAGACGGCGCCACAGGGCATGAAGAGAACCTAACCCATATTGTGGGCGACAGAGGTCTAGTCTGCTTACTGGTCATCTGCGATGACGACGGCACTGCCTTTTCTACGCCCGATGCAACGACGTAAGTTGTTTGAAATCACCCTCCTCGGAAATACTGAGTACATTATCCAGGTATATATTCTCTGTCATGCCCACGATGGTGCTTCTGATCGGGAGGTTCACAATCCTCTTCGGCGCTGAGCAAAACCAACATAGACCCCATTCTAATTACAACTGTTCTGAGCCTCGCAGGTTCAAGACCTAGTTCCGTGCTTCTTACCTTCATGGGTGTCTCCTGTTTTGCGAGTTTGTGGATCAGGTAGGTCACACCGATCCCCGTTACTCATGTGTTGCTAACGCGTCTGTAAAGTTGCAGCACCAACACTGTCCTTCACTCTCATCCGAGTAAGTAACATGCATTCCACACCCGCAGAAACGGTTATCTAATTTGTATTGTCTTCAGCCGATCTTGAGAACATTGCCACCTGGCTCGTCTTTTGCGCCAGCGCTATTCGTTCGTTATCCTCTAGAATGTATTCCTCTCCTCAGAATATCTCCAATCCCTTGTTGCGACTCACATCCTTGAACGAATCGACCGTCTCCTACTTGACATACATCAAGAAGCCGACGCCATCTCCATCGCCCTCTGCCACACCTTCATATCTCGATACATCGCATTCGGACGCCCATCGAGCGGATATTCTATCGTATGTGCTCGCCCAAGCCCTCGCGAGTACTCCTCTGGTGCGCGAAGCGGCAGCGGCAAACAAAGTGTGGGTGGACCTTGTGAATTGTCCTGCCAAAACGACCAGGAGACAAAGTAAGGATGCACTGCGGTGCTTTAGTGATCCGCTGGAGCAGATCGAGGCTATGGACACCGAACCTCCTGTTGAAACGTATGCATGGGAAACCATGCCTGAGAGCCTGGTGCGCTTTTCATTGCTTAATTTGGCCCAGCGTTATCTGACCCATAATTCATGAACAGAAACCAGCATCCGTCTGCTCAGTCGTGCTTCGAGAGCTACACAATCGCCTGACACAATTATTGAGTGACAGCCCACCCACCTTGCACAATCTCGTTCAGGATTCGGCGCTCAAAGCTACTACAGTACGATTGAACGCGATGCGTAGATTATGGTAGATGACGTTTCGGCTGTATTGTAATACAAATTGAAAAATAATAGTACGGAAAGCACAACGAAGTGAACAAACGGTGAACAGCGCGGGTCCTAGAATTGTCTTGCATCAAATTACGAAAAAGTCACGCGGAAAACTACTGATATCAAAGTAAATCCCTACAAAGTAAGTGCGTCATACACATGTTGGACGGTTGTTGTGTTTTGTTTGCACAGCTTAAGTAATACTCAACGCTCGTCCCTACAAAGTAACATGGTCTTGTATTACATAATTTTTCTTTCTTCTTCTTCAACCACCATTACCCCTATGGCGGTTGGACCGCCGTCATAGTTCCAAGCTGTGTTGATTGAGCTCTGCAGTTCCAAGCTGTGGAGTTCCAACCTGTGTTGGGTGTGCTTTGCACGCCCCCTGGGTCATGCCGCCTGGGCTGCACTTTGTGCTCGTATACTCGAATATACCCCTGCGCAAAGTCAACGTCCAATTGGACACCGACCAAGAGCTACCCCAGGTAAAAGACACACTTGAACAACGTCTGGCGGTTTCCCTACATGTTTCTCATCCCTACCAGTTCCTACTGTTATATTGGGCTGACGGAGGGGCCTCTGTGATGATGACACTTCGGCGCACCCACTAGAAATCTGCGTGAGATTTCGGTGCTAAGGCGTACCATCAAGTAGATCTGCGTGAGGTCTGGTATATCGCCCCGACCAGTCCCTCATCATCCAGAGGGTTTCCCTCCAATCACAGTTCATTGTCCTGGCAGCGTCAATATCCGCTCTCTCATAGTATGTTGCACACTTGCTAACCGGTGGTTATCAAATCTGATAAAAACAACAAGGCCTTCACATCGTGAAGGAATATCGCCACTATACCAACGCATAGGTACGCAGGCTCTACGATTTCTCAATTTAATCCTAGCTGTGCAAGGGACTATGATGCCGAAGATGACCGAATGGCCGACGCTCCCCTTACCCAGCCCGACGACACGAAAGAAGACGGAAACGACGAAGACGACGTCATCATGCGCTATGACGAATACACCAGCAACACCAACCTCCCATCCTAGCTGTGCAAGGGACTATGATGCCGAAGATGACCGAATGGCCGACGCTCCCCTTACCCAGCCCGACGACACGAAAGAAGACGGAAACGACGAAGACGACGTCATCATGCGCTATGACGAATACACCAGCAACACCAACCTCCCCACCCAATCCGAGGAGGGGTGGGGGACTTGTCGTGTTAGCACACTGACTTTAAAGGTGCCTAAATTTCACGCACACCCGTTAGGCACCGCGTCAGACAGTCGCTAGTCAGGTATGCAGCAGTAAGATGGACTCTGACATTTTTCTGTACTGTGTAAGGTTTGCGTGGCTGAAATGACATTAAGTGAAACCTAACACGCGTGAGCAGCCGTTAGTTGAGATGAGAGAGGTATGCTTAATTGAATTGAGCGTTGTTTAATATGTTGACAATGGAGAATCATAAGTCATCTTAGAGGGATCGTCACTCAGGTCAACGGCACGAATTATCTGCGTAGTATATTTTAACCGCGTCATGATGCTCAGTATGTTAATGGTATGTATGTGAGTGGGGATATTGAATATTATAGTACATTACTGTGGTAGCTGAACCGCCTCCTCTCTACATGTTGTTCAAGCCCAGCACATGCTCTACGGCCTCCATTTCATCCAACAGCCTTGTTAGCGTCGCGCGCCGGTGTTCCATTGCTACCACCAACAAGCACCGATCCAAACGCGACATTTGAGGCCTTGGCAATGGAGGGAGGTTTCGTGCACGTCTCGGCGTAGTTTTCACGCCATAAGTACCGGCCGTGCTCCCATATGTCCTACACCCTCGTCAACACCGTACGGTACGTGACGTGTTGACCCTCACCAGCACTTCTTGTGGTACAATGAACGTCAGTTCTTCCGGTGCCTGACCCTTACTAACGCGTCAGTACTCATTTCATCAACAACAAGTAACGCTCACCCGTTGTACGCCGTCATTGGCGTTGGCGTTGTTGTTGCCCGCCGGCGTTGGCGTTCACGTTCTCGCCCCCAAGGTTGACGTCCACGTTTTGGCCCGCATCATTGACGTTAGCGTTGACGTTTTGGCCCACATCGTTGCCGCCAGCGTTCATGTTTTGGCCCCCCTGGCCCTAAAAACACAGGTCAGCACCTTACGTTACTCAAGGAATTTGCTCACCATGTCCCCCATATTCACATTGTCCCCCCCGCTGAACGTGTTGCCGTACTGCATCTAAAGGTATGTCATTAATGCTCTTCATAATCTTACCTTAAGTACTTACGTTTGCCATTGTAGACGTGCAGTTGATGATGGTAAGAGAGAAAGGTGTTACTTGGCGCAAACTGGGGTTTATATAGGGAAATGGGTTGAGATTGTAACAAATTTTGACGCGGCAAGTATGAATTTTTTTGTAACTATCTAATCTACACTGAATTCTGCTCTTTGCAGGCATATGTTTTTTTAGACAAGTAGTGCTCTATGTAGAGCTTGACGCGCCATGTATAAGCACGCGTTGTACATTATGACGCGCCGTTCAATTAAATTCATTACCTACTGTAAATAATACATGGCCCGCATATACCTGGGTAGCATGAAAATCACTCATATCACGTGAGGCTTTTCCACGCTCACGTGGGTGTCTGGTGCCACGAAGCGGTCATTGTGTTTTCGTTGTGTCTGCTGGAGCAAGCTTACGAGCACGGATCAAATTTTGTTTCTATCTTGTGAGTTTGGGTAACTCGATGCTTTTCATAGTTGCTGACAATGTTACGCTAGCGCTGATTTGGAGATCGCCATCCCACTCCCCGTCCAAGTTGACAAATTTGTGCAGCCGATCGAATCTCGATTGTTTACATGTGAGTTATCTATCAATCAAATGAACTGTCTGAATATTACCGAAGATCTGCGCCTTCCAGCGGTCGAACCTTAGCGTTACCCCTACTCCATGCTGCTCCCACAATCCAGTGCTTTCGTTTCAGTCTGTAACCGTTGGAGCGGTAGGTCTAATCAGTGGTTATGAGTGAGGTCCTTGTGTGGCTTCTGATAGCGTGTCTACAACTTTGTCTCGAATGCTATGGCTGACTAAGCTACTCGATCTCTGCTAGATCTTGATCATACTGACCCCTTGACTAGGGGGTGCCCCACTCCACCATCTTAACGCATCGGCTAACTCCGCATTGCCGCAAAATATTAAGTTTACGCACTTTCCTGTTGCCGTGAGCTAATAATAACAAATCCTAGAACATCCATTCACGCTCCAATCTTGGTAGAGGATCATCAAAGCCTGCAGGTGTTCGATCGTATGATGGAATATTCGATCAAGCCCTACCAGAGTTCCTAGACGACCTCCTGTGAGTGTGAAAGGTTTGTGGTTGAAGTCCGCAGACAACATTCTTGCTGATTTCCTACGTCAAATCAGAGACGTCAGTATCGTTTGTCAACGGCAAGAAGAACGCTTGGAGTCAACGCATCTACGACGCTCAGAAGAGAAGCTTCCTGACATCACAATGCGTCTCTCTACATGTGCACGTTTCATCCCTCAGAGTAACTTTGTCTTGATCAAGATTTGTAGTACAGGTTGAAGAACGGTACGCCGTACGCCACGAAGTCACTCTGCCATTGTCCCACCTTAGCAAAGGACTCCTTCTCGAAGGTAAGCACATACCCCATTCTGGTACAATTCTCTCAGCGTTAACTTATATCTAACTGATAGTCCAGGCTCTTTCATCTTGGCTTCCGTATCATGGCCTATACGTTTATACAGGAAAAGAGAAACTCAGGATGCAAAGGATACTTTAAACAGCAGACGTTATGTACAGGTGACTTGCACTCATCATACGCATGACCTGCATCTAACGTTACTGCAGATCCTCCTCGATCTTGAACCTGATAGGTGAAGCTCGGTGAAACCCACAATTTGGCAAGGGGTGCGTGTAATTTCCTGTCGTGTTCATTCAGGGTGAGTTCATCCCTAACAGTTTAACCCCCAATTCCTGAATTAGAATACCAGCTCACAACCGTCTGTTGTAAATTGGTCTAGCTATGCCAGACTGTCTCGATTCGATGAACACATTGTCATCTGTATTGGATTGTTCGCCACAAACGCTGAGCCATCACTTCTCCCTAGACTCTGACCTCCTCCAGCACGCAAAGTGACGTTGCAGTACCGGAAGGTGAAGTCTCCAAGGAGACACAGAGTTAGGCGCTCTCCTATGGGCTTGGTACGCGCTGTACACATGAGCTGACCCTCACGCTAACTTCTAAAGCAAATATGTAGCAGTTATTTCATCTCACTCGCATCACGCATAAGGTATGAGTTCTGCTCGATCGAGGCATCTGGGATAACGATGTCATATCACTTTCCTGACGATACAATCCCAGTGCGTTCATTATGATACCATTAGAAAACAAGTATAGTAATACAAATTGAAGCAATTTACAACAACGGTCTCAAAAATAATAGTACACAAATCACAATGAAGTGAACAATGCGGAAAATACTGTCTATATTGATATCAAAGTAAACAAAGCGCGCAAACCACACACGCGTTAGATGGTTGATGTGTGTTGTTTGCACAGCTTAAGTAATACTCAATGCTCGTCCCTACAAAGTAACATGGTCTTGTATTACATAATTTTTCTTTCTTCTTCTTCAACCACCATTACCCCTATGGCGGTTGGACCGCCGTCATAGTTCCAAGCTGTGTTGATTGAGCTCTGCAGTTCCAAGCTGTGGAGTTCCAACCTGTGTTGGGTGTGCTTTGCACGCTCCCTGGGTCATGCCGCCTGGGCTGCACTTTGTGCTCGTATACTCGAATATACCCCTGCGCAAAGTCAACGTCCAATTGGACACCGACCAAGAGCTACCCCAGGTAAAAGACACACTTGAACAACGTCTGGCGGTTTCCCTACATGTTTCTCATCCCTACCAGTTCCTACTGTTATATTGGGCTGACGGAGGGGCCTCTGACCGTGATGACACTTCGGCGCACCCACTAGAAATCTGCGTGAGATTTCGGTGCTAAGGCGTACCATCAAGTAGATCTGCGTGAGGTCTGGTATATCGCCCCGACCAGTCCCTCATCATCCACGGGCTCCCTCTGAAACCCCAATCGCAGCCAGCTCAACCACATCCCGCTGAATGTCAACTTCCCGTGTATCTAAGTAAGTCCCGATCAGTCTGACGTAGTATATTAACGCATCTGACATCTTTGGTCGGGGAGGTTGAACGGTTCCTGGTTTTCGGTCTTTTCAATGTCAAATTTTCCGACCGTACGGTGAACTCTATCAATCGAAGTTCTCGGATCAATGGCGGGCCAATTTACTTCCTTTAAAAGTTTTTCATATGTACACTGTGCCTGCTTTTGGCAATCGTTCTCCTACCTACACTAAGACCTTGTGCTACTGCCGACCCTTGAATCAGTCACCCTAACAGGTGTCAGTCGTTATAACCCTTAGTCACATCAAAACATTGTAGTAACTACCTAAGAAGAATCTGTAGCGGTGGTATTTGTGTAGAATATTAAAACCGATGCCCTCCGCTACGAAGGCTCTCAACACACTTTGCCCACAATGTAAGCATTGCCTCAGTCAAGCGTCCCTTTACAAGAACTGACCATAAGCAATCCAGGATTCCGTGCGATGCGTGCCCTTTCTCTGCAAAGGACCGAGTAACAATGTCGCACCACACGCGCGTAACCCACACCCCGGTTACCAACATTAGTGCGCTTTCCCTTTATTTTCATGGATAACGCTGATGAAAGATGTACCAGGAGGCCAAAAGCTCACTCGACAGGCCGACAACCATTTTCATTGCCATTTGTGCAATTTCGTGAACAACGATCCCTTGAAACTTCGCACCCACTATTCACGTGGGCACCCGGAATCCTCTGAAGGCGATGGGAGTGCCCGGGATATCGGTGCGGATCAAGATGTCTCGCCTGACCTTGACGAGAGTGAGAATTACAACAGGGGCACGCCTCCCATATCCTCCCCCCCGATTCAACTTCGCAGTAGCGCCGGTCCTTCGAAGAAGCGCAAGAGGAAACGCAAAGCAGCACCTACCGATGAAGCGGCTGATCTACTCAATGCGACAGGGGAAGGCTCTGCCCCTCATCCTACCGCTGTTCAGAATGATGCACCCCCTGCTTTTGATTCATCGTCTGGCCCTGTCGACCTCACCCTCCTCCATAAAATCAGTTTCACCGTTGATCCCGTCTATAAACTCGCAATTTGCATTGACTGCGAATGTGCTGTCCCAGCGGCACACGTCCGGGCTCATGCTGTCAAACAGCACAGCCTTAGACCTCCTCCATCAGAACAGTTGGACGCCATTTTACAGTCATTAGGATGTGTTGATCATTTCACCCCCCCAACAAATTTTATCGCTCCCATAATCGGTCTCAAGCTTTTTACGGGTATTTCATGTGAGGTACAGGGGTGTAATTACCTTGCCTGCCAAGGACAAGACGATGCAGGAGCATTTTCAGTTCAATCATCCTGACAAGCAATGGCGCCCAAACACTGCGGAGCGCAACTTACAGAGGATATTCGAATTTCGAGGCCGTCAAAGTCTAGTCATGGTCGATATCAGCCTCATCCCGTCATCCACTACCAACTACGACAACTATATGACAAATGTCACCAAGCATCGCCCCGCAGTTGACAGCGACATCTACCACGTCGACAGCGACACCAGATCCCACGGCACGTTCCTAGCCAAAATGAGATGGAACCAGGCGATCGAGGGCCTTCCCCTTCCAGAGCTCCTGAAGGCAGCCTCAGCGCCGGGAGAGCAGGAGCCCCTACTTCCAGATCCTGCATACAGCCGTTCATACTTGGCTCGACGCCATTTGCAAGCTCCTCCCTAACTTAGACCTCACTTTCCTCAGGTGGATCAACACGTCGAAAGGGTAAGAGCTCTGTTGGACTACGATATTTCCAAATGTTTAATCTCAGTTTAGGGATATAGTCAACGCCCCCTTCCGGGCACCCGTCACCAATTCATATATCGCCAAATGTGCTCGGATATGGAGTCGACTCTTGATGATGCTTCTTCGATTCTTGGCAGCTCCCAGCAGCTTTCCTTTCCAACTCCTCCTCACCGAAGCGCAGACTGATTCCCTGCAGGAACTCCTGTCGTTGCTCAAAGGACTTACTAGAGGTCGTGTATCAGATCTCATCCAACGGGTGTCCTTCCTGTTTGTGGCAACCGCCAATGATCACATTACGCAGGATAGATTTTCTTGTTCGTTGATTCGCTACCTGATTGTATCGCACTTACTGCTCGACGGCACCTTCGAGCTTCCTTCCAACATCGTCCCCAATTTGTCCTGCATACAGTTCTGCATGCGAGCTGTGGGCGTTCAGGAGGCCTATAACCATGCTTTGGATGCTGATGAAGCTGCAGAAGGCTTGCTGAGGTACGTGCTCTGCATCAGTTACGCATTTGATTTTCATTGAACGCTATCCAGTTATTATCAAACAAACTTGAAGGAGGTGTTGACCGAAGGGCATCGTTACCCATTTACTACACTGCGCGAGGAAATGCATCTCCTCTCAGCCATGGCTCATTCGGAGACGAGACTTCCATCCTTGCTGTGGAACGAGGACCATACGGTCCTACAAGTCGATGGCTCACCATTCATCGTGGCAAGCCTTCGAGACATGATTCGCGCCCAGTTGGCTCGAGCCAACGAGCTGCTTGAGTCGTTATGTGAAGGGCTTGATATGAAAGATTACGACGCCTGCTTGAAGAAGCACTTGGATCCCAAGAATGCCACCCATTGGCCCAGGGATCCGCTGCGCAAGCAGACTGACGGTTACTCTTTCCTCTCCGATACCGACAATCCATTCCGCGCCTTCCAGTCCGACCTTATGAAGCAAATCGTCGAGACCCCAGACATCTTTGAGAAATATCACGTTTTCGATTCGTACTGGTGATATTTTATTCAAGCAAGGTAAATAGCTCGGTTCCAAGTCCTCAACCCCTATGTTAATGTGTTGCAGCGTCTATTGCTCGCTGGTTTGCACAACTGGCAGAGCTGCACGACCTCACATTTTGCTTGGTCCACATCACTTCAGGGGGACCAGCAAGAGGTACCGAGCTTGAAACTTACCGGCTGATAAACACCCGTGAAAGCCCCCGCACCTTATACTTTGTGTCTGGCCACCTAGCGTTCATCACAGGCTATAACAAATCTCGGCAGCTCTCCAACTTCCCCGAGAGATTCGTCGCGCGCCCAGTCTATCCTCCCATTCAAAGACTGATCATGTACCTAGCTGGCCCTCTCCATCATATTGCCGACATTTGGATCAGCACCCTCAATAACAGCACCCATTCGCTGGGACCTGAAGTCTTCGCTCACTTTGGCAAACCTCTACGGAGCGAAGACTTCTCCCGCATCCTTCATACGCAAACTGCGCAACATCTGCTGGTGCCGATGGGCCTGAGAGTATGGCGCCAGATGATCAAGGCGCTCATGCGGCATGTAGTCAATGTTGACATCGACGATGATGGAGACCAGGAGGAGGATGCTCTGGATGAAAGCTTTGGACATACCACCGGGACAGGACGCTCACGATACGGTCTAACATGGAATGACTTACCTCACCTTCACGAGGATATGCTGAGCGATATCTTTCGGGTCTCAAAACGCTTTTGGGACTGGTTAGAACGTCCTGCCAGTGCCCCGAGCCCCCCACTTCAACCAGACATGTCTTACTCTCAGATTCATGCAGAGATGGCGGCCACCCTATCAAAGCTTCAACTCGCAGCGACCCAGCAGACCAGCACTATTGAATTAAGCACCTCGAACCAAACCCTCATTCTCGACATGCTCCGCTCCACCAACCAGAAGATTGACCGAAACCACCGAGCCGTGATTGAGGGCCGTGGAATTGTGTCCCAATCAGCTGTACAAGACTTGGAGCCCATCGATATCGCATTTGCTCGCACCCAAGCCCTCCAGTCGTACATGGGAGAGTCTGGCTCCAAATTTAAGAGCGTTCAACAGGCCAGTGCAGTAGAGGTGATCTCACGAGGTCTTCCCCACCTTCTAGTTGTTATGCCCACAGGATCTGGAAAGAGCGCCATTTACGCATGCCCTGGCTTTGCAGAGCGTCAGGGCTTCCGTGTCGTGATCATTACTTATCGTTCATTGTTGGATCAAGCGGTCCAAGACGCACGCACTCGAGGCCTCGCTTACTCGGTTTACCCCTCTCGGGAGGTTGATTTGTTTCATTCTCGTCTCGTCTTCGTATCCCTAGAGCATGCTGCTCAACCTGAATTCCGAACCTGGTGCGTGGCAAATAAGAAGGCCGGCCTCCTACGGTGTATTGTCATAGATGAAGTCCACGACGCCATCCTCGCATCCTATTATCGCCATGCATTCAATCAGATGTTCAAGCTCACAGATCTTGGCGTGCAAATGCTCCTTATGACCGCTACGCTCAGCCCTTTGTCTGAGGAAACTCTACTGGAGGTAAGCGTGACTACATATACCACGTCCCATTATTCATTCTAGCTTCTAGTTCCTAAGAATGGATCCCAGTTCTGTGCGCAAGATTCGCATGCCCACCAATCGCCCTGAAATTCAATACAGGGTGGCGAGAAGCTCCAAGGAGTCCATCGACACCGACGTTCTTTCAGCTGCATTGGGTTTCAACCTGGAGCAGCATGAGCGGGGTATCATCTTCGTTTTAACGACGACCTGCTGTGACGAGCTTGCCGAGACCTCCGGCTTTCCAAAATACCATGGGAAGCTCACAGATGCAGAGCGTACCCAGTACATGTTGCAATGGCGTTCAGGAAAGTCTCAGTGGATTGTCGGGACATTAGCCATGGCTCAGGGTATCGACATCCGCCACGTCCGTGTTGTCATCAATCGCGAGATCTCATGGGTCAGTAAGGATGAAGGTGGCGACCATTCTAGCAGCAGCACCAAGATTTTGGCGCTGATACACTTTGCCCAAATGTCTGGGCGATGCTGGCCGAGATGGCAAGCCAAGCACCCACTTACTATTTTACTCGCGCATTCCATCGGTCAACATTCGCCCTTCGGATGACCACTTTGGGTACCAGGGGATGGTAGACTTTGTCACCCTCGAAACATGTCGACGTCGCAATCTTTCATTGTTCTTGGACGGCATTGATCAGACCTGCACGTCTATCCTCAACGCTCAGCTATGTGACATTTGTTTGTCACATTCGGTGAGTTTATACTTTGTATCATTGCAAGCTCTGTCGCTTATCCGATCTTTAGCACATCTTGAAAAATGAGCAGGAGTTTTATAGCAGTCCTTTGGGCCGACGCCTCAAAGCACCGCCTGCGGTTGAGCCCATGACCCCTGCAGCGCCCAAGACAAAATCGATGGGCCTCCCCACCCCTATCACCGCTCATACCTCTGCTCACGAACGCCATGCACTCCCATCCTCACCCACGCCGTTCCGACAGAGAATTGATGAGGCAGCCCTCTTGTCTGACAATGAACGGCACCCCCCCAGGCACCCAATCATCCGTAGCGAGAAAGCCCCTGCAGAGCAACCTGATCGCCGCTCTGCGATCCAAAGGCAGAAGGCCCCAGCAGACCAAAGCTCGGACGAGGAATCTGATCCCCGCCCCGCCCAGCGGACTCGGTTTGAACCAACGGGTTCAGCCTTGGCCCTCCCTCAAGGTAACATTGCTGCTGGGGGATCAACTTTCGCACCGCCGGCACGGCCCAGAGCGACAGCGCCAGCCTCTGTTATCCCTCCCAGGGCTTCTGGATCCTCCTCTGCCAGGGGAGACCATGTTACTGCGTCAAACCTTGATCCGATCCCTTCATCCCCAACACCTGCCCTTGGAGATGGCCTTCCCACTGCGCGGGAAGGCAAAACTAAACACATTCTTCAGTGGTGCGAACTGCACTATCGAAAATGCAGTGTTTGTCTCTTCTACTCCGAAGACGTGGAGCATTTCGCGTACAATTGTCCAAAGGGGACCCTCAGAACTCCCGAGTATCGCACTGCGTACAAGGGAGCCTTACGTTTCAAATCATTTCGTGTCATTTGTTTCGGCTGCCTCATTCCGTATGACGTTCATAAAGACCAACCTACACCCAGGCTTAACAATCCCTTCTCATGCTTGTATGACGACCACCTCAGACCGATCGCCTACCTCATCTACATCAATCAACCCATTCGCAACATTGTCTTTCCAACCCTCGGTTTACGCCCAAACCAGTTTATTAACGTCCAGGCTTATACAGCTTGGCTCTCGGTGGAGGAACCTCACGTCGATGCCCTCCCCAACGTCTTGGAAATCATTATAGCCTATATGAACCTTAAGATTATGGGCCGCCTCCCCAGTGAGTCATTTTTTGCACAACTGATGACACTTCTGACTATTCTTCAGGTGTAACGTTAGGGGCTTGAGTTGCTGCATGTAGTATTATAACGCTTCACTCCTGTCGTATTAAGCACGTGCGTAATACATATAACATTGCTACAAGCCACAGAGCATGATGAGGTGTATACATGTGAGTGGGGATATAAATGCAGTAATACAATGGTGAATAGTCCTGGTATAAAGGTTGCTGAACTGCTCACTAAACCATGCCCTCCAACCCTAGCACAAGCTCCAACTCCCTCAACTCATTCATCTGTCTGATCAGGTTCCATCTCCTCCTTTCTACAAACATGACAAGTATACACCGCTCCCAACGTGCCATTGGGGGGAGCACTTCAGGCCGTAGGCCTTGGCGGACCCGCGCCTGGTTTTCTTGGACCACCCTCTGTCCCAGTTCCCACATATCCTAAGGCCTGTCAATACTGTTAGGCATGGGATGGGACCACTCACTATTACTCCCCGCGGTATCGTCAATGTCATGCCTCCTTGCATCTAGTACAGGTGAGCACTTGAACGCAAAAGTGCCTAACACTCACCTGGTCTCCTTCTGCAGCGTTGGCGTTTGGGTTGTTGACCGCCTGGACAATGGTGAGTACTTGAACGCAAAAGTCCCTAACACTCACCTGGTCTCCTTCTGCAGCGTTGGCGTTTGGGTCATTTCCCGCCTGGACAACGGTGAGTACTTGAACGCAAAAGTGCCTAACACTCACCTGGTCTCCTCCTGCAGCGTTGGCGTTTGGGTTGTTGACCGCCTGGACAATGGTGAGTACTTGACTGCAAAAGTCCCTAACACTCACCTGGTCTCCTTCTGCAGCGTTGGCGTTTGGGTTGTTGACCGCCTGGACAATGGTGAGTACTTGACAGCAAAAGTGCCCAACACTCACCTGGTCTCCTCCTGCAGCGTTGGCGTTTGGGTTGTTGACCGCCTGGACAATGGTGAGTACTTGAACGCAAAAGTCCCTAACACTCACCTGATTGCCTCCCGCAGCATTCGCGTAGTTGCTTGCATTAAGATAGATGAAGCGGTAGCTACGTTGCATCTAACGGTACGTTAGTAGTCGCGTTATTAGACTTACAGTTCCTACTTACGTTTGCCATTGCAAAGTCCAGGTCGATGATGGTAAGAGGAAAAGGACTTAGCCACCGCGGGGCGGGGTTTTTATAAGGACGTTCATTAAATTTCTAACATTGATTTTGATTTTTCTTTGACGGGTCAAATTTATTGAAAGTCACTCACATATCCCCTAAGGCGTAGCACTATGTAAATTTCATTATCCATGTCTAGCTTATGTAATCAGTACCGCTTATCCCTACAAAAGCTTGTTCCCATGCTTATGTCATATTTCCCTCTTCTCCCTTTGCACCACCACCTGCAACCTAGTTCATGCAGTGGTAGCGCCAATCAAGTGTGAGTTCCCGCCTGTAATATTCAACCAGTTGCTGACCACTTGTACATTTCAGCTTTCTTGTGCTATTTGCACGCCTTGGGAACGCCCCGCCACTTTTTACCCGGGCGTATACTCTATGTACTTAGATAATAATGCTCGATGTAGAGCTCGACAGGCCATGCATTACTTTACCGTCTTTACAGAAGTAATGCTCGATGTAGAGCTCGACGGGCTGTGCATTACCTTACCGCCGTTACAGAAGTAATGCTCGATGTAGAGCTCGACAGGCCATGTATTATCTTGAATGACCTACCGTATGTAGACGCCCCAAATATCTGCCGGTAGGAAATAACAATATCACGTGAGACTTTTCCACGTTCAAGCATGGGTCTCTGCGGCTCTGCTTATCCCAACCCCTATATGCGACACATAATTTTATATTAACATGCCTCCAGAACGCCATCGCACGCATCCCACTGGGCAAGCAGTGATAGGGGACTTTCTGCATCGCCCTCGTCTTCGCATGCCGCAGGTGGATACATCTCGCTTGAACGGAGAGCAGAAAGATGTATATGATGGGGTGATGGGCGGTGTTGGGACATTTATTACTGGTGATGCAGGTACGTCGCACACTCATGTTAACACGCATTGCTCTCAAGAATTTGTTTCAGGAACAGGAAAAACATACTTGATGCAGTTCATTATCAACGGCCTTCGCATCAAGTTTAATTGCAGCGACGCTGTCGCTATCACATCTAGCACTGGGGTTTCATCCTTGAAGATTGGCGGTGAGTTCTTTAACTACTGCCCTACATCACTCACGCTGCATCAGGGCAAACTTTGCATTCCTGGGCTGGCGTCAGCGGGCAAGAAAGATCGGCAAAAGACATGGTGAAGAAAATCGAGCGAAATGACATCATCAAGGGCAGGTGGCTTTCCGCAAAGGCACTGGTTATTGATGAATGTACGTAGTCCCATTCTTGAGTTGCTCATTCGCTCAATACTACCTTGTAGTGCCCATGATTTCGGGAGAGTATCTTGATATGTTAGATGCGTTAGCGCAAGAAGTCAGAGGCAACCAGAACCCATTTGGAGGCATCCAAGTGAGTATTTCTGAGGTGCCGTTTATCATGTTAACCACGCTTGTCAGGTCATCGGCGTTGGAGATTTCCTTCAGCTTCCCCCCGTGCCATACCCCATACAGAAACTGACCTTTCAAGCTAGTTGCTGGGGTCTACTGTTTCCATCGTTAGTCCGCCTTTGCACAGTGCAACGTCAAGCTGACCGAGGTGAGCGTTCATGACTCCCATTCTTCCATTCTCACATTGCTCCTAGACTTTGTTATGGCTTTGAATAAGTGCCGCACGGGCCAGCTGGACGCCCCCAGCATTGCGTTTTTCAAATCCCTTGAACGCCCAATAGATGCAGCATTCCTTCCCCACATTGACCCTGTGTACTTATTTCCTACCCGCAGGGAAGTCAACCGCATGAACATTGATCGTCTGGGTCAACTTGGGGACATCGCTTTCAAATTTACAGCCCTTGATGACCTCTCAGGATGTTCTGACCGGAGAATCTTCAACGAATTTCCGGTGGACGCGGAGATATGCCTCAAGATCGGCGCCCAGGTCATGCTCCTTCAGAATGTTGGAGATGGACTTGCCAATGGCTCTACCGGCCGCGTGGTGGGATTCTACAAGTCTGGCCAAGCAGATCGCCATCATGAAGGGCGCAAAGTCGGTTTGTTGCGCCATATCAAGGTCGACGCTAACCGCTACCCTGTCGACTGTTACATCAAGTCTCGCGCGGAACTCACTAATGTGACTGATTTGTTCCCCTTAGTAGAATTCATGACCGGCGAGGGCCCTGAGTGCGTGCTGGTCCTGCCCAGCGAGTTCTCTTTCAAAATCAAAGAGAAGACCGTAGCCCGGCGTTTCCAGGTATATTCTGCTTTCCTTGCTTCAATTATTGCTAAGACCGATGCAGATACCGTTGTGCCTTGCTTGGGCTTTGACGGTGCACAAAAGTCAGAGCCAGACTCTTGATAAGGTGGTGGTGGATCTGGGCAGGACGTTTGCAGACGGTGCGTTCCGCAATACTCTCTCTTTCCAATCTTCATTCTTTAACCAGGACAAGCTTATGTGGCTCTCTCTCGAGCTAGATCCAAAGCTGGATTGGAGATCAGGCACTTCCAGGAATCCAAAGTAAGTCTTCCCTACGTTCGCAGATCATTTCATTCACATTTACATAGGTTTTAACCAACAAAGAGGCGTATGAGTGGTACCTGAGAACCTTCCCAGGCGTTTGATTAGTTTGATCACAGCTTCGGAGATTCGCTATAGAGAATTTTATCATGTTGCAAAAAGAAGATTGTATTACTAGATTCTGATGATGGCCGCGTCATCACATGCGTATCAGGCAAGACGTGTCTTACTTATATCTGAAGCCGCGCTTAGCAATAGAATACAATTTTCAACCAGAATTGTCATGCCAAGGTCAGCCGTGTACAATTTGCGCTCCGTTGCCGCCGAGCACCTCAATCCCAAACACAAGATGTTACCGAATGGGATACTATCCTGTACTCTCAACAGTCACATCGTCCTCGAGTATATCAACGACCCCCTCATTGTCCCAAGATCCTTGCGCGCCGCTGGGGACTTCAATGAGTGCGAGCACACCCGAGAACCAGACCACAGGCTGGCGTCCAGCCTCTGGCATGCTTACATTCCTGTGGGTGACCCTTCCCCCTCCGCCGATGCAAAGGCATGGGTGTTCCAAGACCACATCCCCCAATTCGAGTTGTTCGTGCCCACCTTCGGACGTCGAGGTCGCGTCGCACCCACATTTCTGAAGAAAGTGGAAACTGTGGTAGGCGACATCCTCCGCTGGCTCCCCACTGTGTACGCCATCTGCGGTCCCCCCCCTGTCATCATTTCCCTTCAACTATCTGATTTACAATACCTCGAGTCTTTTTGCGGCGCATACAACGAGGTAGCTACTGAACTATGGAGGGTCCGTCGATCTGTTTTGATCGCTTTGGGGTATATTATCTACTCCTTGAGCATCAAACAGGATTGGCAGGAGCACGCCATCGTCACGGAAGAATTCACCCGCAATATCATATCATCCGGTCTGTTGGACCTACCTCGCCGAGGTGTCATCATCAACGCTCAAGATCCCCCGCCCTTCTCAGAAGTCATCGCATACCTCCAACACAAAGTCCCCGTCTACTACTATTGGAAACCCGGGTCCATATATTGGCTGCGCCCTGCCACCACGCACTCCGCGACCCTAGTTCCAGAGCCCGCTGTTTCTTTAGACGATGAAGAGATTGATGGACAAGAAGTTCTTGCGTGTTCGAAAGGTATGTCTATTTCTTACATTTCATACATTTGCAAGCTTACCATATCTACTACAGCCCTGGAGTCTGCTTCACCTCCCGTCCCATCATTCCCCCTATCTACTACAGCCCTGGAGTCTCCTTCACCTCACGTCCCATCATTCCCCTTCAAATTCATTCCCACCAGCGACTTCATAGATCATTTCAAAGGTCTCATCCCTATCGACAATGACAAGACTCGGTGGATCGTACAATGCTTCAACAAGCCACACGTGTCCTTTAATTCAAGCTTTTGCGTTCCCAGAGTTCCCCTCCCCAGCCACCTCCAGTTCATCACCCGTGGTGAGTTAGCAATTTCCAAACGGACCGAGGCCAGACTCCGTCTATGGCGAACTCAGTACCCCGAAACGCCTCTTTGGTTTTTCTCTTATCACTGCCTCTCTCGCGGGTTGGATTGGAGAGTGTTCACGAGGTTGTCTGATATTTGTGACCCCTCGCTCGCAACTCCCATTCCTAAGCCTTCTTATCTGCAGGAGAATCCTCGGCCTTTGAAAAAGGGGCCATTGCTCCTTGCTGATTATGTCCGCCGTGTTCAGATCCTCCTTCAGCAGCCCCACGCGCGTCGATTTCTCACCATGGGCGGCATCCTCTGGCGTATCGCTTTGCACTATGGACCCTCAGGTTTCTTTTCATCCGCAATCTCTGTGCCATCCGCTGATGCTTCGTTGCACCTCCATTTTGATCAAGGGGCGGATCCCACCGTGGTGGACGACCGCCTTTCTGATGCGGAAATTTCCCTCTTACTTGGCATCACTGAGAATGGCAGCATCTGGCCCACCCTCGAGATTTGGGAGAAAAATGAGCATTGGTCTGGGGAATGGAATGCCAAAGCGGAGAGATGGTTTCAAGCTCATATCCGAGAGATTTCCACTGGTTCCCACTTTGCCATTCGAACGAGGAAGCAATGGAAAGCTACCGTTCGCCGTCACACAGCCGCTGCGCTCAACAATCCCAGAACTGTTGGTACAGAAGCACATGCAGCATGGGTCTGCCTACAATTAGACCGCTTATTCCCCCCTTCTGAATCCCTTATGTCCCTTTAGTTATCTATGTACGCACCTTGACAACTTCTTGAATTCACGTTTTGACTTTGCATTGCCGGTGCAGTCCTTGAGATCCTCGGGTTTCCTTTTAATTCCAATGGGACGTTCTATTATAGATTTACCATATGATAAATACTACCATTCCCCACATCGTCTCAGAACTATTTCCCATGTTCCTTTTACCTGAAGTTCTTCGCACAGTCTGTCAGCTCGTCTTCAACCGAGCGCTTCAGCATAGTTTTACCGACTTCATGAACCTCATGTTGGCTAACAAAGTCTGTTTTTACACGGCCATGCCCCTTCTATGGAAGGAGTTGCCATCGCTGCAACCAATTCTCCACACCTTCCCTTCCAATGTTGTAGTTAGATTTTACAAGGATGCTCAATGGCACTACGTACGTCAATACATTCACACCGACCACGAGCAGGGCTCAATTTACCTTTAGAAACTACGGCGCATCCCCCTAGTATCTGACCAATCCCGTCTACTGATGTACGCCCCCTTCATTCAAGGGATTAGCGCGTGCGGGCGGCCAGCACTCAACGATAGTGCCAACGACACGTTCAAGCACTTGTTTTATGGAAATTTGCCTTTCCCCAGCCTTTCCACACTTGAAATGCCTAAGGCTTACCGTGACCGAAGACCCCTCCTTTCATTATATTCACTTTATCGACTACCAATATTTGCAAGTCCTCGAGCTCCCATTCAACGACTGTTCTCTACCGAACATCTTTGATAATATTTTGGATGATGTTCCTCCCTGCCTTCACACCCTTGCGTACGTCGACAACCCTGCTCGCATGAACCGCTTCGCACAATCAATCCACCACTTTCCACTCCTTCGCAATCTTACTGTATCACTGCTGGATCCCACGGCAATGCAAGCCATCGTATCCCTGACTTTGCTAGAAAGCTTAGAAATAGTCATACCAGATTCATCGCTGATTCACGCCACACACCCATACACCATTCAATTCAAGCGCACCATTCCCTCCCTAACCATCGCCATCAGGAATAGCAGACTATTCCCTTACCGTCAAGAGGTTTTACTTTCTGCAAAGGCCCTGTTCTTGGCCTTCCCTGCTTCTTGCCATCAACTTACCGTTACTATCCACACCAGCTTCCTGGGGACTGTGGAAGGTAGTTTTGTCGCTTGCCTTGCAGAGGAGTTTAGCCTCCCCGAAGCCTCAATATCCGTTCTCTGGGATCGCACTTTATAGTATTAGCGGTTGTGTAGTATACAATCTATGTAATAACTCAACTGTTACAAGCAGGCGTTTTGTCTCTGTGACGCATCCCGCCGAACAATAACTTCCCGTGCATCTAAGTAAGTTCCTATTAGTCTGATGTAGTATATTAACGCATCTGACATCTTCGGCAAGGGAGGTGGATTACTTTCTTAAAAAATATTTCATACAAGACAAACGCCGTGCTGATCGTGACTGTAGCTATTTGCATTATCTGCGTGACTAATTTTTAAAACACTGGTGGACTGATCAACTTCCAGAGTTCGAGGTACAAGAACACGATGCCGAGCTCGCAGCGATGGACAGTGAGTGCAAATTCTCATAGTTTTGCGCCTGTACTAATAATTCTCCAGCCCCGGAATACATTCTCACCAGCGGGTGACCTCGAAGAAAATGTCTTTGAAGCCGAATTTAACGCTGAATATGCTGATGGGGAAGAAGATGACGACTTTGACGACGGCCTTGATTTTTCCACGCCTGCGAGAGAGATCAAGGCGGTTCAACGCGACCTTGACACATTTTCTGTGCTCAACTAGGGCTGCTCAATTCTTGGGCTCAGCCCATCGGAGTTCTCGATCATGAGCGGCAGTCCTATAGCTAGGAGAAGAATAATTGGAAGGTGCGTTAGGAAGTTGGTTAGGTAAGCGCACGCAGGTAGACGACGCTCCAAGGTCATCATAACATTATATGTTGTGGATGCGCACTGCACTGGCTTTAGGCAATCATTATCCTACCTACGCTAAAACCTCGTGCTATTGCTAGTCACATCAAAACGCTGTAGTAGCTAGTAACTACCTTAGAAGAAACTGTAGCGGCGGCAGGTTTTGCTACGCTGCAGGTTAGTATGCGAATACTGTACCCCTACCTGCACAGGTACAATGTTGACGGGTATGGGTACTGCGTTTGCTTCTTACTGCAAGAAATTAAGTGAACCTGGCGCAAGTAACATTGTCACATTGGGAAAGGTAAAGTACTTGATATAAGTAAATTATGCGGAGAGCGCAGCAGTGCCCTCATCAAATTTTAATTTACCTCCTGCTTGGTCCATAGCCCATCCAGCAGGTTTATCTTTCAGTACCTCGTATGATGAGTGCGGAAAGAACCATACGTTGCCCACCCGCCCCGGTGTGATCCCCTCTTCAGACACTCCGCCCTCAGGGCTCCATTTTCCAATGGCGTGGTATAACGCACCTGCCATCAGAATAATGACCTCTCCGGGGCGGTATCTTCATGAACATAAGTCAACATTAGAACTGTAAAGTACTTAGTAACTCACGTCAACTTGATCTTGAGGTCCGGTAGGTAGCACTCTCCCCCAGAGAAATGCCCCATGGGGAAAATTACTGCGGGCCCCTCATCCAACCCATCCTGGTGCGGGCACACGTGTAACTTCCAAACTATCACTCTGCCCAAGAAGGGTCCTGGATCCACCACCGTCCACTTACCAGCGTTAAACGCTCTTTGGTATTTAAAGTAAAATTCTGGAAACGCCGCCTGGAACATGGCAGATAAGTATATTGCCAACTCCTCTGTGTCTTGAAAGTAGCGATAGGTATATTGAGACCCGTTGCACCCAGGCAACATGTCAGCAGAGGGGTGGATGCCGTGCTATAGGAATGTTTAGTATTATCAAGTGTTGGTGAATCAGGACGAACCTTTTCAGCATCATGGGCCTGATCAGGCCAGGCGTGCACCAAGTGCAACACCCCGGTAACCTCTGACGTGAATGTATTGTCTTGGTATAGGTACTCGATACCGTGAAGCGTGAACGTTCGTTCATCTTCCGATACAGTCATCATACCGCCCTGGGGGCCCACCGTCCTTCTCATATCTCATCAAAACATCCTCGTCGTCGTGCCGACCGTCGCGAGAGGATTTCTTGACCCCCACATTGCTGAGCAACAATTGTGTTGTCACCAGCGTTTTCGCAAGTCTATCTCGCTATTGCAACGGTGAGTATAAATTTAAATTGCTAAGTAGCTTCTTACCCCGATCCCGTCAAAATGAACTGTCTTGCCGTCCCGTTCGGCCTGATCTAGACATGCTGGGGACCGCCCCATGCTAGATGGAGTCGTCGGGCCAGGGGTGTAGAACGTTTTGTCCTTTGAGCTCTACAAACTCATGGGTTAGAGATTTTCTACAGTGTATGATAAGCTTACCTTGATGTCGTTTTGCACTCGTCTGGCGAAGTACGCGACCAAAGTGTTACCATCCTCGTCCTCAAACACTCCCGAGGATCCATCACTCTCCCATGAGAGCATTCCGTCCATCACTGACTGTGCATTTACCTTGTCAGCGTTTTTTCTTCGGGATTGAAGATCCTCCAGCCTCACGCCCTTGAGACGGTAGACTGGAGCGTTCTCTCTCCAGAAGCGAACGTCAGTGAACCGCGTGTCTCCTGATGCGCTCCTTCGATGCCTCTGCGCTCACCTGCCGACGGCGGATGACGGGCTTCAGAAGCCGAGTTTTGGGATGGGGCACGCTGGTGTACTTTCGCAGAATTTTTTTGGCCGCCTTCTCAAGCTCCGTGGATGCCTTGGCAAGCTTGGCGGATGCCTTCGAAACGAGGGCTGCGTCGGTGACAATCTGACGATACATGTGAGCTGGGGTCAGTATACAAGGCGGCTGGGGTTTTAATACCTTTTTCTTATCAAGCCTCCTGCGTTAAGACGTGTAAGTTAGTCATTATACACGCAGTTGACGTCTGCGATGAGGCCACATACCTTGCGTTTGTTATCAAATTGATCCGTTATGAATTGATCCGAATCGAATTGATCCGGGTCGAATTGTTGCGCTTCGAATTGATCCGAGTCGAGTCGATCCGACTCAAATTGATCCGCATGATCCGAGTTGAATTGATCCGCGTCAAACTGATCCGAGTTAAACATTAGCATCGCAACGTTTTGAGCATGAAGTACTTACCTGTCAGCGCTCAAAGTATGGTTTCGAGCTTGCGAAAGCTCTCATCAGGGGGCTATCGCTACCCCGACCATTCCATTTCAAGTCTAAACCTTGTCATTGTATCAGATTCAACTACGTCACATAGTTTGTAATACTTCTATACTGACGGTAAAGTACATTAAGTAGAGGTAACAAAACATTATGTAGAATAATTACAAAGTCTATATAGTGCTAGCTATACATGATGGTCGGAAAGCAGAAGCAGATAGTGGATAAGCGGCTGATATAGGGTTGAGCTGTGCCATTCAGACTCCGCCGGAATTGACCGCGAAGCCTATCCGAATCACGGCAATTCCCTGAGTCTTGAGAATTCCGGAAATTCCCTGCTGAGTCTAAACCCACATTAGTCATCCCTATATTATCTACGCTTCTTCCTTTGTTCTCCTCTTTCTGACCCCCATCTTACAAGTCTGCGTTATGATACTGTAGCTATAATTATCGTATATAATGTATTATTGGTGTTTTATTCCTATATTTAGAGTAAACGTGGCAACGTAGCACTCCACAATGTTTTGAGAATGCTAAACGTCCACAAAGTTGCTCTGAAACAGAGGCGACAATGTGGCGGCGTTGTGCATTGCCTAATGCGTGCAAACGTCCACAATCTTCTGCTGATGTGGATTATCGTCCACAATAATCTTTGGTAAGCATCCCAAATCGGTGTTCCCTATAAAAGACTGACCTTTGCGTTTGCAGGTTTTCTTTTCTACTTCCTCCATCTCGCACTACCAGTACTATAGTCTACACTTAGAATCCCTAACGTATGTAACAAATACTTACTATTAAACACAACAACATTGACGAAAAAACACTTAGGAAATGTCCAAACGCGCTGCGTCATATAATGACCAGCCCAACGCTAAACGCGCCAGATTAGAAGGTAAGATCGAGTTTGAAATCACGGCGGTATACTCACTGAAGTCAATTGTCCAGGAGCATCACCGTCATCCGCATTGAGCGACCCAGGCGCATGGCTCATACTTGAACAATTTCTGACCACCCCAATCACCTACGGCGACACCGAAATCGCATTTGCAGCGCACCTTGGGGAACGCCTCTGTCTGGAAGACTGGAAGGAAGCTAGGCTAGCGTTATTTTCTGGCGATGGCGATGACGCTTTATCCTTGAGCAACCTACTCGAGGTGAAGCGCAAGTACATCCCAGACTTGTCAAGTTCCACTATCGCCTCCTCTTCGACTTCTGCTGCGGCACCGACGCGTCCTCGTTCTCGCAGGGTAAGTCTATTCTAAGTTGAATCAAAATTACACTGATTTCGCTCAGCCGAAGAACGCGTTCGTCGACATTGAGGCAGAAGAAGATGAGGATGAGCAGGAGGAGGAGGAGGAGGAGGAGGAGGACGATCTCGAGTTGGAAATCCCGGTCGGCCCATCTAGACGTGCGACGGTAACGCAGTTGCCAGCACCTAAACATAAGTTTTCAGCAGCGGTCGACAAATTACAGCATAAGTATACAAATGACGCGCCCAGGTCCTCAGAGACCTATGTTCAGAACAGGATGTACCTGTTTCACGTTTACCGTGAGTTATTTTGGTTTTTCTATAGCGTCAAACTCAATACTCTACAGGAACTGTCACCCAATTTGTGGCTGATCACCTTGAGAAGCAAGGTTTCTCAGTCAGGGTCTCGCCTTGGTCCCCAGGTCAGCTCTACATCGTTTCCGACAGCCCAAAAACGATTCTCCAATCCCTTCCACACTCCCACTCTTCCTGCGTCACGAAATGGGATCGTATTAGCGATCAGGAATCAGAGTCTGTCGATCGCGCTAATCTTAAACTTCCCGATCCCTGCTGGGTACGAATCAAGCTCGGGAAATACAAAGGCGATATCGCCTACGTCTTCGATCCTGAGCAGACCAACAACTTCGTACAGGTCTTGATTCCGCCAAGGGATTTCCCCTACCCCATGCCAAAAGGATCAGTCGCGCTGTTCGACAGATCACGCATTCCGGCCAACTCATCAACAGACATTATTCGTCGTGGTATCGTTGTAGGGTGGTCGTATAAAGGGGAGGAATACTACGGCGGTTTACTCAAGAAGAACTTTCACCGCTACATGATCGAACTCATATACGTTCCTCACCCTGACGCCATTCGTCTCCATCTCCAGTCCGGATTCGACGTTAGCTTTGTCAAGAAAGCCGAAACCACATATTCCCTGCAGATGTTACGAGCTGGCGACTCCGTGCGTCTCACCCGGGGAGAATTTCCCTCAGAGATCGGGACAGTATTAGCGGTGGACCACCAGTCCGGCGGCACTTTGACCATCGAACTTAAATTAGATGGCGTTTCCACCAAAATTGAATCTCGCCTTCAAGATGTAGAGCGGGTTTTCTGGGTGGGCGATGAAGTAAAGGTAGTAGCTGGCGTATACTTGGGCATTCAAGGCCATATTGTCTCCAAGATGGGAGACATGTATGATGTATGCCAACACGGCACCAACGAATTGGTACGTCTCAATCAACAACACAACAGCATCGTATTAACAGATTTTGTAGGTACAAGTGTCTCAATATTACTTGGATCGCCGTCCTTTGCAGCACTCGCTTCAAGGACAAGTTCTTTCCTCCCAGCCTCTACCTGAACATGAATCGATCGAAATCGGCGATTTCGTAGAAGTTCTGGTGGGACAGGACTTTGGAAAATCCGGCACTGTGGAATGGGTCAGTCCGGGAGGGGTGATCGTATGGTTCAGACATTCCATCCTTTCGGTGACTCCCCAGGACGACTTCATGCCTCCGCTCATCGAAGCTCCGGCTTCTTCAATTCAGCGTACACGCCTGCCCGCCACCATCAAGTTCACCAAGGAGAGAGGCTATGACGTCAGGCCTGGAGACTCGGTTAGCGTCGTCCGAGGGCCCGATTATATGACTACAGGGGTAGTCCAGCGCGTGGACTTCGTCAAGGCTCGCTTGTTAGTTTTGTCAGAGGATGATCAGTCAATTGTAAGTCGCAGTTATTCTTGTCGAATTCACCAACACTAACTATGTTTAGGTCGACGTTCCCATTGGCTTCGCCATGAAGATACGGAACGCAAGCATCGATACGTTCAAGAAACTCATCGGTCAAGAAGTCTATATCATCGGGGGCCATAAAAAGGGCTACCGGGCAACCCTATACGACGTGAGGGATGACAGTTGCACTGTCTCCGTGCACGGTGAGCCTCGTATGTCGGCCAAACTATATGACGTGGCCACAAGGTAAGACTCTTTTATATTGTCGCAGTTGTTTAAAAAACTAATACACCCCCAGTTATGCTATGCGTTTGAACGGCGCTGTTCTCGAATATCACGACCTCCTCTCATTCTGCGAGACCCGCAAAAAATCGTTCGTGACTCCTGGGCCTCGAAGCGTCACCCCTCCTCCTGAATGCATAGCACCCTCCGTTGGTCTCCCCACTCCCTCCATCCCCACTCCCTCGTCTTCTTCCTGGACGTCTTGGTCTGCTGGCGCGGCATTCACTCATTCCCAAAACGATATCCCCCTGGCTGGTCCGAGCTCCTCGACTCCTAATCCATGGGTTGTCAATGCCGAAGACACCCAAGATACAATTGATGCCGCCATCCTCAAACTTTCAGAGAAACCTGGTAAGTTTTGAGTTCACCTTTCGCAACATTTGACTCAGTTTTATTACAGGGCCGTCATCCTGGTTGAAGGAGTTTGGCCCTGCGTTGTTCAACTATCACGCACTCTTCAAGGTCTCGGTCGGTTTCCAGGGAGGGAAATTGTCCCAGCGCCTGGCATATTCACATTGCCCCGACCCCTTCTGCGGTCCCAATGGTCCTGCGCCTGAAAATTGCATTGCAGCTTGGGCCACTGCGAAAACTGCAGGGGGGGCGGTGCAGCACTACCACATTCCTTCCTCAGATCTCAGTCCAGCCCTTCCCCGGAGAAAGAAACAAGAGTGCCTCGTTCTCGAGGGCGACCACCGAGGGGCGATCCATACCGTGACAAAGTGCAACGCCAAACTCAAAACTGTTGAGTTGAGTCTGATGGCTGGGACTAACTTGACGATCACTGTGCCTGTCGCCCACGTCTGCCTTGTGGAGCCCTTTAGAGTTAAATAGAAAATGTCCACCATCTTCCTACCATAGAATTTGTTAGTTACCTACATCTACATACCCGCAATTGCACATATAAATACCCCGTTTTGAATACAACATTACCCAATTTGCGTTTGATGGACGTCACCTATGTTTTACGCTGCGTTCACGCCGTTGCTTACTTGCTCTCTTGTTCACCCCCCAACCTCTGTATGACGTATGTAGAACCTTTTGGCGCAACACAATGACGTTCTCCACGATTGACTCTTACGATTTAAAGGTCGGGGAAACGTTAAACGCCAGATTACAAGGTAAGTTTAAAGTGAATATTATGTAAGCAACATCGCCCATCCCTACAAGTTCAACAGGTCTCCGAGCTTACGTAATAGTTCTTTCTTGTCCTTCTACACCATCCTCAAATCCAAACTGTAATCTGCGGTATGAGCTCCCATTAATCCTGTATCTGTCCAAGTCACTAACCACCTCTATCCCAGTTTGCGCTCCTTTGGAGCATCTCACGCATTAGCACGCAACCTTTTGCACCGACCATGGAAGATCCACGCCCTACCAAACGGGTTCGTTTCAAAGAAGTAAAGCACGACCTCAGTGACACCTATACTTCCCAATGTGAGTGTAACCGTTTGGACTCGCGTCTAATTTACCCAGGAGATATAATAGGTGCTCCTAATGCCAATGTCAGGTCCACTAATCTAAAGCGCTCGAGTAGCATCTTGCCATCGCTGCAAGACATTTACAAATGGACCTTGACAGACAAGGCAACCGCTCCCTGCTTTATCAGGGATGTTCTCGCAATGAGGGAAAGGATTGTCAAAGGTCTGCCCATCTGGCTTAACGCTGACGTCTACTAATGCCCACTGCAGCACCCAACACTCGATTTTATTGGCTGGGGCATATCCCCTGTCAAACAGTACTCATTGTCGGTATTGTGGTTGGCATTGAGGTGTCCAAGATGTGGACATTATATACAAGTGAGTGTAGTTTTTTCGGTTGGGTTGGTACTTATGTCGGTCATAGTCGATGATTCCACTGCTGTGATTGAATGCATGCTACACCACCCTCCGCCCTTCGCCCACTTGGACTCGAAAGCCAGATGGCTCGCACTAAAGTCAAGCGGACCTCACAACGCCCCTCCCCCGCCCAAACTTGTCACTGCCATCGGCTACCCTGTACAAGTGATTGGCACAGTGAAAGAATTTCACGGCGAGCGACAGATTAAAGTCGTATTTATCAGTATGTAACGCATTGGCATCTTTGATGCATACCTGACTACTCTTTAGAGCCCTCTGAGTCGACAAATGATCAATGGAAGCACGTTAGGACCGTCGTCGAACTTCACAAGTCGAAATACGCCGTCCCAAAGCCGTTCCAGATTCCTACTGATCCGGATTTTCAAGCTCGGACGTCGTTGAAGCGTCCACGGCCCACCCTTGAGCCATCCTCGCCTCTTACACACAGCCCAACTTCCGTCCCACCCAGCCTGGTCATACCTGGATCTACGGTCAGTACTTTGCTGTATGCTACTCCCAGCCTCATTATTTGCAGGACCCTCCTAAATTATTGCATCCTTCTCTTTTACGCACGGCAGATCTGACCGACAAGACATTTATGTCATATCTTGAACATTTCTTGTTCAACGCACTACCTGAATCGCCTAACCCTCCTACTGAGCGTGCAGAACTGACACTCTCCCATCTTCGCCGAATACCAGAACTAGCACTCCTAGCTAGCCTTGTAGTCGTCGCTGAAACAAGGCGTCGGGATCCAGCAAGTGCAGAGGCAGAGGTAGCTGGGACGTCTACCAAAGCTGTCATTCGCCCGAGGTTCAGGCCCTCCATCTCACCACGCACGAGGATGAAGAACTTATTTCAGTGGGCAGTGCTAGGTCTGTACAAAAAAGGCAGCGTCGTACTCTCTGATATACCAAGTCCCGTTGCATCCCTTCCTGTCAGCAGCGTTATATTTTCCTCTCCTCACCCTTCTCCATCCAAGTCTGTCATCCCCGAACAAGATGGCCATCTATCTGATCCTCCACCGCATGAGGAAGACGAAGTTTATGTTCCCGTAACCCCGGAGCTCCTTGTTGGACCCATGCTTGAAATCTTGCGTGCGAAGGGTATCACAGGCAAGACTGCTGCTGTTGGAGCAGGTGAGATGACTGAGGATTTGAGAAGGTCATGCGTGCGATGGGCGGAGATTAGGATGCAGGTGGTCGAAGAGGCCTTAGAACTGATAGTCATGTAATGAGCACTCCCATTTTCTGCACCCCTACTATAGACTTACATAGTCGTTTGCACGCACTGGAGACGCATTATCGAATGGGATATTTGGGAAGCACAAATAGCCCCTATCTCACTTTGCACTGATGACAGGCGTACCCCACATTTCACCTCAAAATATGAGTGCTTCGTCCCTCGGCAACCGTTGGTGAGTGCCCATCCTTCACAATATGCAGCTGATTCTAAAACTAGTCGTAGAACTTCTAAATCTGGTTGCTTACGCAGCCAACTATAGAAGTGACAACTGGTTTGGTTATTTAATGACGATACTTGAACGTGGCGACATATTAACATCGATGTTTAATTAGATCATAAGTCGGCCGTCATCTCGCCGGAAAGACAACTTTCCCTCCTCACACCTATGAGACGGTCGCAAAATTCCTATGGACAGATGCAATACCTATCAGTACTCATCCAATGACATACTTACGACTAGTCTATCAATTTCAATCATGTCCCCCAGCTCGAGCAACATCTGTCACAGCCTTTCATTTAGCTATCTCACATTGTGCTTCCTTATTAGTACAGAAGCTTGCGTTTCATTTACGCCCAGTCAGTTCCTTGATCAAAGCTTTGATGTCACCGCCGCTCGCTGTCTCTTGAGAGCTCTGGGCAGCATTTTTACAACCCACATTGCACCACCACCACCAATCGCAAATGCACCGATTACACTACGAAATCCTCCTCGAAGTCTTTGGGCACGCATACGCTCAAGCCGTAGATGAGCTAGGTCTCAGTGACCTTGTCGCTCTTGCCACCGTCAATAAAGCCTTTTTTGACGCCTCGATCCCAACATGGTGGAGGAAATTACCGTCTGCAGAGCCCCTGCTGCACCTCATACCCGACCACATCTTGCACAGACAGTTCAATGAGAATCACTGGTCCTATGTAAGTCAAGTCTCTCGTTTCTCACTTTGACGACTTTGACGCTGCCTCAGTCGTTATACACTGAGCTGGCGCCGCAACACCTAACTCGCCTATACCTATATGCACGGCATATACGCGAAATCGACGCCTCCGGTATTAGTCTCTCCTTCGGCGCTGCTCAGGCCTTCAAGTATGTCCTCCGCGTACACTCGGAGTCAAACTCGACAAACCCCCTCCTTCCATGCCTCAATCGCCTGCGGCTCAGAGCGAGACACGACACCCTCCTTGAACATATCCCTGCACTCCTCCATGACGGTCTAAGGCTTGTCGAACTCCCGCACTATGCTACGGGTCTGGACTCTGCCATCTCTGCTCTTCTCACGGCGCCATCGGCCCTAAGAACCCTTGTTTATGTCGATCTCCCTAAAAATACGGAATCGTTTGAAAAGTCTCTCCACTTGCTTCGCTCACTGCGGCATCTCACAGTATCACTCCTTGGACCCACTGGAATGAAGGCGATTGCGTCCTTGCCGTCCTTGGAGTCCCTGAGCCTTGTGGTTGAAGACTCACTCCGCACGCTACCGTATACAATCACTTCCATTCATCCCATCGTTTCGCTTGAGATCGTACTACAGACATCGTTTATCTTAGGAGGGATCGACAATAACCCCTTTGAGTCTGCAATGTGCCTGTTGCGCGCACTTCCTATCCCTTGCTGCCAGCTCACCATTGTACTTCCAGTCCACCTTGGGGGAGCTGCATTGGCAGCATTCATTGCGTCTCTCACCCAGGATTTCGGCGTCTCCAACAATTCCACATTTTCTGCTATGGACCTCCGCCGCCTTTCAGTTGATGCGGGTATTCACGGGTCATACAACAGCGCCCCCCTTCCAATCAACTTTTTGGAACCCCTATACGGCGTCCCGCTCACGCATATTGACCTGGCGTCCTTTTCTATGTGTACTCTGGACGATAACACTTTACGCGCGCTCTCATCTGCCTTCCCCTGTTTGGAATCCCTCTTTCTAGGCACCCGTCGTTACTGGACTGATCCTCCAAGAGCATCGCTGTCTGGACTCTCTACAGTACTGCTCAATTGCCCCAGTTTGAAAGAATTGGGGCTAGTATTCAGCTGCAGCTTGGGCGCATTGGACTTTTCTTTCCTCGCAGTCAACACCTCAATCACAACTCTTCATGTAGGGGTATCTCCGCCGTATAACCCCAATGCTGTCTCTGCTTTCCTTGCCAGATCTCTGCCTCGCCTCAAGAAGATACGCATTGAGCCAGGTGACAAATACATAATAAGTACGCGCAACTACGTCTCAGCAGATCGTAGTCACCGAGAATCTGGTTGGAGGGCCATACTGGCCAAGATTTTAGTGTACAAATAGATGTCAGCGTCTCTCAAGGGTTTCGGTTGTTTTCTTCCAGTTAACTTAGCACTCTTTGTCACCTGTGTACTTGTAGGGATGCGTGTTACCATAGTCCCATAATATAATCATTCAGACCAAGCATGGTCACAAAATCAGATTGTTGTTGTGCATATTAATCGAACACGCTAGCAATGGTATGATATAACTCATTCTGATGTATTTTCTGAGAGAGAGTCAATGTAAATTTTAGAATTAATGATTACATTTTAGTACCCCTAGCGTGATAGTGATGACACAAATACCCCTTGACTGTATGATCTATGTGGGCACAAGTCACGTGACCTTTCAAAAACCTCATGGGTGGCCAGATCTCCTCCTTATGACTGCTAGCCCTGTCTCACATGAAACTCTACTAGTATATATATACCATGTGCCTTGGTCATTCTAGGTTGTAGTTCCTAGGAATGGACCCCAGTGTGAGAGCAAGATCCACATGCCCACCCATTGTCAATACAGGGTTCCAGGAAGCTCCAACAAATTTATCGACATTGATGTTCTTTCACTCACATTGTATTGTAACCTGGAGGAGCATCAGCAGGCTATGAACTTTGTCTTGACGATGACTTGCCAACATGACAGTAGCAATCTCATAGCAAGACTGGAGTAGTAGTATGGCCAAAAATCAAGCAAAAATCAGACCACGCCACAGCAATATTTTCGACGAAATCAAGGAAAATCGACGGCTGAGGAAGTCAGATTCTGACCTTGAGACGACCCATCAGAGTGAAAAAAAAAATACGACAATGAAGTCAATGGCATCCGGATGACCTATCTAGCATCCACAAGTCAATACGTAGCATCCGGTTGTCTTATATACCATCCAGATACCATCCAGATGTCTTATCCAGCATCCGGATACAATATGTACCATCCAGATGTCATATCTAGCATCCAGATACCATCCGGATGTCTTAAATAGCATCCGGATATCTTATCTAGCATCCATAAGTCAATACGTAGCATCCGCATGTCCTATCCAGCATCCGCGAGGCAATATGTACCATCTGTAAGTCAATACGTACCATCCGCAAGTCAATATGTAGCATCCGGATACAGTACGTACCATCCAGATGTCTTATCTAGCATCCGGATGTCAATATGTACCATCCGCAAGTCTTAACCAGCATCCTTAACTTGAAATGTATCATCCGGATACATTATCTAGCATCCGCATGTCTTATCCAGAATACGCAAGTCTTATCTGGCATCCGTAAGTCAATACGTAGCATCCGGATGTCACCAACAGATGAAGAAGTATCAGGATAACAAAAATGATAGATAACAAGGGTATACACATGTTAGGCTTTGTGCACCATGTTAGTGCCTCGGTTGTTAGTGCCTCGGTTCGTTAGCCCTCTCGTTAGGGTTAGGGATGAGAACGTATTCTCTCGGTGTCTCGGTACCATACCATAGCAAGTCAAGCGATATCATAGCATCAATCAGGCCATACCATAGTCATTCTATTAGCAAAAATCAAGCAAAATCAGACGACATCAAAGCAACATTTTCGCAAAAATCAAGCAAAATCAAGTCAACTCGCATGCAGATTCTGACCTCAGCCAATGTGTCCCCCCAATCAGCGCCACCGCACGCAAGACTACGATATATGATACAATCAAACATTATGATAGCAAGTCAAGCAATACCATACGATCAGACAAGCATTACGATAGCAAGTCAAGCGATACCATACGATCAGGCCAATACAATCACCGAAAATCAAGTAAAATCAGACCACATCATAGCGATATTTTCGCAAAAATCAAGCAAAATCGAGTCAACCCATTCCGAGATTCTGACCTGGACCTACGTGTCACCCCCCAGCCAAGCACCACCGCTTACTACAATAGCAATATCATAGCCAATACTATAGGAACAAAACAGCAAAAATCAAGCAAAATCAAGTCAACCCATTCCGAGATTCTGACCTAAGGCTACGCTTCACGCCAGACTACGACAGCAACAATCAAGGCATCCAATAGCAAGAAAATTCGAAAAAATCAAGCAAAATCAAGGCGACCCATTCCGAGATTCTGACCTCAGCCTACGCCTCACCCAAGACAAGGACTACGATAACAAGACCAGCTATATACCGCAGACCAGGCAAATCAAGAAAGCACCCGCATCAACAAGGATAAGGATAAGGATCAGTACACGACGCAATCCAATACGATAGACTACCACAGCCAAGTCAATGATATGAAACACCATCCAATAGACTACCATACCATACCATACGATGCGATACAATAAGATAATCAACACCGCCATACGATAACATGCGATTCAATTACGTACCACAGTCAATCCGAGGATAAGGATAACAAGGGTATACATTAGCTAGGCTTCGCGTACCATGTTAGAGGGGTTAGAGCTAGAGTTAGAAACACCCCCCGCCCGCCCGTTAGGATTAGCGCTAGGATTAGGATGAGAACGTATTGTCTCGGTGTCTCGTTGTCTCGGTACAATACGATCAGACAAGCGATTACATTGCAATTCAAACACCAAAAATCAAGCAAAATCATACCATATCATAGCAATATTTTCGCAAAAATAAGCAAAATCAAGTCAACCCATTCCGAGATTCTGACCTCCCCCTATACGCAAGCCTACGATAGCAAAGACTAGCGACAAAACCAGACAATACGCCAGACCATTTATAGGGTCAAAACAGAAATAGGTTTCAAACTTGTAAAAAAATATCTTTTGGTGGGCTGGTACATATCATGGAGGGTACTTCTGGGATGGATATGAGCCAACAATTAAGAAAAACGGCGGTTCGGTTGTGGAGATATGTCCAAAATACTGATATTTGAGCCTACCTCCCATATCACATGAATGCCGACCTCCGGAAGGTCTGAGACCATTCCCAATCGATTCAGAGGCCTCAAATACCCTAGGAGAGATGTTTTCGGTATCGGTATTGAGGCGGAACACCGGGATAGTGACATATATGAGGTCAGGAGGAGGGGGAGGACCCTGTATATCTCAGGAACACGATTTTTCCGGGCAATTATGGCTTCACCATCGTGTTCAGAGGGCTCAATAACCCCCAGGAAAAATGCTTCTGAAGGACAGGCTAGTCATATGAAGTCTAGAAAAATCGATCTTTGGGTGAGGGAGCATGGCCTTGGTGGCCAACTTTGGAAGATGATTTTTAGAGCAAAATCCAGCTCGACCAACGTCTTCAGATGGTCAAATAACCTCAAGAACGAGTCCTAGCTAAAGCCAAGCAAGCCATATGAAGGCTGAAAAAATCGATCTTTGGGTGGGGGAAGGATGACAGGGGCAGCCAACTTTGGAACATGATTTTTAGAGGGAAATCTGGCTCGACCAACGTGTTTGTATGGTCCAATAACCTCTAGAACAAGTCCTACCTAAAGAAAAGCAAGCCATATGGAGGCTGAAAAAATCAATCTTTGGGTGGGGGAGCATGGCCTTGGTGGTCAACTTCGGAATTTGATTTTCTCATGCAAATCTGGCTTGACCATCCTTTTCAGAGTGTTCAATAACCTCGGAAACAAGTCCTACATCAACCCTTGCGAGTCATATGAAGGCTGTAAAAATCAATATGTGGGGAAGGCCAGCATGCCCTAGGGGGTCAACTCCAGCATTTGATTTCTTCGTGCAATTCTGGCTCGACCATCCTTTTCGGAGTGTTCAATAACCTTGGAATCAAGTCCTACATGATGCCAGGCAAGTCACATGAAGGCTGTAAAAATCGATGTGTGGGGGGGGCCAGCATGGCCTAGGGGGTCAACTTTGGAATTTGATTTTATTGTGCAATTATGGCTTCACAAATGTATTCAGATGGTCCAATAACCTCTAGAAAGAGTCCTAGATACAGCCAAGCAAGCAATATGAAGGCTGAAAAAATCGATCTTTGGGTGGAGGGGCATGACAGGGGTTGTAGTCAAATTTGGAACATGATTTTTAGAGAGAAATCTGGCATGACCAACATGTTTGTATGGTCCAATAACCTCTAAAATGAGTCATGCCTGAATTCAAGCAGGTCATATGAAGGCTGTTAAAATCAATGTGTGGGGGGCCAGCATGGCCAGGGTCGTCAACTTCAGAATCTGATTTCCTCGCGCAAATCTGGCATTACCATGGTCTTTGTATTGCTCAATAACCTCGAAATCAAGTCCTACCTTATCCTACCCAAGCCATATGAAGGCTGTAAAAATCAATCTTAGGAGAATGTGGTGGTGGTACTGCTTACATAAGCAAGAATGCGGTCCTCTCAGAGGGGGCCTGCTCACCACTCTATGCCACTGTGATGCACCAGCAAATAAATCTTTCTAATTTGTTTCCGAGGTTCAGTGTGTTAGATTCTGCCTGCATCTGCCTTGTGAAACGCCAAAATTGCGAATTGCAGAGGTGTTATGCAGAAATGCATAGCAGGGACTAAGCTGTTCACCTCTGATAGAGGTGGCCATCTTGTACATGTATATTTTCGCTTTTGTCCTCTTCCTCACAATTTCCCCAGCTTTGGTGGATTTTACACAAACAAGACTTGTCCAAGTCCTGAGATTTGACTGACTTTTGCTTCTTGTCTGGTATTGACTTGCATGACAGGGGCAGCCAACTTTTGAACTTTATTTTAGAGCAAAATCTGGCAGAGTCCTTGGATTTAACTGATGTTCGCTTCTTGGCTGGCTTTGGCTTCATAAATGTCTCTCTTCATAACTCCATCACAATTCGACCAATGTTTTTGGAAATGTCACAAAAAAGCGAAATATAAGTAGAAGTTTGCCACCTCTATTAGAGATGAATCCCCCATGAAGGGGAGGAGTCCTCAGATTTGACTGACTTTCACTTCTTGGCTGGAAAATCCTGGACCTTGCCACCCAAATAGCTCTCGGAGCGAAAATCCTGGTCACCTCTATCAGAGATGAATTCCGCATGAAGGAGGAAAACTTGGGCCTTGCCACCCAAATTGTCTCCAGAGTCAACAAGAAAGTGAAAAGGTAAAAGAAGCGAAAATAAAAAGTGTTGGCCACCTCTATCAAAGGTGAATCCTGCATGAAGGGAAGGAGCCCTTAGATTTGACCAACTTTCACTTCTTGGCTGGCAAAGCCATGTGGGCCAACATGTGGCCGACTGTCATATGAATAAGTTGTTCTTGTGCAATGGACGATACAGTGGAATTTGACTGCCTCTCCAATGGAAGAATTCACTGGTTAGTTTGTAAAGCAGTGTCCGGAGCTTCTTCTAACACTATAGCTACATTTCAGATGACGAGTCAATGGTCAATCCTCATGCACACTAAATCAGTCAAATCATAATGAAGCTTGGGTGAAGGGATGATAGATGAACGCTTGAAAAAGGGTCGTACTCACCAGGTTAGGTGTGTATCAATTCGTCCCATGCCTCACTTTCTATCATTAACATTTGGCTAAGCCTTGGGGAAGAAGCACCGGACCAAGAAGAACAGACAATGTACAGTCATTGCTGGGATTCAGACTATCCTGCAACTATCTTCATTTTCAAATATACTTCGTTGGGTAGGCCATGGTATTTTCTGTGTCCCCACTCATGCCAACTCCTGACCCCCCCTAATACAACCCTCAACCCAGACGACTTTTTCCTGACCTTGCTTGCATCATTCCAACAACATCAAAGAAATCATAATGACATTATGGCAAGGAACACTTACAAAGTCGAAGCCAGCCAAGAAATGAAAGTCAGTCAAATCTAAGACTCAGACAACCTTTCTGTGTGTAAAGGAAAGGTTTGAATATCAACTTTCATTGAGGGCCGACATGTGGCTGACTGTCATATGAATAAGTTGTCCTTGGGCAATGGATGGTACAATGGAACACGACTGCATTTCTGATGGAACCATGGGAATAAAGTTAATGTTCAAGGAAATTGAATTCACTGGTTAGTTTGTAAAGCGGTGTCCGGAGCTTCTTCTAACACTCTAGCTACAATCAGTGCCCATGAAGGGGAAAAGCCCTTAGATTTGACCGACTTTCACTTCTTGGCTTGCAAATCCTGGACATGGCCACCCAAATAGCCCTCAGAGCGAAAATCCTGGTCACCTCTATCAGAGATGAATCCCCCATGAAGGGGAGAAACCAGGACCTTGCCTACCAAAATAGCACCCAGAGCCAACAAGAAGTGAAAATAAAAAGGTGTACATTGGTAAGGCATTCATCGTGTAAGCCTCTTGAAGGAGTCTCATGGCGTCTTAGACAGGTCCGAGACAGTGACACAAACCTTTTTGTCCTTGTGAAGTTCTTACAGCTGGAAATTGTAGACTTCATCAACTCAGCACATGGTCCTACTGGTGGTTCTTCTTTACTCGGCAGTTGACTCCTGGTTCACGCCAGTGCAACACAGTAGTGCTTTCCTCAATCCATGCACTGTACAGTACAACCTATTTTCTATGTGGTGGGACAGATCCTAAGAAAAAAGGTTCACTATACTGACAAAGTATTATAAGCGCAAGGCTAAAATGTTGAAGGATTTGGGTTTGTGTCCACAAAGTACTTGTATGCATATCCAAAGCGATGAATGCCAGATACCCATTCTCAATGAGCCTGAACCCTGACGGAAGCTAATCTAAAAAAAATGACCTCCGCAGGGGCAGGTTGACGTTGTGATCTTCTGCGTTCTAACTTCACGAGTGAGGGCTTCTGGTCTCTAGATGAAGAGATTCTCTGTGCTTGTTGTTTTGTGCGCAAATACTGCAGCTCCAACTTCAAGAAGAAAATAAGTTGAAGGGAATGACATCAAAGCAGAAGGTCGCCTCTAATTTCTGATATGCATGGCATCTGATGAAGACTTGTTACTACACTCATCCACCAATATTTGTGATTTTGACACCCATAGGTTTACTACACCATTTGCCCATAGGCTTTCTGAGATCGGAAATTGTTACGAGTGAATGTGGATACATATGAAAGACATCAGTTTTGGTGAGGAAATAGGAATGTGAACTCTGGGGAGCCACAAGGATATAGACCTTGATAGGCGAGCTAGTGAATCTGAAGCGCAAATCCTGGTCACCTCTATCAGAGATGAATCCCCCATGAAGGGGGGAAACCAGGATCAACTTTCTTTGACTTCCTAGCTGGCCTTCACTCCGCAGGTGTCCCTCTTCATAAGGTCATTATAGGTTTACTACACCATTTGCTCACAGGCTTTCTGAGATCAGAAATTTATGAAACCAAGGCCGGCCAAGAAGCAAAACCAGTCAAATATAAGACTCGGACAACCTTTCTGTGTGTAAAGGAAAGGTATGAATATCAACTTTTATTGAGGGCCGACATGTGGCTGACTGTCATATGAATAAGTCGCCCTTGGGCAATGGATGGTAGAATGGAACATGATTGTATCTCTGACGGAACCATGGGAAGAAAGTTAATGTTCAAGGACATTGAATTCACTGGTTAGTTTGTAAAGCGGTGTCCGGAGCTTCTTCTAACACTATAGCTACATTTCAGATGACGAGTCAATGGTCAATCCTCATGCAGACTAAATCAGTCAAATGATAATGAAGCTGCCAAGAGGGAGGTTCAAGAAGTCAAAGCCAGAAAATGACCATGGCAATATTCCTCGGAGTCGTTTGGGTGAAGGGATGGTAGATGAACGCTTGAAAAAGGGTCGTACTCACCAGATTAGGTGTGTATCAATTTGTCCCTTGACTCACTTTAGGTTTGACATCAAAGCGGGAGGTCACCTCTAATTCCATGATACACATGGCACCCGAAGAAGACTTGTTACTACGCCCATCCACCGAGATTTGTGAAGTTGACACCCTATGGGTTTACTACACCGGGCCAACATGTGGCCGACTGTCATATGAATGAGTTGCTCTTGAGCAATTGACGGATAGACTGCATGAACCTGACAATGAATCAGACACTGATATGCCATAATGCTCTGATTATCTGTACCCTATGCCAAGCAACAGCCACATCGCTCCACAGAACACCAATATGATTCGCCTTCACTGACCATCAGCCCTCAGCGACATGCAGCCCTCAGCCCATGGAAACCCTTTTCCAAATTCAATCCCCATCTAATCATGCCCTGTGCCCAATACGACCTCAACCCAGGCGGCTGAGCATCAGTCACCAATCCAATGCGAAACACTCAGCCCAGTGAAGCCCTCTACCCAATCCAACCCCAGCCCAGCAAAGCCCTCTATCCAATCTGACCCTCGGCCCAGTGTAACCCTCTGCCCAATCCAACCCTCAACCCAGGCAACTATTTATTGACCTTGTTTGCACCATTACAACAGCATCTGTCGAATCCTGATGGAATTATGAATAGGGTCACTTACAAGGCCAAAGCCAGCCAAGAAGCGAAAGGCAGTCAAGTCTAAAACTCAGACAGCCTTTGTTCACACACAAAGGTTGTCCCAGTCTTAGATTTGACTGACTTTTGTTTCTTGGATGCCTTTGCCTTTTTAAATGTCCCCCTTCGTAACTTCATTATGATTTGACCAAAAAACTCCAACAGAGTTTACATTAGCAATCAACCAATGAATGATGATGTGAATGTATCAAATATTTTATTGGTGACATTCACATCTTCGTTCAGTTGGTGGTTGTTGATGTAGACTACCAGAGAAGTGACTCTAATAATGATAGCCTGTCCATAAGTCAACTTCTTTCCCTAGGCAGCTACACTCGGAAAACCTTTCTGTGTGCGAAGGCAAGGTAAGAATAAAATGACCCTCTTTGTCACTCCATTATGATTTGATCGAGAAACCCTTAACTCAATTGCTGTAAAATGTGGTCTATTTGAACCATCATTTCTCAAGTTCATCTTTCTCTCTTTCACTGTCACTGCCCCTCCCCTAGCTCTGGTGAGTCGTCTATGTCCCTGAAATGTAAAGTCAAATAACCTTTGGTTAGCCTGAATCAAAGTCATCGTTATACATGTACATTGTTAGTTTGTCTTGTTCAGGTACTTCTTCCCCAAGGCTGAATCGACTTGTAAGGATAGAAAGTGACTCCATTGCCTATTGAAATGAAATACACCCAATGTGATGATCACGAACCTTTTTCAAGTGTTCAGGTACATTCCCTTTGCACACAAAAAGGATGTCCGAGTCTGTGGACTTGTCCGGCTTGTGCTTCTTTTTACCTTGTAGCCCTCAGTAATATGTCCCTCACATGTGCATATATTTCTGATGATACTTATGGGAGGCATGGCAAGTACAAACTTCGACCATCATCTATACTCTAATCTTCAGCCACTACATTTTCTCCTTCCAAAGATTGTCCTATATGCATGGGAAATGGCAGGAGCTTGCGAGAACGTGGGGGAGGGGGGATTCTCTGATTTCTCTTGGTCATGGTCATTTTCTTGCGAATCTCCCGACGCTTTTGTCTCTCGGTCTTCGTTCTCAGATTACCATCTGTGTCAAAGGGTTGCGAGTCCATCAGGTCAGCTGCAAATATGCGCTTTCCCTTGATCAACTTCATTGTACGACGTGCTCTGGTGGCCCTCTGCTGACGGTCGCCTCCCCTTCCGATGCAGTCGATCCTGTAAAATGTGGGGTTTGTGACAAAAATGATGGCATCATTCTTTTGTGTCCACACTCTAGACCCACTTGCTGGGAGACAATGAACCTCCGAAAAAACCTCGGATAATCCTTGCTTCAACGATGCTTGCTGATCCTCGTCCATAGTCTGCATAGTCCTGTGAAATTCTGCAATGTATCCATCTCCCTCCCACAGCGTGGACCACTGAGTGTTGTCCTTGTAGGACGCATCGGGATCAGGGAAGAATAGAGTGGACCTGTCACCAAAGCCTCTGGACCTGGGACCCATCCGACCGGCCGTGACTCCAGTGTGGTCTTGCAGTCCAGAATTGCAGGCTTCAAATGCGACAGCAGAAAGGACGTCATCGACACTCGTTATGGTCCAGCACTTCATCGCCTCCTGCAGTGTGATTGGGTGGGGTGTGACGCCTTTCAAGACTTCAGTTGTCAGCATGAGCCATATGTGTCTGGTGAACATGATGAACAATCGTCCGACGGACAGGTCCATGTTGAACAACCTGGAAGACCAAGACCATGGTCTCATGATCATTGCAGGGGAGTTTGCTATGGCTGACTTGAGTCGAGTCCACGTCGGCGTCCTACCAAGGGGATAGTCTTCAAGCTCTGATTCAGCCATTGCCTGTGGATTTTTTCGTCCTACTGCTCTATCTCTTTGAGCCTTTGCGTTTACGCCCATGAGAGCCAGCACATTCACATCATCGACTTGCTGCACTTCATCCAAGCATGTCTCGCTGGCCGAGATCGAATTCCTGCAAGAAGAACATTCCTGCTGTCTCTAGCACATTTCTGTACTCGAGGAGAGCAAGGGACTCGCGAACATGGAAGTCATAGATGATGGGGGTGGATGTCGTTGAACGAAGCATGTGATTCAGCAGGCCGGTGAGGATGCCGAGGTTTGGTGGATTCTTTCTGACGATGGCTATCTGGGTCCTCTGAAGCTCCCGAACCCTTCTTCTAATAAGCTCGAACCAGACCTTCGATGGTATCCACAGCACTGGATCAGATCGCAGATATTCCGTAGCCTGCAAGGTGATCACCGCATGAGTTATTTTAGTTTGTATGTCAGTGATTCATGGAGCCAGGACCACTGACCTTGGTGTCGATATTCTCCAGCATTATTCTGGCTGCTTGTCCACTCACTCTGTACTCGTCCCTGACCCCATATGTTTTCTCCTTGCAACCGTCGATGACCTTGACCATTTCGAAGCATTCAGCCATGTATGGTGGGGAAAGCTTGTATGCATCGCTGTCGGAAGCGAAGCTCACGCGGTTGTTGTTCGTCCGGATGGATTCATAGTAGAGGTTGTAGGTGCTTCGGAATGCGATGTGCGTCTGCTGGGCCCTCTCCTGCTGCATCTCGGCCTGCAGTGCACCGTATCTCGAGAGTGTGTTGTGATGATGCATCTCGCCTCTCTTGTACCCCCCTGCACCAAATGATGCTTCAAGTGCGTCCAATCTCCATACCCCCACGACGGGTACATCTGGTGAGCGTGGTGTGAATGAGATCCCGACGTCCACAAGAAGTTCTCCATGTTGCCTGTTCATCATGTATGGCCAGTCGAGGTCAGACAGGTTTCGACGAAGGGCCTCTTCTGGTCCTGAGAAACGTCCTCTCTGACCATCCTTCGTGAGCAGCTTTATGCCCTTTCCTTCCAGGATGAAGAACAACGACCCAAACATACTCAGCTCAGCCTCTCCATCGCGAATTCGATCCTGCATGCGTTCCTGTACATCCTTGAAGTCATCATCAGATAGGGGAATTGATTTGGGCGGTCCCCATCCCCCTCTACGTCCTCCCGCTCCATTAGCCTTGTATCGCGCCTCCTCCAATGTGTGCTTGAGGTAAGGGGCCCAGCTCGCATCCGTGCAATCTCCTATGGAAGGAAGCAACACCCTATCCCAGAAGATGTCCAAGACCTCCTGGGGAATGAGTGTGATTCTCCGGCCGTTCACTGGGTGTCGGTGAATCATTCTTGGAAATGCGATATAAAGATTCAGCGTTGAGGAAGCAGATGATATCCTCCCAATGCAAGCATGAGGGATGGCAGACATTGGAAAGCGTTTGGACAGCCATTCGGTCCTGCCCCCGGGCACATGCGCATCGGCCTCTGACTGTGGAATTGTGATGTCGACATATGTATGGTTATGCTTGAATATCCCAGGTTTCACTTGAAATGGTGGAGTCACATAAATGCCGACGGATCCCCTGCACCGGAATGTCTTCGTGGTCCAGATGATGCTGTCTATGTCCACCGAGATCTCTATCTCATCTTCCGAAAATTGGATTGCATCTTTTTCGAGATCAATATACAATGCAGGTCCATCTCCATACCGATGACTAGTGCGGCCACGCACAAAGGCGTTGTGTCCAAACCTACACTCATCATGCAGCGGAGGGTCGTACTGCACAGAATCTATGATTTCAGACGCAGACATTATGTCCACATCTGATACCCGTGTGCAGCGTCCATCCTGGTCAGGCCCTCGCCGGTCGAGGGTGTATTCTCCTGTGACACGATCTGGCACTTGTTTGGATGCATCATAGCAATCGGTTGTGCCAACCGGCATGATGTGCGCCATTGTAGCTATGGGGTCGCATTGATAGAATATGTGGAATGAGCTAGGGGAAATCCTATAACCGTGATCGACCCAGTCCACCCAAGCAGTGGACAGCTGCATGCCTCCATCCTGGAATTGTCATTGTAGGATTGACGTCCCTCGGAGGTCTCAGCATCTCTATTGTAGGCCCACCCTCATAATCATCGAAGTTCCTATTGTCTTGAAGCCATCTTCTACCTGAATATGCCACTAGTGGTACTGGAGCGATTGGTCGAGGAAATCGTTTGTTGCTTCCCAGATTCCAGTTTGACACTCGCCTACGAGTTGCTGAGGCTGATGTGGAGCGTTGAGAATCAACTTGACCATCTGTTTCAGCTGACGGCTCTGATTCTATTTGAAGATGCGTCCCAACAGCACGAGCAGGAATTGCATTTCGGTTGCGGGATCCAGCCAGTTCTTTGTTCGCTTTGAAAAGTTGGACGAGCTTCGCCTTTCTTTCTGCAGGTAGGATTGTGCCGAGGTGATCCTCATCTTCGCCATAACCATCTTCTGAATCATCACGATCAACTGGAGTGTCACCACGATTCTCATCATGGTGTAAGGGGCTGCGTCCTGCCTGGTTGAGGATGGGAGATTGGCATGCCGAGCATGTAGCGCTGATGATAGTCAATTTACGCAAGAGCTCGAGGCATTCAGCCTGATGCCGCCCATGTTGAATGGAATTGATGACCTCATCGTCTGGAATATCATCTTCTAGCCAATCGTCCGGTCTGTTGTCCAGGAGCATGAGGTAGTCACTACAGCTCATCCTTATACGTCCGGCGACAACGCGCAACATGTCTATGCGGAGCTTGTGGCCGCATTGTGTTTGAAATGGTGGTAGATTACCGTGCCCATCGACTCCTGAGATCAAGAAATGTGCCAGCACAGAGCAGGCCATGAGGCCGCAGTCCACCACATCTGTGGTCACATCCCGGTGTATCACTGACACATCTGTTACATCTCCGGGGCTCCAGTCATGAAGGGTCGCAATTTTTCTCCAATATTCAGGTCCTCCCCAAATGCTCCAATCATTTCGATGTATGTTCAATGTGCCATCAGAAATATGGCAATCCAGGATGTGCGCTTTGCGTTCCTGAAAGTCGAAGATGACACTGATGAAGAATTCGGCATCACAGACTATGAATCCCACAGGGACCACAGGACATCCGCCATCATGAGGCACAAAATGGTTCCTCCTAAAACGCTCCAGGTCTTCATCTGCCATTTCTTTTGCCATTGCTGCATGTACATCCACATATCGCATGCGTGATCTGTTCAGCGCCTCATACCAAACATGCAACAGGTAAAAGTTTGCAACCGTCGCTTCAAGCCGCTCGTTGAACCCAAGGGTTCTACAGTTGTCCCAGGCAGAAGTCCATACACATGGCCTGGCCATTGCACGACCTATGATAAATATGTATGATTTTTATGTGTTACATCAAGATAATTCTGAACTCACAAGTAATGTCTCCAACTGTCATTTTAGCTAGTGGCGGTGGTGGTGCCTCCAGTGACGGTAACCGGACCTCAGGCAGCGGTGGTGGCGAAGGTCTGTACTCGTCATCATCTATCTCTCCCAAAAAATTACCTGGACTCCCTAAATCCAAAACACAGTCATCAAACACCCATATACTGCCTATTGATAAATACTGATACTTACACCGAGATTCCATGGTGATTTCTTCACCTTCACCTTCACCTTGCGATTCATTATCACTCACGTGTGATTGACTATTGACTTGTTGTTCGCATGCTATACATTGAATGTTGCAGCTTGTGTGCGCCTTTGGAAGATAAAATATTACTCACAAGTCGCTCGTGTTTGCCTAGCATGTTGTGTTGCAAGACTCCTATTATTTTGTCTTCTGTGCGGCAAGGCTTCTTCCCCTCGAGATTGGTAATTATTATCGTGTGCAAGGAACTCGAATTCATCGCCATGATCATGCCCTTCAGGGAGGTTCGGACGCATATTTTTCTTCAACCCTAAACATGAATAGTTAGTATCCTTGCAAATACACTATCCAATATTATTTACTTGGCCCATAGTGACGTCCAGACTTCCTTTTGGGGCGGCCTCGACTACGCCTGGTGGATCCCTGTGTGGAACTTGTATAGTCGTTGACATTGGCAACATGTTCAAGTGTAACTGTACCCCCTGGTACAGGGCTGATCGTCGCACGGATAACAGGACGTCTTTCATGTTTCTGTGCATGAACCCTCCTGAGTTGGTGCCATGTGGGTGGGGCTTGTATTTTATGTTCAGTGCTTGATGGTACTAGAATTGCAAGAATTTATCAATGTGGGCATTTTACTTCCGATGAGGGTGTTAGCGGTATACTGACCCTCTGACACTCTATGTTTCTCGACTGCTCCTCCCTCCTCATATTGATTGTCATCGTGATGGGAGGTGACATTGTGATCGTCAATGTGGTGAAAGTGGTCTTCGGGATCCTGGATTATCATAGTGTGATTGCAAGCAGGCGCATATCATGCTTAAAGCGGCCAGTTCCTCCAGCAGGCCCAGGCATTCAACTGGTTGCTGCCCACACTGTATCGCAGAAATGACATCTTCATCTGGAATGTCATGAGCCATCCAATGAGTTTTGGGACTGTCCAGAAGCATCATGTAATCTGTACAGCTGATCTTGATCCGCCCCAAAACAACGCGGAATATTTCCATGCGCAGTTTGTGTCCACATTTTAGATGTATCGGCGGCAAATTGCCACGTGTGTCCAACCCGCATGTCAGAGCTTGCTCCAGCACGGAGCAAGCTATTGGGCCACAGTCGACTCCATTTTGCGTCCAATCTTGAGTTCTGATGCAAACATCGGTTACATCGCCTGCTGTCCACCCATGTAGTGCTGCAACATTCCTCCAATATCTAGGCCCTTCCCAAGCTTCCCAGTCATCCAGGTTGGTCTGACGAACATGCATAATATGATTCGAAATATTGCGGCCAAGGACGTGTGCTGTATGTCGTATAAAATCGAATATTACAGCGAAGAAATGTTGTGAGTGATGGACGATGAATCCGACAGGAACCATGGGACATGCAGCATCTGGATCGATGAAGTGGTTGATCCTCATTTCCTGTATCTCATGATCGCATAAATCACCCGCCATTGCCGCGTACATGTCCAGATATCTCATGCAGGTTCGGCCTCGGCCTTCATACCAGACATGGCACAGATAAAAGTTTGCCACTGCTGCGTCAAGCCATGTGCTTGATTGAAGTGTTTGTAAATTATTCCAGGCATCTGTCCAAAGAATTGGGCGTGACATGGCACGAGCTGCAGTAAAATTAATTTTATTACATGATCTACATTCCTTCCAGTAATTCACTCACAAGCAGTATCAGGCATTGTGATATCAACCCTTGGCCCGGGTTCCTCGTTGTCGACTCCACTGCTTGTGGTATTTGTATTCCCTAAACAAAGCATGTGTTGGTATACAATATCAGGCCAATGGGGCCTAGGGACTCTTGGTGCTCACCCTTCCCATGATCGTGTGTGTCAGTGACCACATCAAGAACTTTTTTTTTCGACACTGTCAATTAAAATTTTAGATGTGTTGGTCTAAATTAAAGGTACAAAAACACTAACCTGTTGAACGTGAACCCACCACGTGCTTTTTAGGACGTCCTCGACCTCTGTTCTTTGTCACTCCAGTTTCTTCGAGGGCTCCGCTACTCTCATATAACATTTGTTGTGCCTTGTCTCCGCCGTGGATATGGGATACCATGACAGGAACTTCTGCACGTCTTCCTGTTGTTGTTCTATCACTGTTGCTAACTTGAACGACATTCCTATCGGCTGGTACATCCTCAGGTACTGGGCTTATTGTGGCTCGTATGATAGGTTTCCGGCCATTATTTTGAGCTGATTGTTCCACCTCAAACCAATCTTCAGGACATGCCTGTTTTTTAGTACTGCCTGCATGACATTCTCATTTACATGAATATAGGGGTCGATGGGATTGACTCACGATTCACAGTTCTCTTGATCAATTTTTTTTTCGGCCTTCCACGCGGCTTTTTACTGTCTATTAAATTCTCCTTTCCTTTGTCCAATATTCCACAGTTTTCTATGGCCGCCAAAAGATCGTTCATATCTGTGTCTGAATTCCACCCATCATCACTTGCACCAGGTTCTTTGCATTGCACAGTCCTTGCAGTCGTCTGTCTGTCTGGGCTGGAATCGAGGATGCCGCATTCCATGATATCCTGCAGAATTTCGAATACATTGTCTGCCATTGCGCTGTTCAGACTGACTGATGTGAGGTGAATTTAGAGTTTAGATGTTAATCCAAACTATCTACTACCCTCCATTTGTTATAGCATCAAACCTCTCTCACGAATGCCCAGACCATTGGGCCATGACTACCCATGGGTGATCTGATCTATCCACTTGTTGCGCTCCTAGTACCTCGGATCTTGTGACTCATTGTGAACTCAATTTTTTTTTTCAAGGGTAATCGGTGGACTCATCAGTCCAATTTGCTGTGGGCTGCTACACTTCCATTCCAATTACGTATATTTTAGTATGCTGCACGACCGCATGTCTATTACTCGGCACCTACATAAGATCATCCACCCATATAAATGGTATAATTGCAGCACTGCTTCATGTTTTTACGGCATGGCATAAATGCTAACACTACAGCGTCCGGAGTACTATCAGTAAGCAACCCTTTGATCCGGAATTTTAACGCGGATCTCATGTATTGAAATGTGTGGTAATACGACCCTGTAATGTTCTCGAGTATTTTATTTGCAACACCTGATACATTGAATCTGTTACAAACCCGGTGTGCGGTGAGGTATCTGCTGTTCCATTACATTGACATACATATTCTCTGCGCTGTGATTTCGAACTCGATGTCTCACCGTCTCTCCATTCTCAGCTCCATCTCACATGTAGATCGTAGAACACTTCCCCCAATGCGTAGCAGTCAGCCAGACACTCGTCGACTGCGGACTTGTAGGTCCTTCGAATGTATGTTCTCCATCTCCTGACGCAGTTTTGTTGATGGTCCACTTGAGACTGACTTTGTGTCACTGTAATTTACAGGGGTTTACAAAAATGACGATGGTTCATGTTCCACGCATCAGTTGCATCGAATCATACTTAGGGTAGGACAAAAGTGCGTTATCAATTTTTTCCTCTTTCATGTTGAAGAAGACTCTGATAAGCACCTTATTAGTATCGCAATCTTCCCAGATGATGTACGGGCGGTACCAATGGAAGATGGAAGTCTGCCCATTATGTCGTATTGGTATGGCAAGATCGCTAAAATCTATTTGAAAAAACGAGGGGACACTCATGTGAGCGTATTTATTACACACATGCACACGATCACTTAACGTCGTCCGATAAAGGACGTCTGGCTGGACATACAGTGGTATTACAGAAGGTTAGACTTGGAGGATAACGGAGTCGAGTGTGTTATTCTGTTATTTCAGTGATCGTCACGAGTATCCTGACACATTGAATGTAGCCTGGCTCAATACATGGGTGAATATGAGCTGGTGCTCAGCGACCACACATCTTTAGTGGATATGACATGTGTTGAAGGTGTGTGTTGTGTGATTGATAACCCATAATTTGACGCATTAATCTTCATCTCAGACCATGCTTTAATCGTCAGGTATGATGAAGGAAATATTTCACAAAGTCAACTACCACCTGAGACCCTATACCATCGTTGGAATGTGGAAATCACATTTGTGAAGAAGAGGACCAAAGTTCGCCTTCATGGTATGAACCTTAGTGTAAGTCTGCGGTATATTTTCATCCCCTTGTTTATATTCTGATGCATTTTAAATATATAGAATCCACAGCGTGCATCACAGTGTCGCTGTGCCGCATGTGATTATACTCTATACTGTCCTAGCATCTCCCAGCGATACTGCAGGAAATGCAAACAGTGGTTCAGCAAAACATGTTTGGATGCTCTCGACTGTCAGGTTGATCGACGTCCTGAGCCATTGTTGCCATCTACATACGATCACATTGTGTTGCCGGAAGGGTTCCTCGCCATTTTGACCATGCCAATTTGCCGTGGTGGTCCGTTTGGGGTGGTTGGCAATGGATCAATGTATTGTCGGGCAAAATTGCTCCTGAGAGAGGCGAGGACGCATGGTAACATCCCAGAGGAATGGAAAAATATCCTGGTAGAGACCGAGTCATGGGATCTTGAAGGTATTAGTTATTACAGCTGCCCAGCCTGTGTAGATGTGTTGTGTTGAATTTGATTTTCGTTGTGTCTGACAGCCGACATTGAACCGACCTACGACATGCACCCCAAGAAAATTGTATAACGGCTTCATGGGACAATGCACCGGATAAGTTCGTATGTGTTTTAGTGTATTAAGAATTGTCCGATTTTCACGGATCTCCTGGCTGTATTGAGCGCCGAATAACATCATTTTTATTTTTTTCGGCTTTATTATTAACTGGATGCATGATCGATGTACGGATCACATTCCGATGTTGAAGCACTTGGCCGATCAATTACATACAATCACCATTTTGGTAAGCTTGGAGATTTACTGTAGCGAGTTTGCAAAGGATAGTACACTGCCTCAGATCTGCATGCTGTACTTGGAGCGATTTAAAATTCCAGATGCAGATGCTCCCCCGAGTTGCTCTCGTATTAAATTATTGCCGCATTTGCTAGTAATTATGAAACACAGCCGCCTTGCATTTGTCTCGTTGTCCCATTGTGTCTCTCTGTCACCACAGAACATTTAATCCATGGATCCCTCGTTCATATTCCGCCACTGGAGCAAGAAGAACATAGGAATATTGATGAAATCAACGGCGACAATTGAAGATGTAGATGGCGAGTGTTCATTCAAAGTATCTGGAATAGCTTCAAAGAGCTGCCCGATTGCTGCACACTATCGTGTGGCCTTGCGAGCCATCAACAAGAAATTTGGACTCTACAGGAAGATCGTGATTCACCTGACCGACTCTCGAAATAATCTGGCTATTCAACTCCGAGATACATACCTTTCAGTCATGGACTACATGCACAATGTCCGCATCGCATTTTTCGTGGATGCTCGAGATTCTGCAGATCCACTCGAAGCTGGGTTTAGGTCGCCAGCACTGGATTACTATCTATGGTTGGACCACAAAGTCGGCGGTTTTCATGATAGGAGTCGTGAGACTCTGGAAAAGGACCATAATGTAACCTTAAGGTCCCTACAGAATCGAGAGTGCGAAGATATCATAGCATTACGTATGTGACCTACCATGCATCACACCAATATGTCTCTGATCTGCGATGGAGTTGATTGGAGTGCCTACCACATGACCAATTGTCATGAGCATGATCTGTGCGGTGCATTTCAGGGCTGTGTGTCCGAAGAGGATCTTCAAAAGCTGCTACATGCAGTCGATTGCTCTATGGATGGAAGTACCGTGGCAAAGGTATCACGAAGTCCGACACCTGTTCATTCAATGGACCAGCCTCATCAAAAAATATTAGTAACAGATACCACGGTGCGTCCCTGCATATTTTTTCGATTTTAATAACTGATCTTCTTGATCCTTCTCTAGCAGGTCGATAGTCAGATAGTGTTGGATCCAGTTGATACAGTCATGAATACACCTCTCGCTCCCAATGAATCTGCCAGCATTGCCATATCCGGTTCCAGAGATAAAGCCAGCAGTGTAAATCAGAAAAATGAGTTGTCAGATGTTGCGGTACGTTCAATCTGAATATATCGAATTAGATTTTGACTCATGCTCCTCTGGTTAAAGAATGACAAATCACAACGGTCCACTGCTGGAGATGCTGTTGAATGTGATACTTGTGTCACACATTCTGACGAAATTGCAATGTCTGAATTTTCACCAACGTCCGTCTTGAAGCCCGTACGTGATTTTTTACCGTCTATATTGCATCTAACAGATAATTTCAAGTTCCCACTTCCATTCGACTGGGTTTACTGCAAGCGGGCCCTTCGTACTATGGGTGTCAGGAGCACCCGTGTTGATATTTCACGGTGGTTGATTGCACATATTGTCGTCCGATTGAGAGAACTCCATGGACTTGACGAGGATACCCCTCTTGACGACGCGCTTCAAAAAGGGTCTGTGACTCAAGCCACCTATCAGGAATACTGCGAATTATATGGCATGTCACATTTCCTGAACGCGACACAAACGATTCCACAGGAGCGGCAGAGTATGGCACAGTTCTTCATTTCTGCTGCTCGTGGTTTTTTCCTTTCAAGCATTCATGTTGATTGTGCTGTCCAATGTGATTCAGAAGCGTGTGGGACACCTGTGGTTAGTGAACAAATATCTTATGATGGCACTGTGCAAGTGGAAATTGGTACGCAATACGACGCCAGTGAACCTCATACAGTGGACCACGAAATTTGTACCACAAATTCTGTACATCCCGTTAGTGCATTTACATGCGACATCTCGTGATGAATCTACTGACGTGATTGGTGTAGGATTACATTGCAGAAGTGCAACCAACTGTAGTCGATGCAAAATATTCTACAGGTCAATGGCAGATACAATCGCACGGTGGAGAGCCAGTGCTCACGCTGGATTTTGATAATCCTTGCTTGTCTGCTGCCGACTGGATGCTAGCGGGTGGCGATATTTCCGATCACCAATCTGCTGTGCACACTTCACATATCACCCATCCCAGTGACATGTTGACAGATACACCCAGTGATACAGATTCCATCCCTCTGACGAGATTGAGATCAAGGACTCTCAAGAACGACAAGCCCACTATGCCATCAAAAAATGATGTCGATTTTCGCCCTAGCCTCGGAAGACCCGTCGTATTTGCTGCTACACGACAACGGGCAAAAAAGAAGGCGAGGATCGCAATGCCATCAGTAGCGAATTACACCATAGAGGATCTTATGAGTTCATCTCAGATCAATTCCACAGCTATTCCGCCAGTGGTAGGTACTTCATCTGTCTCTCTCAAATCTGCCATATGTTGATTAAGTAGATTCACTCGTTTCTCCTTGATCCCAAGAGAGACGAATTCATACAAAGCAAGATTATATCGCACTATAATACATTTTTGTGTGTTGCGCGACGCGTAGCTTCCGCCCTGATGACAGAATCCCTGTCTGAAGCTGTCAGTACTGCGGCGTCATCGTTTATGAGAATTGAGTTGTGGCTTCGAGATGTTGCCCTCGAGTGCAAGGATGCATTAGAGACGAAGGATATGTTACTATCCCCGTTGGTGAGTGATGGTAGATTTGACATTATTTGAGTACTAATATTGTTGTTGGAATTCACACCAGGCCCATAATGTGCTGCTTGAGCTTTCCACTCGTGCCTCACATGATGCGTCATCTTTGAAAAGTGATTTGGAGAATTATGTCTCGGTGAATATATGCCTATTGTATATTTTAATTACAGCCAAACTGACAAAACTGTGTTATCACAGGATAACAGCACATTGAAATATGTGATGACCGTGATTCAATTCTTGTGCAAGCTGCGACTGTCGAAGTCGGGCGCAGACATACAGTATGAAGCTGGATTCAGGTTATTGGCCACGATTGTGAAGGACAATCAGAGGGACATTCCAGCATGACAGTTGAATATAATGTAGACAGCTACACATGTACAATGACATCCTACAACGCAGTGAATTTCTCTATCGCCTTGTCTAGTTTCTCCCTCTCAATTAACTTGCCTCTGTCCAATTGATCTCCATTGTACAGTAGTGTGTGTGCAGGCTTTCGTTTAGTGACTCCGAGATGCGATGCGATAGCTATCGCTATGTCAAGACTTGGTGTTGCTGTTTCTGTGTCTGCGACAGCTGACTGCGGCCCTCCCTTTGCGCGATATTGCTTCCCATTTTTGACCATGATGCACAGGGCTAATATCGATCGTTTGAACAGTCCTTCTCGTGCGATGTGAGTTATAACAGAATTCGAATGATAATGCACTAATCATACGTATTCTGGGTGACAACCGTGGCATTGCAATCATCATACGTCGAAGGGTCTCCAGCGCATTATGGAGTATCTGGTTTGTCAAACAGTCGCCTGATGAAACGTCCAGGTAACGAGATATTTCTGTCAGGTGCATGCACCCATAGTGATAGAAGTGCCCCCCTGTTGCAAGGGATGCAACTGGCGTATAGACAGCATGCACCTGAGCTGGGGGCATGATGCTGCACGTTAGTAGGTTAGTGTATGAGTTATATATCCATGGCCATCACGCACATGATATCTCCAGGATAGAGGGTGACAACCTCGGCATCACAGTTCTGTCGTATCCAAGGTCCATTTTCAGTCATGTTTGCTAGGTTCATCGCCATATCTCGAAGATGTTGGCGATCGTCGTGTCTATCCTTTGGCCGGAATACGACCCAAAATTTGACTCCCACTTCCATCTTCGCCCATGTCAAGGCCCCCTCCGCGTCGTGATGAGGATACGTCAAGAATCCAGCATGGTGTAGTAGAGCCCACCCCTTGACACTGAAGTTTTCTGGATGCACCTTGGACGTGATCGGGACATCATATGTCGTTCCATTCCACCCGTAAGTCAAGCCGTGATCTAGATTTCTATTCCTATTGTTAGGAACGTTTGAGCAGTGATATATAGGAGGAAACATACTTCAAGGCATCTGGGAGTGACGCTTGTGCGAGAGGGAAGTCCAGTACACATTGGATCGTCTCTGGATCCTTCATAGCTTTAAAGAAATCCTTGAGAATCGCTGGCTTAGTTGGGTTCATATGATCCACTGCACGGGCCTTGACATCTGATGGTTCAATTATTTTACAGCATGGTTATTCGTCTAAGATGTAGCCATACCGTGCACCCATACAGCCCTATGTGGCGAGATTGCGTAGTATTGATCCAGAAAGTCTGCCGTCAATTCTTGACCCACATGATGATTCCCGATCCCTCTAATAACCACTGGCTTATTTTGACTCAGCGCGTCGCTGATCGGATCCAGCGCGTCGCTTGTTGGAAAGTCAGTGTTGGATATGTGTAGCACATGTTTTGAGTGCGGTGTAGATTCTGGACATTGAGCAAGATATTTGATGATGGGGATGTCGACAGTGTGACAGACATTAACATTGTTACTGTCGTACAATGCTGGGAGGATCGTTTTGTGTCCGTCGTTCCATTCTATTGTAGGACTATTTGTCGGGACCTCTAACCCCAACAATCCGACTGTCAAATCTTTCGGTCTTGCAACTGACATTCCTGATGGATATTCTGTTGTGGGCTCTGTGTGTGTCGCGATTGTGGATCGTAGGTGATTGTCGAGTTAATATTGTGATAACTACGCACATCGATAAATGTAAACACATGTAATCAACACTTGATCAATCTGATCAACATAATGAAATGTTCAATGTCGTTCAAATTTCAACATACTGCTCACGCCCTCACGTTGCACGCGCAAGATTGATCTCGATCAACATCAAACATAGTACTGCGGATCAGTGCTATTCATATTTGCAAGTACCCACTCGTACAAAGGCATGAATTACTGAGTTTTAAAATGACCGATTCCGATAATGCTAAGTCAAAGCTATTGTATCATATCTCTTCCTTGAACGACCACAAGGTCTGCACATTATTTCTTTCAAATTCCCTCACAGCATAATGATCCACATTTCCATCAGCATTAATCTCACAAAGTCTAACCCCCACTCATGGAATGATCCTTCTGGCAGCTCGGTGAGTACTATTTTCTTTGTCTACTTTTTGATGAATTATTGTAATAGAGTGCATTGATGCGCTGGAATTATCGTACACAGACCTTAAAATGTGAGGTATAGTGCTTGAAGGTTGAAGACAGCTCGCTCTCTGTTACCCGCGATAATTATGAGTATAGAAACATTATTTACGTGAGTGTGTGCACATTTTTACATGCCTGTTGCTGACAGTGATATGATGGAAGACATTTCTGATGTGGTGACAACCAAGGAATGTCGGCCATCTGAAACGAAAAACGGAAGGTACAGTGTCTTATTATGTCTTTCATGTGCTCACTGATTTTTTTATGGAAGTGTCTAGAAATCTCTGTGCGCATTTCTGGCTCAATATTATTGCCCCACATGGCACATCTAGCGAGTTTCTCTATGTATTGTACCTTGCTAGCTAACATGATTGCACTAGAACTATGAAAGCGAGGCAGCGGCACTCTCAATTTATATTTCTGACATTACGAGCACGCGCTAATGATCCGTTTAGTTCAAGGATAGCACATGTACCAGGAACGCAGCCAGCAAGATTAACAATTTCGTTCGTCGATGGACTGATAAATTAGAGCATTAGCTGTACGAGCAGGGCACAGGTCGGAGGTATTATTACTGCTTTGGAAATGTTTTTGTATTCAGGAATACAATTGAATTTGCTCGATTCGAATCGATGTGCGGATATTCAAGTGGTCAATTTGGAGCTATGATTATACACTGAAATCTAAGCTACAAAAATGCGATCGATTCTGCAATATCTCGCTTGATGTGAGTCGTTATAAATATCATACGAGTCTCATCCATCTCCCCAAATCGACGCAAATGTTGTCTCGATATTTCTCTCGTTTACCGTCGATATGGTTAGGACCTTTTCGAAATGGGTACTATCAACTTCCACTCTACTATACACTTGAACACGTTGAATTCATACAAACTCGAAATCAAATATAACGACATTCATACATGACTCTACCGATGCGATTCTGTACATGATTGATCAAATCCTGTCCCACATGAAAGCGTAATTGAATATTTCAACCCATGAGATCACCACCTGTCAATTTACCACTCATATCGACAAACCAACGCTGCGGAATGTGTGAAGTCATTCTGGTGTTGAAGCAACAAGGATTCTCACTTCTTCATCCTCTTTGGATGTGCCAGCTGTGAGTGATTGGGACCTCATGTGAGAATCCCTAATCACTGCGTCAGTCAATGCATTACTGTCCATCCTGGACTGATCTGGTGGCGCACTATCAGAATCACCATCGGAGACCCTGTCAGAGTCAGAAAGAGCGTGGGTGGGATCGTCGGTGCTCATGACAGCGTCATCGCCACTGTCGCTGATAATCGCCTCGCGCGGACCCTCCGTTGGCACATGTGGATCATTCTTGGAGGAATGGCCCCCATCCAGGACGTTGTCGAGCGTATGGTGAACTGAGGATGTTATAGGGTGGGATGGCACCGTGCGAGCGACGTATTTATATGGGAGCATGGTACGAGTATTTGTGACCGATGAAGTGGGTGTTGCAGCTTCGCTGATGGATCGCGTGATGGGTGATGAAGGACGGTGAAAGAGCTCTGCTGTCCCACTCTTGGACCGCTTTGGATGCCCCCGTCCGCCGTCCTTCTGTTGAGAATTGGGTAGGATAGGGTTAGATAGCTGCGGGTAAATCAGATTACAGAGGTACATTACCTTTGGGGGAGAGAACGTGCTTGACATGGCCCTCTTCCGCTTCTGTTGTTCCGATGCATCAGGAACGTCAGGCGACTCTGAGATATCCATGTCATTGAGGGCCCCAGCTACATCCCCGTCCTCATCATCCCCTTGATCATCATCCACATCGCCTTCTGCATCAATGTCATCCGAATCTTCATCGTCAGGTGGCATGACCTGCAGCCAGCTCAACTCGTCGTATGATATCATGCTAATATTAAAGTTAGTAATGCGATACTTCAAGCCACTCACATACCTGTGAATCGGAGTCGGTAGGTCTGGTAGGGGCCTAAAGTTTGGGTGACTGCATCCGAGGCGCTCTTCAGATGAAGCCTTTCCCACCTCGTGGAAAATGTGGGCCAAGTATTGAGGGTGCGTGTCCATGTGCACAAGCGCAGAATATAGACGGTCCATCCCTAGTGCCTCGTGGAAATTGGCGTCGTTGTCGATCTCAAGGAACGCAGGACTCTCCGGAACAAGTATTCCATCGACCTCTCCGTCAATGGGACGATTTGCTAGCTGTCGCATTCGCAGCAAGATCCATGTCGCAAGCTTTAAGAAAATGCGCGAGTTTCCTCTTTCAAACGCAATCCTGTTCCAATGTGTCCAATCCTCATGGGCAGTCGGGAGCTCAATATCATCAAATTGCCCTAAATACTCCTGCATGATGTTAGGATGAACGTTTTCTCATATGAAGGTATTGAAAACTTACAGCAGTCCCTGAATTGTTGCCCAGTTTCATATCAAGCGTATCCTTGACACGATCAGCCTATGTGATATGGTCAATAGACCGTGAAGAATTACTGAATGATGCCCTTACCTTTTTGCCCGTCACCACTGGCTGATCTTTCTGTGACTGTGATAGTGCATCATGCTGCAGGCCGTCAGTGTATATAGTTCTGTAGTTCTAGCGGGACATACAATCTTATTTTTCGTCTCCCGGTAAGATGCTGATTGTCCGGCGAGATCCTAGTAGACACAGTGGATCAGACAAGATAGCCCTCTCATATGAAACCTCATACTTCGTCTTCGTCTTCTGACTCAACAATTGCTTTCGATTTCCCCTTGGAACTGACAACCCTGGGAGCACGTTCCTCGATAAGCTGAAGCTATTGATTAATTTGAAGTTAGTAAAAGTGCATCCAGTCGATCAGACACTCATACATCGTCTTCGTCTTCTGACTCAACAATTGCTTTCGATTTCCCCTTGGAACTGACAACCCTGGGAGCACGTTTCTCGATCAGCTGAAGCTATTGATTAATTTGAAGTTAGTAAAAGTGCATCCAGTCGATCAGACACTCATACATCGTCTTCGTCTTCGGACTCAACAATTGCTTTCCATTTTCCCTTGGAAGCAACAGCCCTGTGAGCACGCTTCTCGATAACCTGAATGTATTGAGGAATTGGAATTTAGTAAAAGTGCATCCAGTCGATCAGAAACTCATACTTCGTCTTCGTCTTCGGACTCAACGATTGCTGTAGATTTTCCCTTGGCACTAACAGCCCTGGGAGCACGTTTCTGGCTATCCTGAACCTATTAAATGATTTGAAGTTAATACAAGTGCATCCAGTCGATCAGTGACAATGTACAATTTTATCTGGTGCATTTGTGGTGGCGCTTCCACCAATTTCCTAATGAATGAGCGTAGAAATGAGATCGCCGTGGTCGGTTGATAGAGGACCGTAGGATTGCCAGGTGGACCGGTCAAAGGGCTAGACCCTAACCCTAGCATAGGGTTACATCTTGGGCGGCCATTACCTTTTTGGGTCACCCTAGGGTTAGAACCCTATATTTGGTTGGTGTATGTGGGCGCTGCACGCCTGCCACCCTCTGCACAGTGCAGCGGCTCCCAATGGGGACCGTCTCTGTTGTGAGCATACAATAAAATATGCATGCACTTGCGTGTGAGACGGCTCCCATTGGGGACCGCATGCATCATACATACTTGTGAAGCACTGACCTTTGAGGCAGCTCCCATTGGGGACCGCACTCAAGCACCCTTGTATGAGACGGCTCCCATTGGGGACCGCACCCACCTGTGAGGCGGCTCCCATTGGGGACCGCATCTCCCCACAGCACCCATATGAGATGCATCTCCCATTGGGGACCACATCTCCAAAGCACCCACCTGTGAGGCGGCTCCCATTGGGGACCGCACTGTCTGAAAAGCACCCATATGTGATGCGGCTCCCATTGGGGACCGCATCTCCACAGGACCCCTTGGATTAGATGGCTCCCATTGGGGACCGCACTTCTGATACACAGAGTTGTGATGCGGCTCCCAATGGGGACCGCATCTCTGAAGCGCCCTTGTATGAGAGGCGGCTCCCAATGGGGACCGCCCTGCTGCAGCACCCACCTGTAAAGCGGCTCCCAATGGGGACTGCACTTCCGAAGCACAGAGTTGTGATGCGGCTCCCAATGGGGACTGGATCTCTGAAGCACCCTTGTATGAGGCGGCTCCCATTGGGGACCGTGCCTATCATGAGCTTCGGACTTACATGCATCTCTGAAACACAGAGTTGTGAGGCGGCTCCCATTGGGGACCGCACTTAAGCACCCTGGTATGAGACGGCTCCCATTGGGGACCGCATCTCCAGAGCACAGGCTTGTGAGATGGCTCCCATTGGGGACCGCATCACCACAGCATCAGTATATGCGGCGGCTCCCAATGGGGACCGCACTGCTGCAGCACCCACCTATGAGGCAGTTCCAATTGGGGACCGCACATCTGAAACACCCATGTGTGAGGCGGCTCCCATTGGGGACCGCATGTCTCAAGCACCCATATGTGAGGCGGCTCCCAATGGGGACCATATCTCTGAAGCACCCCATATGAGGCGGCTCCCATTGGGGACCGCATGTCTGAAGCACCCATATGTGAGGCGGCTCCCATTGGGGACCGCATGTCTCAAGCACCCATATGTGAGGCGGCTCCCAATGGGGACCATATCTCTGAAGCACCCCATATGAGATGGCTCCCATTGGGGACCGCACTTCTGATACACAGAGTTGTGAGGCGGCTCCCATTGGGGACCGCATGCCTGAAGCACCCATATGTGAGGCGGCTCCCAATGGGGACCATATCTCTGAAGCACCCCATATGAGGCGGCTCCCATTGGGGACCGCATGTCTGAAGCACCCATATGTGAGGCGGCTCCCATTGGGGACCGCACTCAAGCACCCTTGTATGAGATGGCTCCCATTGGGGACCGCATCTCTGAATCACCCACCTGTGAGACGGCTCCCATTGGGGACCGCACTCAAGCACCCTTGTATGAGACGGCTCCCATTGGGGACCGCATCTCTTAATCACCCACCTGTGAGACGGCTCCCATTGGGGACCGCACTCAAGCACCCTTGTATGAGATGGCTCCCATTGGGGACCGCATCTCTGAATCACCCACCTGTGAGACGGCTCCCATTGGGGACCGCATCTCTTAATCACCCACCTGTGAGACGGCTCCCATTGGGGACCGCACTCAAGCACCCTTGTATGAGATGGCTCCCATTGGGGACCGCATCTCTGAATCACCCACCTGTGAGACGGCTCCCATTGGGGACCCCACTCAAGCACCCTTGTATGAGGCGGCTCCCAATGGGGACTGCATCTCCCCAGCACAGACTTGTGACGCGGCTCCCATTGGGGACCGTCTCTATCATGCACATGAAATAAACATACACTTGTGTGTGAGACGGCTCCCATTTGGGACCGTCTGTATTATGAGCATACAATGAAATGCACATGCACTTGCGTGTCAGGCGGCTCCCATTGGGGACCGCATGTCTCAAGCACCCATATGTGAGGTGGCTCCCAATGGGGACCGGATCTCTGAAGCACCCTTGTATGAGGTGGCTCCCATTGGGGACCGCACATCTGAAGCACAGAGTTGTGATGCGGCTCCTAATGGGGACCGTATCTCTGAAGCACAGATAGATTTGTGAGGTGGCTCCCAATGGGGACCGCATCTCCACTGCACCCCCATATGTGAGGCGGCTCCCAATGGGGACCACATCTCTGCAGCATTCATGTGAGGCTGCTGCCATTGGGGACCGCACTTCTGAAGCAGCCACCTGTGAGGCGGTCACCAATGGAGACCGCCATTGGGGACCGTATCTCTGAAGTATGAGGCTGCTCCCATTGGGGACCGCATCACCACAGCATCAGTATATGCGGCGGCTCCCAATGGGGACCGCACTGCTGCAGCACCCACCTGTGAGGCAGCTCCCATTGGAGACCGCACTTCTGAAGCACCCTATTGGGGGACCACACCTATCATGAGATTGAGGTTCGCACATACCTGCAACGGTGAGGTGGCTCCCGATGGGGACCACCTGGCAGGCACATTGGTCAAGCACCCACCTGTGAGACGGCTCCCATTGGGGTCCGTCACTTGCGTCACCACAATATACACCTGCAGCTATGTACATGTAAAGCAAGTCCCAATAGGGACCATCGCTATGGGGAACATAAGATATACATGCAGCTGTATGTGAGACGGCTCAAAAAGGGGACCGCGCCCCCAGCATGGGGTGGGTATATGCATAACACACACCTGCCGGTATGTGCAACAGCTCTCCCCGGGGACCGTCCCCATCATGAGGATACGGAGGCGGCTCCCAATGGGCACCGTGCCCAGGAAGCACACTGGTAAGAGACGCCCACATGTGAGGTGGCTCCCATTGGGGACCACCGGTATTATGAGAATGGGACACATATACCTGTTTGTGCAACGGCTCCCAATGGGGACCGGATGTATCACACACACTTCAAAAGCACCGCCGTATGAGGCGGCTCCCATTGGGGTCCGCGGCCCTGATAAATGATTAGCATATTGTTGAGCGCCGTGCACCCACCTGGGCAATGGCTCCCCAAAGGGACTGCATCTGCCCAGGACACTCTCACTTAAGCGCGCTGCATGTCAGACGGCTCCCGTTGGGGACCGTCCATGATATCACTCCCAAAGGCAAGCATCTGGTTGGTTGGTTGGTTGGTTGGCAAGCACATGACCATGAAGCAGCTCCCATTGGGGACCACGTCTGTCACGAACACCTTTGATTTCAAGTGGAGAACTCTAGTCAACTAACCGCGCTGACCACACAGACGGTCCCCGTTGGGAGCCGCATCACAGGAAGTTGCTTGACGAGGTGGTCTTTAAGAGACACGGGTCCCGAGCCGACCGACACAGGTTGTTGACCAGCGTTCTGGATTTGTCGGCGGTCCCCAACGGGAGCCGTCCTGCCAAAAGCGTGAATATCAATGACGAATACATACATGTTATACTTGGGATGGAGTTCGTCCCAATGGGAGCCACTTAACAAATGTAGGATAAGTACCGGTCCGTTAGACGCAGCCCCCATTGGGGACCGCCTCTATAATGAGCATAGGACATACACTTGCACCTGCTTAGAGGACGGCACTCTATTCAACAGCACCAACATATGCGAGACGGCCGCCGTTGGGGACCCTCAACTACCTGTCTCTACAGGGCTCATGGTGGACACGGTCGCCATAAGGAGCCGTCTTTCACAAGGGTCAAGGTATATGTTATGTGGTCATCATACTCGCGGTCCCCATTGGGAGCCGTCTTACTGACCGGTGAGTGGTTATGCTGGGGATGGAGATGGAGACGGTGCCCCATGGGAGCCGCACAACGGATGGGTGGGTAGCTCATCCACACCACAAGCAGTCCCCAAAGGGAGCCACCTCTCAGGTTAACAGCCGCGCTCCCCAATGGGTCCCAATTCATTTGCTTGTGAATCGGACGGTAGCCATTGGGAGCCATGTCACGGACGGTCCCCTATGGGAGATGTCACATATGTGTGGGGTGCTTCACGAGCAATGCTGACAGATGCGGTCCCCAGTGGGAGCCGTTGTGCAGGATGTTGCTTAGCGCTCAACCAACAACCATCATTCATAACAGCAGCGGTCCCCATTGGGAGCCGACCGACCGACAGTTTTATGTTCCCTATGCTTATAATACCGGTGGTCCCAAATGTGAGCCGCAGGTCATTTTTACTGGTGGGCGTCTCTGACCAGTGCGTTGGGCACGGTGCCCATTGGGAGCCGCTTCATATGCGGATATTCAACGAGTATGCCCCGCACATGTGGTGCCCAACGGGAGCCATTACGAATGTGGGTGAGAGACACAGACTCTACAAAGGTACTCTACAAATTGTAAGCAGGTCTCTGGACAGATGCAGTCCCCCATGGGAGCCGTGTTACGGACACGTGGATGTATGTAGGTTGCTCATGATAGTGGCGGTCCCCATAAGAAGCCGTCGTCTCATTCATTGTGTGTTTGATGAGTGTTCATGCCAGATGTGCTCACCAAACGGAGCTGTTAAAAAGGTCAGTGCTTGGGCAAAGTGGTGTTGTTCACGCATAGGTGTATGTGTATTTTATGCTCTTGATGGAGACGGTCCCCCTTAGGAGCCGTCTCCCAGGTCAGTGCTTCACGGATGGGTGTGATGCACTCGGTCCCCAATGCGAGCCGTCTCAAACGCGGGTGTCTGTGAGGCGGCTCCCATTGGGCACCGCGCCTATCAAGCAAATTGGTCAAGCCCCACCCTTGATACGGTTCCCATATTCAGCATAATACGGGTGTGTGCAACGGCTCCCATTTGGCACCGCATTTCACTTTCAAAGCATTGGGAGCCATCTCTATCATGAGCATACAATAAAATATACATGCACCTGCGTTTGAGACGGCTCGCATTGGGGACCGAGTGCATCACACAGACGGTCCCCAATGGGGGCCGTGTTATATTGGGCAATGCGACAAGTTTGCTTGACACGGGTGTCCCCCATTGTAAGCCGCCTCGCATATGGGTGCTCGACCGGTGTGCTTGATAGACACGGTCGCAGATGGAAGCCGTCTTACAGGCCGGTGCTTAACACGGCTCCCGTTGGGGGACCGCATCCGTCAACAGTACTGATTAAGCAGCCCACATACTAGATGGAACCAGCAGGGCTTAGGGTGCTGGGTGCACGTACTTGCTGAATGCGGTAGCCGGCTCCCAATGGGGACCGCCAGGGTTCAGGGTGCATTTATGTAATAGTCATGCACGGCTCCCAATGGGGACAGGAATGCACGGCGCAGTGGTTCCAACAATTAATTGGTGGCGCGTGTATGTAAAATGATGGCACGGCTGTCGATGGAGATTGGCCTTGCGAAAGTTTCATGAGGCTCCCTTTGGGGACCGCAGGGCTGGACACAACGCATGGCGCTCCTCAGGCCGCCCGCTAGGGTGCAGGGTAAACTCAAATGTATCGTGTTCACGGTCGGATACAATGCCGGATGATGTGGTGAGGTGCGGCTCCTAAGGGGGACCGCTTGGGCGCAGGGCTCACTCAGAGTGGGGCCGGATGTCCAAAGTCCCCGTTAGGCAAGCACAACTATCGATTCAGGGCGTCTGCTGCCTCGCTGCATGAGGCTGAGGTGATCTAGCGGGTCAGTTGACGTGTTCTTCGGTTTACGATCGTCCTCGTGCATCCACAGCATCGGGCCGTGAATTCTGATTCACGGCATAGACCGGTTGGTTGGTTGGTTGGTTGGTTGGCTGAAAATATTAGAAGGCAATCCAGAGCTCATCAGCGCTCACAGACGACCCAACCAACCAACCAACCCGACATCCGCTCGACGGCAGATACCATGAGCAAAAAAATACAGACCGCCGTCATCTGTGCCCTGCTCGCAGGCAGGAAATTCGTCTTTGATGATCCAGACACCATCATGGACATATACGGCCTCGGTCCACAAATGTTTAACGTAGAAAACCCCCACCTCACGCCAGACGAACTGGCATCCGTCCAAGCTATGATGTCGGACGTGGAAAAAGCGCGTAGCCTCAAGGAGAGGTATAGCATATTAGAGGGCACAAAAGAAACAGCGTACGCCGCCGGACGCGCAGCCCTCAACATATGGTGCAAGCGGCAAATGATCCACAACAAGATGGGCGTGAGGATCGACGCGGCATGGCACAGACTGGAACTCACACCTGTGCAGCTCATTAACGAGTCCCCCACAGCTGGGTTCCCGGACGTACGTGATGCCGACCCGGCGAAGGAAGACATCGCGCTCGCCCTCTTCGGTGATTGCGCGCTCTCTACAACGTTGCGGGGCGACTTTCGTGACGCCCTGACGCCGATCATTCACCATAATTGGGAGCGTCACCGGAAGGTGTTTAAAAGGGTAGAAAGGTCGTATGCTAAGAGCCAAACGGACGCGAAGGACGCTTGCCAAGGTAAGCCGCCGTCCCATGTTTCGCTCGGTCTACATGCCTACGGCCGTGCATCAGAGATCGAGAACGCGGAGAAGGTCACGTCAGACATGCTGCGCAAGGCGACGGCAGCCGTGAAGAAGCTCGGCGACGCGCTTCAGTGGCTTCCACACGAAGTCGAAGCAATACATGGTATCGCCGAGCTCGAGGAATTTTTAAAACAGGTCGTCGTGACCGCCGTGGCCAAGGCCAAAGGCATACCAAAGGAAAAGTTGGCGCCGGACATCGCTGACCCCAAGGACACGCCAGGAGGTGAGTGGATCACATCGTCTGCCCGATGTTGCGCTTAGTCTGCGAATTGTCGTCAGCGAAGCGGGGGCGCGCCCGTGCTAGCAAGATCAAAAATGTGTCTTTGAGCGCGGCCGGTGACGTCGACACTATTTGGCCGGTATACGTTCAGCTATTCCGTACGATCCCGACCGAACCAGACCCTCCAGCCATCGAATTCGAAGGAGCGGAAGATGATTCCGTCTGGGGCGACTCAAATGACCTCGGCGTCGAATCATTTCGAAACTGCAACGACGCCGCACTCAACACTCAACTGCGGTTTCCTGATGGGCGACCTCCGCTATTTGCAGAGTTCCGCTCAATTAGCAGAAAGTGTGCCTGGGATGACGGAGCCGCGGACGAATTTGTCAAGGACAACCCGGACATGCTCCCCCTCAGCCTTCTCTGGCACCAGCGTGTCGGCATCGCCTCAATCATTGAGAAGATGTGGTTGGACCACGAAGAGCCCGATGGGGTTCCTGGCATGCTCATTGCTGATGAGGTCGGCGTTGGAAAGACGGCCTTGGTGATGGGCACCATCGCCTTCATGATGGACACATACTGGCGAGAGCAATATGAATTAAAAGAGGGTCAATCAGCGGGTCAATCAGCGGGTCAACGGCCACCCGAGGTACCCCCCCCGGCTCCCATCATTTGTGAGTGTCATCACTCATAACGGCTCCCATTGGGAGCCGCGCCATCGCACCGCTCATGTTGATGTATTTTGTTAACAGCGACACGTCCGTACTTCGCTGGCCAGAAATCCATGCCGAACCTTCCGCACATAATCATCGTGCCGAATTCCTTGCTCGGACAATGGGGATCTGAGCTCCGTACATTTTTCGCACCGAAAACAATCGAGATTTATGTGTATCCGACGGCCGAAAAGGATTTTGCTGGCTTCTGGACGGGACCTTGGGCAAAGTCGGCTATGCCCCTCATCAATCGAATCATTCTCGTCACACATTCGGTGCGTTGATTGTTTTCATTAATTGCGTGGGCATCTACGGCGTACTCACCGTCGCTGCATGCGTCATGCCAGGTCTTCACTACCCAGGGCAAAGCGTTCGACATTCGGAAGGGCAAAGCCGGTCACAACAGCAAAAAAGCTTCGGATGAAAAGCGGCACGTCAAGAACAATAAGTTGGAGCATACCTGCATCTGGCACAAGAGAAGGTTCGGCCTCTGTGCCGTCGACGAAGGTCATGAATGGAGAAATCAAACCGGCGGGTGGTATGCCGTCCACGCGGTATTGGACGTGGCCTTCCTGCGGTTGATCACCACCGCCACGCCGTTGTTCACCGGCCCAAAGGTATGTGTGTGGCCTTACGTGGGGCAGGCCGTCCAGCTCACGTACATTTCACGCCTGCGCAGGATCTCTGCAATATCGGGCGGCTGCTTCGCATCCCAGGTTTAATGGGATTCGCCGCCGACGATCGGGAGGCGATGCACTGGAAGAAATTGCTTGCCGCGCGCCGCGTCATGACCCAAGACGACAAGGAGGTCGCAGCGTCTCACACCGTCAAGCGACTGGCCGGCTCCAAGAGCCAGCTTGATGAGCCGATATCCAAGATTCGTGTGCGGCAGCTGACCAGCAACTGGATCGCTCAAATCAGGAAAGCCTTCGCTGGACGCGTCATTCGACGCACGGTCGATTCTCGGCGGTTCGACGGCACGAAGATCAACGACAGCTTGCCCCCGTACAAGATGATGATCGTTCCCGTGAGCATGGACGCTGCTGAGCTCGCAGTCCTCGAGAGCGGTATGAAATCTTTGGCCAGCAAGTGAGTTTGCGGTGCTTCATATGACCGCCCGCATCACGGCTGATGTTCCGCAGGGGCAAGTTGGGCGAGCTCGATGATCCCAACGTATTCAACTCGGTGAGTATCCATGCGGTCCCATCCGGTGCCGTCGCATCTAACTCGCATTCCATTCCCCAGACCTTTTATCTGGAAAGTCGCACAAAGGTCGCCTTCCCATATCATGATTCGCCCATCTATCCGGCCGTTCGCACTTTGGACCAGTACTACGAAAAGCGCTCAACAAAGGTGGAGACTCTTATGACAATTCTCAGATGGCATCTCAGTTCGGACGCCAACGGCGTCTACCGTGATCTCGACAAGAAGCTCACGGATGAGGAACAACAGCAACTAGACGAAGAGTATGACCCAGCCACGGACCTGGATGTTGTCGGCCATCATGCCCTCGATACCCACCTCCCAGACCTCATGAAAATGGGCAAGCGAAAGATCTTGGTTTTCATGGAGTTCCCAATGATGGCGCCATTGCTAATTTCGGTGAGTGTTGTTGTTGTTGCCGCGGCCGCGCCGGCAACTCGTTTATCCTTATGCTCACCTTCGCCTGCAAGATCCTCAAGCTTTTCGATATATCAGGCACTCGCTCTCAGCGGCTCGAACACCATTGACGAGCGGAATGACATTATACACAAGTTCAACACCGTGCCAGAGCACCGCGTTCTGCTGTTTTCGACCGTCGGCGCCGTGGGCCTGAATCTCACGGTGGCGACCGTCGTCATTCTCTTCGTGAGTCATTCTCGGCCGTCTGGATCATTATGGCATCCAACGGACTCACCCTCATGCAGGATCAGTGTTGGTCGCGAATGCTCGTCAATCAAATCATCGGTCGGGCGTGGCGTCTTGGCCAAGTGGAAACGGTGCTGGTATACAATATGGTAGCGCTCGGCACGGTCGACGTGCTTATGGTCGACCACGGCGAAGGCAAAGGCAAAATGCTTGGCCAATTCTTGGACAAAAATCAAGGTATGGAGACGCATATCCATCGTCGAGAATCATACATCTGACCGCGCGACTTCATCCAACTGAAGCCGTCGTCCACACCATTCAGCGCGCCCTTACAGGGCAGAGGATCAGAGGCGATGAGGGCTATGACGAGAACGATGACGATGACGATGAGGAAGACGAGGACGAGATCACACTCTTAGATGGTCCGCCTCGTACATCCCGTACCTCTGCGTCGGCCGCAACCTCCGCCGCCGGTTCTTCACGCAACTCTACGTCCGCGGCATCTCGACAGTCTGCCACTTCTACTTCAGATAAAAGTAAGCCCAAGAACAAGGTCGCCCGGACCTACGGTGGCAAGCAGCAGGCTCGGAACATCGAGCGGACCGGTGACGACAACGGCGATTTCATCGACCGTTCGACCATCGAGATTAGTGAAGACGATGAAGACGGCGCGCCTTCCAAAAGCCAGAGGAAGTTTACTGGGAAGGGCAAGGGCAAGCAGGTGATTGTGTTGATCCCGCCGCCGCCAACACGCGAGGTAAATCAACCGGCAACCGCAAGGGTCAAGGCCGAAGCCAGGGCAAAAGTCAAAGGCAGACGTCGGTTCCAGGACGTCTATTCCCACCCAGCTTGATGAAACGACTGTGCCTGACGATGGAACACAGCAGTCACCTGTCGGTACCCAGAAGGAGCCTGACATGGACATCACCGGGTCCCAGGAGGAGCCGTCCATTCCTCCTGTCGACAATGCAATCCCGCCCGTCAGTTCTACCAACAATGCCATGCCGGATCCACGCCCATCGTCTCCAACCCCGGCTTCATGTAAGTGGTGACCGTTCATCATTCTAGACACCCGCTGACTACATGAATGTCAGCTTCCATGCCAGAGCAGACAGACGTCGATCCGGACAGCCGCATGCAAGTCGATGAGTCCGCTCGACCGGAGTCGGCCGTGGACCTGCCACAGGTCAACGATCAGTTCGCCTTGGATGCACCCGGCGGCACCCAGACTTCTATGCAGGTCAGCACCATTCATCGACAATGCATCTGGACCCCGCAGCGGGACTAATCGCGCATCTTGATCTACAGGATAGCATGGATGTCGAAGACATGTTGGGTGATCGGGGCATGGCTAACCTCAGGTTGACGCCTGGCGACGATGATGGTGAGGAGAGCGATGAGTACCCACCATGGAACGGTCTGGCCGGTGATCAGCACTCTGGCGAGGAGCGAGATTCGGAGAACCTCGACTACCCGCCACCCTGGGGTGGTCTTTCCAGACCTGAGCACTCCGGCGGACAGAAACGCCGTCGGGACACCGTCTCGACCATGTCTGTGGCGTCTCCTAAGTCCGGACCTTTGAAAAGTCCTCCTCGTGTTCGACCTCCACGCAAGAAAGTCTTAGTTGGTGAGCAACACTCAGGAGTCGGCGGTTCATCATCTCCGCGATCTATATCTGAGGGTGCTAGTACAAACCTGACGTTGAATGGTCCCGTCACCGTGCCAGCGAGTTTCGGCCGGTGATTGTTGTGCCCACCAACAATGTCCTCATACATTTTCATTGTCATCCGCATCCGCGCTGTGTTGTTCATACTATTATCGGTGGTCTGTAGGTTGTCGTAGTTTGTCGTTTTGATGTGGTGATACTAAATCGTTAGCGGACAATATGTATGTACTTGGACTGAGAGCGTGTGTGATTCCAGATCAAGCTCATGAAGCAATGTGCAGCCCGTGTCAATGACAGAAACGGCTCCGAATGGAAGCCGAGATATATTCATCCTGATCCAACTCCTGCTAAACCCATGCACCGGTCCCCATTGGGAGCCGTCTCACAGGTAGGTGCTTGGGTGCTTGTGACATGAAGTTCCTCTTAGGCGGCTCCCATAAATATGCAGCGTGTCTTTGAGGACTTTTCCGGCTGTGTGTGAAGTGTAAGCACCCGCCTGTGAGACGGCCCCAATAGGGGACCGCGCCCTATCATGAGCATCGGACATACATGCACATGCACCTGTGAGGCGGCTCTCAATGGGGACCGCATCTGTCAAGAGCGGATGTCAAGCAACCGACCTGCGAGACGGCTTCCACTGGGGACCGCTTCTGCGATGGACAATTGTCAAGCACCCACCTGTGAGACGGCTCCCATGGGGGACCGCGCCTGTCAGTAATCTTGACTTCCTTTGGGAACGGTCTGGGCAGTGAACAATTGGTGTGTGTGGTGCGCCGTCCCACTGGTGGGTGCTTGACCAGTGTGCTTGCCCGGAGCGGTCCTCAATGGGAGCCGCCTCGTAGGCAGGTGCTTGACATCCATTCTTGACAGATGTGGCGGTCCCCAATGGGAGCCGCAGTCTCACGGCTGGGTGATTGAAGGTGATTGAACAATCTTCAGAGGACCGGTCCCCAAAGGGAGCCGTCCCACAGGCATATTTAAGAACATTCGTGGCCAGAACATCCGGGTCCATCCTTCCCTCATGTGCCACTGCCTTTCGTTAAACAGAAACCGGGGGCTCAACGGCCATCGCCATGGTTGGTTGGTTGCCTCCCTGCACTCAGACGGCTCCCCATGGGGACCGCATCTAACCTAAATACCATTCAAATGTAAACTTTGCCATGAGACGGTTCGCAATGGAACTGTGTCTGTCACCACACATTTTGAGATTACTACATTGCCTGTGAGACGGCTCCCGTTGGGGACCGCTCCTCTGAAGGTCGCTGTTGAATCACGCAGCCGTGAGACGGCGGCTCCCATCGGGGACCGTATCCGACGAGAACCGATTGTGCAGCACCGATCTGTGAGACGGCTCCCATTGACGACCGCCCCGGGCCAGCACACGCACCTGTGAAGCGGCTCCCATTGGGGACCGCACCTATCATACACACTGGTCAAGCACCCACCAGTGAGACGGCACACCATACACCAAATGTTCACTATACAGACGGCTCCCAAATGATGTGAGGATTATTACTGACAGGCGCGGTCCTCAATGGGAGCCATCTCACGGGTGCATGCATGTCTGAAGCTCATGACAGGCGCGGTCCCCATTGGGAGCCGCAGTCTCATGTATGGGCAGGTGACAAATCTGTTTGACACATGCTGGCCCCATTGGGAGCCGTCTCACAGGTGGCTGCTTACACCTCACACAGCTGCTTTCAGACCATTCAACAATTGAAGGGATCAAGGGATTGACAGCATTCTTCAGAGCTGGCATCAACACATTTTGAAGACAATTTGAGAAACACGTCAAGCTGATCTTCGATGGTACCAGGCAGGGGCAAAGGTCTCAGGTGTGGATCATCAGTACAAAGGTGGAGTGCAACATTGCACTATGGAGGCTACATAGCACTCATAGTCTGGTTGCAACCCCCCCTTCAATGGTGTGTTATATATCACCAGTTGTGTGCTATATTGCACAATATTGTGTATTGTATCTTGCAGGTTAACTATGTAGTGCTGCCACTATATCAAAATAACATAAAACAATTGTTGCCACTTGCCTGAGTTGAACTCGAGACTCTTCAGCAACATTGTTCACATACTATAATGCACTGGACTTAGAAATATTTTTGTTTCACTTTCTCCAACAACTTTCTTGTTGTCTTAGGTCTCTTTGCTGGACAGTTATAATGTTAGTTGAGATATGTCTATTGGTTGGTTGGTTGGTTGGTTGTTAATTCGAAGTTGAGCAGCCCCAAAAAACAACTCAGGCTTTGTGGAAAAATGGCAGTCTCAACTTGAATGCCTTCTTGGTCAATGATATTTTACTTATTGATGTCATAGCTCACATTGTTGCCACCCCCTGCTGGTATTTCTGTCTGACACTGTGACTCTATTGATGGTGTATATGAAATTTAAATATTTTAAATATTTTGTGGAGAATTCATAGCTGGGGTAGTAGTCCAGGAGAATGGTGTAGGGAACTAGTTTCCTGTGGCCATGTATTGACAGTTTCTACTTAGCTTTACTTACCCCTTTCCTTTGTTTATGTTGGCATTCTGACTGCTTACCTAATCATCAAAACTTTGCCTACACTTCCACTCAGTAGTAGTATTCAGTTCATATTCTGGTAGCTTCCCCAGTTTGTAGCTTCCCCAGTTGTAGCTTCTTCAGCTCACTAGATAGCTCCTAATCCCAAGTTCTAGCCCTATTGTCTGGAGTGAGACCATCCCTCTCTCTCTCTCTCTCTCACACACACACACACACACACACTCTCTCTCTCTCTCTCCCTGCTTGAGTACTCCCTAGTTCAGAAAGCCTGGGTCTTACATTGTTTTCTCTGACATAGCAGCTAGGCAGCAAGACCCAACACTTCCTGCACTTCAGCAGATTTGTTGTACCCATAACAGATAAACTGGATAATAAGTGGGATGGGGAAATATGACAGAAGAATACAAGAACAGGAGAATAGGGTTAGATATGCAACATTGTCGACAGATGAAAGTGAAGCTAATGATATCACCAAAGGGCTCGTTAGTGAGGATTGGAGGACTCTCAATGAGATACCATGTATTGTTGGTTGGTTGGTTGGTTGGTTGGTTGTATAGAGGTGCTTGTCAGTAAGCCTCATCACCGCACATGTGCACTAATATCGAAGAACCTGACATTATTCCAGCATCTCTTGGCAGGACACTGCATGTCCACACCTGTGATGACTTTCTCTGGAAAACCCTCCCAAAGGAGTTAGAGCACCTAGGCTATGTACTTGTTAATTAACCTGAACCTGAACCTGACAACCTGACAGTATCTTGATGCCTGGCAAGGCACGACACCCCCATGCTTGTATTAAGGGCATTAGGGATCTTAATGCTCAACATTGTAATACACTGATCTATGCCCTCAAGTCAGGCACCCTCACCATACGAGCAGTTGTGGATGGTGCTGGCCATGCACACCTCACCACCTGCAAAGATCCTGTCCTCATAGGAGAGGCTCCCCTAGCTCGCTCCATACACTTCCATGGTCGACCTTACATTGACATAGTAGCTAGGCAGTAGGGCCCAACACTTTCTGCTCTTCAGCAAATTTTTTGTACCCACACCGCATTGACCAAGATGGTCTTCCCCCTCTGCCTTTTAGGTGCATTGGCAATGCCTTGCCAGTGCAGTTACCATCCCATCAGAGCAAAAAGGCAGGTAAAGATGAAGATGGAGGCTGAAGATGAAGGCTATAGTGATAATGAAGATGACAGTGCAGGGTGAAGACGAAGATGGAGGTCCAGGTGAAGATGAAGATGATTTACCTTCCATGTTTGAGAAGCTCACAAACATACATCCTCTGGCATCACAGCCTGCCAATTCCATATTTCAGAAAGGTCAAGTCCAAGGCCCTCCTGACACTCCTGCTGCCTGTTTACAAGTTAATATCATTTTGGACTCCTTGAAGTCACAGACGACAAATCATGGTCTCTTATCTTCCTCTTACTGCAAGTACCACAGCCTGAACAACCAATCATGTCCTGTGACTCGTAAGCAGACTCCTGCTCCAATCAAGCCCTCAAGCTCTTCAACTCTATCCATTTCCACTACTCCTGATTATGAGAATAGAGAAGGGAACAAGAACAATGATAAGGTGAAGAAAAGGGCTTTGGTTGGTTGGTTGGTTGGTTGATTCAGTTCACAGTAGTAACGACAATATCTTCATAGAAAACCTCTGCCCAACAAAGTATCCAAGGTTGGAATGAGCTGCCCACCTAAGCTCAAGAAATATTCTGGATATCTGATGGTAATACCACCCTCGAGGTTGGAGGTGTCCTCTTCAAACTCCACTGATACAGACTCACTGACCAGTCAACTTTTTTGCTGGCCTCTTGGGCCAGCAAGATGTGTGCATGGATGACAGTGTCATGGTTGGTTGGTTGGTTGAAAGTGATGAAAACAGGGTGGTGTACCATTTGTAACCACTGCAACCACTGCATCCAATTCATGCACGAAGTCGACGTCATGATCTAGATAGATAGAAATGAGTGTTTCGAGAGTCAGTCACAATTGGAAAGTGAGTATAACAAGTAGATGCGTCGAACAATGTATGGTGACTGCTAATAGTGTATTAGGTCACTAATGCAAACCCAAGTGTACCTGAGTTGTGTGAGTGTTATGTCTAGGAACTCTACATTGAATTTATCTTCAGTCATTCCTCACTTGATCATGTGATGTGACTTTGGTGGTGAATGCTATGTTACATTTTACTATCAACAATCACACTATACATCAGCTCCATCAAGATTGTGCAAAATACTATCATTGCAATTTTCACTATTTGGTAATTCTTTCTATTTTGTATTTATCTTTCCTCTCTAATTCTTCCTTGTAGTTCCTCCTGTAATTTTCGCATTGTGGCCTGTTTTGTAGTTATTAGTTTACATGTATTGTAGTAGTTGAAATATAATTTGGAACTTTTTTTTTTGAGTTTTGAGAACACTATCATGGCAACAACAAACAGCTATTAATAGAATTTGTTTTGAGTTTTGAGCTATAAGAGCTATGAGACCTATAATTGCTATAATAGTTGTGGTATATTTCACCCAACTATAGCAACTTTAGAGAGCAATATAGGGCTCTATAATAGGCACTTGTCTATAGATCCTATGGTGAGTTGCTGCACTTGACTATAGAGGAACAGTTTTTCCTCATGTGCCACATTTGTCACAGGATTGTCACAATCTTATCAAATGATCAAGTGAAGAATGACTGTGGTCTATCTTATCATCTTTTAACTATGACTATAAACAATAAAAAGCTGCTTAAAATGTCATTTGACACTTGAGGAGCAACTCCTTGATGATGTGTGCTAGATGCACTGCCAGGACAGACTGGCTAGTACATACGGCTCTCATTGGGTGCCGCATGCCGGATGTACTGCTTGGAGGGACGGCTCCCATTGAGTGCCGCATGTACTGCTTGGATGGACGGCTCACATTGGGTGCCGCATGCATGCATTGCTAGTACAGACGGCTCCCATTGAGTGCCGCATGTCAAGTACGTACATATGAGGCGGCCGCCAATAGGCATTGTGTCAGTCAAGCACGCATCTGTGAGACGGCTCCCATTGGGGACCGCAACTGCGTAGAACACTGATCAATGACTCAGCTGGGAGACGGCTCCCATCGGGGACCGTGTCTGTTAAGTCCATTACAGGATCACTCAGCTGTCATGCAGGTTCCATGTGGGACCGCATGTATCAAGCACACCATTCGAACACCTGCATCTTAGGCAGTGCCGCACAGGGAGGTGCATATATATCATACGCTCATGGTACTGATTAATGTTATCCCCAATAGGAGCCGTCTCAAATATGATGGTTGGTTGGTTGGTTGGTTGGCAGACGCGGCCCCAAATGGTAGCTGTCTGACGGGCGCATAGTTATTTACGCCGTACATTGGACAGTGCCGGTCCGCAACGGAAGCCGTCTCACAACCAGCCAGCCAGCCAACCAACCAATCAACCAACCAACCAACCAACCAACACAGTGATTCAACAGGTACTTCGGTCAGGCGCATTTGATTCACATAGCACTTACAAAGAGCCGGTCCCGGTTGGGAGGCGTCTGACAGGCAAGCAGCTAACACATGCGGGCCACTGAGGCAGCCGCTCATTGAAAACTGACGTCTGAGCGCGGGATTAAGTAGTCAAAAACCAACCAACCAAGAAGCCCTTTTATATTTCTCATATGCGGGCATTGGTATTTCCTCACCCACAGCGGCTCCCATAGGAAGCCGTCTCATAGGCCGTTACATGATACATAGCTGAGATAGTAACAACATGAACATTAACAACATTAACAACAACAACAACAACAACAACAACAACATTAACAACAACATTATCTTATCTTCCCCATCGGCCATCGCATGCATTGTTGAGAGTCTTCCATGGACTGTCGTACTGCCAGTTCCGGTTCCGGTTGTAATGGAGCTCGACGGCCTCTCCTCACATCCGTCTAAGCTTGGCGAAGCTGTACAAGAAGCCATTGCACATATCACTTCACACATGCGCTCGCATTCCACATCCCTAAAAGTACAAACTTCTAAAAGCAACTAATACTGTACTGTAATCAACGCGGTGCGCGAAATTAGAGGCGGCGGCGCTTTCTGCCCGAGTACGCAGTTAATCTCGCCGACTTCCTTTTTCAGTGTACCAAGGGCCGTCTCAACAATGGAGATCAAGCCAGGCAGCACTTGGATCCTCCCCGCCAAGTACGCATCCTCTTTATCGCTCTCTGAATCTTCCTCCCCCTGGATGTCGGCCTGCTTCCTCTTGTGACTACTGTTCAGGAGTATGTATGGGATAGTTGTGTTCGAGGAGCCGGCAACCGGCTGAGGTGTTGGCGAGGGCGTGAATTTGGCCTTGGCCTTGCCTTTGCCCTTGTCCTTGGCCTCGGCTGCAGGCGCAGACTTTGGGGCAGGTCTGGGCCTAGGAGACATTTTAGGTGCCGTTGGAGCTACGGCAGGCTTGGGAGTCGCGGTGGTTTTAGGCGCCGTACGAGTCGCAGCAGGTTGGGGAGCACCTGGAGCCGGGGTGGCCGTCGCCGTCGCTTTCCCTTTGTCTGCACTCCAGCAATCAATGGTGAAGTCGGCAGACAATCAATTCAGAGAACTCACCAGGGACGAGCGAACATGCGACCTTGAGCCGCTTGCACTCGCGGCAAGCCGCTCCGGCAGGAGACTCATAACACTTGCGACTGCAGTCAGTGCAACGGTTGCATGAGACCGGATTGGCCTTAAGGGTCTCGGTCTCGGCGCTCATGGTCGACGTGAACTTTTGAAGTAGGTTAGGTTGAAATAAGAAATCACAACAACAAACTCACCTGTACCTTCGGGTCGGCCTTCTTATGGATGGAGGTTGTCGAGCCCTCTGTATCTAAGTCGACGTCGAACGGATTCTGCTGCTTTCGCTTGACAGCAGTCGATTGTCTGGTCTCGACAACCTGCTCCTCGTCCGCGTCCGACTCTTCGTCTTGCTGCTGCTGCTGCTCCTCCGCCTCCTCTTGCGGCTGCTCCAGCTGTTGCAGGCGAGTTTCCTCCGGCTCATGGGCAACTTGCGGGTGCTGCTGCTCGTCAGGATCGGTTAGCGTCATCGCCTGGGCAGCTGAACTTGCCTGCATCGCGACAGCGTCCTTCATTTTGCTGATCTCGCTCTGAAAGGCCAGGTGTTTGAGCCTGACTTGGCCACCTAGCTGCCTTTGTGCGATCGTCAAGTCGAGCGGCGGGCTGTTTGCCCTTGAGACCTTCAGGCAAGCATTGAGTTTTTTCTGGTGTGTGATGTGATCAGAATGCGAAAAACACAACAAAGAACACATTGTTGGTGGCGACGTACTAGAAGTTCGGTCCAGCGCCGGCACCATTCTTCCTTTTCAATATACAGCGCGCCGTTGTTTTCGGCAGGAGCTGAATCGATGAGCCCTTGCATACCGCCACAGAGGTCTTGAATCTTGTCTTTGAGAGCGGAGGTTTGCTTGTTATCGGCCACAGCAGGAGGCAGAGCAAAGATATCGATATCTGCGTCGTCAGGAATCATGATAAGGTGAAGATGATGAAAGAAGGGGAAAAAGATCGAAGAAGATGCGAAGGCAATTTATAGGGAACAGCGACAGTCCGGTTACTCGCCCTTATTTGTGGCGTAATTCATAAATTTCACGGTTCATAAACCCGATTTGGCAAATCATAATCCCAGATCACGTGCCACGTACCAGAAATTTTGCAAAGTCCGAATTCTGCGAACCGCTGACGCTGGACAGTCATCCTACACAACCCGGTCAACCCGGTCAAAGATAACATACCGGTCAAATAAATATCAGCGTTTACAACATGTGAAACGGCGCCGCCATGGGGGACCGTTCGTGTGGTGGGAGTCCAAATTTGATAAGTGTCAACATGTGACACGGTGCCCATGGGGGACCGGCTCTGCCATGAGGACAGTTTTGATGGATGGTTGCCTGTGGGACGGGTCCCAAAGTTGACCGAGCGCACTTGTTCTAAGTTTCTGTTTGCCGGCTCCCAATGGGGACCGCACCTATGCCCACGGGAGCCGTTTGTAAGACGGGTGGATGTAGATCTTATCCCAAGTTTCTGTCTGCCGGCTCCCAATGGGGACCGCACCTATGCCCACGGGAGCCGTTTGTAAGACGGGTGGATGTAGATCTTATCCCAAGTTTCTGTCTGCCGGCTCCCAATGGGGACCGCACCTATGCCCACGGGAGCCGTTTGTAAGACGAGTGGATGTAGATCTTATCCCAAGTTTCTGTCTGCCGGCTCCCAATGGGGACCGCACCTATGCCCACGGGAGCCGTTTGTAAGACGAGTGGATGTAGATCTTATCCCAAGTTTCTGTCTGCCGGCTCCCAATGGGGACCGCACCTATGCCCACGGGAGCCGTTTGTAAGACGGGTGGATGTAGATCTTATCCCAAGTTTCTGTCTGCCGGCTCCCAATGGGGACCGCACCTATGCCTACGGGAGCCGTCTATAAGCCGGGTGGATGTAGATCTTATCCCAAGTTTCCGTGTGCCGGCTCCCAATGGGGACTGCACCTATGCCCATGGGAGCCGTCTATAAGCCGGGTGGATGTACATCTTATGCTCGCGCCGTCTCACAGGTGGGGTGCTTGACGATTGTGAATTTGAGCAGCGGTCCCATTAGGTGCCGAATCTGTCAAGAACGTCTGCCAATCACCCACCTGTTTGACGGCTCCCCATGGGGACCGCTTCTGTCAAGTACCACTATCACACACCGGCATCTGCGACAGCTCTCAATGGGCATCATCCCAATCACGAGCATAAGATGTACATCCACCCGGATTATAGACAGCTCCCATGGGCATTGGTGCAGTCCCCATTGGGAGCCGGCACACGGAAACTTGGGATAAGATCTACATCCACCCGTCTTACAGACGGCTCCCGTGGGCATAGGTGCGGTCCCCATTGGGAGCCGGCAAACAGAAACTTAGAACAAGTGCGCTCGGTCAACTTTGGGACCCGTCCCACAGGCAACCATCCATCAAAACTGTCCTCATGGCAGAGCCGGTCCCCCATGGGCACCGTGTCACATGTTGTTGTGGTTGTGGTTGTGGTTGGTTGGTTGATATTTGGCACCTGAGACACGGCGGAGTGACTGTATGTGACAGATTCCATTCACATTGAGGAATCATTTCTTAATATGAAATACAATATGGTCTACCTCAAAAGTCATGATCAAAGCATGAAAAGGTCCACAATTAGTTTTGACCCCAGATTCATGGTGGGCAAAGGATGTAAAACATTACAAACATGTGCCTAAATCTAGATTCTGACAAGGATCTTGAAAATGTGCATGAGTCGTGTGAGTGTGCCACTTAGCAGAGCACTGTCTTCATTGGTTCTACTCAATTTGATGGATGTACCATAACATTGAGTGCACCAGATGCAAAAAGTGAGGTATGGTACTAGTATTGCAGGTCGGAGAAAGAGGCCAAGATGGATTCCTGAGTGATAGAGAATGAGAGATAGATCATGTGCAGGGATGGAATCTGTATTGACAGGAGGGGGGCAGCCTTTTCTTTCCTAAATTTGAAGCTGTTCCACATTGTATACAGCAAGGGGTGAGAGCAGCTTGTAGTGTACTTGATATCATATTAGTTCACAGAGTAGGAAATTTTTATAAGGCTAGCTATTTGATAGGTAACAGTCTATACAGCTTTGTTGATAATCATACATGTATCAGTGCAAGCAAATTTCTTCCCTTCCATTGTTTATAGAGGTGATGACTTGCAATCATTACAATCAAATGGATTAATAAAATAAACAGGAACCAACCTCCTTTCACAGCATATCTTTAAACATCAAAGTTTTTTTATTGAGATTCACATGCAGTACTGTCCCCAATGCACAGAGTGAGTGACCTCTAGCTACTTGAATGATATTGTATCCACACTTGGGAGTATATAGAAGGGCAGCGAGTTGAGGGTGCTTGACAATTGTGAATATGAGCAGCAGTCCTCATTTAACTATATCTATCATGACAACTAATCAAGCACCCATGTGTGGCACAGCTCCCATTGGGTGCTGCATCTGTCAAAAACACCTATCAATCACCCACCTGTGGTGCAAGTTGCAAGTTGATAAACCTGTGCATATAATTGTGATGGGCTCTACTGCAAGATGAGAACAAAGCACCTACCATAGGCACATTGCAGTACTCATGGGTGCTTTGGTCTGAATGTCCGAAGTCATAGCATTGAAAAATGCGAAGGCTTCACATGTTATCACACCGGCAAGTATACTGATAAAGAATAAGTGCATGAAGGAAGACAGCAGGTTGGATTATCGGATCATGAATCTGCAAAGACAGCCGGGCAACTAGAAGCCATTCGTCCGCTTCTTGTTGCGAGGAAGGTTTCATTTGGTGCCAGTGGCTTCGGTACTAGGAGAGGTCTTCTTGCCTTTTTTCTTTGGTGCGACTGGTGCGTCGGGAGTAATGTCTTCGTCCGGTGGTGGTGGATTCAGAGGGGAGGGCTCGTCGTCTTCTTCCTCAGTAAGTGGAGATAGAGGAGAGTTGGACCGAGTCTTCTTCGCTGGGGGCAGGGGATCCTCGTCAGAGTCAGGAAGTTGATGGCGCTTAGTTGATTTAACCACAGTTTTTTTCTTTGTACTAGGACGTGATGGAGGAGGGGAGTGTTCGCTGTCGTCCAACTGCTCGATCGGCGGAGGCCTACGCAAGTCGGTTCGAATCTTCTTTGATGCTGGGTGTGTTGAAGCGGCAGGTACAGGATTGTTGTCACTGGACTCTTCAACTTGAGCTGCTGGTTGAGGCCGATGCTTCAGTTTAACAAGTCGAGGGAGTGCTGGAGCAGTGGAAGTTTGTTGGACAGGAGGATATTCAGGCTCGTCGTCGTCGAACAGTGCTGCAGCTGCGGGCCGTTTCACTATTTTGTGTAAGTATGAATTTTGCAATGTACGGTAGCATATACGCACCATTAGTATTGTCACGATGAGCCTTGTTCTGTGGTGGTGCAATGCCACGTCGACCCAAACAGTTGTGCCTTGATCTCGGCAATGTCGTTTTCTTGATCCGACTCGTCATCCTCAGAGTTGGACAACCTCTTGATGAATTTGGCTTGACGGGCACCCAATCCGATGCGGCTACAGTCTCACAATTAGTAGTGATGATTCTGATGAATTTGAACGTACATGTTCCACCACGACATGGTGTCCTTAACCCACGGGTCCTCGTCATCATCGAGCATGTCGATGATAGCCCAAAACAGCTCCTCGAGATTCATTGTTCCGATTTCATTCGTCCAATGCTGTGCGTTACTAAGTGTAAAGTACGTCTGAATATAAAGAATCAGAAGTGCGGTCAATATAGCAACAAAACTAACTTACAATAATGTGAACTATTGCAACAATGTGTTTCGTCACTGATGATAAGCCAAATGCGCGGTTCCTTGCTTGTTTTGAGGCTTTGCTTGATGTAGACTCTGACATCGCAGCTGAGGGACCAATATACAAGTGAGAGTAAAACTAGAGCAAAGATTAAATAAAAAACCAGTGAATGCAAAGGCAGCGTGTGACTCACCCGGGCGACAACATGATTTCTGAAAAGGCCCTTGGTCTTATCTTGTGGGTCGTAAACACCGTCTTCGTAGAAGCCAGTAGGCCAACTTGTGGCGGCCATCTTGATTTTGCCTGACTGAAGTTTCTCCATCCCTCTGTAGCAGCATGTGTTAGTATTAGCGAGCTGGTAGGTGTAATAAGTCAATGCAACTTACTCCTCTGGGTTGCTATCAAATATATGAAGTTTGTTGCGTGGGCAGAGCCAGCGGGCGAGCTGTGGATGTGCAATGCCTCGCATAGATTTATCTTCAAGTTCTGGAATTGGTGGATCGAGTGCGTCGTTCTTGCTGTGCATGTTAGACGGTACATACTTGAGTCCTTTGTGTTTGACAGAACTAAATGCCGTTGAGCGTGCGTCGCTCATCCCCTTCGTTATCTGAACGAAACCAGATCATGTCAGAATCAAGTAAGTGCGCATATAGTCGCATACAGAATGCATATAGCATACAGAGAGTACATATAGTTGTAAACAGAGCGCATATACGCACCGTGGAGATGATCTTCGACAATTTGTCAGTAGAAATTGTGTCAAGCTCGTTATGAAGACTTGGAACAAACTCCAGGATGCCATTGTACAAGTGCAGATGGCGTTCTACAACATCTTGAGCCCTATTCATAGCTATCAGTCAGGGATGATCATACATGAGAATAGAGTCTTACAGATCGGCACTGATTTTGCCTCCGCGATCATGCTGGAGACCGGTGTGAAAGGCGACAGATGGTAGACCGAATAGATCAAGCACACAGGTGACCTTTCGTCCCACATTTCAATACATTTCCATAGGATCCGATGTTGATTTTACATCATCCGATCTGTGTATCATTGTCAGTTTCGAGTCCAGTAAATACAATATGATGATGAACTTACTTTTTCAGTTTCTTGCTGTGCTTGGTTTGTACCGCCTGAAGCAACTCATCCGTGCTATTCTTGTGTTTGCTTGATTGTGACTTGAAAGATGGTACCGATAATGATGAAGATCCAGTCGAATAGGGTGACTTCTTGTGCTTTCTTGGTGGTGATAAGGACAAAGATTCAGAGTCAGACGACATGATAGTGGTCAGGTGCAAGGGGACAAGGCGATGAACTCCAGCAAGGAACATTAATGGGGACAAGACACTACAGTGCCAAACAACCCATTTTGGAACAATGAATTTACATGAAGATCGTCTTAAGTCCTGCCGCTGTGCAGCGAAAGTGCTTATCTCACTCGTACCAGCCCATGCTGCATAGAGATGCAGTTTTTCTTCTTTTTCTTCTTGTAATCATGGTTCTGTGTCCAAACTGTGACACCCAAGTCTCTGAGCGCGGTCTCTCTGTTCACCTTACTCGCTGGTGCAAATCTCGAGGATCGGTCACGGCTCATGTTCTCGAGAAGCGCCGTGAACGACAGGCTACTCCTCCAACTGTTGGCAACAACACACTAGAGCCTGCCAGTGAGGACCATAATCAAACAGAAGTCGAAGCAAATGTGAGTTTCATCTTGTATATCAAGATTTTTCTAACGAGTTCAAGTATGATGCTTTGACAGATGTTCACATGGAGTACCGACCCTCTGGACTGCCATCGCGGACGAGGCGTCTCCCTGCACGCTATCGTGATGAACTCCCGTCCAACCCTATTCCCGTACCTGTACTTCCTGCACCTGTCGAGCCCGATGCTCCAGCTGCTGACAATTTAATGGATGATGATATTCAACAACGTGTGGACTGTGTACAAACCGAGCGTGATGCGTTTGAACTATTCCGCGAATATCCTCATTCCTTCCCCACCTACGACCCCGAGAACCTAAGTTACTTCGACAACCTCTGTGATGCTCCAACCTTCGGTCACGTTGATGGAGATTTCGAACATGAACGTCCATGGTGGGCAGGCTTTGGCTCATCATTGGAGGCCGTCCATCGGGATTACTTTGCACCCTTTCTTAACGCTACAACCTTTCGACTCATGAACTGGTTCTACAACGCATCTCTGCAGAAATCAATCGAGGATCTTAGGCGTCTTGTTGACAACGTGATGTTGGCAGAAGACTTTGACCGAGAAGATTTACGTGACTTTAACCCTGCGCGTGAAGCGAAGCGCCTAGACAATGCTGAAAATGACCCGTCCTCCACTATCTTTTCATCTGATGGATGGCATGAAGCCTCCGTCAACATTCGGTTGCCTTGCGAGAAGGAAAGGTTTGACTCGGAAGATGATGCACCCATGTTCGAGGTCGAGGGCCTGTATTATCGGAAGCCTCTGGAGGTTCTCAAAGCCGCATTCATGGAGGAAGGTGCAAAAAGCTTTCATACGAGCCCTTACAAGATTTCTGGCAACCTGACGAGGATAAACCACCGGAACATATCATTACGGAACTTTATACATCTGACGCAATGCTCGAAGAACATCAGAGGATACGTTCGCAGACTCGTGAGCCTGGGTGTCATCTTGAAACGGTCGTTGCGGCGATCATGCTATGGTCCGACTCCACGCACCTCGCCAGTTTCGGTAATGCGGCGCTATGGCCAATCTATTTGTTTATTGGTAACCAGTCAAAATACATTCGATCGAAGCCGACATCCTTCGCAGCTCACCATCTTGCATATATTCCAAAGGTATGTCGATTGTACAGAAAATTTCGCTTGCCAGTGCTAATAATAATTTCAGTTGCCTGACACAATCCAAGACTTTTATGTCCAATGTTTCGGACGGAGTGCTACAGCGAGTGTCCTCACGCATTGCAAGCGGGAACTTATGCACACCATATGGTGTTTTTTGCTCGATGACGAGTTCCTTGACGCATGGGAACATGGCACCATCATCAAATTCCCCGATGGTGTTTCACGCAGAGTTTTTCCTCGATTTTTCACGTACGCAGCAGACTATCCCGAGAAGATTCTCCTCGCATGTGTCAAATTTCTTGGGCGATGCCCCTGTCCTCGCTGTCTCGTCAACAAGGACAAGATTGACAGATTGGGCAACAGAGCAGACCGACGGCAGCGGGAAAAAGGTATACGAGTTGACGATCGTCACCGCCAGTCCATGATCGAACGTGTGCGTGAATTCATCTTCAAATTGGGCCGCAGTGTTGTCAGTACTTTCGTCGAGAACTTGATTGGTGTTATGTCAATGGTTCCCACTCGGGTCTGTGGTGTTTAGTCTATCCAGTCATTAGCAACTAATTATTATATCAGAATGCATTCTCTGAGAAACTCTTGAAGTTCGGCTTCGACTTCCATTCAATGCTCGTCCCCGATTTCATGCATGAATTCGAGCTCGGTACATGGAAGGCAACTCTGACACATCTTATCCGGATTCTCCATGCATGTGGAGATGATCTCATTCCGAAATTTAATGAAAGGTATGTTGCCTCCAAGCCGATTCTTAACCACTGACTCATGCAAATTTTCTAGATATCGAATGGTCCCAACGTTTGGCCGAGACACGATACACAAATTCAGCAGTAATGTCTCCGACTTAACGAAACTCGCTGCTCATGACTTCGAAGATCTTCTACAGGTAAAAGATTCAATTTTTTCTGTTTATCTCTCAAAACTTATATTTCTCGTCTACTAGTGCTCTATTCCCGTGTTCGAACTACTTATTCCTGATCATAACTCGACTATTCTCGACCTCCTGTTTGAACTCTCGACTTGGCATGCATTTGGAAAACTACGGATGCATACCGAGACAACGCTGCATCACTTCGACAACTGTACAACTCGTCTCGGCAAAGCCTTACGCAAGTTTCGCAGCGCAACATGCAAAAAATTCGACACACGTGATCTTCCACGAGAGACTGCTGCTCGTACACGTCGTCGTGGTGCTAAAGCAGCAAAGGGGAAGGGGAAGGCTGATGTCACACCACAAGCAGCCTCAAAACACCGAAAATTCAACATGTTGACTTATAAGCTTCACGCGCTTGGTGACTATGTGAGATCAATTTGGCTATACGGAACAACCGACAACCACTCAACTCAAGTCGTACGGAGGCTATTCTTATTGCTTGCAAAGATATCTCGCTGATTATTCAATAGGGTGAATTAGAGCATCGTCGTGTTAAACGGTTTTACGCACGTACAAACAAAAATCGATTCACGCGAGGTATCACTAAGCATCAGCGGCGAGAACGAATACTCCGCAAGCTGAGACAAAAACATGAGCACATGGAGGCAGTTCAAACAGCTCAGAACAACCCACCAGCTGACACGACTGGACAGCGCCCATCTCTCCATTTCGTCGATCAAGACCCCCTTCCTTATTCCTCGCCTGAATCTCGCTATCAGATTTCAACCAACCTCAAAGAAATATTACTGGGATATCTCAGCTTGGCTGAGTAGACACAGTGATGATATTGCCGTTCAGGTGAGAGCTTGTCTTTGTTATGAGTTTACAATGATCACTCATATGGCCTCAAAAGGATTTCCTCCCGCGACTCAAAATGCACATCCTAGGACGCTTGCTTGATACCCAGTATGAAGGTGACGAAACGGAATTCACACCAGCACAGCGTAACTCAGTTCAAATCATTAATAATCGAATCTATCGACACAAAGTTCTCCGCGTGAACTATACCACCTATGACCTCCGTCGAGCTCAAGATTCGCTGAACCCGCGCACACGAGCAGATGTGATGGTTCTTGCTCACGAGGATGAGAGCGAGAACCCACATCCATATTGGTACGCACGAATAATTGGAGTTTCCATGTCATGGTTCGACATACAGGCCCTGAGTCCCGAAGCTCTGTACCACAGCGCATGGACTTGCTCTGGGTCCGCTGGCTTGGGCGCGACATGACTTATCCTTCTGGCTGGGCTGCAAAACGCCTCCCTCATGTCGGATTCCTAAACGACGATGATCCATCTGCATTCGGATTCATTGATCCGATTCATGTGATCTGTGGCGTCCATTTAATCCCGGCCTTCGCATATGGCTGCTCTCAGCTGATCCCATCAAATTCGATTGGTCGTCAGATGGACGGCGGAGCGTATGATTGGAATTACTTTTATGTCAATATGTGAGTTTCTATGATAAGTAACATGATAGTATACTTACTTACATAGGTTCGTTGACCGCGATATGTTTATGCGATATCGCGGTGGTGGTGTTGGCCACAAACCTATCCATGAAGCCACACGATGCTTGCTTAATGACCGCGATGCACTCGACCAACTCCCATTCATGATGGAGAAAGAGCGTGAGGCTCAAAGTTCTGATGACGAAATGGCAGATAGTGTTGAGGGAGGTGACAACGAAGAGGACGAGAGCGAAGACGGCGAGAGTGAAGAAGACAATGCGATTGATATTGAGGACAGTGCTGATGAAGATGGGAACGAGGACGAGCCTGGCAGTGGCGAGGACCAGGACGACGAGGGCGACGGAACTGATGATCCACTCACTACAGAACATCTCATTGACGACGATATCGCAGATGAGATGGATGAGTTTGGTTGGTTGGTTGAGATGGATGAGTTTGGTTGGTTGGTTGGTTGGTTGGTTGGTTGGTTGGTTATACTGGCCTAGATCAGGTTCTCGTAGAAGACGAGGATGATGCACCACCGGATGACGATGATCTTGGGGCAGAAGACGGCGAAGAACGTGAGCTGGATTATGACGAGGCTGAGGGCATTGGATTTGCGGATTTATAGTGCTGAGGATCAGTAGTTAGGCTATATACTCAGAACGACGTAAAAAAAAGTACTCACCATCCCGATGCCAAGTAACTTCAAGTTGAAGGTGCCAGCTGCTAGTACGAGGTGTGATTAGGCAGTGCGAGCTCCACCTATTTACACCGCTTGCCACCCGGTTACACCAAAGGCAGTTACTAGGTGAGGAGGGTAGAGCTGCGAGCACCGTTCGCATTCTCGTACCATGCCCGTGTCGCCTAGGTGGTAAAAAAAGAAGGACCGGATGCCTACTCCAACGCGCTGTTAGAGGACAAACACCCTTGCAAGGGGCGTGGGAGGCTCGCGGGTGTCTTGTAACATGGGTATGCGAGGCTTGTGAGGGGTATGAGGTCAGCGAGGAGACGTGGGGTTGGTGGTGGTTGTCACAGATGTCGTGTACGACGATGCGTCATACTTGTGAGGCTGGCGACGTCAGCGAAGCGGCGTGGGAGTCCTCCCGGGAGCTGCCGGGCCTTTCTGGTTCCGGGCGGTTTTGCTGATGCACCTGTCTTGTAGATGACTCCCATGGGCATAGGCATAGTCCTCATTGAAAGCCGACAAACAGAAACTTAGAACAAATGCGCTCAGTCAACTTGGGGAGCCAGCTCACAGGCAACCCTAGAGTTGATATTTCTTGGTTCTCTTAGACTGTGTATCTTTGAGTTTTGAGTTGGAACCAATCTCTTTCCTAGACTTAATCATTGAACACAAAACCCCTCTTTGGCTCCTTACCTTAAAAGCTTACCTACCTTCCTGTCATAACCTGATGGCTTAACCTGATGGCTTAGGCTACCAGGTATACTAACGCCAACCGATACTGACTGATAATTCAGGAGTGTTCTCCTTTGTTTACCTATCCCAGTCCAACTATGAACAACAACATTGTCATAAGAGTTTCAGATCATCACAATGCAAATATGCATACAGCCTGGACTCAGATACAAGCGCTCATGGATGCCTATTTTCATTGGAAACATGGCCCTCACAATAACACAAATGCAGAGAGCCATCAACCAACCAACCAACCAACCAGTACACCACTTCCATGTGTGTGATATCATCTTGACAGACTTTAACAAGCGAGTCATGAATTGTTTAATGTGAATGTTCAACAATATCATTGGCCTTGGAGTTGTAGGCTGAAATTTGAATGTGATGGATGTGGTATTTTGACATGAGATGTTCTTTTGCTCACACTCTATTTTAACCTGGAGGAGCATGAGCAGGCTATGAGCTTTGTCTTGACAATAACTTGCCAACATGAGGGTGCAACCTCAGCAGATCAAGGTATGACAGATGGTGGAGAATCAAGAAAAATCATTACAATTCCAATGCCACAAGTCAAGAAAAAATCAAGGAAAATCAAAGGCTTAGGAAGTCAGATTATGACCTTGGGATAACGCATCAGAGTGAAAATAAAAATATGCCAATGAAGTCAACCACATGTGGATGTCTTATCTAGCATTTGCAAGTCATTGATGTGCTCGATATGTACTCCAAGTCATTTCATTATGATCAATAAGTCTTACATAGTATAGATTATCATTCAGTTCATGAGATCGTACAAAATCATAAGGAAACAACCAACCAACATAGCACTATTGCAAGTTGGCCTCCTCAGGTGCTCTTCTACAACTCCAAAATTTGCAATTACTCTACAATGTCTCAGGGTTTACCATCAGCTTCAACGTTGTCAGTTGTCATTCAGTATCCAGGCCTTTGCTAAAGTATTCCTCAATAAGCAATAGAGCCCTCGTCAAACACCAATGTAAGCCGCACTATTTTGGTCCTATGGTTATGGTTGGTTATCATCTCGCAAAACATGAATGGTGCTTCTAGATCATTACATCGGCTCAGGAGTGGCTAGCTGATCATGTTCATCCTGCCATTGAATCCTTCAGTTCTCTTGCCAGTGCACAGACAATTGGCAAACCAGCTCATGAGAGATGTTCGCCAAAGTCAATTCTGACTTAGGTATAGATAGGTAGCAACCCTGAAGCAGAGTATATCAGAGTTAAGAATAACATTTGTTACACCAGCGTCTGCACAAACTGCCAGCTGATCAATGTCTACCACATCAGTGTTGATATTCTGGATGAAAGATGGTAAATCTGGATTGAGATAAGTATGTACGAGTGTTCACTTGAGATGGTCAACCAACCAAATTCAGTTGCACAAATGCCAGTCCTATACTCTACCTAGATATGGACATTTTCTCGATTCCGCAGTGAGTGCAGCAGCTCCAATTGGGGACCGCGTCTGTCCAGAACACATGTCGAGCACCAAAATGTGACACGGCTCCCAACGGGGACCGTCCCTATCAACAGCACAAAATATTCATGTACCCTGTGTGTGGGACGGCTCCCAATTTTTTGGAGCCGTCCCTGTGATGAGCACAGTTTATGAATACACTTGTGTGTGAGACGGCTCCCAATGGCAACCGCCTCTATCATGAACACAAGATATACCTGAACCGGGATGTGAGACGGCTCCCAATAGGGACCGCGCCTATCAAGCACATTAGTCAAGCGCCAACCGGTGAGACAGCTTTGGGGACCATCACTAATATACAGACGGCTTCCATTGGTGGCCGTGTATGTCAAGCGCCTGTCTTTGAGACGACCCCCTGAGGGGATCCGTTGTGAGCACCGGGTTCCATCGACTACTCGCCTTTGAGATCTGTGATCAGCTTGTTAAGACGGTTCCCATTGGGGACCGCCCAACCAAACCATTCCTCACGGGAGGTCATGCGACGCCTTGTCAATGTGTGAGCACAGGAGATATATATACGCCTGCCTGTGAGATAGCTCCTATTAAGGACCGTGCTCCTAATAATTTTATGACGTATAAGCACGTCAAAACGGCTCCCAATGGGCACCGGCAGGGTGCAGGGTACAGGGCACAGGGTGTTGGGTGCGCGCATGTGGTTGTGGTTGGTTGGTTGTGGTTAGAGTCTTAGACCGCTCCAAATTGGAACCGCCAGGGTGCAGGATGCATATATGTAATAGTCTAGCACAGTTCTCAATGGGGATAGGCATTGCACACAGTGAATTTATGCCAGAGTCTTTCGAGGCTCCCATTGGGGACCGCAGGGTCGGAGAAAATTGAGGGCACTCCTCATGGGGGACCGCTAGGGTGCAGGGTAAACTCAAATGCATCGTGCTGACGGTCTGACAAAGTCCCGGATGATTTGTGGAGGTGCGGCTCAAATTTGGAACCGCATGGGCAGAGGGCTCATTCAGAGTGGGGCCTGATGTCCAAGGTCCCCGCTGATACATGAATCCCAGTCTGGCAAGAACAATCCGCGATGGAGTCTGTCTCCTGCCTCATTGCTTGAGCCCGTGGTGATATCGCATATCTGTTGACGTGTTGTTCGGCTCCTGATCGTCCTCGTGCATCGATGGCGCCGGGCCGTGAATCAGAATTTACGGCAAAGACCTTGTTTAAAAACATCGTCAGGACATACAAAGCTTATCATCTGTGAGCGACCGACCCAACCAACCGACCGACCAACAACAGTGTGAGTCAGCTCGTTTTGGCCTGTTTTGTATTACTGTGCTCATTGGCGATGTGTTCAACGGCAGATTGCCATGAGCAAAAAAATACAGACCGCCGTCATCTGTGCACTGCTCGCAGGCAAAAAGTTTATTTTTCAAGACGAGGACACGATCCGGGAGATCTATGGCCTCGGACCCGAGATGTTCAACGTCGAGAACCCCCACCTCTCGCCAAACGAACTGGCATCCATCCAAGCGATGATGTCAGCCGTGGAAAAAGCGAGAACCCTCAAAGAGAGGTACGACATCTTGGAGGGTCAGCGCGAAACGTCGTACGGTGCCGGTCGCGAAGCCCTCCGCATATGGTGCAAGAGGCAAGACGTCCATCACGCGATTGGCGTGAGGATCGACGCGGCGTGGCACAAATTGGAACTGACCCCTCTGCAACTCATCAATGAATCCCCGACCGCTGGATTCCCGGACGTTCGTGACGCTGACCCGGCGAAGGAAGACATCGCGCTCGCCATCTTCGGCGATTACGCACTCTCCACCACGTTGCGGGGTGACTTTCGTGACACCCTGACGCCGATCATTCACCATAACTGGGAGCGTCACCGGAAGGTGTTCAGGAGGGTGGAGGCTTCTTTTACTGCCAGGAAACGCACAGCGAGAGAGGCTTGCGAAGGTAAGCCGCCGTCTCGTGTTTGGCTCTGTCTTGATGCCCATAGCCGTGCAACAGCGATCGAGCACGCGGAGAAGGTCACCCCACAGATGCTGCGTGAAGCAACGGCGGCCGTAAAGAAGCTCAGTGATTCGCTTCAGTGGTTTCCACACGAAGTCCAAGGAATTCAAGGAATCGCCGAGCTCGAGGAATTTTTGAAACATGTCGTCGTGACCGCCGTGGCCAAGGCCAAAGGCATATCAAAGGAGAAGTTGGCGCCGGACATCGCTGACAACAAGGACACGCCAGGAGGTGAGTAGACCGTGTCGTCATGCGTTTTGTTGCGCTGAGTGTACTCATCCTCATCAGCGAAACGGGGGCGCGCCCGCGCAAGCAAGATCAAAAACGTGTCTTTGAGCGCAGCCGGTGACGTCGACCTCATTTGGCCGGTTTACGTTCAGCTCTTCCGTACGATCCAAACCGAACCCGAGCCTCCAGCCGTTGATTTTGGTGGAGCGGAAGACGATTCCGTCTGGGGCCACTCAAATGACCTCGGTGTGGAGACATATCGAAATCACACTGACGCCGCCCTTAACGCCCTACTACACTTTACGGGTGGGCGACCCCCGCTGTTCGCGCCGTTGCGCTCCATCCGCAGAAAGTGTGCCTGGGATGCTGAAGCCGAGGAGGAATTTGTGAAGGAGAACGAAGACATGGTCCCCCTCAGCCTTCTGTGGCACCAGCGTGTCGGCATCGCCTCGATCGTTGAGAAGATGTGGTTGGAGCACGATGATCCCGAAGGGGTTCCAGGCATGCTCGTGGCTGACGACGTCGGCATTGGAAAGACTGCAATGGTGATGGGCACCATCGCCTTCCTCATCGACACATACTGGCGAGCTCACATGACATTGCAAAAGGCTAAGGGTATCTTGCGGTATCTAAATCCCCTCCAGATATGTCAGGCTCCCATACTCAGTGAGTCTCATCACTCAAAACGGCTCCGATTGGGTGCCGCGCTATCGCACCATGGGTGGCCGCTCGACGTTCCCTCATGCTGACGTATTTCTTACTACAGACAATCGTCCGTATTTCGCTGGCATGAAATCCATACCGAATCTCCCCCATCTCATCATTGTGCCGAATTCCTTGCTCGGACAATGGAGGTCCGAGCTCCGCATATTTTTCGCCCCGAGGACAATCGAAATATATGAGTATCCGACGGCCGAGAAGGAATTCGCCGGCTTCTGGACGGGACCTTGGGCAAAGTCGGCGATGCCCCTCATCAATCGAATTATTCTTGTGACGCATTCGGTGCGTGCATTTTTTCATCAGTTGCGCGAGGGCATCTACGGCGTACTCACCGTCGTTGCATACGTCATGCCAGGTCTTCACTACACAGGGCAAAGTGTTTGACCTTCGGAAGGGCAAAGCCGGCCACAACCTCAAAAAGGCATCCGATGACAAGCGGCATGTGAAGAACAGTCAACTGGAACACACCTGCCTCTGGCACAAGAGGAACTTCGCCCTCTCCGCCCTCGACGAAGGTCACGACTACCGCAATCAAACCGCCGGGTGGTATGCCATCCTTGAGGTCATGAAAGTTTCTGGCCTTCGGATGGTCTTGACCGCCACTCCATTGTTCACCAGCCCAAAGGTATGTGGCCTTCGATCTCGCAGTCTCGATCCCGCTATTCCGCTGATGCACATCTTACGCCTGCGCAGGACTTGTGCAACATCGGCCGTCTCCTTCGTATCCCATATTTTACAGGCAAGGGGGGCGACGAGCAAGAGACTATACACTGGAAGAAATTGCTTGCCGCGCGGCGCCTCATCACCAAAGACGATCAGGAGCTCGCGGCCTCTCAAACTATTCAGCGACTCACTGGTTCCAAGAGCACACATGATGAGCCGGCGTCCAAGATTCGTGTGCGGCAGCTAACGGCCAGCTGGATAACCCAAATCAAGCGTGGCTTCGCAGGACGCGTCATTCGACGCACGGTCGAATCTCGCCGATTCGACGGCAAGAAGATCAACGACAGCTTGCCTCCATACAAGATGATCATTGTTCCCGTGCACATGAACGAGTCGGAGCTTTCGGTCATCGAAAAGGGCATGAAGTCCCTGGCCGGCGAGTGAGTTGCAGGCTCCTTGAGAGCACCTCGCGCATGATGGCTAACACATATCTTTGATCCCACAGTGCTAAGTTGGGCAACCTCGACGACAGCAACGCATTCAACTCGGTGAGCATCGATGCGGTCCCCCTCTGGGTGTAGTGTCTGACTTGCATTTGGCAGAAATTTTATCTCGAAAGTCGCACAAAGGTCGCCTTCCCATGGCATGATTCGCCGGTCTATCCTGCCATCCGCACCCTCCAGGAATACCACGACAAGCGCTCCACCAAGGTGGATATCCTGATGACCATCCTCAGATGGCATCTTATCTCAGACGAGAACGGCGTATACCGTGATCTCGATAAGGAGCTCACGGAAGTAGACCAAGAGGCGCTGGACAACGCGTATGACAAAGAGACAGACCCGGATGTCATCGGCCCACATTCCATCGACAAGGAACTACCTGGCCTCATGACCATGGGCAAGCGCAAGATCTTGGTTTTCACTGAGTTCCCCATGATGGCACCCTTGCTGATTTCGGTGAGTGTTGCGGCGGCGGCGGCCACTCGTTCGTTCTCATGCTTGCTCATATTTGCCTTCAAGATTCTCCGAAAGCACAACATATTCGCGCTCGCGCTGAATGGCACGAACACCGCCGACGAGCGGAACGACATCATTCACAAGTTCAACACCATGCCACAGTACCGCGTCCTGCTGTTTTCCACCGTCGGCGCCGTTGGTCTGAATTTGACGGTGGCCACTATTGTCATTCTCTTCGTGAGTTCCCATCGGCCGTATTCAGCCTAACAGCATCCAACCGACTCACGCGCATGCAGGATCAGTGCTGGTCGCGGATGCTCGTCAATCAAATCATCGGTCGGGCGTGGCGTCTCGGTCAAGAGGACATCGTGTTGGTCTATAACATGGTAGCGGTCGGCACAGTCGACGTGCTTATGGTCGACCACGGCGAAGGCAAAGGCAAGATGCTTGGCCAGTTCTTGGACAAAAATAAAGGTACGCGAACGCTCATCCATCCTCAAGATTAATATATTTGACCACGACTTCATCGAACTCAAGCCGTCGTCAACACCATTCAATGCGCCATGAGAGGAGAGAAGATCCGAGACGACCACCACGATGACGACGACATTGAAGATGATGACCCGATCGAAACCACAGACGGTCCACCTCGGACTTCCGGCGCCTCCAAGTCTGCTACCACTTCTGCCTCCGGTTCCTCAAGCAAGTCTGCGTCTGCGTCATCCGCTGCACAAAGCAATAGGGCTGATCATTATGATGACCCGATCGAAACCACTGACGGTCCACCTCGGACTTCCGGCGCCTTCAAGCCTGCTACCACATCTGCCGCCGGTTCCTCGAGCAAGTCTGCATCTGCATCATCCGCTGAAACAATCAATAGGGCTGATGAAGATGACGACGAGATCGAAATCTCAGACAGTCCACCTCGTACTTCCCGCGCCCCCAAGTCTGCAACCACATCTGCCGCCGGTTCCTCACGCATGTCTGCATCTGTGTCATCCGCTGCAAAAATCAATAGTGCTGTTGAAGATGACGACGAGATCGAAATCTCAGACGGTCCGCCTCGTACTTTGCGCAAGTCTGTATCTGCGGCTTCTCGACCATATGCGTCATCCGCTTCAGACAAAAATAGGCCTGATAGGACGATGTTGCGGACCTACGGTGGCAAGAAGCAGGTCCGGAATATTCAGCTGACCGGTGACGACGACGGAAAAATCTTCGACAGTTCAACCGTCCACATCGATGACGATTTCGTTGATGAGGAAGAAGACGCCACGACTTCCAAAGGAAAGCAGACATTGACCGGAAAGGGTAAGGGCAGGCAGCAGGTGATCGTGATGATGCCGCTGCCAATGGAAAAGAAGAAGCAAAGGACAAGGCCAAAGCCAGGGCCAAAGTCCAAGGCTAACATTGGGTCGTTGGCCAGTGATCCCATCGAGCTGGATGCAGACAGCCCTCCCGACGACGGGAAAGGAACGTCAACAACCGGCGCAGAGAAGGATCTTGAACTCACCATTACCGGGTCCTCGAGGGAGTCGTCCATGCATGCCGACGACAACGACAACCAGGCCAAGCATAACGTAGCTCCAGCCGGGTCTCAAAGGGAACCGTCTGTCCCTGATGCGGACGACAATGACAGAAGTGGCGGCATGCAAGATCCATCGTCTCCCACACATCCTGCATGTAAGTCTTGACCCTGTCATCATCCTCTACTCACGCTGATAGAATGTCAGGGTCCATGCGAGATCAGCGAGCGGTAGACACCGACGACGACAATGCATACTGGTCCATGGACATGGACGACTCCAATCTACAGGACTTGGACCTCCAACCAGTCAACGATGCGTTCGAGCTAGATGGCAACACGCTCGACGGCCTGGCACACGGCACTCAGGAATCTACACAGGTCAGTACCATTCATTGACAATGCATATGCACCTCCCAGTATGACTCAATCCGCATCTTGCTCTCTAGGATAGCATGGATGTTGAAAGGATGTTGGGTGATCGTGGCATGGCTCAACTCAGGTTGACGCCCGGCGAAGATTATGTTGATGTGGACAATATCGTCGACCCGTTTCCATGGCAGGGTTGGGTTCGAGATGAGTACCCTGGCAGAGGGAAACGCCGTCGAAACACGGGATCGTCATCCTCCATGGCGTCTCCTACGTCTGGACCGTTGAGAAGTCCTCCTCGTGTTCGCCCTCCACGCAAGAAGATTTTGTTGGTTGGGGACGGCTCAGCACGCGACCACGAATCTGCTGCACATGCTGATTCTGTGGGTGTTGGTGCAAGCCTGACGGTGAAGTGCCGCACTGCTGTGCCAGCAAATGCGCCAAGGCCAGGAGCTAGCCGCACCGCACGTGCTCGCGGGGGATTGCGTCAGTGAATGTAGGCCCGACAAAAATATTTTCGGCACATACAGATCCGACGGTCATCATCGTAATCTTAATCCGCATCCATACACTCTGTAAAATTCGCACTCTGCAGTGTCGCGTTGTTTGTATTTTGTATGTTGCACTAGTAGTAATTAGTGTGCAATACGCAGATCCTTGGACTGATCCCGTGTGTGATTCAAGATCAAGCTCGCGGAGATGGTGCAAGGGATGGTTCAGCCAGTATTCATGATGGAAATGATCCCAATTTGGAGCCGTCTCACAGGCGGGTTATTGAAAGGTATTGTCGTGAGACGCAGTACTCCATGGAAGCGGTCAATAAGAGGGGTGGATGTACATCTTATGCTCGGATAATAGGGATGGTGCCCATTGAGAGCCGTCAAAGAGGCCGGTGCGTGATAAGTGACATTACTGTTGCCAACGGTTCCGCAATATCTGGTGAGCTGGCACAGCCGAGCCAAATGTTAGCTGAGCCGTGCCACACGCGAGAGCTTACTAGACAGACGCGGTCCCCATTGGGAGCCGTCTCACAGGTGGGGTGCTTGCAAATTGTTCATGGGAGCAGCGGTCCCCATTGGACTGCGTCTGTCATGACCACGAATCAATCAAGCACCCGTGAGCGGCACGGCTCTCATTGGGTGCTGCATCTGTGAAGAACACCTGTCAATCACCCACTTGTTCGACGGCTCCCAATGGGGACCGCATCTGTCGAGCACACCGCCTATCACGCACAGGCCACACGTCTGTAAGACGGCACCCATCGGCATAGGCGCGGTCCACGTTAGTGTGACTGTACAGCGTCATCGGTTCACAGATTTTGGACTTGGCACAATATCTGGAACGTGGCACGTGATCTGGGATTAATTGTTTGCCAAATCGGGTGTGTGAACTTGTGAAATGTAAGAATTAGGCCACAAATGTGGCCGCATGGCCGGAGAGTTGCTGTTCACTATAAATTACCTTCACTTCTTCATCGATCTTCTTTTCCCTTCTTTCATCATCATCACATTATCATGTCTTCTGAGAACACCGAGATCGATATCTTTGCTCCGCCTCCTGCTGAGGAGCAGCAGCAGCAAGCCCAAGAGCCGGACGCGGAGGAGGTTGTCGAGATGTCAGCCACAAAATCGATTGTAGTCCAGCAAATGAAGCAGAGTGTGATCCCCGTTGAGTCGGACACAGCAGGCTCGACAACCTCCATCCCTAAGAAGGCCGAGCCGAAGGTCAAGGTGAGTTTCTTAGTGCTGCGATTGTTGATTTCCTCACATAACTAACATACTTCAGAAGTTCACGCCGCGCATGAGCGCCCAGCGCCCTACCAACCGGGTCTCATGTGCCCGTTGCATTGCGAGGGGTCACAAGTGCTATAAAAACCCCTTCGGAATGGTTTGCCTCGACTGCAAGCAGCTCAAGGCCAGATGTTCGCTCGTCGCTGGTGAGTTCTGTCAGTTCATTGTCTGCCGACTTCGCCATTATTCATTTCTGGAGTGTAGAGAAAGCCAAGGCGAAGGGAACGCCTACGCCGGCCCCAGCGGCTCCTACGGTTCCCAAGCCTTCCGCTGCTCCTACGGCACCCAAACCCACCGCAGCTCCTAGGCCCAGACCTGCTCCGAAGTCTGCGCATGCAGCCGTGGCCAAGGACAAGGGCAAAGGCAAGGCCAACTCCAAGTCCACGGTCTCGCCAACACCTCAGCCGATGGCCGGCCCCTCAAACACAACTGGCGCATACGCCCTCTTGAACAGCAGTCGCAAGAGGAAGCTGGCCGAAATCGAGGGGGAGGAAGACTCAGAGAGCGATCAAGAGGATGCCTACTTGGCTGGGAGGATTCAAGCGCTGCCTGGCTTGATATCCATTGTTGAGACGGCCCTTGGTATGCTGAAAAAGGAAGTCAGCGAGATTAACGCGTACATGGGCAGAAAGCGCCGCCGCCTGTAGATAGATTGCCTGGCTGTCGTTTCTACCTTATGAATAGAAATACATACGTCGCATAAGCGCTTTACATACGATATGCAAGGGCTTCTTGGGTTGTTGAGTACATAATCCCGTGCTCAGACGTGAGTATTGATTCAATGAGTAGCACTCTTTGTGAGTGCTGTGTGGATCACAATGACCATTCAAATCACTATGTTGGCTGTGAGACGCCTCCCGTTGGGGACCGGCAATGTCCTATGTACGGTGTAACTCAATATGCGCCCGTCAGACGGCCTACCATTCAAATGCTCAGAGGACCGGTCCCCAAAAGGAGCCATCTCAGAGGCAGAGTACTAATCTCAAAGATGTGTGGTGACATACACAACTCCATTGCCAGCCGTCTCATGACCAAAGTTTAGATCGTTGTTCAATCACCTTCAATCACCCAGCCGTGAGACTGCGGCTCCCATTGGGGACCGCCGCATCTGTCAAGACCGGATGTCAAGCACCCACCTACGAGGCGGCTCCCATTGAGGACCGCTCCTGGCAAGCACACGCACCTGTGAAGCGGCTCCCATTGGTGACCGCACCTATCAACACACTGGTCAAGCACCCAGCAGTGGTACGGCGCACCTACACGGACGGTTCCCAAAGGAAGTCAAGTTAACAGACAGGCGCGCGGCTCCCATTGGGGACCGCCGCATCTGTCAAGAACGGATGTCAAGCACCCACCTGTGAGACGGCTCCCATTGGGGACCGCACCTATCAATCACACTGGTCAAGCACCCACCAGTGGGACGGTGCACCTACACGGACGGCTCCCAAAGGAAGTCATGATCACTGACAGACGCGGTCCCCCATGAGGGCCGTCTCACAGGTGGGTGCTTGACAATTGTCCACCACAGAAGCGGTCCCCATTGGGAGCCGTCTCACAGGTTGGTGCTTACACCTCACACACAGCGGCCGTGTCTATCAGGCACATTTTCAAACCAACCAACCAACCATCATATTTGAGACGGCTCCTGTTATGGATTGCATTAATCAAGACCACGAGCATCTGATATATGTGCACCTTCCTATGTTGTGGATAAAATGTGAGCCGCCTCACAGCCGGACGCGATCTAGCAGTCCACTTGACATCCGCGGCACCCAATGGGAGCCGCCTACGATGCAGGTGTTCGAATGGTGTGCTTGACGATATACTAACTAAAGCACTACCTAAGCCGGATCACTCATTGGGTGCCACATGTATTGCCAGTACAGACGGCTCCCATTGAGTCCGCATGTATTGGTTGGAGGGACAGCTCCCATTGGGTGCCGCATGCATTGCTAGTACAGACGGCTCCCATTGAGTGTCGCATGTATTGCTGTGAGGGACGGCTCCCATTGGGGGGCCATGTATAATGTATGGTGCGCTGGCTCTAACATTCAACTTTGGCTCATACCATCATAAGGTAGACAACATTGAAATCCAATTAGTGCTGCCATGTGATCATGTGACTGTTCCCACGGCCAAATCTCAGAATCCGAAAAATCCAAAATCACTATTTGCCTCAAAAATCACTTTGACAACATCAAAAAAAAGGTATTTTCAATCAATAAGCTTTTTTATTATACCCTACATCCACACTTAAAGTACTAGGAGTATCAAAGGAGTATGGTTGGTTATGACTGACTACACACTAGTAGTGCTGACTTGATTGTGGCACAGCCTGGTGTTATGTAAGCTACCATATATGGTTGGTTGGTTGGTTGGTTGGTTAATGTGGTATCACATGATGTGGCCAAATATAAGGGACAAATATTTTATTTTCCACCTATAGCATCAGACATGTATTTGGAGATGAAATACAACAAATAGAAAAAGTGGAAATAACTCTCTCAAATTTCAGTTTTGAGAAAATTTGAGACTGTCAAGCTATCTAGAGAGATCTTAGGAATAGATTGGTGCAAAAAAGAATGTTTGGAAAGTGGATGAGGACAGTGCAATAAGTTGTGCAAAGTGGTGTCTCAAAATGTGGTTGGTTGGATTTTCATGTCGTCTACCTTAGTCTTATGATATGATTGTAAATTGTATTGCCTGTTACTAGATGGTCACCAGAGTTCACGTTTCTTCTTGCAATGACAATATAGCTCCTCAATGTCTGGGCCAAAATCAAATTTTTTTACTCTTGGATAGCTTGATGTTGAAAATACAATGCCTGCTAATTGTTTTCTTGAGATTTGAAGAGTTGAGTCCAGCGGAGGGTTAATGTCTGATTGTCTCAAGGGTTTGCATTTTTGTCACACTATATCACACCCTGCCATCAAACCATTTCATGCCCTGCACAACTACATATACACCAGCAACCCAACATAAGTGAGCATGTGTTTAGTGCCACATTTCAGCACAGCGGAATCTCAATTCATACATCATACTTTGGATGAATTGTCACATCTGATCGTGTTTCTTATACTGCATATCATTCTATCAAGAACATAGTCTCAGAGATATTTATTTTAACATGGCCTAATCATATACAATCACGATGTACCATTTCAGAATTTTCCCTGATGATATGCTTGCTGGAGTGTGCATTCTATGTGTAAAACTAGCCTCCAGCACCATAAACTGAGCCCTGGCACGAGAACCACTTGGATTTTTTTCACAAAAAAATATGACAATGTGTATTATGCTGGGGAGAACCCATATGTAACATACAGAAGGATTCTGTGTAAAATTGTGGGTGCTAGAGTGAAAACATGAACCCATGAGACACACACACCCACATGACCATCTAGTATGGTGCACCAAATAGCAATTCAACCTAAACCTAAAACCTAACCTATAATAATATAGGCTTCTCGACAGATTGTCATATTCTGTACCTGAAGCTTCTCGTCCGGTCTGGTCCATCCGTTCTAGAATTCATTTCCCGTGTCCCTATTTGTATATGCTTCTTGATGGAGACTATGTCCAGGTAGAAACTAACAAGATATGGACTACCTAAAGGTAGAGGCGGAGGGATTTAGCCATAGGGATATAATCCTGAGGCTCGGAGGGTCGGACTAGGATGACAATCCTAAGGACCAAGAGAACACGAGGAATGAACTGAGTCTAAGATGATATTCAAACTAAGGAAATACCACGGGTTACAGGGAGTTTATATACTGTAGTGTACCCATCGGGTATCCGGCCAAAGTGCAGTCTTCGGAACATAGGGCTATGTAGAAAATGTACTAACAGACATGAAACTTCTGCGGACAATCGAGAATGGAGCTGGATATTAAATGGAACAAAGGGAATGAGTTAAATGAAAAGGAAATGAATAGACTAACAGAAGGATCAGAATGAACCCAGACATTAACTGTCAGAAGGATCCAGGCATATAGGGGCAGCAAGAAGCATATACAAATGGGGACTCAGGGAAAATGAGTTCTAGACTGGACCCAAGGAACTGGATGGACCGGACCAGATGAGAAGGTTTAGGAACAGGATATGACATGGACACGCAATATGCGCAAAGTAGGAATTGGATGGTGGCTGACAATAAGGATACTCCAGAAGGCTAATAGACAAGTCCTAATACAACTAGAGAGATGATAGACAATAGCAGTGATGATATTAGCACTCAATGCACAACTAGGCAATATGGGAGGATATGCTGAGTAAAGCGCTGGTATGCGGAAGGATGTGCAAGTGCTGTGCGTGCTGTGGAAGAGTGCGGAAGGTCGCGCATGTGAAGAAAAGCTGGCAAGGACGAGTGTAAAACTGCTCATCAGACACACACTAGCTAAAGAATCAAGAATGAAAACGAGCACTCCAACGTATCTCCAAAAAAGTAAATGAAACACATAATAGCCTACCGTTGAAAACATGAGCCCCAAAGACACATAACACAGTTTGCAAAACAGTAACCAAAACATAAATAAGAACATATGTAACATACACACCATCAGCATACTGACAAAAATTGATAAATAAAACAGATAACGATAAACGAACCTCTGCCTTATCTTCGTCTCCTCTGAGACTTAGTACAGAGCTCTTACCTGAGTCTACGCTTTCAGCATAACAAATGAAGGAAACGAAGCAGCCGACGTACTAGCAAATCAAGGAGCCCAAAAAAATAAAACAGACCTGCTAAACCTAGATATACCAGCAGATTTTGACCTACAAGGAGCAAAATTAGCAATGATAACACAAGTATTAGCACACCAAGGAATACAAGAAAAGACTCACATAGAATACAAAAGAACTACACTCATGAATCTAGACTCACTAGATGCGCTATAAAAGAAATATCGACAACATTAGAAATGGATGATAATATTTGGTCGAGCTGCAGACACCCAGACATATCAAAAGCTTGGAGGGACGGCTCCCATTAGGTGCCAGATGTACTGCTTGGAGGGACGGCTCCCATTGGGTGCCGCATGCATGCATTGCTAGTGCAGACGGCTCCCATTGAGTGCCGCATGCATGCATTGCTAGTACAGACGGCTCCCATTGAGTGCCGCATGTATTGTATGGAGGGACGGCTCCCATTAGGTGCCGGATGTACTGCTTGGAGGGACGGCTCCCATTGGGTGCCGCATGCATGCATTGCTAGTACAGACGGCTCCCATGGAGTGCCGCATGTATTGCATGGAGGGACGGCTCCCATTGAGTGCAGCATGTATTGCATGGAGGAACGGCTCCCATTGAGTGCCGCATGCATGCATAACTAGTACAGACGGCTCCCATTGAGTGCAGCATGTATTGCATGGAGGAACGGCTCCCATTGGGTGCCGCATGTGTTGTTGCGAAGGACGGCTCCCATTGAGTGCCGCATGCATGCATAACTAGTACAGACGGCTCCCATTGAGTGCAGCATGTATTGCATGGAGGAACGGCTCCCATTGAGTGCCGCATGTATTGCTGCGAAGGACGGCTCCCATTGAGTGCCCCATGCATGCATTGCTAGTACAGACGGCTCCCATTGAGTGCCGCATGTACAGTTATCAATCGGTCCGTGAGACACTATCACTCCATGATACAAAATGCATCTCACACATCCACAACTCACTTTATGGCCTCAATAATACTTCCATAAGCTTTGTTGACCTTGCCTCTTACATGGCATCAAATTTTGCCCAAACTTCATCTATGAAATTTTGCTTGAGAAGTGTGTTTGTACTGTATATAGTCTTAGTTTTAGCTCTTTGAAAATTTAAATTCTATTGTGTTCAATATTCAACAGTATAATAACACAAAAAACTACAATAACTATATTAACAAACATTCAAACTATCCATACCATATATTCAAGCTGTTTGACATCAAGAATTAAGTGTGTGGTGAAGAAAACTGGTGACTGCTATGTGTAACTGATAATAATTTTGCTAATGTTTCGAAACTTTTGATAAGGGAAGTTAGTAATGAGTCACGTGTCTCACAGAGTGTTAATGAGCAAAAAAGAGGTCCCCTCACTGTTTTGAGTGTCGTGCATGAACGGTTGTATATTTTTCTCTGAAACTTTAAATATGCAATTTTGACATACAATACTTGCTAGGAACAATACAACTGAGTTTTTATACAGTGTTGTAAAAGCACGGTACTTCATTTTTCAATTTCGTGTCCCAAATGCCGATTGATAACTGTACTGCTTGGAGGGATGGCTCCCATTGGGGGGGGCATGTATAATGTATGGTGCGCTGACTGTAACATCCAACTTTGGCTCATACCATCATAGTCTTATGATATGATTGTAAATTTTATTGCCTGTTATGGTGCACCAAATAGCAATTCAACCTAAAACTGTCATATTCCGTACCTGAGGCTTCTCGTCCGGTCCGTTCTAGAATTAATTTCCCCGTGTCCCCATTTGTATATGCTTCTTGATGCCCCTATACGCCCGGATCCTTCTGACAGTTAATATCCGGGTTCATTCTGATCTGTCCGTTAGTCTATTCATTTCCCTTTCATTTAACTTGTCCCCCCTGTTTCATTTAATCTCCGGCTCCATTCTCGATCGTCCGCAGCAGTTCATATCCGTTAGTACACTTTCTACATAGCCCTCTGATCCGAAGACTGGGCTTCGGCCGGATACCCGTCGGATACACTACAGTATATAAACCCTTTGTAACCTGTAGTATTTCCTCAGTTCGAATATTAACTTAGACTCTGTTCAATCCTCGTATTCTCTCGGCTCTTAGGATTATTATCCTAGTCCGATCCTCCAAGCCTCGGGATTATATCCCTAAGGCTAAATACCTCTGCCTCTACCATCGGGTAGTCTTCCCTCTTTCGTCCGGCCCGTCCGTACCCCTCGGCCGACGATATCTGCCCCCTGTAAATTAGGGGCACGTACTCGGGTAAAGAGCGCAGCGCAAGAGCTGAAGCTAAGCCCCTCCGGTCCGACCCGTTGAACACGGTCTTGACACAGATGAACTGAAGATTCATTATGTAAATCATGTCACAATCATTACCTCATCTATTAAACTTATGTCATGGACCCTGACTGTGACGTCACAATCATTATCCCATCTGTCAAACTTTAATTCTTGACCCTGACTGTGACATTACGTCACAATGTCCTATATAAACTCCAACTCCATGATATTAAGAATGAAATTCTTTTCCCCCGCCTCCCACAACAACATCCTGTACTGGGGGTATCTTCCATCCTTGCGACTGTTATCATCTTTGACATGCCAGTCAACGCACCTAACCACGAGAATATTCAAGGGTGCTCCCTTGCCACATTCAACAATCAATGTGTCCCCCTTTTGTTTGCTAATGAGCCACACGAGCCTGTGGATCATGCTATATACTACAGAGCCCTCAATCTCGCACTCACTGGCAAGGATCCTGCCACTGGTATCCAGTATTCCATAGAACCCACACGTAACAGAATCACTCGTGACAGAGAAGTCACTGTAGTCAGAGATTATGACAGCCTCATCAGCTTCACTCATTGGATCCCTATCGTCCGAGACATCTATATCTATCCTCTTTCTAATCCTGTCGACACTCTTACCTCCCATGTTCACGTCAAGGTTCCAATGAAGATTCATGCGCTACGGGTAAATCTCTCTGCACCCTTTCATATATGCAGTGCCACTCATAGCCACTTGTAACAGCCTGAAGTGCCAGTATATCCACACCAGATTCCCAACATATGCTTGGGTGTTGCAAATGTTCGCACCAGGTTGCGAATTTTCTTCCCAGCATTGTATGAACAGGGCAAAACCTCTGTCGAGCTTACTCTCGAGCAGAAAACCGCGATCTATGAGGATGGTCTGTTGCCCACACTCAAGCACCTCAATCCAGAGACTGTAACCAATTGGCCAACCAGCTATGCCACTGCCCTGATCCGTGCACAGAAACGCAACAATCAGTATCAATATGGAACTCGTCCTTTCCCTTCTGCCATGGTGCCCAATCTGGGATATGAACTGCCTAGGTTTTTGTCTGAAAAGCATCCGTGGGCAAGAGACATGCTGTTCATGACACAGGTCCAGGGTGTCAAGGAGGCAAACCAACATATTCCGGAGTCTCAATATGACGCATTGGAGGCGCTATTCGAAATGATGGATGACCTGGATCCTGGTTTGCGCGAGGAAACTAACTGCTGGATTGATGTAGGACTGGAAATATCCGAACCGGGCTTCTCGTATCAGTGGCGTACGGACTCTCATACCCACATCATCAACCACTTCACGTGCCTGAATGACAACCGGGCTGCCAACTATGTCAACGGTCCCTCACGCGACTACAACAGAGATATATGTGCAGGTTTATTGCATGTCTCTGGATTCCGCGGCACATTTGCATTGGGTGACGATAACCCAGTATATTTGCAAGCTTACACCACGGATAAAGCACTCATTCAACAATTGGACGGAGGAAGACATGGATTGGCGATAAGTGGGAAACAGCTCTTGGAAGGGTGTCCACCTCCATATATGCAGAAGATCTTCGACGTGTACTACGATGCAAAGGAGAACCACAGCTGTGCTGCTCGTCTCGAGCTCAGACTTCCAGTCAAGTATGCCGCCAGCAGGGGTCTTCGATTTCCAGAGGAGTTGATACGGAACAGCATATTGGCATTCGAGAGCAAGGATTGGTGGTGAGTGAGCAGTGTTTTTTGGTTGGGTGGCTGGTTGGTGTGATTGGTTGCATTCCACAATGGGAGCCATCGCCTGACTGTATGCATTGCATTGGGCTGATGCAATATTCCTTCTTTGCAGGCAATGGCGAATTATTCGTGTGACGGCATTTTCGCGGACCTTGGCTTTGCAAAATCAAACTGGTGGTGCACTTCGGATAGGACCTGATGCCCTCGCCCTGACTGCAGGGATTCACTGGATGACCAATGGGTTGCACTCCCGGCCAGATGATGGTTCCGCAGCACGTGATGTCATGTGCACCGTGCTGCCTTTGACACGGGATTATCAAAATGACATGTTGCAAATCCGTCCCAGGGATGCCAACATTCAGCACGGTGATATGTTGCCATTCAGCGCGTTTGGAGCATATTTTTTCCGAGATATTGTCTGGCCGCCAACAACAGATGTTCCCCGTCTGCAGCGAGGCCCCATGATGCGTCAGTCAACATTCAAGTTTGTGTTTGGCATGGATTACGATGCACTAAAGCGCAAGTACCATCCTCCGGCTTTCATTCCCCGGACGATGGTGCCACGGACACGGGTGCGGACACAGAAAGGATTCTCCAAGAGGCACCGAGTGGATGATCCGGCACCGGCACCAATTTTTGTAGGCCTTGATATTGACTTGGGTGGTGCGCAACAGGATGCTGGCGAGGACCTCCCATGGGAGGAACGGGCTGACTTACCTCCTGATATTGAAGAAGAGTGTTCGGTCCAATTGACGAAGCTTTGGAATCAGTTTTGCAGCGACTTGCTGCAAAAATGTGGAAACTTGAAGAACCAGCAATTCGCGGCATCGCACTGCAGACTGTCGATGGAAGAACGACTACATGTGACTGACGAGGTTTACAAGGACTTGAACCTGGCGATGGTCTTCAACCGGGTTCAGTGGAAGAAAGTAACTGGACAGGAATGGGCGGATGCTTTCGACATTTTCTTTCCGCCTCGGAATGCACCGCTCCGACTGCAGCCACAAAACTTTCCGACCATGAAGTATTGGGAGGAATGGTTCCAAATGAAACAGAGATTGCCGCCCCAATCTGCTGATACAATCAGAACCAGGTACTGGAGATTGTTCAAGCAGTTGTTGTGGGTTCCTAAGCCACACAAGGACCGGCTGTGGAAATACACGGCAAACAACGACTTCAGGATTCTTCCGGCCAATTATGGGGGTCAAGCCCCACAAGTGATTGTGAGCCCATCGTCAAATGCTCCAAGATGGGAGCCGGAGCGTGTGCCTGGGGGAGATGCTGAAGGGGAGGAAGAGGAGGCTGCTGAGGAAGAGGAGATGGATGAGCCTGAGGTGAACCGTCGAGAATGGGTGAATGGGATTGCACCGATCCCGGACAGGATCTTGCTGCGTGAGGAGGAAGAGGAGTCAGGGTCAGAGGAAGATATGTAGTTAGTTGGTGGTTGGTGGTTGGTTGGTTGGTTGGTTGGTTGGTTGGTTGGTTGGTTGGTTGGTTGGTTGGTTGGTTGGTTGGTTGGTTGGTTGATTGGTAGATGTATATAAATTGGTTGGTTGGTTAGTGGTTGGCTTCAATACCCCTTAGACAAACAGAGCGCATGATAGAGATAGAGACGACCCCCCTGGGGGACCGCGGGTGTCAAGGACACATGTCAAGCACGTACGTATCAGGCGGCCGCCAATAGGCATTGTGTCAGCCAAGCACGCATCTGTGAGACGGCTCCCATCGGGGACCGTGTCTGTTAAGTCAATTACTGGATCACTCAGCTGTCATGCGGGTTCCATGTGGGACCGCGTGTGTCAAGCACACCATTCGAACCACCTGCATCTTAGGCGGCTCCCATTGGGTGCCGCGGATGTCAAGTGGACTGCTTGATCGCGTCGGGCTGTGAGGCGGCTCACGTGTTATCCACGACATAGGAAGGTGCACATATATCATATGCTCGTGGTCTTGATTAATGCAATCCATAACAGGAGCCGTCTCAAATATGATGGTCGGTTGGTTTGAAAATGTGCTTGACAGACGCGGCCGCTGTGTGTGAGGTGTAAGCACCCACCTGTGAGACGGCTCCCATGGGGGACCGCGCCTGTCAGTGATCTTGACTTCCTTTGGGAGCCGTCCGGATTGATAGGTGCGGTCCCCAATGGGAGCCGTCTCACAGGTGGGTGCTTGACAATTGTCCACCACAGAAGCGGTCCCCATTGGTAGCCGTCTCGCAAGTCGGTTGCTTGACATCCGTTCTTGACAGATGCGGTCCCCAATGGGAGCCGCAGTCTCATATATTGGAGCGCGCGACAAGTGTGTGAGGTGTAAGCACCCACCTGTGAGACGGCCCCAATTGGGGACCGCACCCTATCATGAGCTTCGGACATACATGCACATGCACCTGTGAGGCGGCGGCTTCCATTGGGGACCGCATCTGTCAAGAACGGAGGTCAAGCAATCGACCTGTGAGACGGCTCCCAATGGGGACTGCTTCTGTGGTGGACAATTGTCAAGCACCCACCTATGAGACGGCTCCCATGGGGGACCGCGCCTGTCAGTGATCTTGACTTCCTTTGGGAGCCGTCTGTGTAGTGAACAATTGGTGTGTGGTGCGCCGTCCCACTGGTGGGTGCTTGACCAGTGTGCTTGATAGGTGCGGTCCCCAATGGGAGCCGCTTCACAGGTGCGTGTGCTTGCCCGGAGCGGTCCTCAATGGGAGCCGCATTGTAGGCATGTGCTTGACATCCGTTCTCGACAGATGCGGCGGTCCCCAATGGGAGCCGCAGTCTCACGGCTGGGTGATTGAAGGTGATTGAAAAATGATCTTCAGAGGACCGGTCCCCAAAGTGAGCCGTCTCACAGGCATAGTACTAATCTCAGGGATGTGTGGTGACATACACAAACCAACCAACCAACCAACCAAGAAGCCCTTGTATTTCGTATGTAAAGCGCTTATGCGACGTAAGTATTGTATTTGTAAGATTGTAAGATTAAGGTCGCAAGGAAAGCGAGCCAAGATATCTAGAGGCGGCGGCGTTGTCTGGCCTTGTAAGCGTCAATCTCGCTGACTTCTTTTTTTAATGCAGCGAGGGCCGTCTCAACAATGGAGATGTAGCCGGGCAATGCTTGAATTCTTCCCGCCAAGAAGGCATCCTCTTCTTCACTTTCCGATACTTCCTCCTCCTCGATTTCGGCCATCTTTCTCTTGCGACCGTTGTTAAAGAGGCTGCGACTGCTTGGGAGCAGAACATATGGGATCAGCTTGCGTGAGTGACCGGCAGCCGTTGGAGCCGCTGGAGCCGGCGTGGGCGTCGCCTTTGCCTTGATATTCTCTTCACTCAAGGGATCAGCGGCTAAGTCAGCAGAAACGCAAATGACAGGACTCACCGACGACGAGAGAACATCTGGCCTTGAGCCGCTTGCAGGCGGCGCAAGCAATGCCTGCAGTGTTGGGCTCGCATGGGCGATCCGCCTTGGCACAACGGTCGCATGGACCGGGTTTGACCTCCTGATGTATGTTGGGATCGGTGGTCAGTTTCTTCATGAAATTAAGTGAGATATATCATCCGCACCTTTACAATCAGCTTAACTTTCCTCACCGTCTTAGGAACGGAGGTCGTGGAGCCGTCCGTGACCGAGTCAACGGGGATCGGAATCTCCTTCTTGCGCTGGACAATGATACATCTTGTATCAGCCGGCTCGACAACCTCCTCCTGTGGTGGCAGGGCAGCTGCATCTGCATCTGCCTGCCTCGCCGCCGCGTTCGTGATTTCGCGGATTTTACGCTGAAACGCCTGGTGTTTGTGCATGGCTTGCGCACATAACCCCCTTTCCCCGACGGTCAAGTCGAGCGGGAGGGTTGTCTTCCTCGCGAGGTTGAGGCAACCTATGAGCGCGCTCTATGGTCATTGTTAGCTTGTGTTAGTTGACGAGAATGAAGAGAAAAGAACAGAAAAAGTGTGTGTAGTAACGTACAAAAAGTTCCGTCCAGCGCCGGCACCAGTCTTCTTCTTCTTCATACAGCGCGTCATAGCGCTCGGCCGGAGCTGTGTCGATGAGCCTTCGCATGCCGTCGCAGTGCTCTTGAATTTTGCTTTTAAGAGCGACGATGTCCATATCGGTGAGGTTGGATGTAGATGACATGATGCGATACGGATGATGAAATACGAGAGAGAAAGATATGGATTAAGTTGCGGGGTGAACTTATGGTGAACAGCAACTCTCCGGCCGTGCGGCCACATTTGTGGCCTAATTCTTACACTTCACAGTTCACAAACCCGATTTGGCAAATCACGTGCCATGTTCCAGAAATTGTGCCAAGTCCGAATTTTGGGAACCGATGACGCTGTTCAGTCACACTAACGTGGACCGCGCCTATGCCGATGGGTGGCTTGTGCGTGATAGGTGGTGTGCTCGACAGATGCGGTCCCCATTGGGAGCCGTCGAACAGGTGGGTCATTGACAGGTGTTCTTAGTGTTCTTCACAGATGCGGCACCCAATGAGAGCCGTGCCGCGCACGGGTGCTTGATTGATTCATGGTCATGACAGACGCAGTTCAATGGGGACCGCTGTTCCGATGAACAATTGTCAAGTGTGAGACGGCACCCATAGGGGACCGCGTCTGTCTAATCGAGCACTCGCGTATAGCACGGCTCAGCTAACATTCGGCTCGGCCGTGCCAGCTCACCAGATATTGCGGAACCATTGGCAACACTAATGTCACTCCCCAAATCAAAATAAGCCCCGCCTGACAAGCAACAGAGATGTGCAAAGGAATGTTGTGCAGAATGACATGTCTGCAAGATTGTATGTGATGGGGTGTAGGAATGGCATATTTATCCACCCCATCCTTGACATTACTGACAAAGAGAACATTGTCCTTGAGGGTGGTATTACCACTACAGCATATACATATATGTCAACAACCTTCTGCCTTGAGCCTTCTTGTATGTTTTATTTGTAGTGTAATACACATATCCATGGACTGATGTCAGGTATGATTCAAGATCAAGCTCACAGCGATTGCTAATATTTCAAGTTGTGTGCGCCATTTGGATGCCTCTGGAAATCTAAAGTTTACACCCATGACAAAATGTGATGATGAAACTTCAATCTTTGTCCACAGATTAAATACATCACCCAACCATTGCTGGCCGAAATTGTCTAGCTATAGACCCAGTAAGCAGAACACGTGTTGAGATAAGACTTGCAACTCATTATTGGCATAAAATGTGGACCTCCACTGACCGACTCAAGCTGTTTTCTGCCATTATCTTCCGACTTCTTCAGGACCATTACCACCCTGCCATCTCAATTCACTTCAATTTTTTCAATGCAGTTTCTTGGAGTTTCTGCCTTTGTGGTAGCAGATATTGTTGGGTGTTTTCGTGGATGCTGTCTGGTGGCTAGGTCAGCTTTCCTTGCATCTTCCTGAACTCGACTTGTGTTCCAGCTTTCCCTAGCACGGCTGTTGATTGTTTCTGATAGATCTCTTCCAACAACTATCAATCAAACTAGACATTACTGGCACTCATAATCACTTTAGGTACTCTACTCTATGCGCTGCTCTGGCCGCCACACCAAGTTCAAACAGATGATGATGCACTTATTTGTGGTCCCAACCGACAATCTGGCTCAGTCTGTGGTTTCTGTTTGATGACCTCGCCTGTCCCAAATGTGGTCCATGTGTCATCTCTGCCATCTGGGAAGCCATCCAAAGTCACTTTCACTGCAATATTTTGCTTCTCGTCCTGGGGTTGAAAAGCCAGGTAGGCTAGAATTTCTCCATCACGATTTTCTATTGTTCTAACTTGCTCTCTCACTAGTGTTTACTTGCATTCGCTGTTCGTGAGACTTCATGTCTTCTTCGCTGCTGAAAAGGACTTTGTGTTCTTCATACTCCTTGCTGTCGACATTCGTGTCCATAGTTCTCTGCCTTGAGTCAAGAATTTATCAAGCTCCCTCTACCATGCCTCTCAAATGGACTTCTTCCACCCAAAAGGAGAGCTGGGCAAGAAGGAATAGCACAGTACTAACACTAGTGATTCTAGATGAAATAATAGGTTTGGGTCTAGACAGGGGATCCATAAGGAGTTGTCGGAAAAATATAAATGTGCCTTGGAAGGCTTCTCTCTTGCGTCACCATTTTGGCATCTTCCAAGGACAATGCAGCCGTAATCCAAGACCACTCCATAGAACATAGACTATTATTGGTACTTCCAAGGACCCAGTGTAATTTTTGGCTGCTTCCAATGGAAGGACAGCAGCTTCCGATTAGCTCCCAAGCTCGAGTTGCTTAGCTGACTACGAAGAACAGTAATATATATTTCCTTCCCTTCATATTGTCACTGATACTGTATCGTTTATAGATGTGTAATGGCGCTGATACGGGGAACAGGCTCAAACTGTCCTTGTCCCATATGTCTTTTTCGCTCTGGACAATTTGATCAGTGGGTGGTATTTTACATTTCATTCTTATGATTAAGGATCTATGTCAGATACGATTCACAGGTTCTACAACATTACACACATGTCTATTGCTTTCATCACCACCATATAGTCTTCCCTTCCGAGATCATCAACATTGGATTTATCGATGAATTTGTACGCGAGGTAAGGGCAATTGTGCTTTCTGTGTAATTCGTGATCGTATAAGATCATAAGTTGGAATTGATCATTCTGTTCTTCAGTGTGCGACAACGTGATTCTGCATTCTTTGATGTTGGCGTCAATGTGAAAGAATTTCTTGGAGCGGATAAGCAGGTTTTGCTGATCGAAGGGTTCTCTGATGATGACATCCACAAACCCATTGGCAGGCGAGTTTGAGACTAAGCATGCTGTGATTGTTCGTGTATCCATTTTGTGTGTGATTGATGTTGTATTATCTTTTCTTTTTAAATCATTTTTGTTCTCATAAGTCTTAGGAGCCTGCTATTTATTTCGGCTGACAGATGATTCTCCTTCTGCTTCCGTCTTGTGAGACATCCATTCTAACGGATGTTTCTGGAGCTTGTTTGTGGCGGTGTTTGTCAATGTGCACAGCTCGTTATATAATACTGGCTGCTTGCTTGATCTTCGCGCTGTCATGACATTTCGCAATCCATTAACTGCTCTCGATGTCTATGCAATCGAGAATGATATGTTCTCTCATGAGCCGGTGAGTATATCTTTTTCTTTCATCATTTCCTCTCCATTTACCATGTTGTTTTCAGTGCGGGCGAACTTATCATCGTGCCCTTGTCCCTCAAGATGTGGATGGAATTGTCCGTGCGCACATATTTGTTGGGTCTGGTCTTTATTCACTACGGACACGCTTGTCGACTCGCATCATCTCTATTTTCGGATTTCCTGAATCTCCTATCAGTAGATTCTCTGATGCTTACAGTGTTATATTTTATCATCCTTATCTCGTTCTTCCCATTAACCATGCCATCTACACTAATCCTTCAAACATCTACGCTTCCCAATGGTTCGGCAATGTCCTTGTTGTGAAGCATTGCGGTCAGAATCTCAAGACCTATCAGTCTATTGGTAGTTATGAGACTGGCCTCATCGATGCTATTTTGTCATGGTTTGTATTTTCCGACGGAATCGATTTGTTATCATTGTTCTTATTAGTTTGCTCGTTTCAGCCTTTCGCATGCTCAGTGAAATCCTCCGGAGTATGCGTTAAACTTGGTTGAAAACAAGATTTCTATTTATTATGTTACAATTTTGGAATGTAATTCATCAGGCGCCTCTTGCTAGCTTATTGTATGGGATTCATTCCACTTCTGATATACCATCATTAATTGGTCTATATTGCCCCCATGTTGCGGTCGGCAACAGCTTTCCTAACGCATATATATTGGCGTGTGTGTTTGTATATTCAGAAAGTTTGTGAAGTCGGCTGTCAGTGTGCATCAATATAAAACATATGGTCGAAGAATTAAAACATACACGATCAATATGTCATCATATTCTTCGACCTCTGAATCTTCAATTAAACACTTTGTAGGGTTAGGGAGTACAGATCGAACACTCAGAGTAGGCTGAGTTGCACCAGATCCTTGTTTGGCATCAGGGGTAGTAGTCATCGCTGATTCTCCCTCGCGGTTGAGTGTCGTTTTATTCGCTCTGTTTAAAGTTAAGATGATTTCTATGTTGATTGTGACCGTGCTTACTCGTTGTTAGCGGCTTGATGCTGACTGTTGTTGCTCTCCTTCATACATTCTGTGCTTGTTCCATCATCTCCTATCGTGTATTTTGGTATAAAGAGACAATAAACCCCGCGAAAGTCCAGCAAAACACAATACATACCTATGTTGGACAGTTTTGCTCTTTTGCTGGACCGTGTCTTGGAATTGGCTTTGTGGTCAGGGACAGTGTCGATTTTTGTCTTCGTCATAGTGTTGTGAAGAGTAAGGTGAGCAAAGAGACCCTATTCCCAAAGACGATTTGTCACTCACAATATAAGTCGCGAAAGGCCACATCTGGAACGCTGGTATCTACATCGCCGTCAACGTCTTCAAACAAATCGTCCATGTTTTTCTGGCTAAATTCCACTCCACATTGTTGATACCAAGGATTGTTCATAAGTAAGAAGTCAATGAGAACTTTGACAGTCGATTTAGTCACTAATATTGGCTGCATCTGCTTAACAGTGTCCCGCGTCGGCTTCTGCGAATGACCAGAAAATATAACACACATCGCATCACGCAATTCATCGCAACTAGGTGGCAACAAAGATTGTAACTCAGTGGAATCTTGCGGTCGAATGGCAACATTGCCCTGATTATAGCGCTGAGATCCTTCTTCCCCCTGCCAGTTATACCGCCCAGATGGTTTATACAAATAAAAATGTGTAATCTGCGACGCACGCGCACACGAAATCAGCATCAAGTCGTAAACAGACGCACGTGCAAACACATCGTGAACATCCTTCGGCAGTCTCTCAAATCCATAGTATTGAAAATTGGCCAACGAATTGACCGGTTGACGCGGGCATTTACAAACGAGAGAAGAATAACAATATCAACACATCAACAAATTAGAAAAAGAACAAAAATCATTTAAACCCTTAGAATACAGAATAGCACGTCCATACATTTCAATATCATAATTTGAAGGCAATGTATGCTCCGGTAAACAGTCGTTTCGCAATAAATGCAGCGGAACCTTATGAGCATCAACAGATTTGAGCTCACGTGCACAGACATTGTGCGCGCAAACTGCACACGCGCCCCTGCATAGAGCCGTCGCACTCATTTCATGTTGCCATCGCTTAATTATATCAATCTTTGCTTCAAACATTTGAACAGTCGGAAATTCAGGGTCAGCTAAACCTAAAGGAGAAGGAAGGAGGTGATCAACATATCGAGGATTCGAGGCTTCATCTAAACAAGCCCGCTTGATCCGTTGAGCAGCACTACGCTCAGCACGATGATCAATAGCAAAAGGAACGGGCAATATAGAGCGTGAAAAATCGCATCTGACGACAGCCAAATGCTTAAAAACAATTAAATTAAGTGCACAATCTCGATTACATATGTGTACATGTAAGAGATCACGAATGTAATCCTTGCGGTCAACAGATTTGAAAGGAACGGAATGAGCTCGCGCAATTTCAATATATTGCTCACGAGTAAACATACAAAAGTGATCAATGAGATGACCGACACTTGGAACAGTGACAGGCAAAAAATCCCCTGATGGAAACTGATTCAAAAAACGCAAACGAACTCGAGTGATCCCGAAATACCCGAAAAACTTGCGTAAAATGCACGTCGACATGACAGAAAACCCATCATCGGGTATTTCTTGCTCAGAAATGACCATGGCAACGGGAGGAACGAAGCCATCGCTTGCAGAATGAGATGTCGAACAACTTTTGCCAAACAATGCATTTTGACCTTGTACCGTATCAACAACATGTGTTGAAGATTTTCTATGCAAAGGATGTGCCGTCCATTGAATCAGTCCAAGAAAGACTGACCGTCATCACCGAATCGGCCCAGGACCAAAACTGGCCATCATTAACGGAATCGTGAGACCGGTCCCAATGACAAGGGCCAGCCCACATCTGATTCTTGCAGATAACGGTAGCCCAAATTCACCTGCGAAGATTCCTGCGAGAAACCCGAAAATTGAAAACACCAGACTGTAGAAGTCCTGTGAGTAATCAGTGATTGCAACCAAAGCTTTGGTTACCTTGTGAGATACAGAAAACTAGGTATGCTTGCAAGGACTGCAAGACTCGCCATCTTCCCCTGTAAGTAATACGCCTGTTGAGTTGGTAACGTCAGGCCAATATTTTCTTCCAAAAGGATGACGGGAATCGAACTGTGAAATCGAGGGATCTCAGCCTGTAGCCAAAGTGCTGTGCCATTGTGCACCCAATAATGCAGTAGACACTTAGGACGAACAAGATAGAGCACAGCGTTTTTGTAGCGGGTTGTGAGCCTAAACCTGGGATCGCAAGGATGCTGGCATTGACCGCCAAGATGACGCTTGCCTATCAGAGGTAAGTGTTCTCACATCTAGGTCCGCAACATAAGACTCACCACAGTAGTTTGAGCTTTGGACTGGGCGTTGAAGTCATCCATAAATCCCCTGATGTCGATCCCGTTTACGATCCCATCAACATAAATATCCCTAAGCTGCTTTAGCACCACTATTGGAGTCCAAAGCATCGCTATTCCAGCGCTAGCCATGAAAGGTGAATTTCCTGGGTCTTTGCGTCTCTTTGCCAGCGAGTGCGTTCGCATTAAGCGAGCTTCGGGCTGGCCGTGGTGGTTAAGGTATTCATGATGTCCTATTTTTTATCAATAAATCAACGACGTCGGGTATGGGAATGCGACATCGTACGAAGCATGTACAATATTTTTCCTGTGCATGATAAGTTCGCATTTGTGACCTTTCAACAGCTCACGCACCACAGATTGCGATACCAGGTTCCTCCTTGATCCCAGTAGGTCCGGCAAATTCCTCTGTTTCGGTCATGGACTTGCACAGGAAGTTGAGATGAGGATACGTACCGGTGGTGGCCAGCTCCACGGCCATTTCCTTCATTTGTTCAAGAGTCCAGAACAGTGAGGCTGCTGTTGATTGTTCTATCGCTAACACTTCTATGTTTCACTAAGGTTATTCTGATCAGGAGCTGGAATGTCGAAGTACTCGCCTACACGATACCAGTTCAACTGAACCCGCAAAGCTCTGACTTCAGAAAGACATATTTCCATCCTGTGTGGAAAATACTCGACATGTTTCCTAGTCAAGAGGTGAGTATCGTTCTGGTTTGGGATGACGTCAATCACTCACCAATACTGGGCCTCCAGCTCAAGTCCTGTGCGATTGAGTTCAAGAATGAAGGCACGCAAAAGTAACTTACTTTTGTGGTTCCAGTTCCACGCCGTCTCACACTCTTGGAATAGAAGGTAACCATCCAATGGTTCTATCCATGCGATAATGCGATTTTCCGGGATGACATAGTAATATGGGTATATTTCTGTCCCTCCCACGGAGATTGGGTCAACGACAAGTAGCCATTGTTTCCCGTCAAGTTTAGCTCTCGACGCGTTGATCCAGGATTCCAACCGCTGTAGCTGTTGATCTGAGCAAGCCTTGATATTCATTTCCGTGTATGTTTTCTTTATTCCTATAAAGTGAGCATGTAGCATGAAATACCAGCAGGCACTCACTGTTCTCGCATTGTAGTGATATGTTGCCCCTGACGGGTGAATAAATTCACTCCAATCTCCATGAACATCGAGCCTATCAATATCACAGTTAGATCGGCCAAGTTCCAAACGACTGCCACAAACTGAGCGGGATCAATCTTCATCGTTTCGACATTATAATCGCAACATTGAGGGTCCCTATCGACAAATGAAGTCAGTAAGTACTTATGTGAGTTTGAGCGATAGATACTCACGGCAGTGGTATCTCGGTATACTGCCGAAGTTGCGTCGGCCACATAGGGACACTGAACTTGAGCAGGTCCATCTGCTGATTGACGCTCCCAGCTTGGGTCTTGCATGAGAGCGTGAGTATGAAGCTTCAACACAACTTGTGATTGCACATACCATTGTGGCCATGGTTCAACAAGTGATGTGGTGTTCACACGGTGATCATGATGGATATGATTATGCTCATACATCCGCTGTGATGGATGAAAACCCTTAGACCTATTTTTAGTGAGTTGGATGATCAAAAGATATGGTATGGCAGTACAGTGTAAGACAGGACGACCAGGTATGTCATTAGCAGTAGTTCTGAATTGTATGTACTTGTGATGAATTCCGAGTATGCAAATATGGAATGTTCGGTAATGCTATTGAGTGGATGGTGTGATGATATATGGTGTGATGATATATGGTGTGATGATATATGGTGTGATGATATATGGTGTGATGATATATGGTAAAACTCACAGACGATGGATGGAAGACGAAATGTTATAGCTACAAATGTATTTGTAAGGGATTGGTGTTACGATAAAACGAAAGCACTCGCCTGAAGTACATTTTTCACTTTGTTTTTGATGTTTTGTGCGATGGCGAGGACTTGGGGCTTGATCGCAACCCGACGACGGGACAGCGGTGCACTAGCAACTGATTGGCCGGGTTGCTGAACAACTGGGGTAAGCCGCCTGCAACAAAACTGTTTACGATCTCACTGCATTCAACCAACCACATATCCACTTGTGTCTGAGAAGTTCAATTGTTATCTATACGACACCAATTATGACGTGTTACTTACCAAAACTTTCCTGCCTTTCATTGGCAATGGTCCCCTGCTAGCCGTTTGTGTTACTCGAGACATCTAATGTTTTATTGTATATCGTTATAACAGGATTGACTAGATTTCTGACAGAAAGGGGCTGACCGTAAGTAGATTTGTGATTATCGATGATCGGTGATCTTGAGATCACAAATAATGACAAACAGGCACCAGCGTGCGCTGTTTGTTTATTGTTGTTGGCTTGTAAATCAAAGGATTGTGCAAGGTCCTAGGGTATAGGGCTCCCAAGTCATTTTCCGTTGGATGGTGGGAAATCAGTGGATTCCAGTTGTGTACCGCAGTCCAGATCCAAAATACATGATACGAGCATCATTACTATACGGTGCACAGTATAATTTATCTATAATGGAGGGTCGATGTCATATCCCATACATGAGGCTTCTCGTCCGGTCCGGTCCACCCGATTCCTCGGGTCCGTTCTAGAATTCATTTCCCTGAGTCCCCATTTGTATATGCTTCTTTCTGCCCCTATGTGTCCGGATCCTTCTGACAGTTAATGTCCGGGTCCATTCTGATCCGTCCGTTAGTCTATTCATTTCCCTTTCATTTAACTCGTCCCCTTTGTTCTATTTCATATCCGGCCCCACTTTCGATCGTCCGCAGTTATGTTTTACTCACTAGTATGTTTTCTACATAGCTTTATGTTCCGAGGACTGCGCTTCGGCCGGACGTCCGTCGGATACCTTATAGTATATAAACCCCTTGTAACCCGTAGTATATCCTTAGTTCGAATATCATCTTAGACTCAGTTCATTCCTCGTTTCCCTCGGCTCTTAGGATTGTCATCCTAGTCCGACCCTCCGAGCCTCGGGATTATATCCCTAAGGCTAAATCCCTCCACTTCTACCTTCGGGTAGCCCGTACCCTGTTAGTTTCTACCCGGACAAAGTCTCGAGTAGTCATCCCTCTTTCGTCCGGCCCATCCATATACCTCGGCCGACGATATCTACCCCCTGTAAATTAGGGGCACGTACTCGGGTAAAGAGGGCAGCGCACGAGCTGAAGCTAAGCCCCTCCGGTCCGACCCGTTGAACACGGTCTTAACAGTCGACCATAGCTTTCATGCTGTGATTGAGGATGTTGAGATCTGTCTCATCGGAGAGTCTAAGAAGATCTGAAACAACCACTGTCGAAATCAATGAGGGTGTCAGTGGGTTTGGACATGAGACGCACCTTGCACGACCTTGCCGACTTGCGGAGAGACAGCGTCCTTGACTTGGCCTGCACATGTACGGGGAGTTTGCGATCATCCAGGGCCAACGCCACAGCATGGCAGTGATTGTTCAAGTTCTAAGCAGAATATATCAGCACAAGAACGACACCAACTTGTAGAAATGACACTAGCACGGACGTACTCTACAGGATCGGCCTCCCACAAGTATTGTATACCATGTGCTCTTCCGCACGTCTGAACCTGCACGTCCGGTACTTGTAGTGTACTCAGTAAATATATGATTGTCTGCGTCTGTCACAAGGAGTGGTGCTTATCGTGTTTTGACAGTGCTGATCTTGCAAGAAGGTAATTTGGATGCCATGACTTGTGATGCAATCGACTGATTTCATGAATTTAAAGTATGCCCGATTCTCAAGTTCAGTGGTCAAATCCACTGAAGAAATGGTGTTCAGTGCATTATGCACCGAAGTTCATGGCATCTACTAGCCACAGTGGTTAGAAGACAGGACTGAAGACGGGCGGGTTGAGAGCCGACACACGCTGAATGACATCTCTAGGGCTGCAAGGGAGCGTTCAGCAGAAATACACGAAGACACATCAGATGATGACTGACGCTGTAAATCACCTTCACTCGGTTGATGAGCAATGAAGGTTCCCTCAATTCAACAGGTGGACTGCTTCCCCCACCAAGAGTCAAAATTTTTGCAAAGCGTTGATTAGCATGAGGGAGATTAAATAATGAGTGGGGTGTAATATGGAAACTGACTGGGCAAATATAAGAGTGGGGTGTGGTATGTATCCGTATAGACAAGTCAGGACGCCAGGACAAGTGTAAAACCAACTAGAATAGGGGACTATGGTGCAATTAGACATCAGTTTTATGATATATGTGAGACTCACAGTTCAAATCTGCATCTGCCTTTGTTGTTACGCTGCCTGGTCAATAAGCATGTTATCCTGCCAAGAATAAAAAAGAGTAAGAAATCGAAGGGGAGTAGAGTAAGATGCGCTTACCGAGGCGATGTGCACATCGATGTCCATACACCAGTCTGTTTCGTCCTCCGGCTCAAGCATTTCCTGTAGCAAATGATATTCAACTAAATCATAAGAGTAGAGTGAGGGATACATACCATGTCCACATCAATGTTCGCATCAACATCCATCCATCCATCTGATCCCTCCTCCGGCGACTCGAGTATTTCCTGAAACAAACGATATTCAATCAGATCAGATTACAAGGGTATAGATGAAGGATACCATTACGACGTCCGCATCAACTTTTGCGTCGACGTCCATATCAACGTGCTCAACGTCCGCGTCGACGTCCATACCAATGTCCGCATCAATGTTTGCGTCGACTTCCATACCAACGTCCTCAACGTGCTCAATGTCCGCGTCGACGTCCATACCAACGTCCTCAATGTCCACACATCCGTCTGATCCCTCCGGCTTTAGTGGTATATTCTGCGAACAATATTACATTAGTATACGGCAAAGAGAAACTGCACAAACGGTTACGACGTCCGAATCGGCGTCCATACTCCAGATTGATTTCTCTGTAGGCTTCGGCATTCTTTGTAGCGCAGACGGGAGATGATGGTAAGTGGTGGAGATGATGGTAAGTGTAGAGGTAGACGGGAGATGATGGATGATGGTAAGTGGAGAGTAAGTGTAGAGGTAGGTAGTGATAATAAGTGGAGACGATGGTAAATGTATAAGTGTAGGTAGCAGATGATGGTTAGTGTAGAGGTAGCGAAGGAACCCATCTCCAATTATATGCAGATGCAAAAATGATATCCCAGTGCCCTCACTTCTGCAGTTTGCGAGCGGCTGATAAATCATCGATTACCACTGAATTGAAACCTGGCGCACCTGATGTTCTCAACAAAGCAGCTGACATCCAGAATTGTCCTGTAATATTGACGACACTCACGGTGACCATGCCATTTCGGTGTACCGCCTGAGTTGTGTAGGCCAGATAGGAATACTGCAATTGAGCAGCTGCGACATCTATCAAACGATTCTTTTAGCTGGGGTCTCGCTAGACAAATAGCTTTAGAGCTCGTGGTTGAACAAAGTACGTACCATCACCGTCGTGGCCATCGTTCGTTCAACATTCACACGATGATAGTGAGGTATTGATATTTTTATATTTCACGCCACGCACAATTCTGATCATAATACCTCCGCTCGGAACAACCCTGAAACCAGGGTCCAGGGATATAATTAGCGAAGGCAGTTGGAGTGATCATGAGGGATATAGGATATAGTAGGTGACATATAGCAAGATCATTATGGTACTGTGCTATTATGTATGCAGGCCTATGGAAAAATCAGACCAATTGTGATCTTGCGTGGAATCTGATATGTGCTAAATTACTGTACAATTGTTGTAGCGCTGAAATGTGGGGGGATTTGAAGATCTATGCTACAAGCTGGATATCTCATGATGGATGATGGATATATGGGATGTGTCAGGCCCTGCTATATGCGTAAACGCCTAAGGTGTGACAATCATCCCCGAGTCCGAATCATTATAGCTATGTACATAGATGGCGTGTGTGAATCATGGTTGTGCTAATGAAATTCATGTGATGTACCCGAAGCATTGCTCTCGCTTTATTCCCAGCATGGATGAACATTATCTTTAACGTCAGGACCGGACGGCGCATGGGCAGGACGGCGACCGATTGAACGGGACGCTGTATATCTCGGGTAAGCCATCGGTGAGAAGTTCCTGACAGACTCACTGCATCGAACCACAGATCAACTTGCGTCTGATAGAAATCGTTAGTTACTGTCGCTGATTACAGTCGTTACTTACCAAAACTTTCCTGCCTTTCAGTGGCAGCGATCCTCTACAGGCCACGTGGTTTGTGCGGGACATCTGTGTTATGATATGTTACAATGCGGGGTTTGACAGTTCGACAGGGGCTATTTGACGTAAGTAATGCAAATGGTAGTTGTCGTGTATTGGTGTGGGTAAGGCGGGTGATCAATTGTCTATAAGCGGAACTTCAATTCTGCCCAGGTTAATTTCTAACTCCGAATGTATCTGACTGTTTGCCGAGGTTTGCCGGACGGGAATACCAGCCAGCCGTACTTTGGGCCGTACTGTTCCGCCAATCAGTGACGTAGTTAGCTAAATAAATATTGTTTAAGTGCTGGAGCGCACTCACCCATGGCATGATGCGAATTTGAACCTCTTGTGATCGTATCTCAATACCATGCAGTGTTTGACTGCGCTGCCAATTTCGAGCTCTGTGCAATGTGTGCTCTTCAAGCTTCATAGTCGGCCAATAAACATTTAAACTTGTTTCCAGAAGACAAGCCAAAATGCATGGGATTGCGGCTTTCTGGGCATACAGGATAGCTCCAAAGATTGTTATACATGGATTTAGTACAAGATGGCATACGAAGAAAGCGGCGCCGTACGTCCTATTTACTTGCGCGAGAATGATGACATGGGCAAGTCCCACGCGACTCTCAGAGACTTCGGGGAACTAAAGCCGTTGCTATTGGGAAGCGCGCCAAACTGATCAGAGGGGATTGGCTGAACAACGATAGGCCGAACATCTTCCAGGACCATTCACCTGTCACCAGTAGTGTCAGAGATAGTGCTTTTCGCAAGTCGCGACTTTGCAGCGATCTGAAGAACATTAGAACTCCTAAATGTAGATCATGATGAGCTAGGTAAAACAGTGCACATATGAAATTTACATTATGAAGGGGAGACTCCTCACGGCCTCCGAGCACGTTGGATAGATGTGTGGGTGCTCGTACATATGGTCTAGAGCCGCCATGATAATGGCATTCATCGGTGCTGGTTCCACCATCTTCACCTTCTTCAACCATTACTGCCCCCCCTGACTTCCATAAAGCTGCTCGACGGTTAGCCAGAATGATTGCGGAGGCTATGACATGCGACTTCGCCCTCATGCACTACGACAGTGCCTCGGAGTCCATGATCGAATGGTATTGGTGAGATGGCATCGGATCCTATGCCAATGTTGAGCTGATACCGCTCCACAAAAACGCAGGCCTATCGGTTGTGATGGGAAAAAAATTCCGCCATCCCATCTAGAGATGCACCGCGATGGATATGATTATAGATTCCCATGCTGCTTATGCGCTGACGGCGGTGGAAGAGGAGCGTATGTAGAGTCTGCCGTGTATTCTTGGTGGGATGAGGGTACCAAAAAGACTGATTGGACCGCAAGGTGTACAACCAATAGATGCGGATATCAAGGTTCAGTATTCTTCATACTCAAGAAGATCTCAGACTCAATATCACCTAGTGAAAATAGACAAATACTTCCGTCTACCATCCTCAGCCGCCTTCCGGTACCCTCAAAGAGGTATGTTTGCTTCGTTGTAGCACTGCAGGTTCATGACGGACGATAAAGAACAGGAAGTCTTGCCTAAGGCTATTCGACTTGAATGGACCCACAGGGAGCAAACAGAACTGTTGAAAAGACTCAACTCTTCTATTGGTAATGGGATTCCTGCAAAGGAGTTCCGAATTCTGTTTAGACGCTGCAAAAAATGCATGCGGGTAGGAGCAAGGCCAACGATGAGCCGTCATATCTGTTCAGGTGTGACAAAGCGTGAACCACGGTCACGGCACGCTTTAATCGAGTCACGCCACTAGCTTATATTTTCTAATTACCTATGTGTGCACACTGCGATTGGTACTCTAGCCTACCTACCATATCACTTGAATAATCGTTTACGCGTAACGTCGTATTCCAAGTGATTTACATTCAGACACTCAGTGGGACATGTAAGGAAACGAGATACCGCACTTTCAACCGTAACTGCCACATTAGGCCGACAAGAAAGATAGAGTCTAGAAGGACAACTTCATCCCTGCCAGCATTGACACCCTGCACACCAAATCCTTCGCGGGCAGGACACACTAGCACATACAGTGACCTACGAGAGATGTGCGACCGAAGATTTCCTCAGCACCGCCCCCCCTCCCCCCCCCCACATCGCTTGGAAGGGGTGATACCAAGGCGGCAGGGGTGAGTTATTTATATCTTTTTGATGCCTACCAGCTTGCCCACCCAGGCCCCACGATCTCAACTCCGCGAAGGCTGTAGGCACTCAACAATTCGATATTGAACCACCGCTGTATACATATAAATACCGCTTATTACAACATATCGCACTACCTCATGTGCGGCCATTCATTCAATATGCCAACCTGTCTTTCTTCGGATCTGTTTGATTACTCAAGTGCTCGCGCGAGCATTTTTCAACTCTCGAATTCTCTGGGCTCTGAAATGCTGGATGCCTATATAGGACTGATAGCAAGTCAGAAGGTCAGTTTGGTAATATCACATCTTTGTGCATACTGATCGTTTTCTTGCCACGTAGCTTCAAACTGAATTATATGTTCTGTCATTTTTGCTCAAAGATCGAGTCTATCCTGGCGATCTTTGGGAAATAATTGGTGAGCGCAGTATAGAGGCCAGGCAAGAAGAAACGTTGCGCAGGCACCAGCATATCTGTACTGGTGGGGCTGGTGGAAGGCACGCCCATGTAGAGCGAGTTCTCATAGACGAGAGGAGGAGACGGTGTCAAATGGAGGTGTCTTTGTATAGTCAGGCGATCGAGCTCTTGGAACAACACTGGATGTGTGAGCTTATTCAAATTTAAGTGCGGCTGTGTGGTCTGAACCCACTTGCTATTTGTAGCACGATTTGGAGCTCGAACCAAGCATCCCATCAGGCCAAGCACGATGGAAACAGTTACACCTGCAAACTACATACCTTTACCTTGCGCGCCTTTAGCCTGTTTAATAGCAACACGAGAGACGTGTGTAGCTTGGCTAAGGAGGAACAATACCCACTGCCTCATTCCATGTTCAGAACCTTTGATTGAGAAAACGTTACGTTCAAGTTCGGACGGCTCTACCTTTTCAGTCTTTGGTCAATCGGCCTCGCACGCAGGAAGACCAATATCCGTCAGTTTGAAGGTCAGTACTGTGATAGTCCACTCGGCTGCTCTCACTGCCTTTCTACAGTGTATTGGCTCCCCATTTTCCCTGTCAAGTACATGGGTCACTTCCGATGTCCAAGAAAAATTTTTCCAGGCGTTCCAAGCAGAACTGACCATGCAGGCGGAGTTGATGGTGACATCCCTTGCCACTAGGCGTAACAACGCTCATCTGCGTAACCTTGGTCTGGATTTGCTCATCTTGCGGGCAAAGCTATGCCGCGCCCAAGCTGAGATGGAGCTCTACATGATGGCCTTTGAAAATTCTCATGTGTGCAGCTTCTGTGACAATAGTAAGCATAGGCTGATTGTGCTCCCTTCAATCGTTGACGTCCTTGTAGGTTTCTCAACGTCCCCAGATCCGATTGTTCCACGATGTCTACCTGAGGAAGTAGACCTTATCCAGGATCACGAGGACGATGAAGACGAGGATGACGACAGTGATGGCTCGGGCAGCGAAGACTATGATGATATCGACGTTTGGGTGCCATGAGTTAGACCAGGCTGAGATCAACATCTTTAGTGCATGACAATATTTTTGGCCATCCCGCTGGACCCTAACCTTCTTGATTTATTGCCTTTGTATCGAACATTACTAGCTACTGTATCGATCATGTAGAACAGTGTTATTTTGGTGTAATCACAATAGACTTTGCGTTCACTCCAGTTTCTAAGAGTGGCAAAGCTTGAAAATCAAATTCGTATCGCTGCCGCGGATCACATTTCCGCACATGCATCTTACTAGCTAGCTAGTAATACCTATTAAGCATACCCAATTCCCTAGGCAATATGACACCCCTTAGTATTTTCTTCCTCGATGTTATTACTCCACAGCGAGTTCGCACATCTCAATCATTTCTTGATTAATTCGTGTCGTGTTTCTGTATTCCAGCTGCTATATGTTTGATATATATTCTCGACCACATGTATCTCGACGCCCATACGCGATCATGGCCTTCTTGAAACCTTAGAGCTCGCAATGCTAAACCTGCATCATCCAACGGTAGACCGTGAGAAAATAGGTTCATCATCAATTCCATCACATTGATACATACATTTACAGTATACTCTCAGCCATCAACCTCAAGTTCGTATTCGCCTGGGTGATACAGTCAGTTTATCCCCAAGGCCACCCGCGTCCGACATACTTTGAGTTGGAGAAGGGGCGTCCCATGCAATCTGATGAGGAGAACAAGTACTGATTCCACTCGGTACGTATTTCTCCATCATCCTTGCCCGGTAATTTTCCTCTAACCAGCGAAGTCTGTAAATTTGGTACAGATTTCGCAGCGTTTCGCAGCCCATCTCTGCCATCTGCAGGCGCTCTTTCAGCCTGACAATGGAGTCCACCTCGCCATCTTCGTGTTTTTGTGTTGGCAGAAGTAGAAGGGAAGCCTTATCGTTCCTTGCTGATTTGTTATCTTCAACATCCTCGCTAACCTATAATAAACTTCAAGAACGATTGATAATATTGACTGATTTTACCTGGTGAGTTCCTGGTCACCTTCATCAGCGTGGCCCACTAACTCGATCCTAAGCAAAGGCATCAGCGTGTCCCGCCTCCGGGTAGGTGCGATAGGTTTACCGCAGGTTTAAGTTGATACTACGTCCTTGTAGCTCGAAGGCCTGACATGAGGGACACGGCATATTGGACCTAGGCAGATGTAAAATGGCGAGCTGCCACAAGACGATGCAAGGTCAGTGGAGCTATATGCCTACGGTGGGTACTTATGTCACACTTTAATCTAGCCATCGAATTGTAGCTCGCCTTCGGCTCAAGGTCGACGGATATTCACCTTGGCCACCGTTTGACCCACGGCTCTGGCCACCGGTTACGTACCATGCCTACTGCCCTGCCCACCAGTTAAGTTCAGTGCCCACTCTGGCTACCAAGTTTCCCTGAGATATCATATAGCGTAATGCTAGGGATAAAAGCGACTTACAGTATCTGCGACGCCGGTGCTACCCTTTCTTCCCAACTTCCATGACCACCCACGACACCACTTCCAGTATTCCGGCCAAACGCGGCTCGTCCGCCCTCCAAATGGGGCCTCGCAAAAGAGCGTAAGTTGTCTATATTGACCACAATTTTTGTACGCTCATCCTGTCCACCAGCTCCCTATCCGATCCGCTCGTATCCCACGGGCGCCACTTTGGTCGAACGGTGTTCGCGCTCTGCAACTATCCTTCCTTGCTCACCAATGGTATATTAAGACTGGAGCAAATGGAAGATACCCCGTTGGAAGACTTCTCTGCCGAGTAAGAGACATACGCAATTTGTATTCGCTTGTTGGCTGACGTACTTGATAGAGAGCGGCGAGAACATCGCGTTTTTGAGCAACTCTTGGACTCCTACCCCGGCCTTCTGGACCGATTGAAGGATGGATCCGATGAGGAAATCCTTCACGTTGGGGAGCTGGTACATCATTACCTATGTGGCCAGATTTTGCGCTCATAATTTGCAGATTGGTAAGGGAGCCGCAGGTGCCAGAGGCGACGACACAAAAACGTTGAAGTCTGCGGTGTTAGATTGGATTTCCCCGAAAGGAGAAGCGATACAGCCTCCTTTACACAGAAACTCCAAAATTGACCGCGGATTCAACCACAAGCTCACTGGATCTCTCCTCTGTCCTGCTGGGCTGGATTGGAGTGATCCTCAGTATGCTCCGGTTTGCTGCCCTTGAATATTGCACTCATTCTTATTTAACAGGATTAAAGAGGATCTTCGCAGTGGTGAAATGTCAGGTCTGTGGGGATCAATGGCCCATATTTTTGTATGCCCACTATGTTTATGATCATGAGGACCCATGGTCCGGTCTTCTTAGGAGCCGCTTGCTAGTATGTGTGAGTGCGCACTTGTGAGATCACCTCGCTCGTTTACTTCATCGTGTTCCAACAGGCCTACAAGCACGTTTTCACCTCTCCAAGCTCAGTCGACAGAGAGCCCAAAGCCACGCGATCCAGCAATGCTCGCCTCCACGGCATGAATTGTGTCACCATGGCCTCCATAGCCTATATCGCAACTCAGGTTCGTTGATGATGATACTTTTGTGGCTGTAGTGTTGACGTACGAGTGAAGGTGCGATTCGCCTTAAGCTCATCTTCAGTGTTCTCGCGAACCGACACGACCACGGACTCTGAGACTTTCTACCATAGCCTCCTTGACCTCTTAGAAGACCCTGAGGAATCTAAGGAAGTTGACGAGCTGCTTACTTGGTGGAATCGATATGTTTAACATCCTTCACCACGTTGCCAAGGCTGATACATTATCGCTTCTTCAGCCAAGTTTTTCCTACATCCTCTGCTGCCAAGAGACCTATCAGCGCCAACAGCGCCTTATCCAAGATACGACAAAAACGAATGGCCCTCAGACAAGCTACAAACCTCCATAATATCTCTTCATAGATTAATATACTCATCTGTCTGTAGTAAATAGTATTGCAATCTAATGATGATCTGCTTTTGCTTTGTGTCAATAAGGACCATTCTTCCACGAAATGCCGACGGAAGAAATCGCCTGACCAATATAAACACACCGGCACAATGCAACATGTTGTAAGATTTTATCTAGAAACACCCTTTAGAGTGTGTTTGCGGAGAAAAATAGACTCGATGGCATTGCATATGATGACCACAGCTCAGCGGCTATCCGACGGATAGCACTACGCTGCCATGTCTCCACACCATGGGAATAAAAGAGGTCCCCATCCAAAAATGTCTGGCTTTGGAAGATTGCAGCATTTAGAGAGAGAATGGGGAACATGCAACAAGGAACTATTTTCGTGTACGTTTGTCGTATCTCAATCAGGGATCACAACCACATACCTAAGGTCGACGCCAAGGGGTTTCTTGTTGAGAATACAATGACAAGCTCTGCCTGCATAAGGCAACCACGTCGGCAGAGCTCGATACTGCATTGGATACACCCGGCACCGTTGGACTATCGTCCGTTATAGTCCAACACAATCCAACCATATAATAGTTTAACTCACACTGTCATTAATTTATATGTTGGGGAGTATAAAATTCAAATCTCATCGTGCATACACTTATCGGACCTCATCGAGGTTGGGGAAGATGGTAATCCACTGCCATTTGTCGCCCAGATTGTGCACTTGGTAGGTCGGAGCAACGCAAGCAGGAATTGCAACCGCATACCTAAGGTCGACACCGAGGGGGTTCTTGTCGAGAGTACAATGACAAGCTCTGCTTGCATAAGGCAACCTCGTCGGCAGAGCTCGATACTGCGTTGAATACACTTGGCACCGTTGGACCATTGGCAGTTATGGTCCAACACAGTCCAACCATATAAAAGATTATCTGACACTGTCATTAGTTCAGAGATTGCGGAGGAAGTAAAAGCAGTCAAAGGCTACATGCCACCACCAAGGTAGGGCAGAATTATAGTATATTGCAGCTGGTTCTCGAGTAGGCAACGGCGGTTGGTCTCAACAACTTAATATTATATTGCCACGTCTGATGGGTGTTGCAATATGTGCAATTTCGGTGACAAGCTGGCAAGTAATTGTGACTAAGCTGTCACGGTTGTGCATTTGACGGTTTCTATCCAACTAAGTCCAAGTATTCAAAGCTTATTGTGCATATTTTAGATCAGATAAAGCCTTCTAATGATTTATCATTTTCGGGTCGTTTACCTGATGAGATTATTTTGACAGGTCTTACAATTGCCAGTGACTCAACATCTCATTGACGGATTGACTACACCTCCCGCACTATGGCGATTCAGGCCTCTGATTATGCCAATGGTACGGACTCGGGCTCGTCAGTTAAAATCCGCTTCCTCGGAGTTACCTCCTCAGCGAGTCACACCAGTGAAACCCAGGTCGAGGGTTGGACAGAGACCATCTCAGACATCTCTACTGTCTTCAACAATAGTCCTCTTGCCCACCATTCACACGAGATACTCGACCTCGCAGGCTTTCTCCACAAACTCAAGGGCATGAATGGCGACCATGCCAGTGATGTCAAGAAAACCAGGCATCTCATCGAGCAGTGGAAGCACGAGAGCATTCGTATTTCCCTTGGACATGAAGCTATCATCGAAATGTCATCTGAAGACTTAAAGCCACTTCTTGATGATGCCGAAAGTTCAAAGGTTGCCGAGCTTGGTGGTCATGACTCCTGGATTTCGTTATCGGCTGAAGACCATCAGCAGCACTGGAGTCAGATCATGGACATGCTTGCATTGCGGTTAGGTACAGAGTGCTTTGACCAGCTTCCTGCAGAAATTCAGCGAGAGCACGACCTCTTCTTTTTTGGACTCAATGCTGTGAAGGGTGGTAACACTGCCATGATGGCAGTCTGGGATTCAAAAGAGAGTTCTGATAGGCCCGTTCTTCTCGCAAACAAGGACAACGATGCGACAATTCGCCTGTCATCATTATCAGATGGTTCATCGGCTGCAGTTGAGCGTGCACTCAAGCTAACGAAACATGGAGCAGCCAAGCTGATCGAGATCGCGGGTAATATACTGAATCACAAGGACGACAAGAAGGGACTTCAGGACTTTCACCATCTCATGATGGAAGAGTTGACTGACGGTGCTTGTTCTTCATTCCCCGACACCAGCAACACCAGGTACCAAACATATGGTGCAGCTGCATGTCATATCATCAAATTTTGGCCCCAGTACATCGAACTACTCGAGCTCGCACGTATTTCCAAGGAGAACGAGACATTCAACCAACCATATGGAGAAGAATCTTTATGCTGGCCTTCATTGCTGGAGAACTCGCTTGGAATGTTTTTGTTTTGCCCTCAATGACCAAGCGATTTCACGGCCATATGCTCGACGTGTTCATGGGCCAGGGACTGCCAATCTCAACATTCTGGATCTCGGACCTCTCCACGATGATGTTAAAATACATCTCCAAGCTCTTGTTGATAATCTTGACCTTCTCTTGTCATGCGAATCCAGTCACGAGCTTGGTGCACTCTGGGGGGAGCCTTGGGAAGATCCGACCACCATCACTGCCTGTCTCGATCTTTACGACAGCCTTACCTTGGAGCAGCAGGACCTTGCAAAAGAGCTTCTTTGTGCATTTTTCAAGGGCGAACTCAAACCTATGAACGATTTACACTCGAGTTTGCGCCTGGTGGTCTGGTTGCAACATCAACACAAGCCGAAAGGGATGCCGCTCACATGCCTGCCACGAATGATGCTAACAAAGGTATAGAAACTTAATCAAAAGTTGTTTGCTTATTAGGAACTGTCCTAGGTGCACTGGGCTCTTGGCGTTTGGAAGCTCGTTGTAATGTGAAGGGCTCTGATGATCTTTTTTATGATCAGCTGATGTTCAATCGCAATAACACGCAGGCCTTCATGAACGCACACTTTACAACCGATGACCATAAATACACGATGCTTCTAGCATGGAAGAAGGAGAAGAGTGGATTGGCGAAGAAGAAATGGAAGATTCTTGTTGCCCATGCATGAGCAGTCGCAAGAAAGAAGAAGCAGAAGGCCGTTGAGAGGGCATCAAAGAAGGCACACATCGAAGAGACACTCAACGCTACACAGATTGTCTTTGATTGGGTCGTTATCGAAAAAATGAATGTTCGGACACTTGATGCACAACTCGACAAGCTGAAGGCTCTCGGTGTCCCAGACATCAAGCCAAAGTCTCGGCGTGGTGTATGGGCTGTCAAACTCCAATCTCTCATGACGGCACTCGCATCTTACTTCAACATGCTGTTGCAAACTCCAGTGGAGCCAGTTTTGCCTCAAAACCTGGAGGACACCACAGATACCCACGGAGATGAGCTTATTGAGTCGTATGGGGAGGAAGATGATATGGACTTTGATGATGAGTAGTATGATTCCACACGTTCTCGTTGATTTTTTGCTGCTGCGCATGCTTGTTGTTGTTCCTTCAACATTGTCTTACTCAATATTTGCATTATCACCACGAAGTTAAAAAATGATGCTACAAAATTTTGTAGAGGTATTCTACAGCATATAATATACATCCTCGAACACGCCGTTAATTGATTTGCTGTTGCGTTTTTGCACAACGGCGGCGGGTCACCCAAGAGTCGATGATTCTGAAGTATGTGCATTATGTAAGCGTCACGGTAGCTACATCCAGGTTGCCCACCCCCACTCTTAGGCATATTCATGTACATATTCATGTACATATTCATAATTTTTCCGCCCTCTGTCCGCCCAACATAGCCGCACTCTGTTCCCTCGCCCGATCTAATACATAGTTTAAATTTATCACATATTTGATCATGTGGCACGTCTATAATTTGTATCTGAATTTGTGTAGTCAACACATACCAATCATTTTTATTATCTGATTATAAATATACCAATAAGGCACATCGATACCGAAAAATTCAGCATTTTTTGTGCTTGCGTATTCCTCATTTGATTATAAATCTGGGGTCAACACGGATTCTGGACATTTCCAAGCTTTGATCATGGATCCTGAGGCAAACCATATCCTTTTAAATATCAACAATTTGTTCCTCGATTTGAATGGGATCTGTCGCAAACTCTTATTTGGCCGTGTCTCAGGTGTCAACATCCAGAAACCAGAACCCTTTATAGGGTCCTGGAATAGTCATGTGATATCTATTGGTCCCGCGTCTGTCTATTTTGCATAACACTAATTATTCGTAGACCGCCCTCGAACCTCTCCAGTTGCAGTGGTGGGTGATAAGTGTTCTACACGGATGAGGTCCCCAACGGGAGCCGGCTCACATTGCAAGCGTATATATGGAAGCTCTGTCTGTGATACAGATGGACGGTCCCCATTGCAACCGGTGTATATAATTAGGTAGCTCAGTAAATGGGAGCCGTCGGACGGGCGCATATTGATTATATTTGTAACTGAATTTTGGAAATCAAGCTAATATGCAATGTATGCATCACATCTGTTTACAGAGCTTTTCCGGCTGTGTGCAAGGTGTAAGCACCCACCTGTGAGACGGCCCCAATTGGGGACCGCGCCCTGTCATGAGCTTCGGACATACATGCACATGCACCTGTGAGGCGGCTCCCATTGGGGACCTCATCTCTGAAGCACCCATATATGAGGCGGCTCTCAGCGGGGACCGCATGTGTCAAGCAAACTAGTCGCGCGCCCCAATATATGAGACTGCGGCTCCATTTGGGGACCGCATCTGTCAAGAACGGATGTAGAGCAACCGACCTGTGAGACGGCTCCCAATGGGGACCGCTTCTGTGATGGACAATTGTGTTAAGCACCCACCTGTGAAGACGGCTCCCTTGGGGGACCGCGCCTGTCAGTGATCTTGACTTCCTTTGGGAGCCGTCTGTGCGGGTGCGCCGTCCCACTTGTGGGTGCTTGACCAGTGTGTTTGATAGGTGCGGTCCCCAATGGGAGCCACTTCACAGGTGTGTGTGCTTGCCCGGAGTGGTCTTTGATGGGAGCCGCCTCGTAGGCAGGTGCTTGACATCCGTTCTTGACAGATGCGGTCCCCAAAGGGAGCCGCAGTCTCACGGCTGGGTGATTGAAGGTAATTGAACAACGACCTAACATTTTGGCATGAGACAGCTGGCAATGGAGTTGTGTATGTCATCACACATCTTTGAGATGAGTACTCTGCCTCTGAGACGGCTCCCTTTGGGGACCGGTCCTCTGAGCACTCGAATGGTAGGCCGTCTGACGGGCACCGGGATTTCATAGGCCGTTACCTGATACATAGCTGAGATACTACCATTAACATTAAGATTATCTTAACATAATCTTATCTGCCCTATCAGCCATCGCATCCATCTTTGAGAGTCTCCGATGGACCGTAGTACTGCCAGTTCCGGGTCTTGTAACGGAGCTCGACGGCCTCTCCTCAAATCCTTCTAAGCTTGGCGAAGCTACACAAGAAACCATTGCACACATCACTTCACACATCCGATCGCATTCCACATCTGTACATAAATACTGTGCTGTAATTAACGCGGTGAGGGAAATTAGAGGCGGCGACGCTTTGTGGCCATGTACCCGTTAATCGCGCTGACTTCCTTTTTCAGCGCGTCGACGGCCGTCTCAACAATTGAGATCAAGCCGGGAAGCGCTTCAATCCTCCCTGCCTCGTATGCACCCTCTTCATCGCTCTCTGAATGATCCTGCTCCTGGACTTGGGCGAGCTTCCTCTTGCGATTGTTGTTGCTGTTGTTTAGGATGCTGCGACTGCTATCGAGGAGGATGTATGCGGCATTGGTGTTTGAGGGACCTGCAACGGGCTGAGTTGTTGGCTTGACCGTGGACTTGGCCTTGGCCTTATCCTTCGTGTTTGAGGGACCGGCAGCGGGCTGAGGTGTTGGCATGACCGTAGACTTGGCCTTGGCCTTAGCCTTGGGTGCAGGCGCAGGTTTGGGCCTGGAAGCCGCGGTGGGCTTGGGAGAGGTGGGAGGTGCGGCAGGCAGGAAAACCGGCGTAGGCAACGCCTTTGCCTTGCCTTTCTCTAAACTCCAGAAGTCAAGGGTCAAGTCGCCAGATAATGGATGCATAGAACTCACCAACGAGTGAACATGCGATCTTGAGCCGCTTGCAGTCGAGGCAAGCCTGGCCAGCAGGATTGCTATTGCATTTGTGACCCACATGCGCACAATTGTTGCATGGGACTTTATTGACCTTATCGTTCGCGACGCTCGTGGGCAGGGTGCTCTTCTGAAGGAGGTTGAATGATATGATGAAATCAAAACAAATGAGTTACGCACCTTGGGCATCGCCTGGGCCGTCTTAGGCATGGATGTCGGCGAGACGTCTGGGCTTGAAGCAATGGGACGTGGATACCTCCGCTTGCGCTGAACAGGAATTGTGTTGGTAGTGGTCACCGGATCGACAACGTCATCGTCCGCTGTGTTCGATTCTTGACCTCGATATTGCTCTTCCTCATCCTGCGGCTCGTCGAGCTGCGCCTGCACCTGCTTCTGCTGCTCCGCTTCATCCTCCTCCTCCTGTTGCTGTTGCCCCTGCCCTTCTTGCGGTTGCGGTTGCGGTTGCGGTTGCGGTTGCGGTTGCGGTTGAAGGCGAGGTTCCTCCCGGCCCTCATCGATTTGTAGGTGCTGCATCAGGTCAGGCACCTGGCCATCTGCATCTGCCTGCCTCGCCGCGGCGGCCTTCATTTTGCTGATTTCGAGCTCAAACGCCACGTATTTTCCGGCGGCTTGTCTTCCTAACTCCCTTTCCGCGATGGACAGGTCAACCGGCAGGCTTTTGTCCTTCGCGAGCTTAATGCAAGTGTTCAGCGCGCTCTGGAGTGTCGCGCGATGAGTCTGAGCAACTAAACAAAGTGTTCGCGGTCACGTACGAGGAGGCGCGTCCAGCTCCGACACCACGCTTCTTTCTCTACATACAGCGCGGGATCCTTTTCAGCAGGAGCTGAATCCACTAGAGTTTGCATCTCATCGCAGAGCTCGCGAACCTTGCGTCTCAGAGTGACGGTTTCCTCGTCATCGGGAACATCAGCGGTCAAAGCAAAGATGTCGATATCGGCGCGGTCAGACGACATTATGAGGTTAGGATGATGGAAGATGTTGGGAAAAGGGATGAGTGAGGGTTTGAAGCCAATTTATAGGTAACATGTACCAACATTTGTGGCGTAATTCAGAAACTTTACGATCCACTAACCCGATTTGGCATGCACTCGGAAGCAATGCCAGATCACGTGCCACGTACCAGGAATTTTGCTAAGTCTGAAGCTTGTAAACCGATGACGCTAGACACTCAGTATATCAGCACATATGTGGCATTCTCGCAGCACCTAAAATATACCAGTATGTGCTAGTAGTAGTGTGTTGGCTGCCTCATCATGCCACTCCGCGCTCAAATCTCACAGTGTAATGAGCGCCTGCCTGACGGCTCCCAACGGGTACCGGCTCTTTCCTCAGGACCGTGAATGAAGATGAGCCGTTAGAGGGCTCCCAACGAGGACTGGTGCATACTTATACACCATTTGGTTCACTCTCTGCCAGTGGGACTGTCCTCCTCAAAGAACTTCATGTCCTTCCACTTTGTGACACATCTGTCGCCTCCGCCGCAGGATTCCATCTACTCCACCCTCACCCTGATCAACCCCATGAGTTATGAGGAGGATGTGAGAGGAGACATATCACGCGGCCGTTTGTAAGCCGGCTCTCGATGGGGGAGCCGTCATCCTACATGACAGGCAGGGACATATTGTATCCTATGACACGTCTCCTTAACATAAGTAGTCCACACCGAGAGCCGTCTGATATTTCCAGTATTAGTCCCTAATATCTGTGGTTGCAGACACGGCGGCATTTGAAACCGTCGCAAATCCATGTTTTTCAGTCGAATGATATGTAAGATAGATGCGGTCCCGTTCGGGAGCCGTCTTACAGTTTGATACTCATCCGACTTGGACTCCACCACACTCACGGTCTCCCTAATGGGAGCCGTCTGTATACACTGGTGATTATGCGTCCGGTCTACCATATATGACTGATTGTCCAGCATCACCGGTCTACAGACTTCAGACTTAGCAACATTTCTGGTACGCAGCACGTGATCTAATATTGTGTGTGGCCCGTTGAGACACAGTGTTGACCAAATCGGGCGAGTGGACGGTGGAATGAATACATTAAGCCACAAATGTGGGCGCATGGCTGAGGAGTCGCTGTTCCCTACAAATTCCCCTCCTCAACTTCATTAATCACTTGTCTTCTCATCTTCCATCCTTCCGATCTTGTCATGTCGTCTGAAACCAGCAACACCGACATTAACGTTGTTGCTAGTCCTTCTGTCGTTCTGGATGACAACGACACTGCCGCGCTCACATGCGAGATTCAAGCACTCTGCGATGCGATACAAACACTGATCGACGCAGTGCCTGCCGACAAGGACCGTGCGCCATATGTCGAAAAGGAAGATTGGTGCCTGCGCTGGACGCAACTTTTTGTAAGTCACTACAAACTCTTTTTATGTCATTCTCATCATACCGCACCAGAGTTCTCTGATCGCCTGCCTCAATCATGCGAAGGACAAGCACTTGCCGCTTGAATTGTCCGTCGCAGCAAGGGAGTTAGGCGGGCAAGCGACGCTCTTACACGACGCGTTTCAGCGCGACATCCGCAAAATGAAGACCGCCTCGGCGAGCCAGGCGGATCCGGCTGCCCAAGAGATGGAGGAGACGGTCGAGAAGGTCAAGGTGTGTTTCTGCTCTCATTTTATAATATAACTCGCCGACCTATCAAGCTGCTTCAGACGCAGACACCCGGATGAGCGTCGCGACCGATAAGGTCAATCCTGTCTCATGCACCCGTTGCGCCAACATGGGTCGACCATGCTATAGCAATAGTGCTGGCATGGTTTGCCTGAACTGCAAGCGGCTCAAGGCCAGATGTTCTCTTGTTGTCGGTGAGTTCTGTGTGGTGTTGATCATCTGAAGAGTTCACCATTGATTCACTCTTGGACTGTAGAGAAAGGCAAGGCAAATGCTGCTCCCACAGCCGTCCTGGCTCATATGGCTCCAAAGCCCAGCGCGGCTCCTAGGCACAGACCTGCACCAAGGCATGTGCATGCACCGAAGGACAAGGGCAAGTCCAAAGCCAAGTCCACGGCCTCGCAACATCCTCAGCCGGCTGCCGGCCCCTCCAGCACAGCTAGCGTCCTCAACAGCAGTCGCAAGAGGAAGGAGGCCGAAATCGAAGACGAGGTAGACTCCGAGAGCGACGAAGAGGCCGCTTACATGGCAGGGAGGATTGAAGCTCTGCCCAGCTACATCTCCGTGGTTGATACCGCCCTCAACGCATTGAAAGAAGAAGTCAGTGCAATTAATGGATATATGTCCAAAAAGCGCCGCCGCCTTTAGATCCAAATACAATACATACGTGACATCAGTGATTTACATACATTATACAACGGTTGGTTGGTTGGTTTAGGTTAATCCCGTGATCAGACGACAGTGGGCGATGAGCATGCCGGCTCCCATTGGTGACCGGCTCTGTCTATGTACCAGGTGATGCAATATGCGCATGTGAGGCTCACAATAGGAACCGCCCGTACCCTACATCACACCACGTCATTTCATTTAAGAACATTCGTGGCCAGAACATCCGGTTCCATCCTTCCCTCATGTGCCACTGCCTTTCGTTAAACCGGAACCGGGGGCTCAACCGCCATCGCCATGGTTGGTTGGTTGGTTGGTTGGTTGGTTGCCTCCCTGCACTCAGACGGCTCCACATGGGGACCGCATCTAACCTAAATACCATTCAAATGCCAACTTTGCTATGAGACGGTTCGCAATGGAACTGTGTCTGTCACCACACATCTTTGAGATTACTACATTGCCTGTGAGACGGCTCCCGTTGGGGACTGCTCCTCTGAAGGTTGCTGTTCAATCACGCAGCCGTGAGACGGCGGCTCCCATCGGGGACCGTATCCGACGAGAACCGATTGTGCAGCACCGATCTGTGAGACGGCTCCCATTGAGGACCGCATCTGTCAAGAACGGATGTCAAGTACCTGCCTACGAGGCGGCTCCCATTGACGACCGCCCCGGGCCAGCACACGCACCTGTGAAGCGGCTCCCATTGGGGACCGCACCTATCATGCACACTGGTCAAGCACCCCACCAGTGGGACGGCGCACTTACACAGACGGCTCCCAAAGGAAGTCAAGATCACTGACAGGCGCGGTCCCCCATGGGAGCCGTCTCACAGGTGGGTGCTTAACACAATTGTCCATCACAGAAGCGGTCCCCATTGGGAGCCGTCTCACAGGCCGGTTGCTTGACATCCGTTCCTGACAGATGCGGTCCCCAATGGGAGCCTCAGTCTCATATATTGGAGCGCGCGACTAGTCTGCTTGACACATGTGGTCCCCGTTGAGAGCCGCCTCATATATGGGTGCTTCAGAGATGCGGTCCCCAATGGGAGCCGCCTCACAGGTGCATGTGCATGTATGTCCGAAGCTCATGACAGGGCGCGGTCCCCTATTTGGGCCGTCTCACAGGTGGGTGCTTACACCTCACACACAGCCGGAACAGCTCTGTAAACAGATGTGATGCATATCCTCAGAGACACGCTGCATATTTCAACCTAACCTATTTGTTTGTTATGCGGATGCATGGACAGTTTCCGAATGACATCACAGATGGGCATAAGGATCAAATTCTATTGATGTTAGCTTGATTTCCAAAATTCAGTTGCAAATATAATCAATATGCGCCCGTCCGACGGCTCCCATTTGGGGCCGCGTCTGTCAAGCACATTTTCAAACCAACCGACCATCATATTTGAGACGGCTCCTGTTAGGGATTGCATTTATCAAGACCAAGAGCATATGATGCACCTTCCTATGTTGTGGATAAAATGTGAGCCACCTCACAGCCGGACGTGATCCAGCATTCCACTTGACATCCACGGCAACCAATGGGAGCCGCCCAAGATGCAGGTGTTCGAATGGTGTGCTTGACACACGCGGTCCCACATGGAACCCGCATGACAGCTGAGTGATCCAGTAATGGGCTTAACAGACACGGTCTCCGATGGGAGCCGTCTCCCAGCTGAGTCATTGATCAGTGTTCTATGCAGATGCGGTCCCCAGTGGGAGCCGTCTCACAGATGTGTGCTTGGCTGACACAATGCATATTGGCGGCCACCTCATACGTATACAGTCACTGGGACAGCCCAGTCCAAATATTATCACTTGTTTGTCTTTGTTTTTTTTATCCACATTCTATAATATTCTGCACTGCTTTTCTTCTTTCTTTCTCCTACATTCTATTGTGCAGCAACCTTTCTCAACCTTTCTCAATCAGTCCTGCAATGTTCACTCTCCTTTCTATACTACTTCACTGGGCTGCTTATCTGGGTAGCTGCTTGCCGCTAAGATTCTATACTTTAACTGATCTTGTTTTGTATTCAACATTTCTAGTGGTGGCTTGCTCCTGCAAATCTGAGACTAGCCAAGCAGTCCATTCTGTGACACACCGACGATCTCTTGCTTTCCTAACCACCGACTTCATGAATCTCTGGATTCTAATTGTCTTTACCGTCCTTGTCACCATTATTGTTCTCCATGAAGTCTACCTTAATTATCTTGATCGTACAACTGCCAATACCATAGCTCTCATTCAGCTTCAACCAACCACTGGCACTACTCCTCATGGATCCCCTGTCTAGACCCAAACCTATTATTTCATCCAGAATCACTAGTGTTAGTACTGTGCTATTCCTTCTTGCCCAGCTCTCTGACATGCATCATATGGGCTAGCCCAATACTAGCTCATTAGTCATGGGGACAGTCCACTATACAGCAGGATAGCCCATCACGACTTTCATAATCACTGGGCCATCATTACATAGACACTGGGCTGACCCACCACAAATATATACATTCCTTACATACTACTTGGGATAGCCATGGTGACTCTACTTTACATATAATAAAACTCATAGATGCTGATATTGTTTTTTGAGTGAAAATCATGCAGCACAGTTTGGAACCACAAGACAGATGTATATTCAAGCTATGATACACAACTACATACAAAAATCATTCAAAGCATATGAAACACTAGTCATGGTAATCAAAATCACGATCATATGAATGGCCACCATAATCAGGAGACAGAGTGTTCTAGCCATAAGCATATTTCTCATGTTCCCTTGCAACCACTCTTGAAGGGCCTGCAGCCGAAAAATCATGGCAAGAATGGGCCACATAATGCCCATAAGCTTGAACATGATGTGGAGACATCTGCTGTACCTCATTATGCCAGTGTTGAGGTGGCTCATAGCCAGGGGTGTGTGCATGAGGTCGATGTCAAGGTTGAGGATGAGGATGAGCTGGGACAATGCACGGAGCACCATCATAACGTACAACCTGGAAACCAACTTGAATGAAAATAGCAATAGAAGATGTCAGTTTTCAGCTTACCTTCAACTTTTTCCTGATGCATGAGTCTGGTGCATTCAAGCTAGCAGCCTCAGATTCAAATGTTTGATCTGTCAGACACTCAATTAGAACAGTATCTGCAAGTGATTCATGGACTTACCATAATCCTCTACATGCAGTCGCTTGCGAGGCTGCATCCTCTGCGGCTGAAGCACCACTGGGTGGTGATCTGTACGGGATGGATCATTGTTGCTGTGGTGGTCCTCGTGAACAACAGAAAATCTACGAGCAGCACGGTGAGTCTGTTGTTGAGGCTGGGAATCACAAGTAGTATTTTCATGCTGCCTTTCTCCAGAAGGGGGGCCAACATTTGAACCACTGGTTGGTTGGTTGGTTGATGTTGATGTTGTTGATGTTGTTGATGTTGCTTTCTTGTACTGTTCCAGCAATGTTTTTGGGACAGAGTATTTGAATTTCTCGGAGTGTGCTAATTTGCAGAGCACAATGTGGGAAGTACTGGTGACCAAAGGAATATCGAACATCTTAGGGTCATCATTTTCACATTGGTCAATGTGATCTGAAGCAACAGCATTAGATATGAAAATGAACACAGCCAATAAGTACCTTGCGGCCAAGGAACAATATCAATCTTGGACACAGTGACATCCAACCAACCAATGATATCATCAAGAGTCTTATCACTGTGTCCTTGCTTACGCTGAAGTTCAAGTAGATTAGTAGCTTCTGTCTTCAGTTCGGCATCATAATACTGTGTTGCCCTGCACTTGATGTAAGGCACAACGAGTAGCTTCAGATGTTGAGCGCTGAGGGTGTGATAGTTGAAGTCTGGGCCAACCAACCAACCAACCAACCAGATGAATACCATCAGAGTTCAAATTGAAACTTGTTCTAGTATACAACATTGAGTAGCTTCCACCACTGGACAGACTTGGTTGTATAGCTGAATTGTTCTGTTTTATTGAAATAAATTCAAGATATGCACGGGGAATTTAAATGGAGCTTACCAAGCTTCTCAAGCACCATGACTGACCAGATACGTCAGTAATGATCCAGTGGGGCTTCACCAGGCTTCAAAAACAAAATATCACAAGCCTCACTAAACCGCAGCAGTACTAGCTGGTAGTTTTTTTGCTCTGGACACATGGTAAGATGAAACTCAGGGTAATTCCAAGCTATGTACTTTGCTGTAGTGATAATCCAATCTAAAGTGAGGCAGGTGTCCACTCGATGTTCATTGATGAGATCCATAAAGGTGGAGGAGCCTGTGACAAAACCAGAGGCCTGTCGGGCTGCCTCATCAGGAGTCAAATTGAAGACACAGCCAATGACCTCGGACGCAGCATCTATGAACTTTCAAGGCATATTGAAAGTGGCTTCTGGTCGGTCTGGACAAAGGCGACACTCATATGTTTGCTGCATTACTCTATTGGATCAATACATATCTGTATGGATACTCATACACTTTTATATTGCTAGCTGTACTTAGTGGCCTGCGCTTCTTATAACCTTGTACTAGTCTACAGTGAAAGAATTGCATGTGAAATTCTGCAGGCCGCTGCACAGATTCCCAGGCCTGCTTGGAACATATCTTATCATAACCCTGCAGCCCAACTAGTACTACGCAACCACTCAGAGGTAAGTTGTTTTTGGGCGTTGTAATATAATCTAAAACTTATTTGCCTCATCTACCAAGCTACAACTTGAACATGGCATCTCTACGCAGAGCTCTTCAGCAGACTGTCCATGATCCGGAACGTACATGTCCTGCTTGTGGAAGATCAGACTTCAAGAGCACCAGAGGCTGTGAGACGGCTCCAATTGGGGACCGCGCCCTATCATGAGCTTCGGACATACATGCACATGCACCTGTGAGGCGGCGGCTTCCTGGGGGACCGCGCCTGTCAGTGATCTTGACTTCCTTTGGGAGCCATCCGGATTGATAGGTGCGGTCCCCAATGGGAGCCGTCTCACAGGTGGGTGCTTGACAATTGTCCACCACAGAAGCGGTCCCCATTGGTAGCCGTCTTGCAAGTCGGTTGATTGACATCCGTTCTTGACAGATGCGGTCCCCAATGGGAGCCGCAGTCTCATATATTGGAGCGCGCGACAAGTGTGTGAGGTGTAAGCACCCACCTGTGAGACGGCCCCAATTGGGGACCGCACCCTATCATGAGCTTCGGACATACATGCACATGCACCTGTGAGGCGGCGGCTTCCATGGGGGACCGCATCTGTCAAGAACGGAGGTCAAGCAATCGACCTGTGAGACGGCTCCCAATGGGGACTGCTTCTGTGGTGGACAATTGTCAAGCACCCACCTATGAGACGGCTCCCATGGGGGACCGCGCCTGTCAGTGATCTTGACTTCCTTTGGGAGCCGTCTGTGTAGTGAACAATTGGTGTGTGGTGCGCCGTCCCACTGGTGGGTGCTTGACCAGTGTGCTTGATAGGTGCGGTCCCCAATGGGAGCCGCTTCACAGGTGCGTGTGCTTGCCCGGAGCGGTCCTCAATGGGAGCCGCATTGTAGGCATGTGCTTGACATCCGTTCTCGACAGATGCGGCGGTCCCCAATGGGAGCCGCAGTCTCACGGCTCCCAATGGGGACCGCTTCTGTGATGGACAATTGTTGAGCACCCACCTGTGAGACGGCTCCCATGGGGGACCGCGCCTGTCAGTGATCTTGACTTCCTTTGCGAGCTGTCCGTGTAGGTGCGCCGTCCAACTGGTGGGTGCTTGACCAGTGTGCTTGATAGGTGCGGTCCCCAATGGGAGCCGCTTCACAGGTGCGTGTACTTGCCCGGAGCGGTCCTCGACGGGAGCCGCATCGTAGGCAGGTACTTGACATCCGTTCTCGACAGATGCGGCGGTCCCCAATGGGAGCCGCAGTCTCACGGCTGGGTGATTGAAGGTGATTGAAAAATGATCTTCAGAGGACCGGTCCCCAAAGGGAGCCGTCTCACAGGCATAGTACTAATCTCAGGGATGTGTGGTGACATACACAAACCAACCAACCAACCAACCAACCAACCAAGAAGCCCTTGTATTTCGTATGTAAAGCGCTTATGCGACGTAAGTATTGTATTTGTAAGATTGTAAGATTAAGGTCGCAAGGAAAGCGAGCCAAGATATCTAGAGGCGGCGGCGTTGTCTGGCCTTGTAAGCGTCAATCTCGCTGACTTCTTTTTTTAATGCAGCGAGGGCCGTCTCAACAATGGAGATGTAGCCGGGCAATGCTTGAATTCTTCCCGCCAAGAAGGCATCCTCTTCTTCACTTTCCGATTCTTCCTCCTCCTCGATTTCGGCCATCTTTCTCTTGCGACCGTTGTTAAAGAGGCTGCGACTGCTTGGGAGCAGAACATATGGGATCAGCTTGCGTGAGTGACCGGCAGCCGTTGGAGCCGCTGGAGCCGGCGTGGGCGTCGCCTTTGCCTTGATATTCTCTTCACTCAAGGGATCAGCGGCTAAGTCAGCAGAAACGCAAATGACAGGACTCACCGACGACGAGAGAACATCTGGCCTTGAGCCGCTTGCAGGCGGCGCAAGCAATGCCTGCAGTGTTGGGCTCGCATGGGCGATCCGCCTTGGCACAACGGTCGCATGGACCGGGTTTGACCTCCTGATGTATGTTGGGATCGGTGGTCAGTTTCTTCATGAAATTAAGTGAGATATATCATCCGCACCTTTACAATCAGCTTAACTTTCCTCACCGTCTTAGGAACGGAGGTCGTGGAGCCGTCCGTGACCGAGTCAACGGGGATCGGAATCTCCTTCTTGCGCTGGACAATGATACATCTTGTATCAGCCGGCTCGACAACCTCCTCCTGTGGTGGCAGGGCAGCTGCATCTGCATCTGCCTGCCTCGCCGCCGCGTTCGTGATTTCGCGGATTTTACGCTGAAACGCCTGGTGTTTGTGCATGGCTTGCGCACATAACCCCCTTTCCCCGACGGTCAAGTCGAGCGGGAGGGTTGTCTTCCTCGCGAGGTTGAGGCAACCTATGAGCGCGCTCTATGGTCATTGTTAGCTTGTGTTAGTTGACGAGAATGAAGAGAAAAGAACAGAAAAAGTGTGTGTAGTAACGTACAAAAAGTTCCGTCCAGCGCCGGCACCAGTCTTCTTCTTCTTCATACAGCGCGTCATAGCGCTCGGCCGGAGCTGTGTCGATGAGCCTTCGCATGCCGTCGCAGTGCTCTTGAATTTTGCTTTTAAGAGCGACGATGTCCATATCGGTGAGGTTGGATGTAGATGACATGATGCGATACGGATGATGAAATACGAGAGAGAAAGATATGGATTAAGTTGCGGGGTGAACTTATGGTGAACAGCAACTCTCCGGCCGTGCGGCCACATTTGTGGCCTAATTCTTACACTTCACAGTTCACAAACCCGATTTGGCAAATCACGTGCCACGTTCCAGAAATTGTGCCAAGTCCGAATTTTGGGAACCGATGACGCTGTTCAGTCACACTAACGTGGACCGCGCCTATGCCGATGGGTGGCTTGTGCGTGATAGGTGGTGTGCTCGACAGATGCGGTCCCCATTGGGAGCCGTCGAACAGGTGGGTCATTGACAGGTGTTCTTAGTGTTCTTCACAGATGCGGCACCCAATGAGAGCCGTGCCGCGCACGGGTGCTTGATTGATTCATGGTCATGACAGACGCAGTTCAATGGGGACCGCTGTTCCGATGAACAATTGTCAAGTGTGAGACGGCACCCATAGGGGACCGCGTCTGTCTAATCGAGCACTCGCGTATAGCACGGCTCAGCTAACATTCGGCTCGGCCGTGCCAGCTCACCAGATATTGCGGAACCATTGGCAACACTAATGTCACTCCCCAAATCAAAATAAGCCCCGCCTGACAAGCAACAGAGATGTGCAAAGGAATGTTGTGCAGAATGACATGTCTGCAAGATTGTATGTGATGGGGTGTAGGAATGGCATATTTATCCACCCCATCCTTGACATTACTGACAAAGAGAACATTGTCCTTGAGGGTGGTATTACCACTACAGCATATACATATATGTCAACAACCTTCTGCCTTGAGCCTTCTTGTATGTTTTATTTGTAGTGTAATACACATATCCATGGACTGATGTCAGGTATGATTCAAGATCAAGCTCACAGCGATTGCTAATATTTCAAGTTGTGTGCGCCATTTGGATGCCTCTGAAAATTTAAAGTTTACACCCATGACAAAATGTGATGATGAAACTTCAATCTTTGTCCACAGATTAAATACATCACCCAACCATTGCTGGCCGAAATTGTCTAGCTATAGACCCAGTAAGCAGAACACGTGTTGAGATAAGACTTGCAACTCATTATTGGCATAAAATGTGGACCTCCACTGACTGACTCAAGCTGTTTTCTGCCATTATCTTCCGACCTCTTCAGGACCATCACCACCCTGCCATCTCAATTCACTTCAATTTTTTCAATGAAGTTTCTTGGAGTTTCTGCCTTTGTGGTAGCAGATATTGTTGGGTGTTTTCGTGGATGCTGTCTGGTGGCTAGGTCAGCTTTCCTTGCATCTTCCTGAACTCGACTTGTGTTCCAGCTTTTCCTAGCACGGACATTGATTGTTTTGATAGATCTTCTCCAAACTAACAACATACCAGGAAGAAGAACAAAATGAACACTCTGAGTATGTAAAACTATTCCTCACCATCAGGGCACACACAACTACTTTCATATGTCCAAGTAAAAGATGAGAAATTGTTTGTAGGGGAAGGAGAATTTCAATTGATAGTGAGAGACAGAGAAATATGCAATTGGTTTGACGAGGACATTGTAGTATTATTGAAGTTTGCTCTGGAAATTGCTGAACATACTTGTGATACCTTTCTAATCAATACCACACTGGTATGCAGTGCCCTTCCTATGGAAAGCACTTTCAGAATGACAGAGGTGTTCTACAACATATAAATCAACCTACCTTGCAATGCTTCTATTGGAACAACAAATTGGTTCACTTCTCAGGCCCGCCAGTACAACCCCTGCCAGTGGAACCTCAAGTCTCACTACCAGAAGACGAAACAAATTTCCATGACATGTACATGATGGATGACCGGTCCTGGGCCAGAGCATCAGGGTACTGTTGTAAAAGCTGATGATGGGGAGAAAGTGGTGTTATATTTTGGTGGGGCAAAGACCAAGGGTAGAGGAACCACATTCATAAAGCAATTTGAGTCCAACAAGTATGCTGAGGAGAGGGCGAGCAATCCGTATTTTCCATTCGCTAGCACACCAGACCGGGAGATGGTGGATTCCTCCTTTGATCGGACCTCAGCATGGCAGATATTAATGAGTATCTCAAGCTTGAATTTGTGATCCCATTTGTGTTGCATGGAAGAGTGTCTGAACTTTGGTGAAATTAGACCAGAAAACTACCACTTTCATTTCACTCTTCAAGAGAGCTCTGAGGATATGCTGGAATGCTGCCATCCCTGCCTCAATGGAAGTACCAAATAGTTCCTACAGAATTTCCAACAACAAAGATTTGTTAGATCACTGTCTTCAACTCTTCCATAAATATAAACAGAGTGTTATTGATGCAGGTGCCCGGAGAGGGAAGGGTGGTGGGGTCAAATCATAGGTGATTCCAAAGTTAGAGTTGCTGCAAAGGGTAGTGCCAAGTATCCAGTTGCATGGCACACTCATGCAGTGGTCTGCAGATCTGACTGAACACGCCCATATCGCTGTCGTTAAGGTGCCTGCAAGAGCTGGAAATAACTACAACTACGATGTGCAAGTGCGTTGTTATCTTGATTGTCGCAATAAAGTAGATCACTTTGATCTTGTACTTCACATACATGAACAGGAAGATCGTGCCATTGATATGGATGATGAAAGCAACAATGAAGACATTGATAGCAAGACAGTTTGATGTTCCATCAAGGACTATTTTTCCGTCAACTCATTGCTGGTGATTATCCTGAGGCACCTCATCCCTACAAGTTACACATTCTCAACTTCTGTAGCAGCTTACAATCTTGGATATAAACCCACCCTCACAAAGATGACTGTCGATAAAGCTGCCGACCACTTCTTGTTTCCTGATCTTTGCCCTGCAATATTCAATTATCTGGATCATATTGAGATACACAATGACTTCCCTGTTGGTGGCAGGCGTTGAGCTCATCATGATCCTAATTGTCCCCTTCCTTTTGAACACACTCAAATCTAGTGTAAGATCTGGATTCAATTGAAAAACTTCCATGATGCAATTAAGAACTGCTCTTGGAAAGCACACATATCTGTGAAGCGGCTCCTATTGGGAACTGTTCTGTCATGCACCTTCGAGGACGGTGCCTGGCAAGCACATGCACACATGAAGTGGCGCCCTTTGGGGACTGCACCTACCAAGCACACTGCTCAAGCACACACCTGTGTGACGGCACCCATTGGGGGCTGCAGCTGTGCAGATCACTTTTCAAGCACTCATATTTCTTAGCAGTGTGTGTATGTGTGGCTCCAATTGGGAGCCGTGTGTCCGAGCTCCATCGGGAGCTGTGTTGGGAGCTGTGTTGTTGTATGAGCATTGGGTATGGCTCCCATTGGGGGCCATCTTTCTGAGCAGTATGTGTGCCTTCTATTGGGAGCAATGTATCTAAGCAGTGCATGTGGCACCAAATGGGAGCCGTCTGCATGTTTGCCAGTGAGCCATCACTCATGTGATATCACTTTTCTTGACAAAATGTCTTGAATGGATTACATAATGATGAGAGAAGACACATTACTAAACTTCAAATGACAAATATAAGCAGGAGCCAGTGTTTGAGAAGACTACACAGCAGAACATAACAATAGGTTGGGGAATAAGAGCAAGCTGAGATGGGCAGTTGGGCCAAGCCAAGTTGGGAATGACATGCATCAGCTGATGTAAAGGAATGTGGAATCTAAGTAAGGTATCACTCTGCTGATGGATGAGCTGGGGTGTCTGACAATCTTCTGAATTAGGTCACATGAGAAGTGAATGCATGGGAATCTACCTAGGCATGTCATTTTTGGGTATCCCAAATAGGCAGATCATCACTATCCCTGGGGACTCTATCACCTATAGCTCTAGCACCTGCCAGTGGTTTCGGGGCTGAGATGTACTGGTTGATGGGTGATGGAGGAGTAGAGGACCGAGGAAAGGGGAAAATAAATTGACGCAGATGTTGGAGTAAGGAAAGCCGAACAACAGTGAGGGGCAGTTTGATGGTCCTTGAGTGGTGTTTGCTGGTATTTATATCCTTGATTGCAAACTCTACATGGTCATTTCCCCATGCTGCAATGTGTGATAACACAGCTGAGAACACAGGTGGTGGCAGAGGGTCCACAAAGGACTTGAAACAGTGACGATAAACAATGATGTGGTCACCAGATCCAATGGTCTTCTGAGGCCCAGGAGTGATGCAACTATCAAAACTCCATACATCATTGCTAGCAAATGTGTGGGATGTCCCTATGATGAGGGTGGCTGCCAATGCAGTCACCAGTGGACCCACAGGTGTGGTTTCTGTCGGGTTGGCTGAGGTGGTTGACTCCCCAAAAACGATAGTGTGATGAGAGTTTGCTGCTGTCATAGTAAGGAAAGAGGAAGTGAGGCAAAACCATCTCAGAGGCCCTATTATAAGGGACCTGCAAGCAATTAGTCCATAAGGAGATATTGGGTGCTTTGGAAACCATCAATTGCTCAATAAATATAATATTTTTTTATTACCTCACCTTGTCCATAAACTAATTCTGTTAAGTAAAGCTCCCACACCTAGTACAATTCTGCTCTTTCTCACACTTACATTGCCCTTGGTCACCCGACTTTTGCTTGACCTCAGCTCGTCCTGAGGTATCACCCAACGAAGATGCATGTGTTACAGCTAGATACTTCCATTTGATCCTTTGATCCTTTGTCAGTAATCTCAAGGATGGGGTGGATAAATATGCCATTCCTACACTCCAATGTATACAATCTTACAGTCATGTCATTCTGCACAACATTCCTTTGCACATCTCTGTTGCTTGTCAGGTGGGGCTTATTTTGATTTGGGGCAATGATGGTTTTGCTCAGATCATAGGGATGGTGCACATTGAGAGCCGTCAAAGAGGCCAGTGCGTGATAAGTGACATTAGTGTTGCCAACGGTTCCACAATATCTGGTGAGCTGGTACGGCCGAGCCGAATGTTATTTGAGCCGTGCCACACGCGAGTGCTTGACTAGACAGACGCGGTCCCCATTGGGAGCCGTCTAACAGGTGGGGTGCTTGACAATCGTTCATCGGAGCAGCGGTCCCCATTGGTCTGCGTCTGTCATGACCACAAATCAATAAAGCACCGTGTGCGGCACGGCTCACATTGGGTGCCGCATCTTTGAAGAACATAACCTATCACGCACAGGCCACCTGTCTGTACGACGGCACCCATCGGCATAGGCGCGGTCCACATTAGTGTGACTGTACAGCGTCATCGGTTCACAGAATTTGGACTTGGCACAATTTATGGAACGTGGCACGTGATCTGGGATTAATTGTTTGCCAAATCGGGTGTGTGAACTTGTGAAATGTATGAATTAGGCCACAAATGTGTGCCGCACGGCCGGTCTCAGAGTTGCTGTTCACTATAAATTACCTTCACTTCTTCATCGATCTTCTTTTCCCTTCTTTCATCATTATCACATTATCATGTCTTCTGACAACGCCGATATCAATATCTTTGCTCCGCCTCCTGCTGAGGAGCAGCAGCAGCAAGCCCAAGAGCCGGACGCGGAGGAGGTTGTCGAGATGTCGGCCACAAAGTCGATTGTAGTCCAGCAAAAAAAGCAGAGTCTGATCCCCGTTGAGTCGTACACAGCAGGCTCGACAACCTCCATCCCTAAGAAGGCCGAGCCGAAGGTCAAGGTGAGTTTCTTAGTGCTGCGATTGTTGATTTCCTCACATAACTAACATACTTCAGAAGTTCACGCCGCGCATGAGCGCCCAGCGCCCTACCAACCGGGTCTCATGTGCCCGTTGCATTGCGAGAGGTCACAAGTGCTATAAAAACCCCTTCGGAATGGTTTGCCTCGACTGCAAGCAGCTCAAGGCCAGATGTTCGCTCGTCGCTGGTGAGTTCTGTCAGTTCATTGTCTGCCGACTTCGCCATTATTCATTCCTGGAGTGTAGAGAAAGCCAAGGCGAAGGGAACGCCTACGCCGGCTCCAGCGGCTCCTATGGTTCCCAAGCCTGCCGCTGCTCCTACGGCGCCCAAACCCACCGCGGATCCTAGGCCCAGACCTGCTCCGAAGTCTGCGCATGCAGCCGTGGCCAAGGACAAGGGAAAAGGCAAGGCCAACGCCAAGTCCACGGTCTCGCCAACACCTCAGCCGGTGGCCGGCCCCTCAAACACAACTGGCGCATACGCCCTCTTGAACAGCAGTCGCAAGAGGAAGCTGGCCGAAATCGAGGGGGAGGAAGACTCAGAGAGCTATCAAGAGGATGCCTACTTGGCTGGGAGGATTCAAGCGCTGCCTGGCTTGATCTCCATTGTTGAGACGGCCCTTGGTACGCTGAAAAAGGAAGTCAGCGAGATTAACACGTACATGGGCAGAAACCGCCGCCGCCTCTAATTTGGCGCACCGTGTTGATTACAGTACAGTATTTATGTACACTTAGCAGCACCAGGTAGTTGCATTTCGAAGTTTGAACTTTAGGGATGTGGAATGCGAGCGGATGTGTGAAGTGATGTATGCAATGGCTTCTTGTGCAGCTTCGCCAAGCTTATACGGATCTGAGGAGAGGCCGTCGAGCTCCGTTACAACCGAAACCGGAACTGGCAGTATGACAGTCCATCGGAGACTCTCAACGATAGATGCCCCGGCCGATAGCTTCGTGGGTTAGGAAATACCAATGCCCGCATGTGAGAAATATAAAGGGGTTCTTGTTGACTGCTTAATCCAGCGCTCAACTGTCTGCCCCTATGCTAAATACTATTCAAATGAACAATAAAAGGGACATCTTACAGGTGGGTGGGTGATAAGTGTTCTACACGGATGCGGTCCCCAATGGGAGCCATCTCACATTGCAAGCGTATATATGCAAGCTCTGTCTGTGATGCAGACGGACGGTCCCCATTGGGAGCACCGTTCGCGTGATTGCTATCACAACCAACCAACCAACCAGTGTATATAGTTAGGTAGTTCAATTTACAACGGCGCTATGGACATGCATGGGGCACTCAATGGGAGCCGTCCCTCGCAGCAATACATGCGGCACTCAATGGGAGCCGTTCCTCCATGCAATATATGCGGCACTCAATGGGAGCCGTCTGTACTAGTTATGCATGCATGTGGCACTCAATGGGAGCCGCCCTTCGCAACAACACATGCGGCACCCAATGGGAGCCGTCCCTCCATACAATACATGCGGCACTCAATGGGAGCCGTCCCTCCAAGCAGTACATCCGGCACCTAATGGGAGCCGTCCCTCCAAGCAAAACATCCGGCACCCAATGGGAGCCGTCCCTCCATACAATACATGCGGCACTCAATGGGAGCCGTCTGTACTAGCAATGCATGCATGGGGCACCCAATGGGAGCCGTCCCTCCATGCAATACATGCGGCACTCAATGGGAGCCGTCCTTCGCAACAACACATGCGGCACCCAATGGGAGCCGTCCCTCCATACAATACATGCGGCACTCAATGGGAGCCGTCTGTACTAGCAATGCATGCATGGGGCACCCAATGGGAGCCGTCCCTCCATGCAATACATGCGGCACTCAATGGGAGCCGTCCTTCGCAACAACACATGCGGCACCCAATGGGAGCCGTCCCTCCATACAATACATGCGGCACTCAATGGGAGCCGTCTGTACTAGCAATGCATGCATGGGGCACCCAATGGGAGCCGTCCCTCCATGCAATACATGCGGCACTCAATGGGAGCCGTCCTTCGCAACAACACATGCGGCACCCAATGGGAGCCGTCCCTCCATACAATACATCCGGCACTCAATGGGAGCCGTCTGTACTAGCAATGCATGCATGCGGCACCCCATGGGAGCCATCTGTACTAGCAATACATCCGGCACCCAATGAGTGATCCGGCTTAGGTAGTGCTTTAGTTAGTATATCCACTATCATCTCCTTGGTAGGACCATAGTTCTCATGAATTTTCTCACGAATATAATGGTTTTTCATGTCAAAATGTTTGGACTTAGCATAATATTGTCGATCTTTGGCTATTGCTAATGCCACAGTATTGTCTCTGTATAAGGTTGTGGGTGCATTTTGAATAAAATTTATTTCCTGGAATCAGATAGCTTTATGTGCTGCGTGAGCCATTGTAGCATACTCAGCCTCTGTTGAGGATAATGATACTGCATTCTGTCTTTTTGAACTCCAGGTAATCACCCAATTTGCTAATTTGAAAACATATCCGGAAATTGATATCCAGTCCCTTAGATCATTGGCATAATTGGAATCAGATCGACCAACAATTCAGACTTCATTATTGTAAGTAAAGCCTATATGTTTGATCCCTAAGCTACGTGTTCCAAACAAGTATCTAAGTGCTTGTTTAGCCGTGGTCCAATGTGCTAGCCCAGGATTCGAGGTAAATGAGCTTAGTCTTTGGATAGAATAAGCTATATCTGGATGTGTTGCTCCTGCTAGGTACATTAAAGATCCAATCAGTGATGTGTAACTGTTATTTCGGTTGCCCGCCTGACCATTGTCTTCTTTTTATAGCATTATTTTTGGATCTAAGGGCATACCTACAGTGTTTGACTTTTGGAGACTGTGTTTTTGTAGGATAGACTCTGTGTATTTAGGATGAGATATCAGGATCAATCTTTTAGGCTGATCTCTAGTTATCTCAATTCCTACTATTTTATTCGGTTCTATCAAGGATTTTATAAAGCTGCACATTTAATTGAAAATTAACCTAACTAAGCCCACTATACAAGATATGTCCGTACCTCTTATGCCACGCTAACCAACCAACCAACCAACCAGTCTTTTTGCGCATTTTCTCGTACAGTTTGTACGCAAGTCTTAAGGTATAGTTGAGCTTGTGTATCTAACTTGTACAATCCATTAATCAATTTTCCTTTGACAATAGTTCATCCCCCTCTGATGTGAACAGTGACTGAACTATCCTTCATTTGTGCGCCTCCATCTTCTCTATCAAGTTTACTAATTGATATGAGATCGTTAGAAGCATGTGGGACATATGGGACATTCCAGAACTTTGATCTGATCAATTGATTGCCTATTTTACTAATGAGTTCTATAGCACTACATCCGAGTGCCCCAAGGGATCCATTCACAATACCGTTCACTCAGTGTCTATATAGTGGTATATAATCAGTCAATGCCAATCAAATTTTCATTAAGTGGGATGATGCTTCTGAGTCGGAACACCAATCATACTAGGAAAGTCGCTCAGATTTATCCTCACCTACATTTATAATTTCATCTGTCATATAGACTACATCCTCAACAAGCTTTGACATATTAGCCATATAGGCAACATCTTCAATGTCTTTGTCCTGTTCCATCGGTGCTTCTTGGACCATTTTTGCTTTGTCCTTTTGGAAGCGTTGTAGAGAGTGATATCTCTACAGGCTCGTATCCCCCCATTTGTACATCAACCTCATCCCTATCCTCATGTATGCGCAGTTCCATAGAGACACGCGACCTTCCGCACTTTTCCACAGAGCACACGACACATCAGCAACATTCTGCACCCTTCTGCAGCCTGGCGCTATGATCGGCATATCCTCCCATGTCCTGTCCTGTCTGTCCGGTACCATTGGTGCATACTCTCACTGTCATCTCTGTCTCTGACCACATCCAGGGTCTTTTACATAGTGTTACATACTTGTCCGCTCCCTATACACTTTTGCGCAGCCTATCTGCTTCCCTTATGTTTCATTACCCTGAGAGCGTGTGTAGTGACCTACATATCTAGAAGACTCAGAGGATTTCGGACTTACTTACTTTTCCCTTACTTGGACTCTCGATCTGTTTTCCGCTCAGTTGTGCATAGAGCGCTAATATCATCACTGCATTTGTCCATCATCTTCCTAGTCTTGTGAAGACTTGTCTTTCAGTTCAAGGAGAGTTCCTATTATCTTCCGTCGTTGTTCCTCTACTCTGCGCATACCACGCACATTCTGACTCTTCTGCACAACTCGCACGTTCCACACACTCATCGCATCGGCCCTGCATGTTCCCATGCGTCTTCACATTCATCCGACTTAAGCCTTTCTCTTGATCCCTCTCATTAGTGGTATTCAAAGTTCGCACCTGAGAATTTTATTTTAGAACCAGCCGCTGGCATCATGGCATTGTTCAAACCCCGCCCTGCCTGGCCGTCATCGGTGTTATTGTCATTGTTGACCTCACTGCTGCTACGGGCCGATCCCTGATCACCACTCTGATCATCACTCTCCCAATCCTTAAGAACCCTCTGGAACCATATGGCGCGCACTAGAGGTCGGGGAACTCGCGGTATACAATCTAGACATGATGCAAAGGGGAAAGTTCCTGCTGCTAGTAGCGCAACGACACAAGCAGATGAAGACAGCAACCCACAGATCTCTGGCAGTATAACATCTCCTGCTTTGAACACTGCAAGAAAGCCAGTTCAATGTGAGAAAGCTTACAGCACTCGTACCTCTTGGCTCATTGCCTGGTGCAAAGCTAATGAAGACACACAAATCAAACTCTTCTCGGACTCTGTGAAGGATGTGAAGGAGCAGGGCAGAAAGAAGAAACAGGGTGGTGCACCTAGGGAAACTTACTACCTGCAGCTTGCACGCGCAGTATTCAAAAATGACGAGGATCCTGAGACAAGACTTCTTTTCGAGCAGAACCCCCAACCCCCAGGTTTTCATCAAGCCTGTCCAGACACGGTTTGGAAAATGAGTACCCCTGAAAAATATTATCCCCTGTTCGCCTATTCATGCTATCTGTTACTGATCAGATGTTTTAGACTCAAGAAGAAATACAATGAGGTCAATAAGTCCCTCAAGCAGTCGGGCGCTGGAATGATATTTGAAGACCTCCAGACGGACCCAGTGATGAAAACACTACTTGATGGGTTTCAATTCATGATCCTGATCAGCCAATCATTTTATTTTTTCTCCTGCAGATTCACACTTGGCGAAGTTCCCGTGGTGGCCAGACCTTCACGGTTGGTGGAGAAACAACCCTGCATATAACACTGTGTCATCCTCTGTGGACCCTGGGCAAGACTTCGAATCTGACGCACTCCAATACTTCAACGGGTCTGGTGGCAAGGATGTACAGGTCCCTGGTGAAGATGAGCTTGATGGAGAGGACAACGCTCTCGAAGACAGGGAACCCATGGATGTGGACAACATTAATATTGGTCAAGATTGTGTTGGCCCTGTCGGTGATGTTGCTGTGGCCAATATAACAACACCAGCAGATCAGTTCTTCCGTGCATAACAACCAACCATCATCCTCCCGCTCTTCATCAGCAGCTCCTAGTTCAACTCATATGTCTACCCCTTTTGCATTCCCTTCCTTCCAACATCTTTGCCCTCCCGTCACTCCAATCTCGACACGCCCTTCTCACGAAAATGTGATATCACTGAACTCTCCCGAATCTCCGGCGCCTGAAGACAGTGATATTCAGTATGATAAATACCCATCATTTTTCGCCAATCTCCCACAATCTGCTTCTAGCTGTGATGCCACACTACAGGACTCTGATGATTCTGATATCAGTGCTCGTCATGCAATGCAGGGCCTCCGTGTTCAGTCTCATAAATCAAGTTCTGCTGTTCGAGGACGTTCAGCATTTCAAGTCATGAAGCTCTCTGGGCCATCTACTCGTAGTGGGTCACCTCAATCACCCCCAGTCACTTGTCCCCCTTCACGCAAATGCACCAACAACAATCAGACTTCCATTGCCACCGAGCAGCTCTCCGATACAGCACAAGTGCTGATCCAGTCGATCAGTGAAAAACGTGGTGATTGTGCTGAGAATGACTGCCTCAAGCGAATGAAGATAGACTACAACATTTGGTCCAGGGACGTTAAAGTGTGCAATGCTCACAGTGAGTGTGAGCACAGCATGCGTCTCACCGAGCAAGACTTCATGCACAAACATGACCTCATGGGCCACCAACTGGAGCAGACAAAGCTGGAGCTGGAGCTTGCCTGCGCACATCGAGATGAGGAGGAAGCAAGGATCCAGCAGATCACAATGGAGCGGGGCATGGATCCATCAACTTGAGTACTATCACATCATCTTTGTTACTTCACGTGTTCTCTTCGTCATTCTGTCATTGATGTATAGCTGTTGTTTAAGTAGATCGTGTATACATGATTTTCGCTATGGATGTCTACTGAGCTAGGACCCGAAGCAAGCACACCATCAAAGTATTACAAAAATCTTGTCCCGCTGTGCCAATATAACTCTCATCACTGCATCCATCTTCTTCATCTGCACCATCATCGCCCATGCCCTTGTTCATGTCTTGCCCAGTCAGTTCCTTGTAAAAGTCTTGACCAGAACCTGCAATACCAAGGCTCTCCTCGATCTTGATGATCATATTGTGTAAGATTAGGCAGCAGCGAATCCACATGTTAGCATAATCCAGTTCTGTCTTGCCCTGGATCAAGAATCGAAGCTCCCGCAGGCTCTGGAACCTGCCCTTGAGTGAGCCGAAAAAATGTTCAGAGCCAACATGGACCTATAAGTAGGTAAGCCATGTTTTAATTTGCATCGCATATGCTTACTTTTGAAAGGTTGTAGTTGAAGGTCTTCTGATCTCTCGTCAAACTTCCCCCCAGTGGCCGTTTGAATGGTGTGACACACCACATTTGCGCTGCATATGCAGAGTCTGCCCATAGCCACTGGCCCGCACCAAAAAATTCATCTGGCTTCTGTGCAACTCTTGTGTGCCCAAAAACATTTGAATCGTGAAGGCTGCCGGGTACGCTAATCACATGATCGATGATACGAAGATTGTGAGGTAAGATAACAACCTTGAAAGTATTAGCATGCCGTTAACGAAACTGAAGGTCGACATACCTGCGCCGTGAGTGAGTAGTTTGAATTTTTGTCGAAAAATCCTTCCCCATGCCACCCAGGCTTCTGATACAAATTGAACGAGGTACCATCGACACATAGGAAGCCGCTGTGCCATTCCCTGCATGTTTTCCCCTCAACCCACTCCTGCGACCTTTTTCATTCCTCCCAGTCTTCTCGATCGAGCGGATCGAAGTGGATCGTGTCGTCATGGTGCTTTAAGATAGTGATCATGACTTGTTTAAAGCAATTGTACACAGTTCCAATTGACACTCCTGCCCATTCTGCTAAATCCTCTGTCGTTGCAGCATTACCGTAGTGGCCTATCCCATTGAGAAAAATTGCGAGTTGGATTGGGATAGGGAGCTGTGGATTATTTGAATTGTTGTAGAAAATTGGATGTTGCTCGAGACAGTTGACGAGATTATCAAACACGACAGGCAGGACACGCAGCTTTCGGCGGAACTTTTCAGGAGCATGTATTTCCCACTCCGGCAGCAGATGCAGCTGCGGGGCACAGCTAAGCTTGGGTCTGGCATCAAGAACACAACTCTTCGATGCTTCATCATGCAAATTGCGGACTGCATTTATAAACTCCATGAAAGCTGGAGTGGCCATCTCTGGCCCATCAGATGGGAAATGGGATGTCCCGAGTGAGTAAGTGCTACTCGCGATAGTACTACCTGACATGAGAGAGCTCCATGATGCATCTGACGATATCGAAGAGACGGACATGCTGATGGATCTGTCATCACTCGATAAGCTGCCAGTTTCACTCTCATTTAGGAGTCAAGTTCCTCGAGGAGCTCATCCATCATGTGGCTGATGAGCTCTACATAGCGAGCTAATACAAGATTATGGTATTTTTCAGGGTTTGAAGCTGCTGTTTGCGCAGCGATAGGTGAGGCATGGGTGGACTAATCTTATCAGTCTAGTGTAGAATGTGTAAGCAAGGCGGAGATATAATTCGGAGTTTTAATAAGGTGCAGTGGTTGGATTTATCCTTTACTTTGTGTTGTTCGTTCCGAACTCCGAATACCACTATTATTTAGAGAGATTGTCTCAGTAGCATCCCTTAAGGGACGAATCTACTAAGCTCACCTCTCGAGGTAGACATCCTTGTGACTCCCCTGAGTTCACATCTCTATTTCCTCACCCACAGCGCTTCTTGGCGGACAGCCCTTCGCCCGCTTTACCACTGCCTGTAGCCCAACGATCTTTCTGCTAGTGTCCCGTCTTCTTGCAGTTAGCACATTTCTTGGACTTGTGCCAACAATCATCATCTGTATGTCTGATATTTTTGCATACCTTGCACTTTTCTTTTCTCATTCTTTCCTTCCCTCCCACTGCCCCCTCATTAGATTATCTTCCATATTTCTCTGACAATTTTCGAGTTGTGGCCTCTCTTCTCTTCTTCTTTCTTCTCTATCCTTCTCTTGGTGTTGATGTTGTTGGTGCTGGTACTGGTGATGGTGCTTTGAACTTGGGTAATTCCCCCCCATAATTTTCGCATTTTGGACTATTTTGACTAATCTTTTTTCTAACACTCTCCTTCTAGCTCTCTTCCCTCCTACTCCTCCTCCCCCCAACTATGTTCACATTTTTGACCATTTGGCAAGTCTTTTTCTTTGACTCTCACTTCCTCCTGTCTGATCCTCTCCTTCTAGCTCTCTTCCCTCCTCTTTCCTCAAGAATTTTCGCAATTTTCACTATTTGGCAAATCTTTCTTTTTTTGTATTCATATTTCCTCTCTGATTCTTCCTTCTAGTTCTCTTGCCTGCTATTAAGATAAATTTTTGCTTTTTGCTTTGTGTTTTGAGCTATAAGAGCTATAATAGTTGTGGTATATTCACCTAGCTATAGCAACTTTAATAGAGCTATATAGTACTATACACCGGTGTGTAAGCCTGCAGAATCAGGCACTTGGCTATACAAGCTATAGGGCTATGGAGTCTGTATAGTGGTGTGGGTAAGGAAATAGGAATGTCAACTCTGGGGAGTCACAAGGATATCTACCTCAAGAGGTGAGCTAGTAGAATTGTCCCTTAAGGGATGCTACTGAGACAATCTCTCTAAATAATGAGAGGGATCAAGAGAATAGCTGAAGCCAAAGATATGTGAAGGCACGTGAAGATGTGTGATGCTGATGTGGTGGACTGTTAAAACCATATTCAACAGGTTGGACCGGAGGGGCGTGGCTTCAGCTCATGCACTGCACCCTTTACCTGAGTATGTGCCCCTAATTTATGGAGGATGGATATCATTGGCTGAGGCAGTATGGTTGGTTGGTTGGTTAGGCTGGACGAGAGAGGTAAGACTACCCGAGACTATGTCCAGGTAGAAACTAACAAGATATGGACTACCTGAAGGTAGAGGCGGAGGGATTTAGCCATAGGGATATAATCCTGAGGCTCGGAGGGTCGGACTAGGATGACAATCCTAAGGACCAAGAGAACACGAGGAATGAACTGAGTCTAAGATGATATTCAAACTAAGGAAATACCACGGGTTACAGGGAGTTTATATACTGTAGTGTACCCATCGGGTATCCGGCCAAAGTGCAGTCTTCGGAACATAGGGCTATGTAGAAAATGTACTAACAGACATGAAACTTCTGCGGACAATCGAGAATGGAGCTGGATATTAAATGGAACAAAGGGAATGAGTTCAATGAAAAGGAAATGAATAGACTAACAGAAGGATCAGAATGAACCCAGACATTAACTGTCAGAAGGATCCAGGCATATAGGGGCAGCAAGAAGCATATACAAATGGGGACTCAGGGAAAATGAGTTCTAGACTGGACCCAAGGAACTGGATGGACCGGACCAGATGAGAAGGTTTAGGAACAGGATATGACATGGACACGCAATATGCGCAAAGTAGGAATTGGATGGTGGCTGACAATAAGGATACTCCAGAAGGCTAATAGACAAGTCCTAATACAACTAGAGAGATGATAGACAATAGCAGTGATGATATTAGCACTCAATGCACAACTAGGCAATATGGGAGGATATGCTGAGTAAAGCGCTGGTATGCGGAAGGATGTGCAAGTGCTGTGCGTGCTGTGGAAGAGTGCAGAAGGTCGCGCATGTGAAGAAAAGCTGGCAAGGACGAGTGTAAAACTGCTCATCAGACACACACTAGCTAAAGAATCAAGAATGAAAACGAGCACTCCAACGTATCTCCAAAAAAGTAAATGAAACACATAATAGCCTACCGTTGAAAACATGAGCCCCAAAGACACATAACACAGCAAAACAGTAACCAAAACATAAATAAGAACATATGTAACATACACACCATCAGCATACTGACAAAAATTGATAAATAAAACAGATAACGATAAACGAACCTCTGCCTTATCTTCGTCTCCTCTGAGACTTAGTACAGAGCTCTTACCTGAGTCTACGCTTTCAGCATAACAAATGAAGGAAACGAAGCAGCCGATGTACTAGCAAATCAAGGAGCCCAAAAAAATAAAACAGACCTGCTAAACCTAGATATACCAGCAGATTTTGACCTACAAGGAGCAAAATTAGCAATGATAACACAAGTATTAGCACACCAAGGAATACAAGAAAAGACTCACATAGAATACAAAAGAACTACACTCATGAATCTAGACATCACTAGACGCGCTATAAAAGAAATATCGACAACATTAGAAACGGATGATAATATTTGGTCGAGCTGCAGACACCCAGACATATCAAAAGCTTGGAGGGACGGCTCCCATTAGGTGCCAGATGTACTGCTTGGAGGGACGGCTCCCATTGGGTGCCGCATGCATGCATTGCTAGTACAGACGGCTCCCATTGAGTGCCGCATGCATGCATTGCTAGTACAGACGGCTCCCATTGAGTGCCGCATGTATTGTATGGAGGGACGGCTCCCATTAGGTGCCGGATGTACTGCTTGGAGGGACGGCTCCCATTAGGTGCCGGATGTACTGCTTGGAGGGACGGCTCCCATTGGGTGCCGCATGCATGCATTGCTAGTACAGACGGCTCCCATGGAGTGCCGCATGTATTGCATGGAGGGACGGCTCCCATTGGGTGCCGCATGTCTTGTTGCGAAGGACGGCTCCCATTGAGTGCCGCATGTATTGCTGCGAAGGACGGCTCCCATTGAGTGCCGCATGCATGCATAACTAGTACAGACGGCTCCCATTGAGTGCAGCATGTATTGCATGGAGGAACGGCTCCCATTGGGTGCCGCATGTCTTGTTGCGAAGGACGGCTCCCATTGAGTGCCGCATGTATTGCTGCGAAGGACGGCTCCCATTGAGTGCCGCATGCATGCATAACTAGTACAGACGGCTCCCATTGAGTGCAGCATGTATTGCATGGAGGAACGGCTCCCATTGGGTGCCGCATGTCTTGTTGCGAAGGACGGCTCCCATTGAGTGCCGCATGTATTGCTGCGAAGGACGGCTCCCATTGAGTGCCGCATGCATGCATAACTAGTACAGACGGCTCCCATTGAGTGCCGCATGCATGCATAACTAGTACAGACGGCTCCCATTGAGTGCCGCATGCATGCATAACTAGTACAGACGGCTCCCATTGAGTGCAGCATGTATTGCATGGAGGAACGGCTCCCATTGGGTGCCGCATGTGTTGTTGCGAAGGACGGCTCCCATTGAGTGCCGCATGCATGCATAACTAGTACAGACGGCTCCCATTGAGTGCAGCATGTATTGCATGGAGGAACGGCTCCCATTGAGTGCCGCATGTATTGCTGCGAAGGACGGCTCCCATTGAGTGCCCCATGCATGCATTGCTAGTACAGACGGCTCCCATTGAGTGCCGCATGTACAGTTATCAATCGGTCCGTGAGACACTATCACTCCATGATACAAAATGCATCTCACACATCCACAACTCACTTTATGGCCTCAATAATACTTCCATAAGCTTTGTTGACCTTGCCTCTTACATGGCATCAAATTTTGCCCAAACTTCATCTATGAAATTTTGCTTGAGAAGTGTGTTTGTACTGTATATAGTCTTAGTTTTAGCTCTTTGAAAATTTAAATTCTATTGTGTTCAATATTCAACAGTATAATAACACAAAAAACTACAATAACTATATTAACAAACATTCAAACTATCCATACCATATATTCAAGCTGTTTGACATCAAGAATTAAGTGTGTGGTGAAGAAAACTGGTGACTGCTATGTGTAACTGATAATAATTTTGCTAATGTTTCGAAACTTTTGATAAGGGAAGTTAGTAATGAGTCACGTGTCTCACAGAGTGTTAATGAGCAAAAAAGAGGTCCCCTCACTGTTTTGAGTGTCGTGCATGAACGGTTGTATATTTTTCTCTGAAACTTTAAATATGCAATTTTGACATACAATACTTGCTAGGAACAATACAACTGAGTTTTTATACAGTGTTGTAAAAGCACGGTACTTCATTTTTCAATTTCGTGTCCCAAATGCCGATTGATAACTGTACTGCTTGGAGGGATGGCTCCCATTGGGGGGGGCATGTATAATGTATGGTGCGCTGACTGTAACATCCAACTTTGGCTCATACCATCATAGTCTTATGATATGATTGTAAATTTTATTGCCTGTTATGGTGCACCAAATAGCAATTCAACCTAAAACTGTCATATTCCGTACCTGAGGCTTCTCGTCCGGTCCGTTCTAGAATTAATTTCCCCGTGTCCCCATTTGTATATGCTTCTTGATGCCCCTATACGCCCGGATCCTTCTGACAGTTAATATCCGGGTTCATTCTGATCTGTCCGTTAGTCTATTCATTTCCCTTTCATTTAACTTGTCCCCCCTGTTTCATTTAATCTCCGGCTCCATTCTCGATCGTCCGCAGCAGTTCATATCCGTTAGTACACTTTCTACATAGCCCTCTGATCCGAAGACTGGGCTTCGGCCGGATACCCGTCGGATACACTACAGTATATAAACCCTTTGTAACCTGTAGTATTTCCTCAGTTCGAATATTAACTTAGACTCTGTTCAATCCTCGTATTCTCTCGGCTCTTAGGATTATTATCCTAGTCCGATCCTCCAAGCCTCGGGATTATATCCCTAAGGCTAAATACCTCTGCCTCTACCATCGGGTAGTCTTCCCTCTTTCGTCCGGCCCGTCCGTACCCCTCGGCCGACGATATCTGCCCCCTGTAAATTAGGGGCACGTACTCGGGTAAAGAGCGCAGCGCAAGAGCTGAAGCTAAGCCCCTCCGGTCCGACCCGTTGAACACGGTCTTGACACAGATGAACTGAAGATTCATTATGTAAATCATGTCACAATCATTACCTCATCTATTAAACTTATGTCATGGACCCTGACTGTGACGTCACAATCATTATCCCATCTGTCAAACTTTAATTCTTGACCCTGACTGTGACATTACGTCACAATGTCCTATATAAACTCCAACTCCATGATATTAAGAATGAAATTCTTTTCCCCCGCCTCCCACAACAACATCCTGTACTGGGGGTATCTTCCATCCTTGCGACTGTTATCATCTTTGACATGCCAGTCAACGCACCTAACCACGAGAATATTCAAGGGTGCTCCCTTGCCACATTCAACAATCAATGTGTCCCCCTTTTGTTTGCTAATGAGCCACACGAGCCTGTGGATCATGCTATATACTACAGAGCCCTCAATCTCGCACTCACTGGCAAGGATCCTGCCACTGGTATCCAGTATTCCATAGAACCCACACGTAACAGAATCACTCGTGACAGAGAAGTCACTGTAGTCAGAGATTATGACAGCCTCATCAGCTTCACTCATTGGATCCCTATCGTCCGAGACATCTATATCTATCCTCTTTCTAATCCTGTCGACACTCTTACCTCCCATGTTCACGTCAAGGTTCCAATGAAGATTCATGCGCTACGGGTAAATCTCTCTGCACCCTTTCATATATGCAGTGCCACTCATAGCCACTTGTAACAGCCTGAAGTGCCAGTATATCCACACCAGATTCCCAACATATGCTTGGGTGTTGCAAATGTTCGCACCAGGTTGCGAATTTTCTTCCCAGCATTGTATGAACAGGGCAAAACCTCTGTCGAGCTTACTCTCGAGCAGAAAACCGCGATCTATGAGGATGGTCTGTTGCCCACACTCAAGCACCTCAATCCAGAGACTGTAACCAATTGGCCAACCAGCTATGCCACTGCCCTGATCCGTGCACAGAAACGCAACAATCAGTATCAATATGGAACTCGTCCTTTCCCTTCTGCCATGGTGCCCAATCTGGGATATGAACTGCCTAGGTTTTTGTCTGAAAAGCATCCGTGGGCAAGAGACATGCTGTTCATGACACAGGTCCAGGGTGTCAAGGAGGCAAACCAACATATTCCGGAGTCTCAATATGACGCATTGGAGGCGCTATTCGAAATGATGGATGACCTGGATCCTGGTTTGCGCGAGGAAACTAACTGCTGGATTGATGTAGGACTGGAAATATCCGAACCGGGCTTCTCGTATCAGTGGCGTACGGACTCTCATACCCACATCATCAACCACTTCACGTGCCTGAATGACAACCGGGCTGCCAACTATGTCAACGGTCCCTCACGCGACTACAACAGAGATATATGTGCAGGTTTATTGCATGTCTCTGGATTCCGCGGCACATTTGCATTGGGTGACGATAACCCAGTATATTTGCAAGCTTACACCACGGATAAAGCACTCATTCAACAATTGGACGGAGGAAGACATGGATTGGCGATAAGTGGGAAACAGCTCTTGGAAGGGTGTCCACCTCCATATATGCAGAAGATCTTCGACGTGTACTACGATGCAAAGGAGAACCACAGCTGTGCTGCTCGTCTCGAGCTCAGACTTCCAGTCAAGTATGCCGCCAGCAGGGGTCTTCGATTTACAGAGGAGTTGATACGGAACAGCATATTGGCATTCGAGAGCAAGGATTGGTGGTGAGTGAGCAGTGTTTTTGGTTGGGTGGCTGGTTGGTGTGATTGGTTGCATTCCACAATGGGAGCCATCGCCTGACTGTATGCATTGCATTGGGCTGATGCAATATTCCTTCTTTGCAGGCAATGGCGAATTATTCGTGTGACGGCATTTTCGCGGACCTTGGCTTTGCAAAATCAAACTGGTGGTGCACTTCGGATAGGACCTGATGCCCTCGCCCTGACTGCAGGGATTCACTGGATGACCAATGGGTTGCACTCCCGGCCAGATGATGGTTCCGCAGCACGTGATGTCATGTGCACCGTGCTGCCTTTGACACGGGATTATCAAAATGACATGTTGCAAATCCGTCCCAGGGATGCCAACATTCAGCACGGTGATATGTTGCCATTCAGCGCGTTTGGAGCATATTTTTTCCGAGATATTGTCTGGCCGCCAACAACAGATGTTCCCCGTCTGCAGCGAGGCCCCATGATGCGTCAGTCAACATTCAAGTTTGTGTTTGGCATGGATTACGATGCACTAAAGCGCAAGTACCATCCTCCGGCTTTCATTCCCCGGACGATGGTGCCACGGACACGGGTGCGGACACAGAAAGGATTCTCCAAGAGGCACCGAGTGGATGATCCGGCACCGGCACCAATTTTTGTAGGCCTTGATATTGACTTGGGTGGTGCGCAACAGGATGCTGGCGAGGACCTCCCATGGGAGGAACGGGCTGACTTACCTCCTGATATTGAAGAAGAGTGTTCGGTCCAATTGACGAAGCTTTGGAATCAGTTTTGCAGCGACTTGCTGCAAAAATGTGGAAACTTGAAGAACCAGCAATTCGCGGCATCGCACTGCAGACTGTCGATGGAAGAACGACTACATGTGACTGACGAGGTTTACAAGGACTTGAACCTGGCGATGGTCTTCAACCGGGTTCAGTGGAAGAAAGTAACTGGACAGGAATGGGCGGATGCTTTCGACATTTTCTTTCCGCCTCGGAATGCACCGCTCCGACTGCAGCCACAAAACTTTCCGACCATGAAGTATTGGGAGGAATGGTTCCAAATGAAACAGAGATTGCCGCCCCAATCTGCTGATACAATCAGAACCAGGTACTGGAGATTGTTCAAGCAGTTGTTGTGGGTTCCTAAGCCACACAAGGACCGGCTGTGGAAATACACGGCAAACAACGACTTCAGGATTCTTCCGGCCAATTATGGGGGTCAAGCCCCACAAGTGATTGTGAGCCCATCGTCAAATGCTCCAAGATGGGAGCCGGAGCGTGTGCCTGGGGGAGATGCTGAAGGGGAGGAAGAGGAGGCTGCTGAGGAAGAGGAGATGGATGAGCCTGAGGTGAACCGTCGAGAATGGGTGAATGGGATTGCACCGATCCCGGACAGGATCTTGCTGCGTGAGGAGGAAGAGGAGTCAGGGTCAGAGGAAGATATGTAGTTAGTTGGTGGTTGGTGGTTGGTGGTTGGTTGGTTGGTTGGTTGGTTGGTTGGTTGATTGGTAGATGTATATAAATTGGTTGGTTGGTTAGTGGTTGGCTTCAATACCCCTTAGACAAACAGAGCGCATGATAGAGATAGAGACGACCCCCCTGGGGGACCGCGGGTGTCAAGGACACATGTCAAGCACGTACGTATCAGGCGGCCGCCAATAGGCATTGTGTCAGCCAAGCACGCATCTGTGAGACGGCTCCCATCGGGGACCGTGTCTGTTAAGTCAATTACTGGATCACTCAGCTGTCATGCGGGTTCCATGTGGGACCGCGTGTGTCAAGCACACCATTCGAACCACCTGCATCTTAGGCGGCTCCCATTGGGTGCCGCGGATGTCAAGTGGACTGCTTGATCGCGTCGGGCTGTGAGGCGGCTCACGTGTTATCCACGACATAGGAAGGTGCACATATATCATATGCTCGTGGTCTTGATTAATGCAATCCATAACAGGAGCCGTCTCAAATATGATGGTCGGTTGGTTTGAAAATGTGCTTGACAGACGCGGCCGCTGTGTGTGAGGTGTAAGCACCCACCTGTGAGACGGCTCCCATGGGGGACCGCGCCTGTCAGTGATCTTGACTTCCTTTGGGAGCCGTCCGGATTGATAGGTGCGGTCCCCAATGGGAGCCGTCTCACAGGTGGGTGCTTGACAATTGTCCACCACAGAAGCGGTCCCCATTGGTAGCCGTCTCGCAAGTCGGTTGCTTGACATCCGTTCTTGACAGATGCGGTCCCCAATGGGAGCCGCAGTCTCATATATTGGAGCGCGCGACAAGTGTGTGAGGTGTAAGCACCCACCTGTGAGACGGCCCCAATTGGGGACCGCACCCTATCATGAGCTTCGGACATACATGCACATGCACCTGTGAGGCGGCGGCTTCCATTGGGGACCGCATGTGTCAAGCAGACTTGTCGCGCGCGCCAATATATGAGACTGCGGCTCCCATTGGGGACCGCATCTGTCAAGAACGGATGTCAAGCAACCGACCTGTGAGACGGCTTCCAATGGGGACCGCTTCTGTGGTGGACAATTGTCAAGCACCCACCTGTGAGACGGCTCCCATGGGGGACCGCGCCTGTCAGTGATCTTGACTTCCTTTGTGAGCCGTCCGTGTAGGTGCGCCGTCCCACTGGTTAGTTGGTTGGTGCTTGACCAGTGTGTTTGATAGGTGCGGTCACCAATGGGAGCCGCTTCACAGGTGCGTGTGCTTGCCCGGCGTGGTTCTCGATGGGAGCCGCATTGTAGGCAGGTGCTTGACATCCGGTCTTGACAGATGCGGCGGGCCCCAATGGGAGCCGTAGTCTCACGGCTGGGTGATTGAAGGTGATTGAACAACGACCTAAGATTTTGTCATGAGACGGCTGGCAATGGAGTTGTGTATGTCACCACACATCTTTGAGATTAGTACTCTGCCTCTGAGACGGCTCCCTTTGGGGACCGGTTCTCCGAGCATTTGAATGGTAGGCCGTCTGACGGGCGCATATTGAGTCACACCGTACATAGGACAGTGCGGGTCCCCAACGGGAGCCGTCTCACAGCCAACATAGTGATTTGAATGGTCATTGTGATCCACACAGCACTCACAAAGAGTGCCACTCATTAAATCAATACTCACGTCTGAGCACGGGATTAAGTACTCAACAACCCAAGAAGCCCTTGCATATCGTATGTAAAGCGCTTATGCGACGTATGTATTTCTATTCATAAGGTAGAAACGACAGCCAGGCAATCTATCTACAGGCGGCGGCGCTTTCTGCCCATGTACGCGTTAATCTCGCTGACTTCCTTTTTCAGCATACCAAGGGCCGTCTCAACAATGGATATCAAGCCAGGCAGCGCTTGAATCCTCCCAGCCAAGTAGGCATCCTCTTGATAGCTCTCTGAGTCTTCCTCCCCCTCGATTTCGGCCAGCTTCCTCTTGTGACTGCTGTTCAAGAGGGCGTATGCGCCAGTTGTGTTTGAGGGGCCGGCCACCGGCTGAGGTGTTGGCGAGACCGTGGACTTGGTGTTGGCCTTGCCTTTGCCCTTGTCCTTGGCCACGGCTGCATGCGCAGAGTTCGGAGCAGGTCTGGGCCTAGGAGCCGCGGAAGGCTTGGGAACCGTAGGAGCCGCTGGGGCCGGCGTAGGCGTTCCCTTCGCCTTGGCTTTCTCTACACTCCAGAAATGAATAATGGCGAAGTCGGTAGACAATGAACTGACAAAACTCACCAGCGACGAGCGAACATCTGGCCTTGAGCTGCTTGCAGTCGAGGCAAACCATTCCGAAGGGGTTTTTGTAGCATTTGTGATCCCTCGCAATGCAACGTGTACATGAGACCCGGTTGGTAGGGCGCTGGGCGCTCATGCGCGGCGTGAACTTCTGAAGTATGTTAGTTATGTGAGGAAATCAACAATCGCAACACTAAGAAACTCACCTTGACCTTCGGCTCGGCCTTCTTAGGGATGGAGGTTGTCGAGCCTGCTGTGTCCGACTCAACGGGGATCAGACTCTGCTTCTTTTGCTGGACTACAATCGATTTTGTGGCTGACATCTCGACAACCTCCTCCTGATCCGCGTCCGGCTCTTGGTCTTGCTGCTGCTGCTCCTCAGCAGGAGGCAGAGCAACGATATCGTTATCGGCGTTGTCAGAAGACATGATAATGTGATGATGAAAGAAGGGAAAAGAAGATCGATGAAGAAGTGAAGGTAAATTATAGTGAACAGCAACTCTCCGGCCGTGCGGCCACATTTGTGGCCTCATTCATACACTTCACAAGTTCACACACCCGATTTGGCAAACAATTAATCCCAGATCACGTGCCACGTTCCAGAAATTGTGCCAAGTCCAAATTCTGTGAACCGATGACGCTGCACAGTCACACTAACGTGGCCCGCGCCTATGCCGATGGGTGCCGTCTTACAGACGGGTGGCCTGTGCATGATAGGTGGTGTGCTCGCCAGATGCGGTTCCCCATTGGGAGCTGTCTCACAGCATTAAGTAGTCAACGACCAAGGAGCACTTTTATTACAGCGGCCCTCATAGAAAGCCGTCTCATAGGCCGTTACCTGAAACATAGCTGAGATATTAACATTAACATTAACATTATCTTATCTTCCCCATCGGCCAACTGCCAGTTCCGGTGCCGATTGTAATGGAGCTCGACGGCCTCTCCTCAAATCCGTCTAAGCTTGGCGACGCTGCACACGAAGCCATTGCATATATCACTTCACACATCCGCTCGCATTCCACATCCCTAAAAGTCCAAACTTCAAAAAGCAACTACCTGGTGCCGCTGGCTATACATACATACTGTACTGTAATCAATCCATTGCGCGAAATTAGAGGCGGCGGCGCTTTCTGCCCGTGTATGCGTGAATCTCACCGACTTCCTTTTTCAGCGTACCAAGGGCCGTCTCAACCATGGAGATCAAGCCAGGCAGCGCTTGAATCCTCCCCGCCAAATAAGCATCCTCTTTAGCGCTCTCTGAATGTTCCTCCCCCTCGTTATCGGCCTGCTTCCTCTTGTGACTGCTGTTCAGGTGGACGCATGGACCAATTGCGTTCGAGGGGCCGGCAATCAGCCGAGGTGTTGGAGAGGCCGTGGATTTGGCCTTGGCCTTTCCCTTGTCCTTAGCCTCGGGTGTTGTGTGTGAGATGCCGGCAACCGGCTGAGGTGTTGGCGAGGCCGTGCATTTGGCATTGGCCTTGCCATGTCCCTTGTCCTTAGCCTCGGGTGCAGGCGCAGACTTTGGGGCAGGTCTGGGCCTAGGAGCCGCGGTGATTGTGGGTGCCGTTGGAGCCATGGGAGGCTTGGGAGTCGCGGTGGTCTTGGGCACTGTAGGAGCCGCCGCAGGTTGGGGAGCCGCTGGAGCCGGAGTGGCCGTCGCCGTCGTCTTCCCTTTCTCTACACTCCAAGAATCAACGGTGAAGTCGGCAGACCATGAATTCAGAGAGAACTCACCAGCGACGAGCGAACATCCGGCCTTGAGCCGCTTGCATTCGAGGCAAACCATTCCCGCAGGATTGCTATAGCACTTGCGGTCCCCCTCAATGCAACGGGCACATGAGACCGGATTGACCTTAGGGGTCGCGGCGCTCATGGGCGACGTGAACTTCTGAAGTAGGTTAGATTTAGGTTAGTTATGTGATGAAATCAAAAATCGCAAGACTAAGAAACTCACCTTGGCCTTCTTAGACATGAATGTTATCGAGCCCTCTGTGTCTGACTCGACGGGGATCGGACTCTGCTTCATTCGCTGGACCACAATCGACTTTGTGGCCAACATCTCGACAGCCTCCCGCTCCTCCTCATCCGCGTCCGATTCATGGTCTTGCTCCTGCTCATGCTCCTCTTGCTCCTCTTGTGGTTGCTCCTGCTCTTGCGGGCAAGTTTCCATTGGATCAGTGGTGGTTTGCGAGTGTTGCTGCTCGTCAGGTCCGGCTGGCGCCTTCGCCTGAGCAGCAGCACTTGCCTGCATCGCGACAGCGTCCTTCATTTTGCTGATCTCGCGCTGAAAGGCCTGATGTTTCAGCTGGACTTTGCCACCCAACTGCCTTTGTGCGACCGTCAAGTCGAGCGGCGGGCGGTTCTTCCTTGCGACCGTCAGGCAAGCGTTCAGTGTACTCTGGTGTGTGGTGTTATCAGAATCTGAAAAAACACAACAAAGAAAAAATTGTTGGTGGCGACGTACTAGAATTTGTATCCAGCGCCGGCACCATTCTTCCTTTTCGACACACAGCGTGCCCTCGTTTTCGGCAGGAGCTGAATCGATGAGCCCTTGCATACCGCCACAGAGCTCTTGAATCTTGTCTTTGAGAGCGGAGGTTTGCTCGTCATCGGGCACAGCAGGAAGCGGAGCAAAGATATCGATATCGGCGTCATCAGGAAACATGGTAAGGTGAGGATGATGAAAGAAGGGGAAAAAGATTGAAGAAGATGCGAAGGCAATTTATAGGGAACAGCGACAATCCGGTTACTCGCCCTCATTTGTAGTGTAATTCATAAATTTCACGGTTCACAAACCCGATTTGGCGAATAATAATCCAAGATCACGTGCCAGGTACGAGAAATTTTGCGAAGTCCGAATTCTGTGAACCGATGACGCTGGACAGTCATGCTAATAACCCGGTCAAAGATAACAGACCGATCAAATACATATCAGTGAGTACAACATGTGAAACGGCGCCGCCATGGGGGACCGTTCGTGCGGTGGGAGTCCAAATTGGATCAGTGTCAACATGTGACACGGCGCCCATGGGGGACCGGCTCTGCCATAAGGACAGTTTGGATGGATGGTTGCCTGTGAGACGGGTCCCAAAGTTGACCGAGCGGTCCCCATTGGGAGCCGTCAAACAGGGGGGGTGATTGGCAGACGTTCTTGACAGATTCGGTACCCAATGGGACCGCTGCTCAAATTCACAATCGTCAAGCACCCCATCTGTAAGATGTACATCCACCCATTTTGTAGACGGCTCCTATGGGCATAGGTGCGGTCCCCATTGGGAGCCGGCAAACAGAAACTTAGGACAAGTGCGCTCGGTCAACTTTGGGACCCGTCTCACAGGCAACCATCCATCAAAACTGTCCTCATGGCAGAGCCGGTCCCCCATGGGCACCATGTCACATGTTGTTGTGGTTGTGGTTGTGGTTGGTTGGTTGGTTGATATTTAACACCTGAGACACAGCGAAATAACTGTGTGTGACAGATTCCATTCGCATTGAGGAATAATTTCTTATGAAATACAATATGGTCTACCTCAAAAATCATGATCAAAGCATGAAAAGGTCCACAATTAGTTTTGACCCCAGATTCATGGACAAAATTTGTTGGCACAGATGTGCCTAAACATCAGATTCATAATCATATCATGAAAATGACAGGCATATGTGAACCACAAAATTATTAAATCTAAACTCTGTGTTAAATCAGTTGAGGGGGACAGAGTGCAGTTGTGTTTGGTGGGCAAAGGATGTAAAACATTACAAACATGTGCTTAAAGCTAGATTCTGACAAGGATCTTGAAAATGTGCATGAGTCAGGTGAGTGCCCCACTGAGTGTGCCACTTAGCGGAGCACTGTCTGATTGGTTCCACTCAATTTGGTGGATGTACCATAACATTGAGTGTGCCAGATGCAAAAAGTGAGGTATGGTACTAGTATTACAGGTCAGTGAAAGAGACCAAGGTGGATTCCTGAGTGATAGAAAATGAGAGATAGATCATGTGCAGGGATGGAATCTGAATTAATGGGAGGGGGGCTGTTACGACAGAAGTCGCATTCAAACTGGGGTGTTTAATAAAGAGAGTATTGTCCTCTAGGTTATCAATCGGATGTTGGAATGTCAATATACCCGGTAGCCTAAGCCGTTGGGATATGATGGAAGGATAGGTATGCTTCTAAGGCGAAGCTGAAGAAGGGTTTCACTTTCGACTATGAAGTCTAGGCGAGAGATCGGTATCGGCTCAAAGACAGATAGTCTAAGATAATCAAAGATAATATCAACTCAAGGATAGCGATCCAAGAGTATAGCAGTTTTGTACTCAATGTCAAGAGATCAGATGATCATTCAAGTAAAACCCAGTAGATTCAAGTTAGGGAAATGAAGTACAATGGAGTCAACTATATATAGGGGAATAGGAACAGTGTTCAGGGAACTAAAGATAGATATATCAGGAACGTAGGGTCGAGGGTATATGACCATGAGGTCAGGGTTCAGGGTTTGCGAGAAGATCAAGGGAAATAGAAGCACAGGCCGTGAGGTGGAAGATCAAGGGTTCAATGGAAGCATCTAGCTTCTGTCACAGAAGGTCAGGGTTGGCGGGGATCAAAAAGTGTGCATCAAGCATCATGGTGAATCGTGAAGAGGTGATGGTTGTGATGGTGTGATAAAGTGAAAGGGTGAGAAAGAAAAGATAGGGGGCCATGTTACTGTAACAGGGGCAGCCTTTTCTTTCCTAAATGTGAAGCTGTTTCACATTGTATACAGCAAGGGACGAGCAGCTTGTAGTTCACTTGATATCATATTAGTTCACAGAGTAAGAAATTTTTGTAAGGCTAGCTATTTGATAGGTAACAGTCTATACAGCTTTGTTGATAATCATACATGTGTTACGCTAGAAGCGTAGACTCAGGTAAGAGCTCTGTACTAAGTCTCAACGTGAGACGAAGATAATGCAGAGGTTCGTTTATCGTTATTGTTTGGATCTAAGCTTGGTGACAAGAATCGGCAAGTGAAGATAAGGCTGATGGTATCGATCAAGTAAAGACACTAAGACGAAGAGTCTTGAGTGAAATCGTATACGAGAGCTGTCTTGCTCAAGGAAGGTCTATCAGAATACTGAGTAGATTCAAGTTAGAGAATACAAGGCAAGACAATCAACTACTTATAGGTAAAGGTCAGTTCAGGGCAAGACTACCAAGGCAATGGTAAGGGTACAGGGTACAAGATAAGAGATACAAGATAAGACGGTGATCAAGGATGCTGTACAAGAAGGTGATAAGGCGTCATATGGTAGTACATGATAGGAGAAAAGATAGGGGGGACCGGTCCGAAGTATGTTATCGTAACATTACCTCCCGTTCAAAGGTTTGAAGTCACCGACTTCAATCATCCTGGTTGGAATAATAGATGGGGTCAACGTCAATATCTGCCAACATGGCGATGGTGTCGAGTTCATTCTCTTCCCGTTCTTCTGCAACGCGAGCACGCTCATGGTCAAAGGCAGCTTCGAGCTTAGCCATTTCTCCATGGAACCTATCAGCAGATTTTCCGTGACGAAGGAGTTTCTTGCCTTTGAGGAGGGGACAGAATGGGGTAAGGTGCTTGGGAGTGTATTTGCCACAAATGTGGCACTGGTACCTCTTGCAGTGCTTTTGCTTATGCTCCCAATTGTTGCAAGTACGACAGACGCAGTTGAAGGGATAGGTTTGAGTTGTTTCTCCGGCTTCATACTGTGCTCTCTCGATGGAGTATTGTGCGGTGGTGGTGCATCCTGGTGCAGATTCGAAGTCGTAATGTTTGTAATGATGTTGGCTTAAAGGAAGCCCCATAGAGAAAAGCAATCTAGGCTTCATCCGAGTAAGCCTTTGCGCTCTGCGGAGAACATCCATTCTATCGTCGGGATTGACAGGTGTAGTAGGAGGTGGGACAGGGATAGGGGCATCGTTTTGCAATGGAGAATAATGCAAAAGTTCAGGGGAGAGCGTCCTTGACTGGGACGGGGAAATATCAATGGGAAGTTGCTGCTCTTCTTCTTCAACTTTGGGGGAAGGTGTACTGGGAGGAGATAGACCGAGGAACGAATAATAGTCCTGAGGTGGCTGGGCTACAGGAGGGGGTGTGTATGGCACATAGAGTGAGCTGCTTCGCTCTACTACTTCTTCATCTTCTTCGATGACTAGGGGAGGGGTCGGAGTCGTATGCCTTAATGCTGCGATGAATGGCTCGGGAGGTGGATTAAACTCATTTTCATCCTCTATCCTCCTGATTGCGTCATTGAAATCAACGGTGAGTCGGATGGCATTCAAGACTGCATTCTTGATCTTGCTTTGGTTGTATCTGATGGGGATCGCACCAAGACTGGTGGAAAAGTCGAGTTGGAACTGCATGAGTTCTTTGAGGGTGGCATTGCCGACCCTTTCTACATAGGTGTCAAGCCTCATAGCATACTGGATGTCGAGAATAACGGCTTCCCACATGGCCCGATGCTGGCCAGGGGTCTGGGGACGAGTGAAGGGGTTGTTTTCAAAGAAGTTGGTGATACTGTGGTCGGAACCATAAGAGCAGCTGGAGCGGTCAGACATGTTGGTTTCGAGTTAAGGTAGGTTTAGAGGCCTAATGCTCTAGAGACGAGCTTGAGTCTCTTTTTATAGGCATTGAGAAGCTCCGCTGTGTTTTCAAGTTCCGTCTCAAGGATCCATGAGTTCTCAGATTCAGGGTATCCAACCCAAGATACGAGATAACGACGTCTTGTGCCTGCCCCTTTGTGCGAGAGTATGGCTTCGATTTCGTAATGTTCTTCTCCATTGATAAGGTCAGGAGGTGGTTCGGTGAAATTCGGGCCGTGTATCTCTGTCTCTTGATAGGAGGATAGCTCAGAAGTGTGGAATGTGGAGTGAACTCTCCAGGTTTTTGGTAGCTTCAATTTGAACGTGATAGGCGATAGGACTTCTGTGATTTCGAAAGGGCCGTATCGTTTAGGAGCTAACTTCTTTGAGGGAAGTCGTGTGATGAGGTGTGTCGCGGAAAGCCAAACTTTATCACCACGTTTCCATGGTTCGTACTTCTGTCCATGAGATCTTTCTGCCATTCGTTGTTGAGCAAGGCTGTGAGAAGCTAGGGCTTCTTCTCTGATCTTCTGAAGGTGTTTGATGCGTTCTTCTGCGGTTGGAAGAGTGGAGTCAGGGAAAGCGTGTGGGTATCCGCGAGGTTCGTATCCCATCATAAGGGAGAATGGAGAAGAGTTTCTGGCGCTGCCTTTTCTGGAGTTGTGGACAAATTCTGCCATGGGAAGGTGATTTGCCCAATCATTAGGGTTCGTTCGACAATATATCCGGAGGTAGGTTTCTAGTTCTTGATTCATTCGTTCAGTTTGTCCATCAGTCTGGGGGTGATATGCAGTAGAAAGGGCGACTTGATAGTTTAGGAGTCTTCCAAGTTCTTTTGCAAGTTTAGAGGCGAACTGTGGTCCTCTATCGGAGATGATCTTGTCATAGAGGCCGAATCTAAGGAAGACCTTTTCAAAGAAAAGTTGGGCTACTCCTTCTGCGGTGATCGTTTTTCTGCAGGGGCAGAGAATTACCCCCTTCGTAAGGCCATGGTCTACCACGACCATGATAGAATCAAAGTCAAGGGACGGGGGAAGGTCGGTGATAAGATCGACGGAGACCTG